TACAACAATAGTCATTAGTTCAGCTATCTTTTCTTAGTTAAGATATATATATTCTATTCAAGACATTAATCAATTGTTTAACACACATGGCTTACCAGCACCATACTCCAATAGTGCGCCTAGGCGCTGGTGCCAGAGACAAAAATCGCCAAAACATGCCACAAGCTCTCTAGCTGCATGACCTTCGCCAGCACAGCCAGTGCCACAGTTGCATCCTGCAATGTGCACAGACACCAGAGCGAGCGCAGAATCAGTTGGTCGGTGTATGCATACTTGGTTGTCACCAGCCTGCAACACGGCCAATGCACCAACCCAGGATTTGCTGTCAGATGTGCCTTGCCAAGGCTTCACGACACAAACTCATGCAGAAACCCAATGCCCCATGGGGGCATGCCCTGGTCATCCTTGCAGACACACGCGGGGATGACATCGACAGTGCCCAGCTCCAGCAGCTGCACCATCTGTGGATTTGCCATCTCCATTGCATTTTCTTCTGCTGCTGCCAGCCGATATGCTGTGAGAAAAGTACACAGCCGCACGAGACTCTCCACCGGCATGCGCAAAATCTCAAGCTCAGGCACTGACTGGCGTGCGACACTGAGCAATGCAGACAGAAATACCAGGTCGATTATCCGCCGGTGGTACTCGGTACGCAGCGCAAACTGCTTTACCATGGCTGCACATACCAACACAATCACAGAGTCTGACTGCTGCCTCTGCTTGCTGCTGCCTCAAGCTGAGCTGTTGGCTGACTGCATAAGTGTTTCGCTGAGCACCTCAAGCAGCCTGCCGCCAGCTTCCTGCTGCATGTGCCGTCAGCCCAAACTACCTTGCCATCCCACTGCAGTGTCATTAGCAGCACATGCAGCAACACAACTGTCCTCAACCAGTCCCCCCTCTGCTGCTGAATTGCCCTGATCCTGCACAACTATCAGCTGCAGCACCTCTCACCGCATAGCCGTATCGAGCAGCAGCTCAGACACAGTATCCAGCAGCTTAAAGTTTTCTGAATTCAGCGCCAATTATCCCAAGGAATTAACCATTTCGGGCATCTGAATGTCCAATTCTGCCTCATTGTCCGCACTCCCTTTTGGGATTATTGGTCCTGGAATATCAGGCGTGTCGCTGTTGCTGTCTTTGGCTGTGTGCAGCAGAAATCTAACTCATACTGTGATTGGTCTAAAAGATGCGAAAGTACCCGGTATGTGCCGAGTGCTGCTCCGACGCCAATTGCAAAGTGGTACCAGCTATCGTCTATGCTAGCAAAAGAATATTGAAAGGGTGTAAAAAAGAACAGTAATTTGTTAATTACGAAATGTGAATTGGAAAGGAAAGGAAAGGAAAAATAAAGAAAGAATAACGTTAAATTGAAATCATTTGGCAAAATAGCAAAAATCGAAAATTATGGATGAAATCAACCATGTTCAAGTAAAATTGGCCAATGTGCGAGTTTAAAAGTATGTTGTTTACAGTTAAAGTGATCGGCGAAAGGTGATCGGTGGGTTGGTGAATCTGTAAATAAAAGAGGGACAGACAAGAGTTTTAATCTCTATTAAACGTGAAGAAAAAATGAATAAAATGTAAATATTTTATCTTTTGCAGTTAATTTTTTGGGTCGTAAAAAGATTTATTAAAAACAAAAAAACCTAAAGTGCTAGCTTCTTGAATGACCCAGCATTGATCTCGTCCTCAGCTGGTCGCTTAAGCTGGCCATTATCCTCTCCGAGGAGCTCAATCGCCTTGGGGTGCATATACTCGGGAGCAGCGTCCCAGTTAATCTGTCGAACAAATGTGCTGTCTGACCAGAGCCGATGGCTTATAACCTTGTTTCCTGGTTCAAACAGGAACCGGCGCATTGCACAAATGAGATTTTTGAGCCTAGCGCTAACACCATCAACACTGAACCCTTTCAGCAAGACAGCATCCTCTTGGATCAAACCCCACCTTGTGATGGCGAGGGATGGAGAGTCCAGGAATTTGAAGCCCTGAACGTCATCCCTCTTAGTGCCGGCTGAGCGCACTGCATCCATAACGACATAGAAAACACTCTCCATGTCATCAAGGATTCCCCGGATGGGGCTGCTGCTGAGCATGGGAATACCCATGAAAAGCGGCGTCCCTGTAAATGGGTCCTTGGCCACCTCCACTTGTCCCACTGTTGTTGCATTGAACCCCCACTGTTCGGCAACCTCAATATGTTTAAGTTGAGTTGGGTCAGTGTCCCTGGCAGCATCCTCAGCAGTGCCCCAGCCAATGACCTTGGCACAGCCCCAGTCAATGACATACACCTTGTCGTTTTTGACGCACACATTCCCTGCCGAGATATCCCTGTGCAGGACACCAGTGTCATTTGCCTGGGCAAGACACAGGGTCAGCTGCTTGACAAAGCCAGGAACCAGCTCAGCCTTCTGATTGTCAGTCTTGGCTTTCAAGTACTCGGCCATTGACTGGCCGCAGTACTCCATGAGCACAAACTCCAGCCGGTATCCATTGAGGTTGCTGATGAGCAGGCCCTTCGAAAAGATCTCAGGAATACCTTCGACTGGTCTCTTGTTGAGGATGGCGTATGCGGCACCCTCGGGCAAACGATTGACTGGGGTCCAGGAAAGCTTCAGCACAGCATCACGACCTTTGCAAGTCCCCCTGAATAAATGGACATGGCGCCCAACCATGTATGAATAATGCGCTATTGTCTCCTCGATACAAAACAGAGCAGTGCCATCCTTGACATCCTTGACATCATTGACATCCTGGAAAACCGAGTATAAGACTTCGAGCTTCGAATCGCCCTTTCTTTCTACATTGACTTTCTGCGAAAAAAAGAAAGAGTCGGATTCCTCCGAGACATCACAGAAATGCCCGAAAATGTCCGACTCAAGCGTCAGCAGAAACCAGAACTGCATGAGGCATGACTGAATTTCTTCAGCTATTTCAGGTGACCAACTATCCGTATTAAAGCATAGCTGGCCAAGCTCGATGATGTACAGTTTGTCACGATAATATGCGTGAAGCGTCAGGATGTGCCCATGGAGGTAAAAGACAGGTGCAAACGTGCGGGTTGCCTGCTTATCATTGAGCACATGGCCGTAATCTGCGAGCTGGCCGCGAGTATCCTCTGGTGCTTCGTCGGGATGGACGTCTATCTTGGCCTCGAGTATAGCATGAACGGCATAAATGTCACGTGTCTTGTATTTGTGGTAAAACGCGATGTCTGGCTTGTGCGGAGTACCTCGTATAGCATCACTCTGATGGTCCATCGTTATAAGCCTCCAGTCTGGGATTGGGGTTCTACCTGGCGTAATACGTCCATTTGCGACACCAACCGCAGCCTTCATTCCAAAAATAAGCTCTCTTAGATAACCGACCAAAAGAGCTTCAGATTTCAAGTCCTTTAGCTCATCTGTGCTATTGCGGAAAATATCGACATGTTCGCCTTTGGCCTTCGTGATCCCGGTGACCTTTTTAGACCTAACCACTGGCGACCCCCTGGCTATGTCGAGGAAAAGATCAGGCCAATCCTTGATGAACCGTTCATACCGCTCCTTTACACCCAGAGATTCAACAAAGGCATTGAACAGATAGTTTTGTTTTATGTTGCCGCCGAGGCATTTCAGCAGCCGCTGACGGCGCTTATCGCGTACTTCGGAGGGTTCCGATTCCCCGGGTGGCAGTTCCTCCTTTTTTTGATTTTTCGAGGGCGTTTGGATAGTGCCCCCTGTCTTGCTGTTCTAATAAAAAATAAAACAAAATGTTTTAAATTAGCGTCCGAATTAGTTTTATATGGACGCAGAATAAACAACAACAAACAATTCATCAATATCATAACAATCCGTTTATATTAAAGTACTTACGCCTATTTGATTCGGCGGAGTCTTATTCGGAGGAGCTAGCTCAGACATCATTGAGAGAGAGTGAGAGAGAGAGAGAGAGAGAGAGAGAGAGAGAGAGTGAGTGTGTGTGTGTGTGTGTGTGTGTGATAAGCACTAAGGTATGGTAAAAGTAATAAAAAGTGAAGAAAAAACAAATTGAACGAAATGGTGCGAATTGGAAAAAAGCAAATATTAAAAGTAAAAGCAAAGGTGGAAAGTTGCAAAGGTGAAAATTTGTTGCGATGGATTGCGCCAAAAACAAAAAACAATTTTTTTAATATAAACAAAAAACCTTGAGCTTTTCATGCTTGCATTTGGTTGGCTGAAATATGGAAACAAGAAATAATTATATTTACGGATTAATTTCCAATCGACATTGTTCTTTTTCCTTGCGCATTGATTTTGAGCTTATATTGTTTCTTTTGGGAGCATGGTGGCCCTGCCATTCACTGCTGTAAAAATATACTTCCCTGACGTGTACATTGAACCAGAGATGCGTTTATGCTCCATCGCCTGGCTGTCGGACCAATTGAGACACAGAGCCACATGTTTCATGCGTCCACGACGGGAGCATAAAATTCTGAACACAAGAGAGCTTTCACTTGGATCTTTAAGACTCATTCATGAGATCACTTGGCTGAAATGGTTAACAAACTCCAGGTGTATCTGGCACCGATAGATGGCATATTGGAGAAACTCGAGATACATGTGGACCCCCATTACCAGGGCAAGAAGCTGGACCTGGGTATGAGTCGTAGTTGGCAAGAGCTGACAGAGTACAGGTGCTGGTCAAGAAAATTCAAGGGAATCACGCAAAAACAAGCAATGGTGTTTGTAAATGAGATTGTACATAATCAGCAGGGCTGGTACAAGAGACGGTGCGAGCTTGCACGTCTAATGGGAAATGAGGCTATCCATGGCGCCTAAGAAATGCCGATTGCTGATAATAACTCCAATCTCGACAAACATCCTGAATACCAAATTCATGACAAGACGAATATGATGGCCTGCCAAAGTGGCCGCAGACGATAGCAATGAGGACGGCAGATATGCACACTAGCTATATGGCCATGATTGATGCTTTAGTTGACAGATCGAGTGCTTGGGTTTAATTTTACTAACACCTCGGCAGAAACTTCCACCGCCAGAAAATTAGACACAGGCCTGGGTAACCAGAGGCATGTAGCCAGGTTCTAAAATGGGGCCATGATGGATAAGGTGGCGCTGTTGGGCACAGATTTCCTTAATAGGCAATGCCCATCAGTTACCCTTTTCTTTGTGAGTAGAAAGACTCACAGCTATAAAAAGGGCAAAACAACAATATTTACGAGTTCTCTTCTCTTTACCTAGTTCTGATTGAATATATATTTAGTATACTTATGAAATACACCCATTAACAGGTCACACCTAACTGTGAAAACCTCTCTACGCTTTTTACCCATATACTGAGTGGATATGCCTCCACTTTGCCATCAAAACAGGGGATGTACCCTGCGAGCTTGGCAAATCCAGAGTACATTGAAGGCATGAGTTGAGCTTGTGCAGCTGCAGCAGATAGGAGGCCAGTAGCAACTGGGAGTTCAGAGGTTAACATGGTGCAGATACAGAACAAAATATAAGGAATGAATAATATAGTAGAATAAAATATAATAAAATAACTTCCAAAGTAGGCTGAGGCCACTTGCAAAGAGAAAACGCAGGAAGTAGAAAATATTAGCAAAAAGTATGCCAAAAAATGTGTGTGGAGGTGCTACCAAGTGTTATGTTAAAAATATATGTATTAAACAAAATGAACTAAAAGAAAGCTAAGGGATGAACAGCCTCCACTGTTCATATTCATTAGTATTTATATGTGCGTATGAATTCCCACATATCCAAGTAGGAAATTAACTAGCAATTGATTCATTAATCAATTGCTAGAGACAAGCCGCAATTTCTTGTATCACATAATGAGCCTTAGGTATATAGTTGTCTGTTTGCATACTTTAAAACATAATAATGTTAAAATGGTTGAAAAGTATTCCTTTTAAAAATTCTTGTCCATTCTACAAAAGACTTGGCAAAGAATTTTATGATAATGAATTGTTGGAAAGAACAAAAGTGAAGAGAATAAATTAAACGAAAAACAACTATGTTGTCTGGACAATTCTTTTTTTTCATTACTTTTATTCTCTCTATTATATTTGTGCACACCATTTATTTTTTCAAACATTTATATTTATATCATTATGCCACTTAATCCGTTAATAATTACCCGAGTTTTTTCTTTTGCAATTCTATTGTTAACAGCTGGAAGCATCACATTGTTTTTTCTCTATGAGGACTACTACGGTCAGAAGCTGGTCAACAAACACAACCTGCAGTATGTTGTGCGAATGATAGCCATGTGTGCCAACATTGTCAATATGGGCCTGGCTATGCGCAAGCCACAAAAAGACCAAAACAGGCGTCTGCGCAGCTGTGGACTGCGCATGCTGGTTACTGCCATGGTATCATGCATGGTGCTCCTGGATCCAATGATGAGCGTAGTGTTGGATGCAGCAGAGCTGTTGGCCGAGCATGCCAGAGGCACATTCATAACGACTATGATTGGAACTCTGGTATATATTATGGTCTACTCATACTCTTACATAGTGTGGAGTGGCAAGTATTATGCAATGGCGCCAAAGAAGGCTGAGGAGGTGCCACTGCAAGTCTTGTAAAACAAGCAACGAAGCATTGGAGTGGGCATAAAAGCAAACAGGAGCTAAATTGATTGGGCAAGTCACTAATTCCTTGATCACCGATATAATGCACTATGATGACGACGACAACAAGGGCAATGAAGACAGTCAGACATACATTAAAAAATCAAATGTAGTATATATAGCAGACGGCTAGCATAGTGATTGAATCCAGACCAAGCAGCACAAAGCCATTTTTATTCTTTTTATTCTTTTTATTCTTTTTATTCTTTTTATTCTTTTTATAAATCCCATTTGATGCTGAAGCCACAACTGTCAACCCGTTAATGTCGATGCAGCTCTCCATTCTCGAAATCGTGCAAGCGTGTAATTGCATTGCCAGCGTTGAATCGCTGCTCCAGTCTGAGGACTACTACCGTTTTGAAATCGGCGGCAAACTTGTTGGCCTCGTCAGCGCCGACGACATTGCAACCCTACAAATTGCCTGCTCAGAGTCCGAGCTGCCGGTATTTGAATTTGATACTCGGGCGAAAGCACTCACATTTAGCCAGTGGTGCGGCGACCGCCAAAGTCGTTCGGACGCGGTGGCCGTGCTGCTTTCCCAAATGCGCACAACCGGTGCCTGGGCATCGCTGGCAAAGTGGCGTAACGAGCTCTACCCAGTCTACGGTGATTCTGACGACAGCGAGGGCATAGCGGTGATGATTGAGCGCGCGGCGTCATACAATTTTGGGATCCGCACCTTTGGCGTGCATATTAATGGAATCACCAAGAGCGAGTCGGGGGAAGTGAAGATGTGGGTGGCTCGGCGAGCCATGACCAAACAGACTTGGCCTGGGTACTTGGACCAGATTGTGGCTGGCGGGATTGGCAATGGCATGGGTGTGTGGGAGTCGGTCATCAAGGAGTGCGCCGAGGAGGGTGGAATTCCTGAGAATATTGCACAAACTGCCACACAAGGGGGCATGATCCAGTACTTTACGCGGTCGGAGCTGGGGCTGCAGCCCGAGACTGAGTTTGTGTTTGATTTGGTATTGCCCGAAGGCTTTGTGCCGCATCCCACAGACGGCGAGGTCGACGAGTTTTACCTGTGGACTCTCGATGAGGTTGTCGAGAAGCTTTGCTTGGATCTGTTCAAACCCAACTGCGCTGTCTGCATTGTTGACTTTTTGATTCGCCACGGGCGACTGACGCCGGAGAACGAACCCGACTACATTGAGATAGTCGAGAACATACACTGCCCGCTGCCGTTTCCGGCGCCCAAGTACCCGCTGAAGAGATGATTGTGGTTGTTTGCAAAAGCCTGCTGGCAGCAAGTTGCATCTAGATTTGTTAACCATTTAAATAAATAATCAACCTCGGCGAATTAAGACGGGGCGCTTATTACTCTCCACATTCTCGCGATAGGCAAGTAATGGCGGAGACTAAAATCTTTTTAAAAAATAAAACCAGTTTCTCCAGGTGCGCAGTACCAGCATTTTTATACACCTGGGCTGCAGCTTGTGGTCTGCGCTGTTATCTTTTCAGACAGGCAGAATTGTGCAAACAGAATAGCAGCATTGCGACCATTCGACATGTTAATTTTTTTTGCGCTTCTGAGGCTCGAGAAAGCAGCCTCCACTTATGTACAAAAATCACCCGTAATATAAAAGTTAAGCTATAACCTGCAATTTTAAATGGCTGACTCCGCAGAAGCAACCTTGAAATAATATAGAATAAATAAATCTACACATTATTGGCAAGGAAACAGTGTGGAGACAAAAAAAGAGAATAATGCGGAGATGCGGATGGAATGTGTTTTCACATAAAATTCAAACTAAAATTTTACTTCTCGTTTCAGTTACATTCTCCAAATAAGAAATTAAAAATATGAGCGCAGGAAGTGTCCATATGAAGAAAACGTATGGAATTCGACATTCCTTGCCTCCCCCTTCAGCTTTCAGCAGCACTACCATTTTATCACTCGCATTGAGCGCAGCAGTCATGCAAAAGGAATAATAACCTAAAGATCAATTTCGCCTTCGTTGGCCATTCCAATATTTATTTTCTATTATTTGTTTGTTGCAAAGTTTATTTGTATTCATCTATTCTCATATACTAAAAATCATTAATTACAATAAAAAATAAGACAATGACTGATTTACTTCTGCCGTCAACCGCAGACAATCCAAGCAATGCCGACGCAATTATTTTCGACGGCGGCACCAGTCTCGGCCCGCGGCTTGAGTTCAGCATCAATCTGGACATGATCAAGGAGCGCCAGGCGACAACAGAAGCACTTACTTTGGGTCAGACCGGTTCAGGTAACTCGATGTCGCCGACGCGAGAATTGCAGCAGCGATCGCAGCTGCCCCGGCGCCGAACGCTGCGTCATCTGATCAGCACACACGTACGCAAAGCCAGCGACAATAGTGCAGCGGCCACCTCCTCTGCCCGCCACCTCGACGGCGACCGCAAGCCAAATATTTTAGCTGGCAAAACTGCAGCAGCCTACAAAGCGGACAGCCAGCATCACCAGGACGACACTTATGTGGATCGTGCGCTACCCAGTTTTCAACTGCCAATGTGGAATCTGCCGTCGCCAATTGATTCGTTTGGCCCTGATCTCGACTGGTCGGCTGTCAGCGCGACCGCTGATGCCAGCGTGTTGCCCGTCATGCATCGTGTGGATAAACCGGACACCATTGAGGAGAACACGGTCGAAATTACAGACATCCCTGTGAGTAATGAAGTCGCACTTGATGAGATTTCACCCGAGATCAAGGACCCTGCTATCGAGAAAGCAGCAGAGTTTATGTCAACACCTGCACTCGCATCGTCGCCGCGACAGCAGCCTGCCTCTGCTATTAAATATGTTCCCACGCACATTGTCGATTGCGAGATCCAGCAGCAGACGGCGCCACAAGGTCTGCGGCGGCTGAAATCGCTAAAGTCGCTGATCAAAAAGCGCAACCCGTCGTCGGACATTCCCAATCAATCAGCAGGTGATGCAAAGGGCCCCTTTGGTACGCAGGAGTACCGTCCTGTCACCCGAAAGCCAATCAGCCGCAGGTGGTCTATCGGACACCAGTTTTATTCCGGCTTAGAGCCCAGCACTGGAAATGCCCCGGCCAACGCTTCGACTGTTAGCGTGGCCACCCCAGCCGCCGAGAATCCAGTTGGTAAACCACCCCGCCGTGGCCGCAGCTTAATGTTCAAGCCGCTGGTGAATGTTGTGGCAGTCGGCGCGCTCATCGATACAATAGGCAAGACCAAGCCTGCAGCAGGCGGAAGCAGTATTAACAACAGCGACAATTCAAAGACTACCCCTGAAGCTCGTCCAGACGGTAGCAATGCTTTGCCGGCGCATCAAGGCCCACATCGGCGCATTTTGGGGAGCCTGCGCCGCGCGGCTGCCAATACAGGAAACGCGTCAAACGCAAAAGCGCGTACGTCGAGCAAACAAGGATACCGGCCAATTATTAAACCGGAAGCCATTGAAGACTGTGTAGACGTTGATGAAGGCGAGCACGCGCAGCCAAAATCGCATGGAATTTACCCCATTGAGTACACGCAGCTTAACGACAATATCGGCGACAAGAACAGCGGCACAGCAGTTAAGCGCTCCGATGCCTTGCGACACGTCAAGCGCCGTGCTGGTACTCTGAATCTCGGCCAGCGCAATCCTATTCGGGTGGACAAACTGAAGCATGCACCATCGGCCGACAAGGCACCCGGAACAACAGCTAAAATGGCACCAACCGCGTCATCACTTACTGTCGACTACATGTCAGCGTCAACAGCGGTGCCTGGATACGTGCCCATTGCTGTGTCTCTGCGCAGCTCGCGCTCGCGCCAGTTTATGCTCAACACGCCGCTGGGCGAGTTTGAAGTGCAGCGAACACTGGGGCAAGGCAGCTACGGGAAAGTTAAGCTAATGCGGTCCGCGCTGACCCATGAGCAGTTTGCGGTCAAGATTATTAAGCGGTACCCGGCACACAAGCACCGGCGCGGTCACCATGAGTACCGCAAGGCAAAAACTTTGGACCGCCGCGTAGTGCGTGAGGCCAACTTGGCAGCAATCCTCGGGCAGTTGCACCCACATATTGTCCCGCTGCATGATTTTCGCGTCACCGACACGCACTTTTACCTGTTCTACGCCTATGTTAACGGGGTCACCTTGGCCGAACGCGTTGGGTGCTCTGGTCTTGGCGAAGCTGAGGCGCGCGCAGTGTTCAAGCCAGTCGTAGAGACAATCGCGTTTTGCCACCAGTACTCTGTCATTCACCGCGACATCAAGCTGGAAAACGTACTGATAGACTATGCCGACGAGACTGAAAACGCTTGGCCGCTGCTGCGCTCACGCAATAACAGCAGCCAGGCCCTCTCAAGCCAGCGGTCTCTGGTTCCTGGAAGCACGCACATGGCCGAGACTGCTGCCGGTGGCAATGGCGATCACAACGCAACCTCAGGTGAGCGCAGCGGTAGCCGTTGCCGCTTGAACAGCTCCAAGCCTGCCGAGACATGCGACCAGGCGCAGGATTACCGCACGGCATCGGTATTTGACGGACGCGTTAAGATTATCGATTTTGGGCTGGCCAATTTTTTTGACGGCACCTCTCTAATGGAGACATTCTGCGGCAGCCTTCCATACACCGCCCCTGAGATTTTGCGCGGCGACGCCTACGTCGGACCCGAAATCGACGTGTGGTCGCTGGGTGTCCTACTTTACGTCATGCTCACGGGCCAGTTTCCATTTGAGGACCCGGCGCAGGCCAAGAACTTTGACAAAATTATGGCCGGCGACTTTTCGCTCAAGCCGAGCATGAGCCGTGAACTTCAGGACCTTCTTCTGCGCATGCTCGAGCCCAATGCCAAGCGCCGCATTACAATGAAAGCCATATTGCACCATCCATGGCTGCAGACTGACCGTGTGCCTGTGCCTGGTACGTGCTGTGCGCATCACCAATTCCCAATTGTTGATGCCATACATGACCGCCGCACATTGCTTCTGCCGGGCCCAGCAGTTAGCCCGCTGGTTGCGCGCGAGGTCGCCACGTGCTTGGACCGCAGTCTCGATGACGTGACGCACATTCTTGAGGCCGCCATGGCTAGTGGCCGCCCGCAGTCAAACGGCCAAGTTGCTGTGTCCGCATCTGCATCCGCATCTGCCTTTGCCTTTGCCTTTGCCTCTGCATCTGCACCTGGATCTGGATCTGGATCTGCCACTGCTACCGGCTTAGCGCAAGTGCAGCAGTGGCCCAGCGCTCTGCAAGACTTCTACGCAAGCAGCAGCATGGTGCAGGTGCCCAACTCGCCCGTGGTGTCGGTTTACGCATTGGTGCTGCAGCAAATTGGCATGCGGCGGTACTACCTTGAGCTGCCTGCCACGGACGAATGCACAATGAAAGGAATGAGCAGCAGCAGCACAAACAACAAAATCACAGGCAGAGCGTCAACGATGTCTAGCTCCTCGCAGCTTACTGGCGGCGGCGGCGGTCTTAGAGACCTGGTAGCTGATGCCTACAGTGTGTCGGTCGATCCTCTGCTATTGGCCTCAGAGAAGCCGCGCACGCTTGTCAACCGCCTGACATCGCAGATTGAGCATCTTGTTTCGATGACCAGCAACCTCATGGGCTCAGGAAACACGCCGCTGCCAGTGCAGTCACAGCCGCTGCCATCAGCCATCAAGATCAAGTCAGCACGCGCGCTAATGGCCCACGAAATCACCCAGTCTGTCATTGCGCCTCCAATGTACGTGCAGGCACTAAGCGCCGGCAAGTCAATGCCCTCGCTGCAGTCTGATGCGCGCGATCAAAAATCCATTTTTGGCGGATCGCTCAAGCGCATGCGCAGCCGCCATCGGAATTCCATCCAGGACGATCATCTGCGCATCCGCTGCATCGGCGCTTTAGAGCACTCGGACTCGCGCATTATGCTGCCTAACGAGCTGGCCGCCGATTCGGCTGAGCACGTGCTTGGGCTGCTGTCGACGCTGCTCAAGCTGCATGAAATTGTGCACACTTTTGTCGAAACCCGCCGTATGCCTGTGCGCCACGCTTTTGACTCGAGCACATTTTCTCTGAAGACTATGGCTGCCATGATGGCATCGGCGTACCCGCCCCAGCAGCAGCTGCAGCAGAATCAACAACAGCAGCAGCAACAGCCGTTAACTCCTAAATTGCAGGCCCCAAAGCGACTGCAGCAGTGGAAGAGACACAATGTGGACGTAAATAACGCGAGTGGGGATCTTGACACGTCTGGCGGTGCGCACAATGCTCCGGACGCGCTGCACCCGAGCTCAGAAATGGCGGACGGGCTGCAAGTATATGAAAGTTCTACACGGCGTCCATTTGGAAACGGGGGCAACGGCAGCGGTGGCGGTGGCGGCGGCGGGCAGTTCAAGTCGTTGCTGCACAGCATCTTTTCAAAGTCAGAGTATCAGTCCGCACTTCCAAACAACAACAACAACAGCAGCAACAACGACAACAAGAACAAGAACAGTAATGCTGTTATTTTGCCTCGCCCACATCGCCGGCTGACGCAGCTGTCCAGCCAGCTGCGCGAAAAAGTGCACAGACGGTCGACAGCTAAGCAGGAACCTCAGCCGTCTCTCTCTGCGGCTGGAGCTCACAAGCGCAGTATGCTTGCTGCCAGCATTGTTCACCCGCCGCATATCCAGCAGCAGCAGCAGCAGCAGTCTGCGGCACCGCAGCCCATAGAGGAGACCGCTTTGCCGCCTAAATTATTTAGTGACATGGAACCACCCGAGGTTATCACCACGATTCCAGTCAAGCATGCGACTGCTATCATCTTTGCTCAGTACTCACCATCGCTGAATCGCTGGCGCGAGACCGAAGTTGTCGAATATTATAGCTGCTCGGTGCGCATTGAGCTTGTTCGTGTCATGTCATCTAATTTGCGGCAGCAGCGGTATCGGTATGCCTTATTAGTCGAGCGTATGACTGGGCATAAGGGCAAGTTTGTCCTTTTTAATATTTTCCTGCAGCGTATGGTTGCCGCTCTGCCGACCATGGCGCCCGAGTCGTTCAATCCGCGGCCAGCAACCGACCCAATGGTCACAGTACTCTAAGTTTTAATTTTAAGTTACTTTCATACTGCATCTACAAGTACAAATCAACGGATTAAGTTTGAGTATCACTTAATAAACTAATATTATTTGTCATAATATTTTTGCTACTCTGCTTCGCTCAGTGTGTTTCAAAAAAACGAACCAGGTATTTCATGTCCCAACAATATCAACAATTGTTATTAATATATGGCGGCCAGCAGCCGTGAGCGCGCGCCCGATGCTGCCATATGGGCGGCATAGCTCCAGGTCAAATGAATGGCACCACGCCCATACCCAGTGTGTGAATACCACTGCTCATACATTGTGTGGTCGCGCGAGGTGTGCAAATACACGCGCGCCATATACAAATCTCCGGCATTCAGCAGGTAGCGCACCAAATCGTGGAATTCAGTCATATCATTGCCAATATTATCGCCTGGCTTCAAACCAAGCAGCTTTCTGGATAGCCCGTTGGTTTTTCTGTGCCTGCTGCTGGTCCATTTAATCAAATCAAGCAGCTCATTGGTGACAAGCAGCTGTCCGGCTCGTGCATATGTTGTGGCCAGACGATAATGGTACTCGGCCATGGCCGACGTGATCAGTGACCAAGGGTTGCCCTTCGACACGCCCACGCCATTGTACACGTCCTCGGGGTATCTGCCAGCAGCAACGCCAATAGCAACAGTGGCGCCGTTGATATCTGTGGTGAGAGCTTGGTTAATACTGTACATTGGCCCAAACGCGCGCAGCAAGCGGAGTACAGTCGCTATCATCTGCTGCGACTCCACAGTAAACACTCCGTCAGCCAGCCCGGCATGAAGCGATGCCAGCAATACCTGCGAGTCTAGATTGCTGCGCTTGCTTGCCAGGCCTCCGGACCACGGGACCGTAGTCAGCACATGACTACGGTGCTTGTCCCAGAACTGTGGCAGCTTGAAACCAATCATCTCCGCCTGCTGTTCATACCAAATAGCAGCGCCCTCATCGTTTAAAAGTCTAGCCAGCTGCGCGCCCTCGATCAGAGCTCGGCGCTGAGCCATCAGAGTATAGAAATGCATGCCGCGAGTCTCCTCCCAAATATCACAGTGCTGGTTCTGCGCCCACACTTTGGCCACAAATTCCAAGTCGGTCTTAATTGGTGATCTCTTGTACATTCGCTTATCATACAGGTGCGCGACATCGCGACCGTGACTGATCAAGTACCAAGCATAGCGCACCAGCGTATACGCTCTAATCGCCGGCCCATCGGTCTGCCCATTACACCAGTTGCGCGTAAACTGCGTACCGTTCATATGGAATTTTGCCTCGGCCAGTCCATACTTCAACCCGGGAATGCTCTGTAAATGTCGAGTGAACGCGACATAATCATTCAATGTATTTATCAGCGTGTCAGCGTACGTTGGGTCAAGGCTGTGGTTGTGGTCGTGGTCGATCCACGAGATAATTTCGTTCATGACAAGCGCCGAGTCGCGCGTCCATGAGTAGTAGTAGTCGGGGTTTGAGCGCGACGGCGATGCACAAACTGCGCCGGCCATAGCTGAAGTATCATGAGCAAATGGTGCAATGTTGGCGAGGATGCACTGTTTGGAGAATTCGTCGTGTTGCTGGATCCAGCTGGCCAGCTCACTGCTGGCGTTATCGCCAATGATGAAGCTGCTATTGTTAAGTTTATTTTTGTGATGGAGATGGTAGGGTAATATGGGTTGCTGATATCCGCTGCGTGCATTGATAAACTGCAGCGCTTGGACAAATGGTGCTAGTGACCTTGTGGCAGCCAAGTATGTACCCAATACTATGGACAGAAAGTGCATATTGAAATAATATTAAAAATGTGTGTATACTGAAATACAAAGGATAATATGCCGGAAAAAATTGTAGATATGAAAGCTATCTCATAATGGAACTACCAAACTGCACCAAATAAATGTAAACACCAACTATTACAATTACAAAAACAACAAAATAAAATACTTGAGAATGGTGCAATCAAAATGCGTGAGAGCAAAAAAAAAAGTCACATGAAGCTGCACACATGCATGCGATTACATGCGTGATTTGCTTCAGCGCGATTGGTGACTAGCAAGCGCCTGCGCATAGCGACGACGCACAGCGTGGTACTCATCCATCAGAAGCATACGCTGCGAGTTGACCAGCACCGCCGACCGGGTCTGCGCGTAATTTGGCGCCGCATTGTGGCAATGACAATGGCATCCGTAGGATTCGTCGGATCCAAACGCAGCAACGCAGTCTTCTGGCGGGGCGCCTGGTGTAAATAATTGAAGCTCAGCCAGTTGCTGCAGGATTCTGGGCGCACCAGGAAGAGGCTGATACTGATTCTGGTTCTGGTTCTGGTGTTGGTGCTGCTGCTGCTGGCAGTAATAGTCGGGCGCAAATGCAGAAGAGACAAAGGGGCTGGTCCAGTTGCTTGAGCCACTAAAACCATTGTTCGTATTATTGTATGCCATTGCCGCCGCCGCCGCCGTCGTCGATGTTGTCGCGTTAGAGACGCCACCGAATATCGAGGGCTGTTGATACTGATAGTGCTGGTGCTGCTTGCTCGAGACAGTCAGCAGCTGGACGATCTCATGGAGATCAGCTGCTGAGATTCCCATTGTGCCACTCAGCAGACCACCCGACGCAGTAGATGCAGACGCAGCTGCTGATGCTGCAGATACAGATGCAGGCGTGGCCATCAACACGGATGAGCGCTGGCCAGGTCCGCTGCCAGTGCCTACAGATCCATAGTTATTATCGCCAAAGCCGACCGATCCGGCTGGTGCTGCTGCTGCCGCCGCCGCTGCCGCCATTGCGGCTCCTGTTGACTGTCTGCTGCCTCCAGACGCTGGCGTCGAGGACTGAGGAGAATACTGGCTCTGCGTGTGGTAGTGGTAATGATAGTGGTAGTGGTTCTGCTGCGGCTGCAGCTGCTGGTGTTGATGCTGATGCTGATGCTGATGATTTTGGTGATATCCAAAATCTGAATCAAGCGGCACTGCTGCTGGTGCTGCCGACGAGCCAGTGACAGCAGAGGTGGGTCGGGTGCGCATATGCTGGTTATAACCGTGCTGATGCTGCTGAGGCATCATCACGCCAAATCCAGACGCTGCCAGCGACGGAAGCATAGCTACGGTGCTCAATCGATTGCGCAAAATGGCAAACGCCGAGCTCTGCGGAAGCATCATCAGCAGCCCATACAACGAGCGCACAAGCATCGGATGCTGCGCGGGATCCAACAACTGCAGTCTAAGGAAGGTAAAAACCGGCGACTCAATGAGCTGTACCAGCTTATCGAGCTGCACCAAAAAGCTGACCGTCAAGTCCTGCGCCAGCTGGCCAAAGGCATTGATCAGCTCGGCGCCAATCTCGTAGTGCTGCGACAAAAGGCAGAGTGTCAAGCAGGCTGCTGGGTTGTGGCTCCACGTGCGGAACAGCGCGACAAAAAGCCCGTGGCTGTGCTGGTTGTCCTCGATGTCCTGCTGAATCCGCTGGATGGCTGAAGAAAGAACGTGTCGGGCGCGCCGATTCTTTTGCGCAGCCTCCATTTGTTGTCTTTGCTGCTGCTGCTGCTGCTGGCTGCGCTGGCTGCGCTGGGTGGGCAGCTGGCGTGATCCCCTGTCGGCTCGCAAGCGCTGCTTGTCTCCATCGCTAGCACTGCTGCGAATCGCACCACGCAGTGCCGGCTGAGCTGATGCTGATGCTGATGCTGAAGCGCTGTTGCTGATGTTGCTGCTGCCGCTGGTGCCCCGTGGTTGCGTGCTGGCAACACCTGACGGAAGGTTGGCGCTCCCAGAACCAGTACCGACTGATGACCGGCCTGGCTTGGCAGCATCCTTGAACGCAGTCGCTGTGGTCGCTGTGGTTGCTGTGGGCGCTGTGGGCGCTGTCGCCGCTGTAATTGCTGGTATCAGGCCGCCAGCAAAGCTCGCGCCACGCCTGCGCACGCCACTCGCACCAGCAACGCTGCTGGACGCAGGGCGGCCCCTCGCTGTGCTAGACGCAGGCGCACTCTGGGTTGGCATTTCGCAGGACATCGGGCGCGAATCCGGGGCGCTCAGCGCGTCGCGCACCGACTGCAGCTTTGGCGCGCGCACATATGCTGCCAAGGTGACGCTGTAGCGGCGCAAAATCAGCCTTAGCTTCTCGGTTTCGGGCGCCGTGACGAGGATCCAGCTGAGATGCTGCACCATGACGCTGATGAATTCCAGATCAATGTGGGACTCTGCCGATTCAATATCGTTGGCAATGGCTTCCGGCGACGCGGGCTCGACAAATTCGTAGTCAGAGTCGCTATAGTCGCTAAGCGAGCAGACGCTGTTTCTCCCGCCGTACTGGTGGCCGTCATTTGGTCTGGCGGCGCCCTCGTCAATGGTGCTGAGCTGCGGCTGGCGGTCGGCGCGGGAAACGCCGGTTACTGCATTGGCCACGGATTCCCCTAATCCTTCGACGTCGCCATTGTCATCGGCGCCGGCACCAATATCCTCGTTCAGTATGCCGTATCCTCTTTCGCTGGTCGCGTCGTCGGCAGCCGCATCAATGGCGGCCGTGGCTGTCGTAGGCATATCATGTTTGTCGAGGGTGGGTGGCTCTTGCAAATCGATGCTGAACCGGGGCAGCACCAGCAAGCGGGCAAACAAGCAGAATACGAGCTGCGGGTCCAGCACCACGCACAACTGCCTAACCATCAGCGCGGCCCTAGTCTCCAGCAGCACGCGGTCCGTGGCAAACATCTGTAGCAGACTGCCAAGGAACCGCGACAAATACGGCATCGAGTGAGGATCCACGTTGTAAGTGGTGCTAGTAATGGGAAGATTCAAAGGCGACAACTGCTGCTCCTGTTGCTGCTGCAGGGAATAGAGCGATATCTGGGCAAACAGCTCAAGATCCAGCTTGACCACCTGCTCGCTGCTGTCGCTGAGCATCTTAAGCAGCACAGGAAAGCTCATATCCTCGGGCGTCAAAATGCGCCACGGCGCCTTACGGTGCAGCAGCAGGAGCCACTGCATGCCGGCAACCTTGGTCGGCTCATGCACGTTCTTTGCAAACAGCTCCATGACTGCCGTAGCAGCCTCGTCATAGTTGAACGGCTCATCGATAACCGACACTGTCTGCGCCTGCCCAGCCCTGGTCGCCATTCCCGGCAGCCCACACTCACAGTCGCTGCTGCTGCTATTGCTGCTGCTGTTGCCGTCGTCGTTATCACTCTCGCCCTCGCTGGCACTGGCCAGAGCGTTTGGCAGCACCTCAGCTGTCTGCACTCCAACAGCGGGCGAGTCGGCCAGAGTGTTGAGCTGCAAAGGCGTGTCTGCAGCGCCATTCCCATGCACTGGCGGTGGCGGTGGCGGCGGCGGCGGCGGCGGCGGCGACTGAGGCCGTGACAGCACAGCTGTTGCTGAATGCACGGCCGTCGGCGTAGGCGGCTGCTGATAGCTCTGCTGATGGTGGTTCTGCTGCTGCTGCTGCTTCGGCAGGCCTGCTGGTGTGCGCAATTGCATGTCAGCGGGCTGCAGCGCCGGCGTCGTGGCCGCAGATGGAGCCGCTGTAGAGGCCTGCAGCAGCGATCCCGCACGAGAGCGCACTGCCAGCAATGGGCCAACGCTGGCTGACACAACCGAGTACGTCGACAGGCTGGGCGATTGCGGCCGCGTCGAGCTGCCGACCGCCGCTGTGGCAGTCGATGTCACGGGCGGCAGAGGCATGGGCCGACCCGCCTGTCGCTTCGGGCCGCTGCCGCTGTCGCTGTCCCATTGGCTGGGCTCCTTCCACAGCGCCTGTGCCTGTGTCTGCGCGTGGGTGCGAATGGTAGCCTGCGCCCGCGCCCGAGCCTGGGTCTGGCGCTGCACGGGATCGGGGCCGTCGCTGACCAGCTCGTACAGCTGCAGATTGACGTCCTCGGCGGTGCGCCTGTGGGCCGCCATCGGGTGCGACACCGATGGCAGTACGGCGTTGACCAGGCGCGGCACAAACTGCACGATGACGCGCGGGCACAGCCACGTGAACTGCAGGATCCACCCCAGCGCCATGCCCTGGATCTCCTGGTCGTTTGACTCGAGGTGCGGAATCAGAATGCCGACGCACCGCGCAAACTCGATGACCACCGCCGCGCCCGCCACCAGCGCGCCGCCAGCGCGCTCGGCGCGGATCTTCTTGCGCCGCGCCGCCATGCGCAGCTCCTCGCCGACGCCGTGCCCGCCCGCCGCCAGCAGCGCCGACGTCATCAGCGGCGCGCCGCCCAGGCTGCTGCCGCTGCGCACGTGCAGCCGGCTGCCGCCACGTGACTGCGGCCGGCTGGCCGCGTGGCTGTGGAAGAACGGCGCCAGCGCAGACGGCGGCTGCGCGGCCCCGCGCGGCCCGGCCGAGCTGCTGCCTGCCGCCGATGGCGCGCGCGACGGACGGCGCGACGCCGTGCGCGGGTGGAAGCCGGCCGGCTGATCGGCGGCAAAGCGGCCCTCGACGTGCACGTCGCTCTGCATGGTGCTGGACCGCACGCGCGCGCGGCTCAGCGGCTGCTCGCCCCACCGCAGCGAGCCGTCGTCGTCGTCGCCGTCGTCGGCGCCGTCGCCGTCGCCCGCCTGGCTGCTGTCGGCGGCGGCGCCCTGCAGCTCGACGCACTCGCGGATCTCGCTCAGCAGCTCGCCCAGGAGGCTCTGCGTGCGGCTGCGCACGTCGTCGCTCGGGTCGCTGAGGAAGCGCAGCAGCCCGTCGAGGAACTCGGGCAGGTGTACAATCAGGTCCAGCCCCGGCACCGAGTCCAGCACGCGCACCCACTCGATCAGGTACAGCCGCGTTGACGGCTTGTACGTGTGCATGCGCTCCGCCAGCAGCGGCATGAACTTGTCCAGCGAGAACGCCAGCCGCGCCCCCCCCTTGCGCTGGGCAGCGTTGCTCGTGCTGCTCAGGCTGCTGCCGGTGCGCGCGTGGCCGCGCCCGAGGCCGAGGCCGTGGCCCACTGCCTTTGCGTCCTCGATGCGGTCGCGAGGCCCGGCCACGCCCGCAGCGCCGTCGAGCGCATCGCCGCCGCCGCCGCCGCCGCCGTCGCTGCACCCGTCCTCGTACCAGTCCACGCACGTGGCCGCCTGCTCTGCGACAATGTCCTTGATCAGCCGATCCAGGTAATCTGCGCCGTCTTTCACGGTCTTGACCGAATCGGCCGTTACGCGCGCCAGCCCATCAAAGATGTCGTTGAACCACCTCAGGATGTGGCCCCTGCTGACCTTGGCCACGTTGTACAGCGACTCGCAGGCAAAGTACCGCACTTTGCTCTCTCCGTCCGACAGCGCTGACACCATCGGCGGCACCATGTGAGGCAGGAACGGCCGGATGTTGATGTGTGTTAAAGCCACTGCCGTTGCCGCCAACGCGACAAGCCCGCCGATGCGCGACGCCTCCTTTTCCGACGTGGCGTAGTCTGTGGATAGCTCAGCGATCAGCGCGTATATCTTCTGCTCGTCGTCCTGGTCCAGCGCATCGAGCACCAGCCGCTCGATCTTCTGCGTGGCCACACGCTGTTTGTCGTACAGTTTGTCTGCCAGCGCCTTGGCCAGCGCTGCGGGAATCACCGAGGGCCTGTCGGGCATTGTTTTTATGCTTTTGTGGAATTTAGGTGTCGAATTAATACAGGCCAAGTCTTTATGAATGCGTAGTTGAAATGGAAGAGTTTAATTGAATTGAACCTCGATAAAGAAGCAGTGCGCAAATCAAACAATTACAAATGTTCAAAGTGTAGTCTGCACATGAATGAAAATTAGATATTATTTTGGAACGGATTAAATAAAAGAGATTAGAAAACACCGAACGCGTACCAAACAACACCGCACCACACCACCCCTTGTGGAAGTGTAGTGCGCAGTGTACACATATACACACATATATACATGCATGCATCCTCACGTATATGTTATGCGCGCTTGAGTCAAATTGCCTGGGATTTGATCAACTAATCACATGCCTTTTGGTCTGCCAACCCCAACCCCGAACAATAACAAGTTTGGGTTGTCGACGCAATAATCACGCCGTTGTTGAAGTTGGGTTGTTGCTGCGTGCTTTTTGATATGCGCACCTTCCACAAAACACAGCCAATGCGTTGATGGAAAATCCAAAAGGAAATATATGAATCGCCAGCGCTTAGCGCCACACAACCAGTTGCTCATTCACTCATATGCATTCGGAATTGTTTGCTTAAGATATGTGCATTATCCAGCGGGTCTGATCCAACATACAATCAACCAATACATTATATAGGTAGGTAGGTAAGTAGGTAGGAACAAGCCACGAGCCGCTCACTCCATAAAACAAAAACACATACACAAACACAATTCTGCGACCCATCCTGGATATACAAATATGAATCAATGGCAAGGTAAATGAAAGAAGCAATGAGGCTTAGCACCATTATGCATCCATTCGAGACAAAACAGAATAATACAATAGAAGACAGGACGAGACGAGACAACAGTGATACAATAAAAACTAGACATTACCGCTGTTGTTGTACATTTGTCTTTTGTACTTGTATCTGTATTCGTAGGTAATCATATTGTATTTTTTATTTCCACTAATATCTTAACTTTTCTATATGACCATTCAGATATTTGCTGATGGTGTTGACACTTAAATTCCGGTTTTTCTTTGCAATTGTTTGCATAAAAACCAAATCAACCTTACAATTCCCAGCGCCATGATATCGTCTTCCGCCATTACTTATATTTTGCTTCATACAGTCCCTCACCATTGCCTTGTGCTATTCTAACCAGTGAATTAAAATACTTTAGTACATTTCCCATTTACTTTATCACCTTTAATAGCCTATTTTGTTACTCTAATGCTGATGATTTTCCATTACATTTCATCGTCGCCTCCATACACACACGCACACCTTCTCTCTGCAATCATTCAAAATTATTATTTTATTATCAACCAAATATCCAACAGCATCTAAAAAACATAAACCCCGGCAGTATGTCTCACCCGATCTTTTTCTCAACTACCACCCACTCACCAAGAGCCCCCCTAACAGCAAGCTTGAGCATAAGCAACCTGTCATCCGCACCAGCAGCGTCCACCCAGCCACTTTCCCTTACACTGACCCGCAGCCAATACGCAACCGAATGCGGCGGCGTTCTCATTGACCCCGGCACAAATGAGGTCTGCCTGCTCTTCTACCCAGACACCTCTGAATGGCGCCTGCCCATGGGCCGGCCCAATACAATGGCCACAGAAAACTGCACAAGCAATTACGCGATATACACGCCACCGGAGCAGTCCGTCGCTGGCTGCGAGCCACTGCCACATGCAGCGCAGAGGCTGATATCAGCTATCACCGGGTACAGGTGCTCTCACCTGCACCCTACCGTCTTGGCACATGCGGCTATCCCTTGTGCCTATATGGGCCCGCAGATGGTTGAGCCACTAACTTTGCAGATTGAGCAGCGCATCCAGGCTATTCATGTTTGCCCATCTATGAGTATGAGCTCTCGCGTGCTGTCGGGTCGTCAGAGTTTTACAGCAATTCCCGGGCGAGTGTCTGGTTCAGCTGCCATTCCAAACTTGGTTGAATCAGCGGCCAGCTCTGATGGATTTCACGGCCGCTGCATTATTTCGCCACTGCCGCCGCAGCCACTGCGTCTGCAGGCGAGCGAATTTACTGAAAATACAACCATTCCGGTGGAAGACACTCCAATGGCCTCCGCCAAAGTAAATTTAGATTCCGGACACTATTTGCGCCAAGGCTCCTGCCAGTACGTCATGTCGTACTACTACATGGCCTGGATAACCCAAAGTCGTTTTGAGCCAAAGCAATCTGCACTGCCCGTGGGCCTCGCGATCGACATGCCCAATGGTAACTTAGATTCAACCAACACAAGTCTGTCGAGCATAGTCCACAACCAGTGCGAGGTTGCATGGTTCAAGATAGACACCGCCGCCCAGATGCTTTCACATAACTCGGACAGAATTGCGCTGCAGGAGGCTATCCACCGGATTTCTCGCTTTGGTGATCCCAAGCTGCCGTTCTCGTACTCAGCTGCCGTAATTCTTGCCAACACTGTGCAGCAACAGCAGCAGCTGCTCCTAGGCCCAAAATCACGCAAAAACAGTACACCAAAGTCTGCCGGCTTCTGCCCTCACTGCAATGCAACTGCAAGAAGTCCGACGACAATGCCTGTTGTGGCGCTGCCTCTAAAATTTCCATTGCCAGCACCAGTGCCAGTGCCAACAAGCTTGATAAAACCAGCTCAACCAGGTATTACCAGTCCGATTGACTCTGAGTCTGTGTCACTTGCATCATCATCTTCATCATTGTTGTCGTCAGCTGAATTATCATTGTCGGAAAATGCCACCAACATAAATAATGCCATTGGAATCCCCACAGCACGCAACATAGATATTATTCGCAGAGCAACATTATCACTGGGCAGGCGCGGCGGCATGCTTGTAAAGGCCGTAAAACGTGGTAAATCGACAATATTGAAGCCTGGCAGCGATACTGAGGTCATTTTATTGCCCGGCGTTGCTGCAACTACACTAACACCTCAGAGCGGCAAATCCAAGGGCAAGTCTAGTGTTCCGCGCTTTTTCTCTATTTTTAACAAATATCTCGGCTCTAGCGCCTGAAAAATATTAAAAATTATATTTGAATATTTAAATGAATAATACAAATCCATATTTAATAGTGGCGACATGTGGCATAAATTCCAGATTTTGCCATTTGTGCAGCACCAACTGCCATTTGTTGTAATTTAGTTTTTTTTCACAAAAAAAGTATTTGACTGGACATTTATTATAAAAAGGGAGTAGTTGTAGCACTCTACTTACTTTTTTCTTTTAAAATTTCTTTTGGACTACTCCTTTTAACGCCATTTTGATTATTTTGCAATAATTTTATTTTTTGTTAAAAATTCTTTTTATAAATAATCCTTTTCAAAATTCTAATGATAATACATTTGCATGACAGACAACTAATAATTCCTTTAAACCTATGTACTTGTACAATGTGCAATTTAAATATAATTGTTTTGTGAGCTGCGGCACACTGCCGCAAGTAAGTATTTAAACTAAACATTTTCCAGTTTTTTTTCTGTTTCCTTTCCAAGATTAAATATATATATTTTTTCTGTTTATTGAATCATCTTATTTATATCTCTTAATTTATATTATTTACAGCCTTTTTTAACCAGTTTTTAAATAAAAACATGTCTGACTACGAAGAAAAAGCCCTTCTCAAGGAGTTCGAAGAGCTTGAAAGCAAACTAAAACTAAAGCTTTCCCAGCCAATCCTGAGGGAAACCAAGTTGACCTATGCAATCCGCTTAGCCCTAATAAAAGGCCACCTTTACCACCAGTGCAAATTTACCGACAAAAACCCCGAGGTGCAAATTTTAAAACAATACATGCGGGAGTACGAGGCCAAAATAAAACATATTGAAAAGGCAAAAAACACATGGCAGAGTGTCGTTGATCTTTACAATATGAAGAGTGCAGAGCTTTGCTATAACTATAAGCGCGGCAAGGTTGAAGATAAGGAAGTGGTTACGGACGCGGAGGATGATTTGACGCGGATGTGGGACTGGCTTGAAAAACATAATACTGACTGGCAAACGGCTAAAACAGAGTATGACGAGGTCAGGGAAAAGCTCAAGACGCTTATTGATGAGTACAGAGATGCATATGAGCTTGCCAGAACAGATTATTTGGAGTGTTATAGTTGATTAAATCACCAATATGTGCACTCTTTTAGCGTGTCATACAAAAAACTCCAAAAGTATATTTATTATTTTCCAATCTTTAAATTTTCATTTGAATAATAATTTCAACATCAAATGTATTTATCAATTTTTTTATCTTTTCTTATTAAAGGAGAAAACTATATATGCAATTACATGGCAGCTATCATTTGTAATTTTCTTATATAAAAAAAGTAAGCTCTAGTTATTCAATTTTGGTGTTCTTAATATATATTACTTTCTCCTTATGAGTGATTGGTTATATGTTGCATTTTAACAAATAAAAAGGAATGATATAAACTATGGAGCAGTAACGCATTAAATAATTTTTAATTTGACTATCCATACACGGGCTCATATTATAAACAGCTGCAACACCTTACTTTCAAATTGGGCTTACTGTTTGCCTTTGCTGATGATTTACTTTTTTCAAGTCTTACTTTTCTCGACTAGTGAGATGAGTATGGTCGAGTATTTTTGTTTTTCTTGCTACAAAAACCTCTTTATAAAAATAATTATTAAGTTTACATCCTATACTAATTGTCAGAATAGATGAATCTAATAAATTATTATTAAATCAAAAATAAGGGAAACATCCTATTGAGCCTTCCATATTGCCATTTTATAGGCAGCTACAATGCCTAAATACTATCCCAGCCGCTACTGCATTAATGCCTGCTTGGCATTGACACAGCTTGCAAAGCTCTTGGCTCAGCTCAGCTTATATGGTGAGAACGGCCTCAAATCTGTTTTCATAATTTTATTTTTATACATTGTAGTTCTTTTCACGATATATTCCTTTTTCAGATTTTCTTTTTAAACTTTTTTCTGCAGTTTTTTTGCTTGATTGGAGCTGTCTTTTCATGTATCACACAAAATATATAAACCGCCGGCTTATGCCTTACGGCTTTAGATTGTTTAATTTAAACTTTATTATTTCTTTATTTTTTAAAACCGAATATTTTCATTTTCATTTTAAAAGTGTATCCTATCACTTCATTTTCTAATTACTCTAACTTTCTCTAACAGCCATAACTTATTTTTCAAGCAACCATAGCCAACTACAATAAGCAAGTCTTACTCAAGAAGCTAAATGAACTTAATATAAAGCTAAAGGCAAAGACAGAACAGCTGCTCTTGAGGGATACAAAAATAATCCATGCAATACGCTCAGCTTTAGTAAAGGGCCACCTCTACTACTAGTGCAAATTTACCAAGGAGAATCCTGAAATGTATATTTTAAAATAGTTCTTGCAAAATCGCAAAGTCATAATAAAGCGCCTCGAAAAAGCAAAAAATATCTAGAAGAGTGTCGTCTATATATACAATATGAAGAGTGCAGAGCTTTGCTATAACTATAAGCGCGGCAAGGTTGAAGATAAGGAAGTAGTTACGGGCGCGAAGGATGATTTTACCCGGATGTGGGACATGTATGACAAGTTTTCTGGCAAGTATAAAAATTCCAGGGATGAGTAGGATGAGCTAAGGGAAAACCTCAAAACGCTTATTGATAAGTGCAGAGATGTGTATCAAAGCGCCAGAACAGAGTATTTGGATTGTTATAGTTAGGTAGTAAACTGGAACTGGCTTTGTAAACTGCATGTATATGCTTGCTTAAAGTTGCTCAACATTTAAATTATTCATTTATAGTTGCCAAAAACACATATCAAAATGTGTGCCTTTCTTTTACGTATTACAAACACAATTAAAAGTACCTTATTTGATATACATACATACATATATTTATTTACATTTGTTGGAATATTAACTTTACTATCAAAACCATTTTTATTCCCATTCTCCAAAAATGTATAGCTATATTAAAAAGGCATTGCTTTGAACAGTGTTTCACTCTCGCGCAGAAGCAGCAACATTTGCGCCAGCATTGCTGTCATTGTGGTGCTGATTGTTACCAACAGTCAATAATGCGGATGGATCAGACTTGCCAACATTTTCCATACCCTGTCCTTTATGTTCGTGGCCATCATTGTCGCCATCAAAAATAACGCCGCCATCCCCAAAGTAGGCGACATCATCTTCTGACCATCGCTCTGGGTTACCCACGCGCGAGTGGCGGTAGCCATAAAAGGCATAGACAACAACACCGATTGCCAGCCAAATCAAAAGCCGATAGAGAGTCGGCCCGTCTGACAAAACAAGAATCACCAGCGCAATGACAGCACCTGGAATTGGGATTAAGAACGGTCCGCCAGGAACTTTGAATCCGCGCTCAGCATCGGGGTGGGTAAAGCGCATGATTATAACGCCAATGTTGACAAGTATAAATGCCAGCAAGGTGCCGACCGAAGTCATGTCAGCCAAAATGTCGACAGGCAGTACGCCACTGAGCACAGCGCAGACCAAACCAGCAATTAGCGTCGGAATAAACGGAGTCTTGAAACGGCGATGCAGACGCCCAAATATCTTGGGGAACATGCCGTCGCGTGCCATAGTGTATAGGATTCGAGGCTGTGCCATCATCCCGATCAAAATGACTGATGTGAGGCCGCAGATAGCGCCAATTTCAATGAGGATGCGCAGCCACTTGGTGTTATCGTGAAACTGAAGTGCGTAAGTCAACGGCGACGCAATGCCCTTGAGTTCAGAGTACGAGATGATGCCGACCATGACTGCTGCCACGCCAATATACAGCACAGTGCAGATCCCCAAGGACGCACAAATTCCCCACGGCAAGTCCTTCTGCGGATCCTTGGCCTCTTGCGCGGCTGTAGACACAGCATCAAATCCAATGTAGGCAAAGAACACGCGTTGAGCGCCCTTAAAAATGCCAATGACGCCGTACGAGTTGCCCTCGCGAGGCGGAACAAACGGATGGTAGTTGTCGGGGTCAACAAACTTGCAAGCGCCAAAAATAAACAGCAGGACAACCAGTATCTTTATACACACGATAACCTTGTTGATCCACGAGGCCTGCTTGATTCCCATTAGCAAAAAGGCAGTGACCATTAGAGACACAAACATTGCAGGAATATTGATATACGACCCGTGATTGACCTTAAATGCAAGCTCCTTGCTGTCCCATATGACTGGTGCCTGGGTTGTAGTTGCTGAGAATTTGACATTGAAGGCGTCGTGAAAGAAGCTCACTATATAGGCGCTCCACCCGACAGCCACAGTGGCTGAGCCGACCAGGTACTCGAGAATAAGGTCCCAGCCGATAATCCAGCTCATGAGCTCGCCCATTGTGGCGTACGTGTACGTGTATGCAGATCCCGAAATGGGCACCATCGAGGCGAGCTCTGCGTACGAAAAAGCAGAAAGGGCAGAAATGACGCCGGCTATTATAAAGCTGACAATAACTGCCGGGCCAGCATTTTCTGCTGCCGCCACGCCGGTCAACACAAATATTCCCGTGCCGATGATGGCACCGATACCCACGGCGATCAGATCGAGGCGAGAAAGCACCCGGTTCATCTGCGTTTTTCTGCCCTCGCTCAGAATCACCTCGAGCGGCTTGCGTGCAACCAAGCGATTCAAGATGCGCCTCCACTTGGACCTGGCGCCACCTTCAGCAGCGTGGTCGTTATTGTTGGTCATGATTAGAAAATAAAGTAAAACGGTTAACAGCGCTAGAGTCGTATGAGAAACAAAGTATGACAAGGATATATGTTGTTAATTATTATAAAAAATGTTTTATTAAATAAACTCGTACGAAAGTAAAAAAGGGTTTAAACGAAAGCAATAGGAGAACCTCATTTTTATATGTTTCAGCAACACGTCGCATTAATCATAGCTTAGCAAAAAATGTTTGCTACGCCGCTTGTTGATTGTCAAAGCAAAACGATTTGAGATTGGCTTGTTTTACATTTTAACTGTTCTGTCAAAAACCCTTTTCGCACAATGAGTGGCCTTGCTACTGAGTTAAACTTATTTATTGCATTGTTTTGATAGCAGCAGCACAAGAAAACACAGGTACAAATCACAGCGTGGAGATGGGGATGGAATAGAAGGATCCAGTTTTGTAAAGAAACAGGACCAAATAAAAAGAAAAAAAGAGGGAGGGAGAGCGCTGGTACGATAAAAATTATTTAATCGTGCCAGAATGTAAAATAAAGGCTGAATAGTAGAGGCTTGAATCTAAAATAAAAAATAAAAAAGGATATCACACAAACGAACACAGCAGCATTCTCACTTGTTCGTCGATTGTGACCCAGGGCAACAATGTGTTAAACAACGCTCACTGTTTTGGACAAAATAAAACGATTGATTTTTGTGGGCGGTTATTAGATAGCTAGCTATAATTGATTTATCTTTTATCTTTTATTTATATTGAAATAGATGGTACAATGAAAAAACAACTAGAATTCCTACAGTCAGCTGTCGTTACCATCAGCCGGTATGTGTTATCTTTTATTTTGGTTAATATTCCTTCATCCGAATGGCGCTTAATGTCCGTAAATTTATACCTACAATTCACAAAAACTGCATTCGATTAGCAGCTATATCAGCTGGATATATCATTGTTTCACGTGTTTGATTGTGTTGCCTTCCAAAGAATAACTCTTGGTTTTTGAAGTCACGTCAAGTATGCTTTATCCCTTTTTTTAAAAATAAGCAGTAACGAGGGAAAAGCTTTTTTGCCATCATCTTCATTGACAACTGCGCACATGTTTTCCCCTCTACTCATCTGACATGCGCAACATCATTGACAGCGTATCTCCTCATTTTAAATGATTTAGCATGTAACCGTTAATTTTTAAATTTTTAGAGTAATCTATAACTCTTGCAAATTAAAAAACAAAGCAAATGCAATAGAAAAATCATAAAATTATCAATAAAAAATAGTTAGAAAATAGTCACGGCTGTATGAACCTTTGCATCACATGCTCAACCTGGCTAATAGCACTCTGTGTAGACTCCTTTAGCTGGTTCAGTTCGTGTTGCTGTGCGTCAATCTTTGTCATTTGGCCTCTGAGTATGTTCATAACATAGTGGCAGGCATTTTCAGGGTTGCTCTCATATGTCGAGTTATCGACAGCAGCAGAAGGATGCGCAGCAACGTGCTCAGATGCAGAGTCAGAGGAAGTAATGGCGGGAGTGGTAATAGAAACCGCGGCGTCATTTAATTGCTGGTGCTGTACAGCCCTGGTTGATGCAGCGGGAGGGTTTGCCATAGTGTGGTGCATTATTGGTGGTGGTGACGGCCGCACAGCGCCAGCAAGTGGTAGAGAGAGTGCTACTTGCTGCTGAGTTTGTTGTTGCTGAAGGTTCTGGTGGTGCTGAATTTGGTGTTGCTGCTGCTGGTATTGCTGCTGAATTTGCGCGTATGATTGTGGCCGTTGGTGTGCTTGCTGCTGCTGAGAATGGTGATGGGGCTGAAGGTGTGGATGCGATAGACGCTGATTGGGACCAAATGCATTGTTCAGTGACCCAAGAGCTGGCGATTGCAGTGGCCGAGTCAGTGCTTGCAGCTGCGGATATGACGTGCGGCGAGTAGGCGATAATCTTCCCGATCCCACAGATATACCCAAGCCATACATCCCATGGGCAACCGGCGCCGTTTGAGGAGGCTCGGCAACCATAGGAAACCGCCCAAGTTGTCCCCCAGATGCGCCGCTGCCAGAGTACATTGGCTGATGAGCAACAGTCAGCGGCCGCACCCCTGCTATGGCGCGCGACTGTGCCTGGGCAATACTGCTGGCAATACTCAAATTTGGCTCAGACATCCGGTGGTATGCAAATGGCGGCCGGCCAACCCTGGTAACAGCGCCGCCAAACGGATGCGCATGCTCACCCTTGGTTCCCAGGTTAAATGATGTGCTGGCGGATGTAGCTGGCAGCGGCGCTGGCGGCGACATTGTGGACGGCGAGGACACATCCATGAACTGCGCGTCTCCCTCAACAATGCTGGCGACCTCTTTAAAAAAATCAAAGGTCCAGCGAGCCGCGCCCTTCTCCTTGTTGTGAATTACAACGTCCTTATAGTCGCTGAGCACTTTGCCCCATCGATCCTAGAGCAATTGAATAAGGTAATAGAAGATAATACCAATGCGAGCGCTTGTCATTAGCAAATGGCAATTCCAATCAAGCAATTAAAACAATGGAATTATCAATTGTGAAATGTGTGCTTGAACGCCACGCCACTCTCCTTCTCCTGATTAGCTTTCTTTTGGACTGGCTTGAAAAAATAGGGGGTAAGGAGGCTTGTAAAATAAAAAAAGAGATGTCGTATGAACAATCAGCGATTAATATGAGCAGCAATAAGCGAGGCTGTCTCATCGGGGGCAAGCAGCTGTGTAAACATAAGGATACTGCGCCTCTGATCTAATAATCCCAAGGCAAGCACAATGCAATTGCAATCCAAGCAAAAATGATACATGTTGATATGTGTCCCAAAAATACGTAAACAGTCAGGAAATAATATAATTGAATGACGTCGCTTTTCTGAATAAACAAAAACCTCATTAAGTGCACAGCTTGCAATATCAATACCAAGGCAAAGCAAAACAATATTGCAAGAGTGCGTATATAGATATGCAGTTTAGTTAATAAGACAGACGGACGGACAGACAGATATGCTAAAGTACAAAATAAGGTATACTCTAGCACAGACACAGAGAGACACACAGACAGTTGGCATTAGGCGCTACCAAACTGCTGAAAAACATAACAGACAAAAAAAGAAAACCTAAGGTATGCTCCCTCTTACCTGTGACGCCTTCTTGGATCTTCCCGGAAACTGGCTCGAGTGCTCCTTGTGAATGCGGTGCCAGACGCTGCTCCGCTCCTGGTTGGTTTTGCAGCTTTTGAGCGAGTCGTAGTGCCGCCCAATAGCGCGCACAAGCGACAGTGTTTCGTCGCGGCTCCAGTTGCGAGCCACCTTGATTGCGTCGCTGGGACTATCGCCGCCCGCACCATTGACATTATAATCATTGTCAAAAGATGCGCCCTGTGTTTTGGTTTCCAGCCCGCCGTGACTAGTCATTGAGCTGCTCATGGCGCTGTCCGAGTGGCCCAGGGCAGCAGGCCTGCCGCCGCCAATACCGCCGATAATGCTACAGCTGAGGGCCTCTTGTGGCGAGCTTGCAGTCGACAGCACTGGCGACTCTGACAAATGACTATCAAGCGACATATTCTGGCTACCGCCAGTGTAAAAATGCCGATGGGCCTGTGGCTGAGAATGCGGTTGGACAATATGTAATGGTGGGAGTGTCGATGACGGTGGCATAACTCGCTGCTGGCTGAACCTGCGCTGGCCACTGCCACCGCCGGTCTTCTGTTGGCTATGGTGATGATTGGGTGGGCTGTGCAAATGCCTCAGCGACGGAATCGACGTAGCGCCACCGCCCAACCCCACCGGGGACGCCGATTGCACTGGCAACCCAGGACCAAATGTAAATTCATTGAGGCTGCGTATGGGAGGCAAAAGCGGACCGCTGGTGCTGGCCGAGGAATTGGGCTCTAGCACTCTGGTCGGTTTGGGCCGAGAGGCAACAATATTATTACTACCAACATCATCATCGTCATTGCGTGGATGCTTGGCTGTCGATTGGGAATTGTCAACAACTGGCAAATCCAGAGACCGCTTCCGATACTCCATATACATTAGAATAATAATATGCTAGTACCTGCACTGTTACTCGCTGTGTAGGTGTTTGGATGGATGGATGGATTCTGTGGATTTGTGGAGTAGTGTGCTGTACGCAAAATGTTTCAAAGATAATTAAAAAAGAGTAACGTAAGAGAGGTGGGAACTTGGTTAAAATAACAGTGACAAGTAGAGTACAAAATGCTGAAAAGGGGTGGAGGGTATAATATAAAAAACAATGATGCGGTTAACTACGAAAACGAAAACGACAGACAACGATAAACAACGATAAATAACGATAGCGTAAGAAAAATAAAAAGGGACACTGATAATGTAAGAAAAGAGGGTTTTTTGTTTATAAAATAATGCAAGAAAGTCTCGGTTATTAACGCAGAAGTAGTATAAATGCGACGCGCAGATAAATAATAAAAATAATAAAGTTTAAAGAGAAAAAAGGTACAAAAATAAAAGGGGGAATAGAAGAGGGGCTTGCCAAGCAATATAAATATAAAACGGAAAATAACGGTATCCAAGTTGGCGTTCCAACAGACCTGTTTTTTAAAAGAAATAATAAGAATAGGAAATAATAAAACAGCCTTACTTGTTACCCTTGTTAATTTTCAAATAAAAAAGATGGGCAAAAATAAAATAAAAAACAATCTGCAGAGCATGAAGGAAAGAAGGATGAAGGGGGTGGTTGGTTGTACAAAAATGGCAGGGCGCAGCTGTAGGCCGGTTTCTTCGATGAGGAGAGAGAAAGAGACAAAAATGGCCAGCATGTTTAGAATCGTCGACATGGAAATAAGAAAGGTGTACACAAAGGTGGTTGCTTACCCGCATTATGTGCACCCCCCTTTCTCTCCGTGCCTTTCCTCTGCTGCTCTGCGTCCCTTTCTGCTGGAAGGATTCTCCAGAGTAGAAATGGCTGAGGAAAAGAGGAGCTTTTTCTGTTTACTCCAAAAAGGGGAATGCGGGAAAGGGGGGGGTTTGCTTTTTTATTTCTCGAGCAGGCACCAACTTAGCAGCAAAAAAGAAATGAGGCTCGTTTTCTTCAAAGTGCTAACGGGTTAACTGGCACATTTTAATAAGAAAATTAATCGTACTCCACACGACAGACAAGGCAAACAATTATACCACACAAAAGCGCACACTTCAATGTGCAGGAACATTGTTCTGTGCATGGATGACCAGCAATAAGGATGGCTAAGGCTTTTTCGGAGAAAAAAATAAAGAAAGGCAAACAAGTGCAGTGCTGTCGGCAAAGCTGGCATAAAGGAAATCAAGACGGTGGGAATAAAAATAAAACGAAAATGAAAGCAGCTTACAGCGTTGCCACATTGGAGAAGAGTCAGAAACACACCCAGACCACACGAAGAAAAGCCAATAATTGGCGTGGCTTTTTTCTTTTTTTTCTTGCTTACCCAAGCACTGGCGAACCTGGCCGAGAACGATCTTTTTCGAAAAGAACATCTTCGACGCAAGTCTGACGCTCCCAGCCAAAAAGTTAAATTGCTTTTTTCTGTTGTTTATAAAATTTTGTCTACTATCCCCAGACCTGTTGTCTTCGTGCATGATGCGCTTGGTTGGAGCGCATAAAAAGTGCGTGATTTTTTGTTATATTTTTCTGTCTACTTGGACATGCAATTTGATTTACATGGACACGAGGACACAAGTCGAGTAGATCGCAAAGTGAGCGGCAAATGGAATGCGCACTTTTTTCTTATTGTCTGCCGACGATGATGCTTTTTTATTTTTGTTGTTTTCTCAAACATAATCACCAAGTGGGGCCAACCCAGTTCGAAAAAGATTGGTTTCTTTTGATTGCTTGTGGTCAATTCGTAGGCACATAGATAAATTATTTTGTTCGTTTTGGGATTTACCAGTCATGGGAGCTCGAAAAAGCAGGTGTGAGAGTAATAAGAAAAAAATTTTTAAGATGCTTGTTTCTTGTTTCAAATCCCCTTTTGCGCGACATGATCAATAGTTCAGTAAAAGCAAGCAATTCGATTTTAAGGTGTTGGAAAATAATCCCCTCATGCAACTGCAGCTCATAAACAACTATGATTGCCCTTGTCATCGACGGTAAGCGCCTCCAGTGTGTTTGTATTGGTTGATGGCAATCAACTAATTAATCAGTCTTGGATATTCCAGCCAAATATACAATTATCAATAAGGCACAAAGTGACCAAACAAAGTAATATACCTTTTTCCAGCGCCATAGCATTTATATATTCAATACACTTTCATACATAGTATTTCATCTCCACATTCACGGAATATCTCTTCCAGAATTCAATAGTTTTGAAAAAGCCACCGTGCATCTAAACACCTCTGGTCCATTTTTTGGGAAATGCGTTATTTTTTGTTTATTCTCATGTTTGGACTGCATTACTATATCATTTCCGGAGAATGCCATTTTGTGAAGCCAGGTGTGCTGGAAATATTTCCGTTTAAAGAAAGGACAAAAAACCCTCATGCTGCTATGGAAAAAAAGTATCCAAAATGTGCGTTGGGATTTATTAGGTAAAAGAAGGATGGGCGCTTCGGACAGAGAGGAAGCCCGTCTCATTAGGTGTAGAAAATCATTTTACCCGATTAGATAGCGGAGATATTAGCAATCAACGTATTGAGAAAAAGGAATATATATCATGACTGCTTTTTTTACCCTATCATTAATTAATTCGGGACAACTGCACTCCAGGTTCAGGCTCTTTGTAATATTGTTTGTTGAGTTTTTGCATATGGTACTTTTGTGATAATTGCTAGAAAATATGAGTCGAATAAAGCTTTATTAAAACAAAAACTAGGGAAACCTTGTATTGAGCCTTCCTATTCTGCTATTTTATAAGGCAGCTATAATGACTGAATTCTATCTCGGGCCGCTACTGCATCAATGCCCGCTCGGGATTGACTTAGTTCTCGAGTCCTCAGCTCAGCCGAGTTTATGTAGTGAGAACCACCACAGCCCCTGGCTGCATTGCATTGCATTTATTTATCTATTTAATGTTTTTTTTGGCTTAGAAGCCAGCTCTACACCAAAGAAAAGAATGAGACTATACGTATCCTGCAAATAGGCATCCTTCCCATCCAGATTGCATAGCAACCCGACAAATCCTTAGAGACCAGTGCCAGTATACTACTATGGCTGCCGATATTAATCATTACGCTGCTTCCTTTCAAGAGAAGAAGCAGGGGAAGGTGGATTCTTGCGCACACGCTTAGGGTTGGCCTTTGGCTTGGACGAAGTGTCAGGCGTCGCTGTAGTTGCACACGGGTTCAGCCGACCCTGACGATGCCTTTTTGCGTGAAACACAGTTTTTGAAAATCCCCCGCTTAAAAATCTGGGATTTCGCTATAAATGTCTGGAAATTCCAAAGTCCATTTACACCAATATAATGCATAATTTCTTGGAACATTATTTGCACATCCAAACAAAAAACTTAAATGCATAGGCGGTTGAGTGGAACAGCACAGCACATCACTAGCACAGCTGCAGCTGAATCTACACCCCACCTTAAAATGCCTATTTATTCCACGGAATATGCAGGCCAACGTCATTACTGAAATGGAACATTATGCACGTGGTAATATAAAAATGTATACAGACATGCCTCGAACAATAGGCTAAAATATTGCCGGAGGTATGCCATTTTTTGTTTCTTTCCTTAATCACAATGCATGCAGGCAGTAATTTAGCAACTAGTGCATGAAAAGATCCGTCCACAGAGTACTATTTCTCAAAGCGCGAGAAGACCGCACAAACATGATATCCCTTGCACCGTTTAAATAGTTCAATTTTCTGTTTGTTTTGTCATCCTTACACATCGAGTATTTAATTATTTAAAATTAGATATGCATTGCTGTGATTTGTGCTTGTATATGTATATGTGTATGTATACTTTGGCAACCAGAAATTGCATTTAAGCAAAAAAATACACAAACTTGGTCAGTCAAGAGAGAGAATAGATTCATTGTGCAAAATATAGAAAGGTAAAAGACAAAATCTAGAGTTAATGATCAAGACTAATCGTCTACTGCGCCGCCTTGCCCACCATGGACTCTATTGCAGCACAAACTTGGTCAGTCACATGTCAAGGATAATTTAGCCATAATGGCAGCGGCGCCCCAAATTGACGTTTAATTGAAAAATGATTTTTGCGCCAATACAAATTGCATTATCTTACAACTGCCTCTTTTTACACTTTCTTTTACAAAGCCACTTTGCATTTTACTGATTTACTTTATATTTTTATTGCAAATGGCAGATTTTAGCACTACAAGTAGCAGCGATTACGAGGATCATGTCAGCTTGCGCGACAATAAAGACGACAATAGGTTTGCAACCAAGAACCCCGCGCTACCAATAAGCGAGCAAAGCGACATTGTTGGCAAACACACGCTGCCAGAGGACGAAAATGACAATGGCACTGTTGCCCTCAAGGGCCCGCTGGTAGCAGATGAGGAGGGCGTCATTCTCAGCAAGCGCGTGCGGCCAGATGACGAAGGCGGCAACGATTCTTCCACCAGCACAACCAAACTAAACAAGCACGATCGAGATGAAAAAGGCGCTGAAGGCGATAGCGGCGCCCAGCTGAGCAACGCTGAGCAAGTGGCTTTGCACTACAACACACGGCGGCAACTGGGAACTGAGGACCGCCTGCGCACAAAGATCACTGGCCTGCGTCTGTTCAACAACTGGGTAAAATCAGTTCTCATTACTGAGCACACCTTTGCCAGATGCAAGGTACTGGATCTGGGCTGTGGCAAGGGCGGCGACCTGCTAAAGTGGTCTATTGCCAATGTTGGCGAGTATGTGGGTATGGATATCGCCGAGGTTTCGGTTGCGCAGGCGCGGGAGAGGTACATGGCTATGAGTTATGCCAAGTTTCCTGCGCGATTCTATGCACAGGACTGCTACGGGGTAAGTTTGTATTATTATTTATTGTTTGGCTGTGTTTGGAATTAGATATGCTTGAGGACTGGGATTTACAGGTCTTTTTTATTATTTATTATTTGCTAACTTGTATTGTTATCATTGTTTTTGTTTATTTGATTTTCGTAGGAGCCGCTTGAAAAAACAATCGAGCCGGCGGATTACAAGGCTGATGTGATTAGCGCCCAATTCTGTCTGCACTATGCATTTGAGACCGAAACCAAGGCACACCAGATGATGAGCAATGTCTCCTCACATCTGGCCAAAGGTGGCACATTTGTTTGCACAATTCCGAACGCCAACTGGCTTGTGTAAGTTTTTTATTTTGACATAACAAATCACACACATGTATGCCTTGAAGTTTTTTAACAACGACAACGCACTAATTTGCCTTTTTGTTATTCATATACCTTGGTTTTGAAACTTAAATGTTGCTCTTTATTAAAATATAAAAGTAGGAAGCAGCTGCGCGCTTCAGAGTCAACATCTTTTGGTAACGACGTCTATACGGTCAAGTTTGCCACAAGTGACCCCCCTACGCTCTATGGCTGCGCCTACAAATTTACCCTCGATGAGGCTGTCGAGGAATGCACTGAATACCTGGTCAACTTGCCCTCATTTATTGAGCTCGCCAAGTCATATGGGCTTGAACTAATGTACGTCCAGCGGTTCCATGAGCTCTTTAACGCTAAAATAGACGACCCCAAGTTTCTCGGGCTGTTTAGGAAAATGCGCGTGATCGATGATATAAGACAGGAAATATCGGATGATGAGTGGGAGGCGGTAAACATTTATATGGCGGTGGCTTTTAGAAAAAAATAAATAAATATTTTTTCGAAAATATTCCTTCTCCATTTTGACAAAGAGTACTCGGCGTGTTTTTGAAACGTTACCTTTAGGTGTTAGTTATGTTTTCTGAAATAAAGCTAAGCTTAAGTGAAGTTTTTGTATGAATTTGAAAAATGTCTATATTGAATAAAAAGATAAAAAAAAGGGCCACTACATACCTGGGATGCCAAATCCACCAAGACCACCAAGACCACTAAGACCACCAAGACCTTCAGGTAGGCCAGGGAAGCCACCAGTAGCAGGGCGCTGTTGAGGTTGAGTCTGAGCCTGGGCGGCAGGGGGTTGGGCCACCTGTTGGGCAGCTGGTCTAGCAACTGGCTGGGCAGCAGTCTGGGGAACTGCCGGTCTTGCAGCAGGCTGGGCAGCGGCCTGGGGAACTGCCGGTCTTGCAGCAGGCTGGGCAGCGGCCTGGGGAACTGCCGGTCTTGCAGCAGGCTGGGCAGCGGCCTGGGGAACTGCCGGTCTTGCAGCAGGCTGGGCAGCGGCCTGGGGAACTGCCGGTCTTGCAGCAGGCTGGGCAGCGGCCTGGGGAACTGCTGGTCTTGCAGCAGGCTGGGCAGCGGCCTGGGGAACTGCTGGTCTTGCAGCAGGCTGGGCAGCGGCTTGGGGAACTGCTGGTCTTGCAGCAGGCTGGGCAGCGGCCTGGGGAACTGCCGGCCTTGCAGCAGGCTGGGCAGCGGGCTGAGCAACTGCTGGTTTTGCAACAGGTTGGGCAGCAGCTTGAGGTGCTTGTTGGGCAACCGGTCTTGCAGCAGGTTGAGCCGCCTGTTGGGGAGCAGGCTGGGCCGCCTGTTGGGGAGCAGGCTGGGCCGCCTGTTGGGGTTTCTCCTCTGAGAAACCCAGGAACTTTGTAAACGGACCAATGATAGGCAGTGGGGTAATGAGACGATCAAGCCAGCTGAAAACACTCTCGCCAAAACCCGGAAGAGCAATTCCATTATCCGGCGTGGGAGCCGACATGCCAACAGCTACGAATGCAATGAGGGCGGTGAAGAATACGAGACTTGAGCGAAAATTCATCGTAATATTAAAGATTTTGCGCGCGCGTTAGAGAGAAAAAATGATTAGATTGTGACTGGGCGTAATGAAGGAGTAGACTGCAGATGAACGAATAAGTTCGATGAAGTTAGTGCGGGTTAGGAAGATAAAGAGAGAATAAAACGTAAAAGGGTGATTTTGTTAAAGAATATGAGGCAGCTTATAAAAAACCAAGGGGATCCTTTCAAGTTTTTTGTTACAAGAGAAATGTAAACAAATAAGATTGCAGGCAGGGAAACGACGGATTGAAGGTGAGGAAAGGTAAAGTGCGGCAATAATAAAATAAGATAAAGGAAAGAAAAGAAAGAGTAGCACAGAATATAAAACAAAGGTTTGTATATAGTCGAGCAATGAAAACAACCAAAAATTTAATATTGCTGAACAGAGGTTCAAAGTTGATTGTGGACATTAAATAGGTATTCCATGTCAACAAAACAACAGTCAATGGTTCTAAATAAAGTGGCACAATTACAATAAAAACAAGCGTTGTAATGAGAATTGAAAAATAGAACCTGGTCAAAATATAGTTTGATATACGATCCCTACTATTTTTGTTTTTTTGCTCTAAACATTACACCCAAAGTACAAAAAAATGATACACAGTCCAGTAACACTTCCAATAAAGGAGTATTTGTCTTGTTCTACAAATCAATTAATTTTTTTTAGCAAATATCGGATTTTCAGCTCATTGTTATCTTCTGCAAGTTAATATAAATGACAAACCAATATTATGATTTCCATATAGTCTGGTGTGGCGCTGCCCTCAAAATATTTCAAATCGCATATCCTATTATTTTGGTGTAAACAAATTGCACGCAAAGCAAATTAAAAATAACACCAACCTTATTGATTTAAGCAGGAGTAGTGGTCCCTCTCCCCAACCATTTGTATTAAACGTAATAAACCAGACTGATTTGTTACATGGTCAATACTCCAGAGTCTATTGCTCATTTGCATTCAAAGTCATAAAAATAAGAGCATTTTTTATAAATATAATTACAAATCTATCAACAATGTTTCTATGCTAAGATGTTGGCACTCCCCATGCTCCCTAACAATAACATGTATTTGGTTTTGTGCAAAGCAAAAAAATCAGTTAAGAAAACATTTTTCAATACATTGTCGGACCGTTTTCAATACAATGTGGATGCACACAGTTGCACAAAACGTTGCTCAATGTATTATTGGCGTTGTTCAAGTCAATGATTTCTGTAAACAAAGCCTCATCCCTATATTGGCAAAAAAATAAACAGGTTAGTGAATTCATTTGACAAGGACGCCAACTATATCTGGATTACAATAGTTGTCACGCCACACCATAGTGTATTGTATTAATTAGTTGTGCATGAATGTTTACACACAACATTGATATATCACTGCAACAATTGACTGGTAAATATTTATAAAAAAAGTTAAGTGTCTATTGAGCCAAAAATTAGATTGGGTGTAAAACATTTTATTAAAACATCAAAAATGACAACCACATTGAAAATTAAACGATGAAATAGCTACTGTGCATACTACTTGGAAGCCTGAATGCCCAACGCTCCAGCAAGGCCGCCAATCAGCGGGAAGCTGGGTAAAATGCGACCAATATATCCTAAAAAGGACTCACCCGCATTGGGAAGTGGAATCGCTGGACCTTCTGCGCGCTTCATAACCGGTGCGCCGAATGCGACAGCAAAGAGCGTAAACATCAGGACGATAAGCAAGGAGAACTTCATTATTGATATTTGTAAGTGTTGGCTGTAAAAAATGTAAAGGTGGATGATAAAGAATGTCGTGTATTAAGGTGCGTTAAAAGGAGGGTAGAGCGGAGTGGGATGCGGAATAAAGAATGGTGAAGGTGAGGAGAAAACAAAACTGGCCGATTTCAAAGTGCTGCTCGAGATAGAGATCTTAAATAAACCAAATAAAAGTTGGTCAATATTTTCAAAAAAAATTATATTTAGTTGCACAGAAAATACGACCTGACATCATTGTCAATTCAGCTACACCACATAGCAAAAGCTTGCTTGTGAGCAGCGAATATGAGGGAGTTAAAGCTATTTGAAAGAAAATTAAAAAATATAACAACATTTCAATTGTTTTGTGTTAACAATCGAAAATAAAATACATATTGTCGATTTCCAATTCAGTTTTATGTCCTAAATCAGACATCAAAAAACTGACCCCTCGCAGAAAAATGGATTAGCATCCCGCGTGTCGAAAAGGCACTGTCATTGTTTAGATGACAACCGGATGCACATAATTCTGGTTATACAGATTACGGAGCTATAATCCAAAGATGTGCTGCTACAAGCCAAAATAGCCACTGCAATTTTTCTCCGAACGATGTGGCTGCAAACAATATTTTTTGCGCAAATTTTTCTTTAATCACTGAAAGCGGCAAAGAGACAGTGTAAATGGTTTTTAGCTGTCAAACCATTGAGGCGCACTCGAATTAACATTTTAATTTAGTTTATCAAGTCAACTTACACGCTAAATTAAATTACAACGAGTTAGACATCTTTTTGTTCATAGTCTCGCACATGTCCTCGACTTCTGGAAAGCACGTTGGTCTGGCGGGGCCAATTCCAAGCGACTGGCCTTTCGAGTCGACAGGCCGCTCGCGATGGCGAGATGAATTGCTGCCGTTTCTGTTGCTGTATTGTGCTATGTGAAATTGGAAAATTAATAATATAACTCGATTGGTGAGGATCGCTAATCAAATATGATTCGATCAATATCTTTAATATGAAGATACTTTTGAGCCATCCGACTTTTCCAACGTTTGTTTACATTTTGCGTTAGGCACCAAATAGTGTCTCTTTTATGTCAAAGGTAAATTTGTACTTTCTTTCAATTTTATAATTTAATAGCTTTACCAAAAATCGAGATAACAAATGAAAAGCACCTGGTTTAGACAACCAGATTGGCAGTAACTGTGCGCTCATAGGGAGTCAGCGCGTTGATGGTGGTGTTGACAGGCGACGGGTCAAGCACCCTAATTAAATCGCGGTTAAAGTAGTCCAGCTCCTCAGCGGCCAGTGTGAACGAGATTGATGTCGCTGTTCCAGCCTTGATCTCGACCTTGTCGAATTTGCGCAGATGGAACAGCTCCAGCTCATAACCAGTGCAGAAGCTCTGGGTGGTGTAGAGCATAATGGGATTGTGTTGATCAAAGGTACCTTGTGTTGTGTATGGTCATGTGCACAGTGATGGGCTTGCCAGGACGCAGCTCAGTCGAGTCGACAGTGAGTTTGGAGTAGACCATCTGGGAGTATCCTAGACCGAAGTTGAAGGGTTATTTCAGGGCATACTCAGCACTCTGGCTCTGCCATATGGTGTCCCTGGCCTGGTACTCATGCCGCAGGTAAGTAAAGGGCAAACAGCCATAGGGGCTGGGCTGGCCATAGAGCACCTGTGCAATGGGCAGACCACCGTGGATGCCAGGCAGATGGCTCATCATAGCAGCAGAGGCAATGTTGGAAACTTCCTTGAGCAGGTGTGGCCGGCCAACAACAAGCAGTGCAACAATTAAATTGTCAACAACAGTGGCAAGGCACTTGAACAGTGCAACCTGGAATGTGTCCAGGGCCAGATCACCAACCATGTCGCTGGTATGCTCGCCCAAGTGTCCATGCTCACCAAGGCCAATTACAATCTTGTTGCTCTTGTGAGCCAGTGTGACAAGAGCCTCAAAGCTGCATTCGTCATCAGCACTTGTGGCAGTATCCATAGTGAAACCAGGGTGGCAGGTAGGTGCATGGCCCAACAGTTGCTGTATGATCTGCATGATTGAGTGACCAAGGCCCTCATAGACGACATCCTGGGTGGCCTCAGCATGAGTCGAGCCACTGCAGTGCACATTCTAGCTACTGGCAAGCAGAGCAGTTGAGTTGAGGTGGGGCCGACAAAAAGGATGTGGTCCTTAGTGGCCAGTGGCAGCATGTGGTGCATGTTCTTCAACAGAGTGACTGACTCATGCATGGCACTGTGTGCAGTTTCAATGTCCTGCATAAAACCAATGCTGCTGGTCAGTGAGGGGTCAGCAAACGGCCTGTTGAAAGGCCCAATATTCTTTTTCATCTGCAGAATGTGAGCAACAGGCTTGGTGATGTGGTCCTCAGGAATGGCGCCCATGCACATGAGCTGTGCAGTAGTGGCAAATAACGACGGCTCAGCAGCAATGTCAATGGACATGCTATTAAATGCCAAGAAGATAGCATCAGTAGTGTTACGTTAAAAATATATATATTGAACAAAATGAACTAAAAGAAAGCTAAGGGATGAACAGCCTCCACTGTTCATATTCATTGGTATTTATGTGTGCGTGTGAATTCCCGCATATCCAAGTAGAGAATTAACTAACGATTGATTCATTAATCAATAGCCGGAGACAAGCCACAATTCCTTGTATCACAGATGGGTTGTTTCCGACAGGAGGCCAATTGTAAACAGGATTAGGACTGGGGCCAGGGCCAGGTCCAGGATTAGGTCCTGGATTGGGTCTGGGACTCAGCGTCAAACCATAACCGGGGTTAGGTCCAGGGCCAGGATTCAAACTGTAGATAGTGTTTGGATTGGGACTAGGACCAGGATTTAAGCTATAAACAGGGTTGTGATTGGGGTCAGGGCAAGGATTCAAATCGTAAACGGGGTTGGGATTGGGATTGGGCGCATGAGCAAGGCCATTCGATCTGTAGCCAGAATTGGAGCCAGAACCAGAGTTTGTCTTTGATTTTGATTTTTTTTGCGACTTCTTTTTCGGGTGTTTGATTTCACCATCACCGTTATCAATGCGATACTCCACAGCACCATTGTCATTGCTGTCGCTACTGCTGCTATCATAGTCGCTGTCGGTTGCATTGCCCTTGTCAATGTTGTCGGCAAAGCGCCTAATGCCCTTGACGCCAACGAATAATCCGCTTGGGTGTAAAGAGTTATCTGTGGTAGTCAGCGATGTGACCTGTGACTGGAGAGGCTGGAATGCGTCGACCTGAGTAATAAAGAGTAGTGTGATTAGCCAGGGTGTCAGGCTGTGGTAGCTGCTGTGGCTTAACGGTTCCGCTTTTGGTCATTGGTATTATAGTTTTATATATTGTGTAATGCGGATGACAATATCAGTAACAAGATATGAGAAATGTTATATAAGTGAATAGTGGAAAAATGAAATTATAACTTCTATTTTGGGGACCAGCTCTGTTGCAGACTTAGGCATGCCACCGACTTGTTATAGTCGTTGTGCTTTCTTTTTTGTTTCCCGTCGGCAGTGCCTTGTCGATCAAAATAAAACCGATGCTAAGCGAAATGGCAAACGGATTGGATTATTGTCTTATTCGAGTATATAATATAAATAGCATGAATACAAGTCAATTAAAACTACATTATATTGAACTAAAATCCAATATTGTATGTTCGTGGCAACATCTAGCTGCAAATATTAGAAATAAAATTAGAGATTCAGTATTCACAAAAACATTATGAAATGAAAAACAGCAACATTAAATAATAAAAATAAAACTTGGATCGGACTTGTCTCCGCCTCTCAATAAAAAACCTCACTCGACATAAAACATCTCGCTAACACCAGCGCAAAACCCTCCCCGCACACAAAAAGATAAATAGCGAATATTAATATTCAAATTTCAGGCTAACCAAGGCATTTGTAGATGCAACGGTAATATTTCCAGCAGCCATATCTCCAAAATATCCGTTCTTTCTTGCAATCGTGTTCCTCTTCATCCTGATCAAATCAGCAGATCCTTCCACATTCACGCGGCCATTGGACGTACGCGCATCGAACCAGCCGCGCAAGCCAACAGCAACCACCGACACAGCACTGTTTATCGACCGAACGACTACATCTTTCATGGCGCTTCCGTCGATCCGCACGTCCACAGAGCCATTGCTGGTGATGACTGAAACAGGGCCCCCTGCGCTACTAATGCTGCCCCTTATGGCGCCATTGGAGCTGCGCACGCTAACCGAGTGCCCCGCCGAAACCGCGCTGAGCGCAACACTGGCATTTGTCGTGTTTAGCGTAATGTGCCCGTCTGTGTAGAGATCTGTAGCACGCAGCACGCCGTTAGTGGTCGATGCCGAGATACTGGCTGCCTGGATGCCGTCAAGCGCTAGCGCGGCATTGCTGGATGTGAAAGTGGCTGGGCCAGTAATTGCTATACGCGTGGCATTGATGCGCCCGTTGGTCGATGAAACATTGACTATACCCTGCGTACCCAAGTTATGCAGCTGCACGGTACCGTCGCGCATAAGCACAAAAAGATCGCCTAAGTTTAGGACGCCAGCATCCAAGGCGCGCAGCGTGCCAGGGCCCGTAGCAATGTTCAGAGACGGAAATAAGGGGCCACTGGCAGGAATACTGATATTAAGGGTCGTCCGGATGCAGTCGCGCGGCCATTCCCACTTTGGCTGCTCTGCATGAACTGCCAACAAACCCTTATCTTTGAACACAAAAATGCGATCGCGCGCATCGCCCCTGTTGGTCTCTACAATAGCACGCACCGTCACGTTGCTGCCCTCCTCGCCGCGCACAATGTGAACGGCCGAGTAAGAGATGCCCTCTACACTCTCAATGCGCAGGGGCGCAGTAACAGGGAAAGAGTAGTGGTGGTCAGTGTGGACCTCCAGAGACCCTGTCTCGCACTGCCACTCGCGCATGGGCGGAAAGGCATGGCGCGAGACAAATAAGACAGCGCCCAGGAATACAAGCACTATGAATATGCCCACAATAAAGCAGATGCAGCTGAAGAGCCAGCCACAGCACCGCAGGCAGCATCCCGGGCGCTGTTGCACCCGGCGGACGAGCAGTTGCCCGTGTTGGTTGCGCTGCCTGCCCTGCGTTACACGCGGGAGCAGCGCTTGCGACTCTTCGCCGTTGGCCAGTTGGATTACTGTGTACCCAGGAAAACTGGCCGGGTGGTAGTACTCGTCGGGGCTGATGGATGCAATCCTGCTGGCTTGTTGTGCTGGCTGTTGGGGCGTAGCCACTGCGTATGGCGGCGGTTGTGAAGTGCGAGCGTTGTCATGATCGCTGCCACTGCTGCTGCCAAAGGAAAAAGCCTCGGCAGACTCTTGTAGTTGCTGCTGCTGCTGTGAACTCTGAGGTGGATCCTGGCGTTGCTGTTGACCCTTTAGATACTGCATAGTGTCTTTAATAAATATTGATGTTAAGAAGTTTAGACAAGTGTTATTGAATTCAAAAAAAAAAAAAAAGTATTCTGGTGGCAGCCAAACAAGAAGAGAAAAAATATGCATACTGCAACGCCAAGCCAGCTTTCCGAATAAAAATATATTGCCGGGTGCCTGTTTGAGCGAGAGAAAAAAATACTACACATGTGACGCCACCTCACTAAATGGCACAAGGAATTGTTACAGTGTGAACGTTTAATTATAATCGCAAAGGCTGATCTGATCAACATCAATTTTGTATGTGCCTGCGCCTATGTAGGCTAGTTGATGTTTTTGTCTTGCTGCTGACTTACAGATTGCAGTATTTGCTGAACTGGCGGCATAATCTTGTGATCCGCCATTTTTTTGTGTTGGCAGTGAGGCACCAGCTCACTTCATGGATTCAATCAGTAGGTTGATTTAACAGTTACCTGGTATAAAAAAAGAGATTGTACTTGGTTCCTGATGCAAAATGTAAACAAACGGCGGAAAAGTCAAATGGCTTGTAAAGTTTCACACCATATTAGAGATTGGTCGAATCATATTATATTAGCCCATTATTAATTGCGATCATCAGCAAAGTGTAAACAAATAAACAAGCTTGCTTTAATGAGCCAATACTCCGTTTTATTTCCCTTCTTTGACAGCATTCCTTCGTTTGTTTTATTATAACAATTCCTCACCAATCGAGTAATATTATTCATTTTCCAATTTCGCATGGTACAATAGAGTAACAGTGGCAGCAGCAATTCACCTCGCCATCGCGAGCGGCCTATCAACTCGAGAGGTCATTCGCTTGGAATTGGTCCCGCCGGACCAGCGCGCTTTCCAGAAGTCGAGGACGTGTGTGAGACTATGAACAAAAAGATCACTTTCTGCCAGAGAACGTATTTGGGTCCATCAGATTTCATGGAGAGACTGTATTACTTATTGATTGCAGATGAACCTTCAACCAATGGCAAGACTGCTAAAGGGGATGATTATGAGCTATGACCAATGCGCTTTCTACATGTGCATTTCATTGTTCAACTACGATGCATACGGCTACAAGGAACCGGACCAGGGTGTTTGCAATGAATACTTACACAGTATGCTACACGTGTGCAAAGAGTTTTATCCCAGGATTTGTCAACAGATCAAGCGACCAGGAGACACCAGTAATGGCAAGTTATGGATGCCATTTAATGCTTTGAATCGTCTTAAAGGGGCCAACGGTAGACTTGATAAAGCTGCGAGGCAGCACTTACTTGACTCGTACGACGATCTTGGGCAAATTTCGTTATTGTTGACTGGTTGTAGTAAAAAACGAATGGAGAAAGATGGTGTTTTGGAGCGGCAGTCGTAGCCGAGTGCGCAGAACACGCGTGAGGTTGATGGCCTTATCTATCTGATCAACGTTTTGGCCACTGCGCAGTTTCCAGGCAACAGCGTTTGCGTCAGCTTGTTTGGGTCGCGCGTCTACGGAATGTATTCGGATAGCGGCGACCTGGTCATTTCGATAATCGCCGAGTTGGATACTACAGACCACGAGGCGTCTTTCAACTGCTTTTTTTGCATCTTTGGCAAATATGGTCGAGAGACACGCCAACTTTTTATCTGCACCCGCGTCCCTATAATCAAGTTCACATACACGATCCCTGGCGGCATCAAACTCAAAGGTGATATTTCACTTAACAACAATATTGGAGTGGCCAAGACTGATATGATCGCGCAGTACATCAGGATGGATCCGCGCGTCCGCCGGGTGCTCTTGGTTCTCAAGAAGTGGGGCGCGAGGCGAGAAATCCCCAATTACAGCGTCATGAACTCGTACGGCCTGATGATGGTGGGCATTACGTTCCTTATAAATCAGGGGGTTGTGCCACCGCTGCAGATGCTGTCGACCACTGAGGTGACTGATGAGACCTGGCGGAACCTTGGCGCAATACACTCGAGTAGCTCCTTGGTCAACTCTCTCTACCAGTGTGGCAGCCCGGGTGTAGCTGAAAACTTAAATTTTCAGACTGCCAATGGTGTCAGATGCCTGGAAACCGACACTATTCTGCCTGACTGCCCTATTGACGGCATGCGCACGTACTTTTACTCAGACATTAAAGCGGCGCAATCGTGGCAGAGCAAGAATACGGACTCGGTGCCGCTGCTGATATACAAGATGTTCCAATACTACGGCTGCAAATTCAACCCGATGGCCAACGTCATATCGCCACGCCTGGGCTCAGCTGAGATCCCAAGGGCGTATTTGCCTCAACTCAAAGCTCCCAGCCCTAATATATATTTATCCCAGCGGCAAAAATGGCGCAAGGACCTGCGTCTCCTAGTCATCGAGGACCCGTTTGAGTTGACTTTGAACTGCGGCCGCAATGCAGGCCCCGAATGGGTCGAGTGTTTTCTCTGGGAGATGTGGTGGGCAGCATGGATAATGCTGCCTAAGAAGAAAGGTAACACGCACAGCAGCATTACACATATGATGCTGCCTCCACCTTTAATGGTATGCTCAACAGCTGAGGTGTGGGTACCTGTGCTCTGTATACTGAAGAATCAGGTTTGTGCTGGGCTTGATAATGAAAATTTGTATTTATTGGATAATCCTGAGCCAGAAACGCTTATTAACATGGAAGTCACGGATATTAAAAAGGTAGCGACTGGCCGATCGCTAATTACTGCCTAGTTTTGCTGAACAAAATTTCAAATATACTAGAATAATTAATTGATCGTTTAATTTGCTGTGTGTGCTGTATCCTTGGTTGTCAATTGTGAATTGTCTGATATTTAGATCATTCGTTGAGCAAACAAGTCATATGCGACGTAATTCCGTAACTGTTATCGGAATCAGAATCGTGTAATGCAATGTCAAATGAGCATATTGGTCCACAACACATCACCTAAAGCAAAAGTTAAAACCTTGAACAGGCTCAATCCTTGATTGATCCTTTCCCAAACCGATTAGCTCACTATCTTATTTCAGATTACTGCACAATGCAAAAAAGTCAATTCCTGAAACGGGGGGGTTTTAAATGAAGCCTTTTGCTCTCTTTTGTTCTCTTGCAATTCTTTGCATTTTAGTTACCTTTAATTTATATTATTTTTTCCACTTGTATTGCACAATCAATTACTTACAAATTCAAAATGAAAAATCGCTATAAGCACTCAGCGCGCAACCAGGCGAAACCTATCGATTCAAAAGGTCATTTGCGCGGATTTGGACCTGCCGGACTAACGCGCTTTCCCGAAATTGAGGACGTGTGCGAGGCTATGGAGGGCAAAAGAGCATACTGTCAACAAACTTTTGCTACGACCGTGCGATTTGCGCAGTTAGTAGACGCTACCCTCGGAAAAATGGGCATGGCATACAAATTGGGCAACGCGAGCACAGGGAAGGCCATGGATTACCAAACCTGTGCGCACATTATTTACGGCGCCATGCTCAAGAAACGTGGGGGCCTAGAGCCAAATTTGGGCAAAATTTCGGAATTAGAAGCCATAACAGCCTTTATGTTTGATATGGTAAACAGGTTCAAAGTGTATTATCCTGACACTATAACGGTTACCAGTTTATCAGGGCACCTGGACGGACACCTTTTGTACATGGCATCTGGCTCGTACAACACAATTAAACGCTTAACTTTAAAGCATGTCACTGACAACGGACCGCGCCTACTCGATCCATTGAGCGACATTGCGCAAACCCCCTTGCTATTGACCAATGCCGAGCTCCAGCGAGTAGAGAAGGACATTGATGAGTTGGAGAAACAGTCGCAGCCCAGCGCACAGAATACGCGCGAGGTCGAGAATGTTATAAACATCATCAACAACCTGGCTATTAAAAAATTCCCAACAAATAGGGTGCGCGTCAGCCTGTTTGGATCGCGCGTCTATGGTATGTGCTCCAATAACAGTGACCTGGATATTTCGGTGACAGCCGAGCTGGACACTACAGACTACGATACCGCTTTGGCCCGCTTTCTTAGCCAAGTCGCAATAATGATCGAGTATGTCCGTGGCTTCTCTCGTGTCGTAAAGATCACGCGTACACGTGTGCCCATTATCAAATTCACGTACATGACTCCCAGCGGTACCAGGCTTAACGGCGACATCTCGATCAACAACAATATTGGAGTGGCCAAGACTGATATGATCGCGCAGTACATCAGGATGGATCCGCGCGTCCGCCGGGTGCTCTTGGTTCTCAAGAAGTGGGGCGCGAGGCGAGAAATCCCCAATTACAACGTCATGAACTCGTACGGCCTGATGATGATGGGCATTACGTTCCTTATAAATCAGGGGGTTGTGCCACCGCTGCAGATGCTGTCGACCACTGAGGTGACTGATGAGACCTGGCGGAACCTTGGCGCAATACACTCGAGTAGCTCCTTGGTCAACTCTCTCTACCAGTGTGGCAGCCCGGGTGTAGCTGAAAACTTGAATTTTCAGACTGCCAATGGTGTCAGATGCCTGGAAACCGACACTATTCTGCCTGACTGCCCTATTGACGGCATGCGCACGTACTTTTACTCAGACATTAAAGCGGCGCAATCGTGGCAGAGCAAGAATACGGACTCGGTGCCGCTGCTGATATACAAGATGTTCCAATACTACGGCTGCAAATTCAACCCGATGGCCAACGTCATATCGCCACGCCTGGGCTCAGCTGAGATCCCAAGGGCGTATTTGCCTCAACTCAAAGCTCCCAGCCCTAATATATATTTATCCCAGCGGCAAAAATGGCGCAAGGACCTGCGTCTCCTAGTCATCGAGGACCCGTTTGAGTTGACTTTGAACTGCGGCCGCAATGCAGGCCCCGAATGGGTCGAGTGTTTTCTCTGGGAGATGCGGCGGGCGGCTTGGGCGATGCTTCCTAAGGAGAAAGCTAAACATTATGGCAGCATTAGGCGGATGATGCTGCCTCCTTCAAGGGATATTTACGAGACGGCTGAGATGTGGGCGTTGACTTTCCGCATTCTGAAGGACGAGTTACACATTTACCTTAAGGCACGTAATGCAAAGGCGATCAAAGAGTTGTATGGGGATCCAGTAATCGACTTGGAGGTTATGGAGAACGCGCAGATGGATGCCGATAGTGCGCCAGCGAATAGATGTGCCACACTTAATAGGTATTGGTTTGCAATGTAAATGAGCTTGTTACATACTTGTAAGCAATTTGCTACTTGCACCTGCCTTAATGTGCTCAATTGCATTTTTTTTGGGATGGAAAATGGCGAGAACATAAAACAATGAATAAATTTTTTTGTCCAACACCAATTCCAGGTTACGACATTAAATGGTTTAATGTCGCGAAAATGAAAACCTGCATCATCGCGGGTCAAACAATGATTCCCTAGACAATGAATTGTCTTGCTCAACATATCAGGGCATCTTGTCAAATTCATTTCTGCAAAAGATATTATGTATTTTGGAAAGAGAAAATAACATAAAAAAGAGAAAAACGCTGGTTCAATTTAACACGACATGTGCTCTGCTGTTTTTTGCAAATATCTAGCAGCACCAGGATACAACTTGAGCAAAGCATCGACATCCTCAGCGCTGGACAAAGTCAAAGGACGATTGATATTGTTGCTAGTGTTGCTGCGCTGTTGACCGACAATTATATTTGACTGACGCTGATTCATAACCTCACGCATGCGCTGCGGATACAGGTCGCAGTCGTCGGTGTAAACGGGAGAGCGCTCGAGAAGGTTCTGAATTTGTCCGGACGAAGATGCACGAGCGTGGCAAGTTGAGTCTATTGCAATTGATGGCATATTTGTAAATATTAATAAAATAGGGATAGAAGTGGAAAACGGAAAATGGATAAAAGTCGAACGGATGACAAAAGGACAGAATTTCAGAACAGGAAAAAAGTGCCTATATATAAATATCAAACATTTGCTGTTAGCAAAGGCAAAAGAGGGTTGCTGGAAGGAGAAAATAATAAGGGTGATACAGAAACTATAGGTCATTCGCTTGTTTAGTTATTCCGAGTTCAGTAGTGAATATTCCTAACCAGCTGACCCACCACATCTCACCCTCCTCTCTCCCTATTTTATTAATGCGCACAGCTCTTCTGAGAGCCTTTGTGAAAAAAGAATACATTGGTGGCCAATAGACTCGAATTGGAGAAATTATGCAATGCACTCAGCCATGCATATATGACTAGAATAATGGACGCCCAAAGTAGCCCGGCTCTATGAAGAAGAAAAACACTTGATGCATTCCACACAAACCAAGTGGAGCCCCACCCCAATCCAAGCCTTTCTATTTTAAAAATTGCGTACTTTTCTAAGTGTATTTAAAATATGCCCAAAATAGTAGTAGTCATGGCTTTTTCTTTTTCGGATTGCATTTTTCATTATTTTGTCTGGTGATGCTTTCGTCACTGCCAAATATGTCGATTGTGTTGCAGGAAAGAAATCATTATTAATTGGGTGAAAGATATAATTTCTTTTTACAAAAGAGAGGGCGGGGAGGGATGGCACATGTCGGTCGACGTCATAGATTTAAAAAGTACACATTTTTTGTCTTCTCCGCATTGTCTTGCTAAAAAGCATATTCATTATTGTTGCGCTGTTGTAATTGCCGATAGGAAATATAATCCACAAAATGTTTTTAAGCTAATGTATTTTTTGCCATTTCCCCTTCTCCGCGCAACGGCCGTATGGACACGGCCCGCATAAGCCACTTTTATTTTCCTTTTATCTCCCTTATCTTCGAAATGTTTCTAACCAAAACATATATGTAATTTTTGGTTAGCCAATTGGTGTTGAAGCTATTTTCACTTTGTTTTTAATGAGATGTGCCACGAGTCATTGCCACATGCCATGTAAAACATTTTATTATATTATCCCCAATTAATATTACTCGAGCAGAGTGGAAATTTTGGAAAAATGTTAGGCAAATAATACTGAAATGTATTTATTTTGCATTCTGCAAAAAGAAAAACCACACTCCTAATTTATTGGCCAAAATTCTTCAAATTCGTTTTCATTTTATTTTATTTGGCCAAATAAACGCCCACTTTTATTCATTTTATTGACTTTTTGCTCACAAAAAAATTAATTGGCTAAAAGAGGTGTTCAATAATGGCGCACAAATGGAATATTTTTGCCATTCTACTGTGCGCACTTGCTGTGAACGGTCAGACATCAGCAAAAACAAGCGGCCCTCGTAACTTGATATTTATGATTTCAGACGGCTTTGGTGTGGCATCCGAAGCGCTCGCGCGTTCATACACCCAGCAAACCACTGGCTACCCTTCAAACTGGGGCAGCGCGCTAGACAGCATTCTCGTCGGACTAACGCGCACTCGTTCAAACGACACTCTTGTGACAGACTCAGCAGCAGGAGCCACGGCATTTTCCTGCGCACAGAAGAGCTTCAACGGCGGTATCGGCATAAGTGCAGATGGAAGGCCCTGCGGAACCGTGCTGGAAGCCGCCAAGCGCAAAGGGTACGTTACTGGGCTAGTAACCACGGCGAGGATCAGCCACGCAACGCCCGCGGCATTCGCTGCTCATGCAGCTGATCGCAACATGGAGGACTTGATTGCCCAGCAGATGGTCGGCATTGGATTAAACTCTTCTGCAAACGGCAGAGGCAGCGTGGACTTGATGTTTGGCGGTGGGCAGTGTTATTTTTTGCCCAAGAGTAACAAAGCCGGATGCCGGTCAGATGATGTCGACCTATGGCAGACAGCGCAATCCCAGGGGTTCACGACCTTGAATAACCGGCAGCAGTTTGATAGCCTCGCTTTCGATGCGCCGCTGCCCGTATTGGCGCTGTTTGCGCCGAGCCATATGGCCTATGAAATAGATCGTAATCCGGCGGAGCAGCCATCGCTCAGCGAAATGACAGCCAAGGCGCTTTCCCTCCTGCGCTCGGCATCAGCCAATGTGCCAGCAGACCATCCAGGGTTTATGGTGATGATTGAAGGTGCGCGCATCGACATGGCCGGCCACGACAACGATCCAGCAACGCATCTCCATGACATTTTAGAGTACTGGAAGACTATAAACGTCGTGCGCAACTTTATCTCCCTCAACCCGTCCACGCTCCTGGTCAGCACCTCCGACCATGAAACTGGCGGTTTGACATTGGGCATTGAGCCTGAGTACGCATGGTACCCGTCGGTGCTCAAACCAGTTCAGCGCTCAGCAGAGGTAATTTGCAAGGAGCTGCACCGCATGACAAGCAGAGCCCAGTTAGACCGGCATATTGCAGGGGTGGTTATGCCGCAGTACCTGGGCATCACCGATGGCTCGGCTGCTGAAGTTTCAACTGTCTCAGAGGCCATTCAAAGCGGATTCAAGGCGTGTAAGCGGGCGGTCGGCCATGTAGTCTCGGCCCGTGCGCGCATTGGGTGGACCACAAGCGGACATACAGGTGCTGATGTTGGGCTTTACGCATATGGCAACGGCAGCGAGGCAATGAGGGGGAGCATGGATAATACGCAGGTCGGAGGATTTCTGGCCTCGTACTTGGGCGTTGACCTGGACAGTGCCACGAAGGAATTGACAAATCTGTCTACATTTCAAAAGGACTTTGAAAAGAAGCGACGGCATAAGCATGAGCACCCGTGAAAACGGCAACCCGGTGCAAGTCATTTTTATAATTTTTATTGTTGGCCTATTATTTCAATAATAAAGGTAGACCAACTAGAAGGGTTCTAAAAAAGGGTTTTTGATGTATAATGATTATGACTTTTGCAGGTTTATTTACTTGCAGTAATAGGTTTATAAATAATAGTAAACAGAGAAAAATAATTTAATCAAAAAAGACTTGCCATGCTTAATTCGCTGGGTTTTGTTTGCCTTTACACTGAAATACAATGAGTTTCCTCCACCTGCTTGCTGGACTGCAGCTGTCTGCCAGCATTGGACACGGATGCTAGCGAGCTCGACGATGCTAAAAATATAGGCCTAACAGGCAACACCCCATTATCCAACTCTCTTTTAGAGTAGTTGCCTTTGCTATTACGTGCCTTTTTGTACACAATAAACTTCCCAAGCGATGCCAGCTTGTGCGCAATACCGCGGCAAATATTAGCCAGATACAGCGTGCTTCCAGCAGATACAGGCGCACAGGACTCGGAGCGTGGCCTTACATAAATACAGTCCCAGCACTGGATATCATAGTCCTGAAACGATTTTTTGCTGTTGAGAATTTTAAAAGACTTTTTGTGCGCGGAGCGAGGATTTTGGAATGCCATCTCCCAGTCACTAAAGGGGATTTCGACTTCAGCGATTCTCTCGCGGAGATGCGAGATGGTACAGTTGGGCGGCAGTTCGTGGACGAAAAACGATTTCAGCATGTCACTGCGTTGTTCACATTTGACCAAAATGTTAGTTTCAAAGGGGTTTCCATGTGTAGTTTGTGGCATGATATGTTAAATAAAATATATATGTATTTAGATGAATATGTGAACAATAGAGATGTAGGAGAATGGCCGTTATAATTAAATATTTGAAAAGAAGAAAAATGAATAATTTATTTCACACCAAAAAAATTGCTTCGTGCCACACACATTTATGCTGCAAGTTTTTTTCTTTCCAGCTGGCACTTTCAAAGCATAATGGTTGATTTTCTTTAAAAAAGATTTTGTCTTTGTTTCTTTCAAATAGCTCAATTTTATTTTTTTATATGAAAAAGACAATATAAAACTTCCAATGCTTTGACATAAAGACCTCGCGGCACATGACGGGAGGATTTTATTTATTTATTTTTCTCTTACTTTATTTGTTGCTATTATGTGCACATACATTGCCGTCTGGCATTTTATTTATGTCAAAAGAAAAAAATAGACTAGTTTTTGGTACTAATCCATTCAAAGTATGCATTGAAAAAATAATCACTTTAGTCACGGAATATCTGAAACATCGAGCCTTTATCTTCGGATGACGTTCTCGAGCCACTGTCGCGCCCAGAAGGCCGCTCCACAGATGCCGGCACATGCGGCATGTACTGCGCACCCAGCTGCATCTGCAGCTCATTCATCTGGCTATCCAAGTCAGAAAACTCTCCTATGTTTTCAGTACACGGCTCATCGCCATCATCCTCGTCTTCATCCTCATCGTCCTCGTCGTCTTCCTCTTCCTCAGCATAGTCACAAGCAACATCGTGCTCCGCATTGTTGCTGTTCCCAGCCATCTCGCTGGGAAATCTCGGTGTAATTCTGCCCAAATCCCTGGCTGCCATCGACAGCCTCTTCCGCATGGGCGTCTGTGAAACCTCGCTCCTGCGCTCCTCATCGCCAGAGTCAAACTGGTCATTGGGCATGGACGATGTAGGCCACCCGATGGTCGACACGCCGGTGAACCCAGACACGGCCGAAAACTCAGCACCGCTGATAGAGTATCCTGTCGCCGTGCGCGTATATCCGGGTGTATGCTGCGAGTACCGCATGGCCGCTGAAGCCGAGTGTGGAATTGAATGTGTGGCTCCACGAGTACCAGGTGCCCGAGCGCTGCGAATCGGAGTAGAATAGAGCGGTCCCAGGCGGTCAGTAGATCCCGCAACAGCATCATCAAATGTCTGACTGGGCATATCCGCAGGGGCCGAATGCACGCCACGGCTGTCGTCAAAAAACCGCCCAAGGGATATGACGGACGGCGACTCGGGCCTAGTGTTGCTGTTTATGCCATTGCCAATAGATTCAGGATCGCGGAATATTTGAATCCTCTTCTTGTTAGCCGGCGTCCTGGCCTCAGCATCGGCCACTGCCTCCTCATCAGACTCGTCGAGATGGCCCATACGCTGCATCATCGGCTGAAGCAATATTGACTGTTTTCCCCTCGAGGCCAACGGCGTCGAATATCCGCGCGAGGCTAGCGGTGTCGGATGCAAGCGAGCAGCCAGTGGAGTCGGCCGCGCCCTCGTCATCTGCAGCTCCTGGCGGCGAGCAGCCCTTATAGAGTTGAGCACAACAGTCGGCGCATCATTCTCATCCACGTCTGGTCGACCCAGGCCTGATGCAAAGCGAAAAGATCTCGCAGATGTCGGAATCACAGGCAACTGCCGGCCGATGCTCTCGGGCACAACATGCGGGGTCACCGGACCCATGGTGAACTGATAATCGTCGTCAGTGATCGCAGCGGATCGCTTGCTGCCGCCGGCCAAGGGGGTCTTGCACGGCGTGTTCACATCACGAAGACTCTCAGAGTCTGAGTCTGAGTCCAGGTCATCATTCCATATCCCGAGCATCTCCTTTTGTGCTACCTTTGTGTTTATCGTAGGCGAGCTCACGCCCAAGCTCTTGCGCTTACTGCGTCTGATTCCGCTATCCACGGTGTTCTCTAGGATTGGCGCCGGCTCTGGCCTCTCGTGCTGCAGCTGCCATTGGTGGTAATCAAAGGCATAGCGCGGGAGCCTGGAGCGCGCCTCCTCGACGCACTGCGGCACGCCGTCGCCCGATGGAAACAAGATGCCATCGCTCATGACCATCCGCTCCAAAGGCTTGCTCTTGCCCGGCGGCCGGCTCGCCACCGAGCTGGTCTCTACAGTCGCGGCGATCGCAGTCGAAGCGTCAAACGAGTTCAATAACCCAGAGGAGCTGGTCAACGCCTTGCCATCGACCTGGCGCTGTCCTAGGACCCCAGAGATATTCGAACTCGGATTCAAAGTCGAAATAGACGCAGCAACAGCAGCAGCTGGGGTTTCACCGTGAGCATCACTGTCGCCATCGCCAACTTTGGGTTCATCGCTGAAAACTGTAAACTTTTCAACAACTGGCCTTCCCGCAGCTGCAGGTGTACGCCGCTGCTCTAGCGTTTGGCCGCGCCAGCTACTGGCTTCCAGCATATTCTCCTTGCGCCGACCCTCGTCAGACCCAATATCCAGCCAAGGCGTGGCTACAAGGGCTCCTCTCTCACCGCGCCTCTGACCCACAGCAGCGGAAGCAGGAGCGGAAGGAGGAGCGGAAGCAGTTGTGGGTTCATCTGTGTCTGCAAATACACTGATGCGTGCATTGGGCCGTGACACGATAGAGGAACCTGCCGCGGCTGAGTTTCCAGACAGTCCGCGCTGCGACGGCGGCAGAGTATTTGCAGCGGCTGAATTCACTGATCTCCCGGATCGTTTGGCACCAAGCATGGTTCTTCCAAATGTATCTTGGTTCTCATCCCGCGTCGTTGTCCGATGACTGCCACCCATCTGTTCAGCAACCTGACCACCGCCACCACCACCATTAGAAACAGGGCCATTAGCAGCAGCAGCCATATCTACGGCCCTGATAGTCCGTGCCATAACGCGCCTCTGAAAATCCACATACTTGCGCTCTAGACGGGCTAGCGGTTGAGCCTTCCTCGCCACGCCCAACTGATAAACCTCATCTGCCTTTCTTGTCTTCTCTCGGCCCTCCAAAAGCTTAGCATACTCCTCGTAGAGCACGGCCAGCGAATCGCCAATATTATTAGACAACAGAAATTGGAAAACAGCCTCTTGCCCTTCGTTAATCAAGCCCGTATACCAGATCCACATTTTAACATAGCGAGCGTCGTTGCGGTACCTCTCGTCGTCACGAAACAGTCGCAGGGGCTTTTCCACCAACTTGATGACCTCCTGATGCCCAGTAGCCTGCGGGAACACTTCAAACAGCCACTGGATATAGCGAAAATAAACATCCAGCGGATCATCTGTCTCTGCTGGATCCATCATAGCAATCTCATTCTGAAACTGGGAGTTCTGGGCTTGCAAGTGATTCGACATCCGAATATCCCTCGATGTTGTAGTTGGATTGTCGTCCATTGATTTCGCCGATAAGGGTCGTGTTGGCTGTAGGCTCTGGCGGGCTATGCTCGATAAGGAATCTGGATTGTTACTGGTGCTGGTGGTGGTGGATGGTTTGGTCGATAATGCGGGGACTCCTCCGCCGTAGAGAAGAGCTAAGGCGCTGGCTGAGCGACCACGTGGGAGCGGTTGAATGTTTTCTTTCTGGTGTTCGAAGGACGAAAAGTCTATTATCCTGCCCGCTGGCTCGTCTGTAGATGATATGCGGGGATCGTCCTCGCCGTGTAATGGTATTTCAAAGTCAGTTGCTCCTGTGGCAGACATAAATATAAGAAAAATGAAATTGAGAGTAAAAAATGAATAAAGTAAAAATAAAGGTTGAATTTGACGGAAATAAATGAAATAAAATGCCAAAATTAATAGTACAGACTGCGGGAGAAAAGTGGTGATAAGTAGAATGGAAAATATAAATATGAAAAAAGGGGGTCAAAATCGAGAGTTTAGCTGCTCCAAATTTTATTGTAAATTTAAACGTAAACAAAAAATTCGATTGTTCGTGCAGTGATTATGTGATCACCAGAATGTAGCGAATAGTAATCAAGCGACTGATAAAAGTATGACGCAGCACAGTGTAAAAAATAAATAGTATTTGGCTGCAATCACCTGATTTTCATGCCAAACGAAAAAATAAAAGTAGAAACGAGATCAATCTAGGCACAAATATAAAGAAAAAGCATTTATTTTATTTTGCATTTTTCACAAGTAAACAAATTTCAAATACACTTTATTATTTTTTTTATTTAATGGCGAAAAAGACGAGGAGCAAAAAGACAAAGGTCGTGCGCGATCCAAGCGCGTACGCGACAACCAGCATTCCGTCAAGAGCAAGTCGCGCAGATCCGGAGCCAGAAGCAGTAATAGGACCCGCAGAAGCAGAAGCAGAAACAGAAACAGAAGCAGAAGCAGAAGCAGGACCCACAGTCACCAGCCCTTATGCCACCGACACTACTGATCTCACAGACGACATCGCCCCCTGGGTATCTCTCGATCACGCGCAGCACCAAGCAGCCGCGCGTCTGCATTACGAGCAAACTCTCAAAGCACGACAGCCGCCAAACCCGCCCACAGTGGTACTGAGCCAACGCAGCGAGCAACTTGTCCTGGACCACCTACGCACCGGTCACCTCCATATGCCGGCTCCCGAGCGGGACCCACCATCGTTGGGCGTAAAAGAGTGGACCCAGTCAGTCAATATAGTTATGGAGACACTCAAACTGTATGGGTTTGCGGATCAGGATGTGCGCGTAGCGCTAAGGGAGGTGATTAAAAGCAAGGGCGATGTGTTGGAAGTGGTTAGGGGCAATGGCGATGTGTTGGAAACACTAGAATGGCTGTGCATCCATGTGCCGGCGGATCGGCTGCCCAAGAGTATGCGTGATAAGGCAGAGCTCGGCCATTACAAGGGCAACCCAGAGTACGAGAGCCAGCCCGTGGAAAAAGAAGAAAAAGAGGCTGATCTGATTTCAGCTCCGATTCCAGCTTCGCTTCCTGTTATGATTCCAGAGCCAGTTCCAGAACCAGTATCTCGTGGGCGCATTGATATAGCTTCAGAAGCCGATGACCCATCCGACGACATGCTCTCGCGTCTGCTAATAAAGCTCGGGCTGGACGCATACGGCTCGTCTGCCGAAGCCGACAGCGACGACGACGACGATCCAGCGATCCCACATGCCAGGCGCTCGATCCGCATGCGCGCGCTTCAGGAATGGATCGACTATCTGCAGGTCAACAACCATGGCGACCGGTACCGGCACAAGCTACGGGCGCTCAGCGGGCTTCTGGCCAAGGAGCGGGTGGCTGTGCGTGAAATCGAGGACGACCTGGTGTTTGACCCGCCACAGGCGCAGAGGGAGTACGAGCGCCAGTGGCCAGAATACTACGACACTCTGCTTGATGACATTCGTTGGTTCCGCGAATCCGAAGAGGCCAAGCTGATTAAGGGGGACGAGGCTGCAAAGCCTGTGGAGCCTGTGGAGAAGCAGTGCCAGGTTGATCGGCGGGCGAAGAAGGACCAGAGGTCAAATCAGAAGGCTGTGGACGTGTTTGCCTTGGACGCTGACACGGACGACGACGCGGGCGGCTGCGTGTTTGGGGTGGGCTTCGGCACCGACGACGACGAGCAGCCGCTCGACAACGCCGAGCCCGAAAAAGAGACTGAAGCCGAACAAACCGCACAAGTCATCGACACTTCCTCGGGCACCGGGTGGACAGGCGCGGCAATCAAGGATCTTCTCAGCGAAGCCGTGCGGCATGAGGACCCACAAGCGCAGATCAAATATGCACCGGCATCGGCGTCAGGCAATGGCTACACGTGCACGCTGACAATCGACTGGTCCTCGGCCAGCCGCGCCACGCAGCAGCTCAAGGCCTTACGCCGCAGCACCCCCCAGCACTTGCAGCAGCAGCCAATGCGTCTACACGGTGCCACGCAGCACTTGTGGCCGCTGCCCTCGCAGCTCCAGGGCAGAACACGGCGCGACGCCGAGAACCTCGTCAGCCTCGTGTGGCTGTACTCGCAGGCGGCGCTGCACCTGGCGCCGCGCCTGCCGCCGCCGCTCGCCCGCCTGTGGCGCCAGTGGGAGGCCCAGGCTGAGGACGCGCGCCGTGCCGCTAGCGCACAGCAGCGCGCCGCGCGCATCGCTCTTTTGCGCTCACTGCGCGCGCTGCAAGACGAAGCTGCCGAGTCGGGCCGCACAGAGCCAGCGCCCGGCCGCACAGAGCCAGCGCCGAGCCTCGGCATCAACAGCAGCAGAAGCAGAAGCGGCGGCGTTGGTGGTGGCAGCCGGCAGCAGGCGCGCAATCTGCGGGCGCGCAAGTGGTCGGCATCGACTATCGCGCAGCGGCTCAGCAGCGATGCCAAGTGGGCGGGGCGGTTCGCCGAAGCGCAGCAGCAGCTGCCAGCGCGGCAGTTTCGCGCGCACATCGACGCGGCCCTGGCCGGCCACCAGGTGACCATTGTGCGCGGCGAGACCGGCAGTGGCAAGTCCAGCCAGGTGCCGCAGTTCGCGCTGGCGCAGCTGCTTGCCCAGGCGGCATACGTGGGCGGGCGCGTTCTGTGCACGCAGCCGCGGCGCATCTCGACGACAGCCATTGCCACGCGCGTGTCGCAGGAGCTCGGCGACACTGTGCCGGGCAGCTCGGACGCCCTGGTCGGGTACCAGATCCGCTTTGATGCGCGCGCCCACGATGCCAACGCCCTGGTGTTCTGCACCACAGGCGTCCTGCTGCGCATGCTTGCGGACGACCCCGAGCTGAAGGACGTTGCCTGCATTATCTGCGACGAGGTGCAGGAGCGCACGCTGGAGCTGGACTACCTGCTGATCGCCATGCGCCAGCTGATCAAGCGCCGCAGCGGCGACCTGCGGCTGGTGCTGATGAGCGCGACGATCGACACCGGCGTTTTTTCTCGGTACTTTGGCGGCTGCCCGGTTGTTGACATTCCTGGCCGCACGTTTCCTGTGCAGAGCGTTTTTCTGGAGAACGTCGTGCAGATGTCTGGGTACGCGCTGGAGCCGGGCAGCCGCTACGAGACGGCGGATGCTGGGCTGGATGTGGCTGGCTTTGATCTGGATCGGGCGGGGCTGGATCTGGCGGATCCGGAGCTGGATCTGGATCCGCAGCCAGGCGCCGATCCAATGGACCCTGCGTTTGTCTCGCCGCGCGCCTGGGCCGTGGTCAGCCGCATGCGCATCGGCACTGTCAACCTCGATCTCGTCTGCCACGTGCTAGCTGGCATCTGCGGCACCGGCGACGCGCACTCGCACTCGGCGTGGGCGCGGTTCAGCCGCTCCGCCGTCCCGCACGGCGCCGTGCTGGTCTTTCTACCAGGCATCCGCGAGATCCGCGCGCTCTGCGGGATGCTCGGCAGCGGCGGCAGCCGGCCGCTGCGCGCGTCGGTCATCCCGCTGCACTCGGCGTTTGCCGGCGACCGGCCGGCCGGATCGCCGATGACCTACACGGAGCTGGCATTTGCGCCGGCGGACGCCGGGCGACGCAAGATCATCCTGGCGACCAACGTCGCCGAGACCGGCATCACCATCCCGGACGTCACCGTGGTGGTCGACTGCGGGCTGGCCAACCAGGCCGTGTGGGACCGTGCGCGCCACGTAACGCGCTTGGCCACGCTGCCGATCAGCCGCGCCAACGTCAAGCAGCGGCGCGGGCGCGCCGGCCGCGTGCAGCCCGGGCTGGCCATCTGCTTGTTCACCGCCAAGCAGCACCAGGCCATGCGCGCCTTCGAGCCGCCCGAGATGCAGCGGCTGCCGCTGGCCAACCTGTGCCTGCTGGCCAAAGCGCACGGCGTCGACGACGTTGCGCTTTTCCTGCAGGGGGCGCTGGAGCCGCCGCCTGCGGCTGCGGTGCAGCTGGCTGTGCGCGAGCTGCAGCGTGGCGGCGCCCTGGACGAGATGCAGCGCCTGACGCCGATCGGCCACCACCTGTGCTTTCTGCCGCTGGACCTGCCGGTGGCCAAGCTATTGGTAGCCGGCGCGCTGCTGCACTGCCTCGACCCGGCCCTAACCCTTGCCGCCTCTCTGTCGCTCGCCACGCCATTGCTCGCCACGCCGTATGCGCCGGAGCTACGTGCGGCTGCGGCTGCCGCCCACAAGAAGTACCGCCGCTACGGCCGCTTTCTGCAGTGCGTGCGCGACGAGCAGCAGGCGTCTGACCTTCTGGCAGTGCTGGCAGTGTACGAGGACTGGCGCCGGCTTGCATCCTCCATGCCAGGAGGCGGCGCACCGCGGACAAGGGAGCTTGTGGCTTTCTGTAAGGCCAATTGGCTGAGCCGCGAGGCGCTTGAGCAGATTGAGGATTTCCGCGAGCAGTACCTAAGGCTGCTCTGTGATCGCGGCCTTGTCTCCATTCCTGCGGTAGCTGGAGCAGGGCGCGCTGGGCCTGGTGGTGGCGGTGGCGGTGGCAGTGGCAGCGGCAGTGGCAGGTCGCTGGCCCGCTTGATTCGCCCGCAGGTGCCCACGGCCTCGGCTGTTGGCTCGGAAAGCGGCAGGTCCCGGTTCCGCCCGGGCTTTGTCCAGGTCCCGCCAGCGTTCAACGTGGGCAGCGGCAGTGTTAATGTTATTTACGCTGCAATCGTCACTGCGCTCGACCACGTTCTGCTGCCATCCGTACATGACCCCTGTGCGTTTGTCATTGGCCAGGCATCCATTGCCGAGCGACCAGCAGCAGCTGCAGCAGGGCCAGCATGCATTGGTCACGAGCGGGTGTCCGCCAGACCCATCGCACTCTCCGCACAGTCGCACCTGCACTCAGAGCTGCGGCTATCCTCCAGCCATGCACTCATTGCTGCGTCGCTTTCTGGCACATCCACCGCCACTTACGCCAACACCTTGACTAAAGTCAACCTCTCTACGGTGGCGGTGTTCGCCCGGTCATTGGAGTACTGGCCCGGTGCCTGTTTGTTGATTGTGGATCAGTGGATTGAGGCCAAGTGTGCCGCCCGTACGGCTGTCGTACTGATGATGATCAGGAACGCTATGCGCAGCGTGATGGAATTCAAGGTGCGCTTTCCGTTGGTGCAGATGCCAGACCATTTGAATCGGTGGCAGCAGGCTATTGTGGAAGTGTTGAAGAATGAGAATGTTTGATGCCAGAACTGCTAAATTTAACAAAAAGCGGCTTTTTTAATAAACTGAGAATAGCGATTTATTGTTGTTGTTATTGCCATTGCTATTGACAATGTTATTTGATATTGCGTATTGTGTTCCAAAGTAACAATCTCAAGTTATAAGCCAATCCCTAATTTTGGTTTACTTTTAGAATCCTGATAAAGCACAAATAATGTTTTATATTGAGAGATATATATAATCAGGTTGTGGCTTATAATTTTCATTAAACGAGTTGCCTTTTTTTTATAATTTTTTTATAATTTTTTATTAATATTTTCATTTGTGTATTGTATATACAACAATGCCAGTCAAACTATTGTTTTATTTTTGCTAAATTACAAAAAATAATATTTTATATGAAAAAATTTTGATATTTAAGTATCGTCCGCACATTCATCACACTGTATTTTTTTTTAGTTTTTTGTACTGCAAACACTTTATTTAAATTATTTTATCTCCAATGCGCTTGCTCTCTCCCAGCTTGCTTCCCAGCGCCGCTGCATTGGCCCTGCTTATGGCTGCACATGCCAAACAAGTCTACGAGTATTGGGATATTGGCTACCTAATCACCAACCGTGGAATACCCAACTTGGAATCCAAGAAGGCCATCGGAGTAAACAACCATTTCCCGCTGCCCGTTGTTCGCGCTGACAAGGGCGACACTCTTATTCTCAACGTCCACAACTCGCTTGACGTGGGCACCTCCCTGCACGCACACGGTCTCTTCCAGCGCGGCACCAACTACTACGATGGCGTGCCCATGACCACCGCATGCCCGATTGCACCTGGAACCAACTTTACGTATTACATTCCGCTGGACCAGGCAGGGACATACTGGATCCACGGACACTCTAAGGAACAGAACTTTGATGGCCTACGCACTCCCCTGATCATCAATGAGCCCGAGGATCCGCACAACAAAATCGATGAGGAGTTTTTGTTTACCTTCGAGGATTGGTGGCCGATCACCTTTGAGCAAAGCATGGATATTATCGCAGCGCCCCACGGTCTTGAATATATATTCGGGAAGCTGCCTGGGGCGCTGATCAACGGCTATGATGGGGCACTGGCGAGACCGCTGGCGTTTCAACCGGGAAAAACATACCGCATCCGCTTAGTCAATATGGCCAGCATGCCGGAGGCCGAGTTCGTCATTGACGACCATGACCTGCAGATAATTGAAGTGGATGGCGTCAGAACCAAGCCCAAAACCGTGAAAGTAGTCCGCCTAGCTCCCGGACAACGCCTCTCTGTGTTAGTCAAGGCCAAGCCATCATCCAACCTCAACTACAACTACCACATCACCATAATGGGCGACTACTTGCCGTCTATCCCCGGAATTTTCCCGATAACTCACACCTCCCCAATCATCTACAACAATAAGAGCACAGAGTTTGCGCCCACAGCCATGCCGCTGGCCTCTGAGCCATTCGATGATATTAACATTGAATCACTCGAGTATCTCCCCGCACTTATTGCTGACCGCTCCCTCTTCCTCAACCTAACCTCTGGCTTTACCGAAAATGAATACAGCCACCGCGAATCCATCAACTTCAAAGTGTACCGCGACCCAATTGTCCCCACCATGTTCACCGCCCTGACAACTCCGGATTCCATGGCGATTAACCCAATAACCTACGGCCCGCAAACCTCCGCCCATGTTCTTAAATACGACGAGGTTATTGAAGTTCTCCTATGGAGTCCCACAGAGCGTCCGCACCCAATCCACCTTCACGGCCATGTATTCCAGGTGATCGAGCGCGGATCAGTCAAGGACAAAACCGGTGCAGCACGCAAAATCGTACCACAACACATTGCAGGTTACTCTCCGCTAATGAGGGATACTGTAATGGTTGATGTGGGTAATTATGTGGTTATTAGATTTAGGGCGGATAACCCGGGTGTGTGGAATTTGCACTGCCATTTTGATTGGCATATGGGCCAGGGAATGAATATGCTGTTTGTGGAAGCGCCCAAACAGATGAAAGAGATTTTGAAGGTCCCCGAGCAGATAGCCGAACAATGCAGGAGGCAGGGGATCCCTGTAGAGGGCAATGTTGTTGGCCGAACTACTTATAATTATGATGGCGCTCCGGACTTGCCGCACCTGCATCTAACCTCCCCATTTGTCTAAAAACAAATCTTGCTTTTTTTGTTTTTTGAGAAGATAATTTACACATAGCTGTCAACTCAAGATAAGCGAAAGCTATAATAATAATAATAATAATAATAATAATAATAATAATAAAATTGTTTATTAACATGCGTGCTCATTTATGCCAATCTGCGTAAACGTCTTACTTAAAAGGGGATTCTGCACAAGCACCACTTCATTATAATATAGAAACACGCGACATGTGGAGCTTTCTTTATTTCTTTTTTTTGCTATCCCTCAAACGATGCGAGTAAGTAAATAGAAAAATAGAAAAATAGAAAACAAAACACGAGGCTGCTCTTTATTTCCACTTTTTACTCTATCAACATGCATTAAATAAAATGACCCCGTCAAAAAATTTTAAAAATAATAATAATAGAAATTTGGACTTGTAAAATAAAAAGAGATTTTGTTCTGTTTTATTCTTTTAAAATTATCATGCGTCTTTTTTTGCATTTGTCGTTCCCCTTGCCAAATTTTGCTTTTAAAAGTGGAAAATTGGAAAGTAAATAAATTGAACACCCAAAAAATAATTACACTGCTTTTTTACTTTTGCTTTATTCTCTTAAATATTTTCTATTTTGTATTTCATTCTCAAACTAGCCCGTTTTTTCTCTATATATACTTATATTATACAATGCGTCTTAGCTTTAGAATTGGTTTTTACTTTACCGCACTGGCTGCCACAGCTAGCTCTGCATTTGCAGACGACGACACTATCAAGGACTATGTACCCTGCGACACCCAGGACAATATAGCCTGCGTCGATGACTTCCACTACATGATATGCGATCATGGTTACTGGAGGGCCTCCCGCGAAGTCCCTGAAGACACTTTCTGCCTCAACGGCATCATCGTAAATGGTGATGCTGTTCCTCGCTCATTGATTACCTTCCTTTCAAATGACAGTGTGTATTCACAGGTAATTCCTAGCGATGGTGAAATAATCAGCACTACTCCTGTTGGTGAGGAGACCATCGTTGGGAGTGAAAATAGCTCTACAATAGCATCTGATGATGGTGGCTCAAACCCTACAAGTTCGTCTGAAGATAGTAGTGTAAATAATGAAAACTCTGATTATTCAAGCTCATCCGAAACCTGTGATTCTTCAGAAGTCCAGATTGAAACCATCACTACTGAGAGTTGTGACGATGATAGCTCTGATGACACGTCAAGCTCTTGCGAGAGCTCAAATGCCACAACAGATGGCACTGATGGCACTAATGCCACGTCAAGCTCTTGCGAGAGCTCAGATGGCACTGATGGCACTGATGGCGCTTCGTCTACTGATGGCACTGATGGCACTGATGGTGCCTCGTCTACTGATGGCACTGATGGCACTGGTGGCACTGATGGCGCCTCGTCTACTGATGGCACTGATGGGACTGGTGGCACTGATGGCGCCTCGTCTACTGATGGCACTGATGGCACTGGTGGCACTGATGGCGCCTCGTCTACTGATGGCACTGATGGGACTGGTGGCACTGATGGCGCCTCGTCTACTGATGGCACTGATGGCACTGGTGGCACTGATGGCGCCTCGTCTACTGATGGCACTGATGGCACTGATGGCGCCTCGTCTACTGATGGCACTGATGGCACTGATGGCACTGATGGCGCCTCGTCTACTGATGGCACTGATGGCACTGATGGCGCCTCGTCTACTGATGACACTGATGGCACTGATGGCGCCTCGTCTACTAAACCTGCTGCAAGCAGTGACTCTTCTGTCTCTGGAGACAACTCTATAATTTCCAGTGACACAAATGACAGCGTGGCATTGACAGGAATTGAGAATGCCACCAGCAATAATTCCGAAACTAGCATTGAGAGTAAGCCCGCCGATATTTACCAAGGCCTTAACGAAAAGAGTACCACTAATTCGGCCAACAGTCTGCTTAGCACCTGGGGCAATGAATACAGCGTGTGCGCGTCTCTTTTGTCTGCTGTTGTTCTTTCTATTTTTATTTCTTCCGCTTAGTTAGCCAGTTTATCAGCACTATGCAACTTTTATTACATTCAACTGACATCAACTTTAACGTATATTTTAGTTTAACCTCATGTGAGCACATGAATAAAATAACATTAAACCACATACATATTTAACTGGATAACATATTGCCGCCCACATAGTGCAACCATATAGTAATGATGCAATAGTGCTGTTTTGGCGAAGGGATTGATTCACAAACTATTGAATTGCTTAAAGTGTATGTATACGTATTTCCTTGTTAACTAAATTTTGCATTTAAACTGAGCAATTTGCTTTACTTTTAAAATAACAATAGGAGCACAATTGTTGGATTTGGACTAGAAAATGTAAAGCTGGCAGCAGCACAACATACGAATAAAAATAATAATAAAATGCTGTCGTTTGCCGATTTTTTGGGTTGAAAGGGGGGTTTGCTTCTTTTTTGGCACCATTATTGCTTTTTCTTTTAAAATCTAAATTTGTTGTCAAAGCTCTAAACAAAAGAAGTAAAGATGTGTATTGTAGAAAGACTAAAACTGCTCTTTGCTTCTCTCCATTTTTATTTTTATAAAAGAAGGTAGAAACTTAGCGCCCAATTATCCACGCATAGTATTTGAAATACCCACATATAATAGTTTGCTATTAAAAGCCCATTAAGCAGTCAGCAGGAAAACTAGGCTTGTAAGAACCATCCTTTTTATTTGCACATTATTTACTTTTGCTTATATTTGTGAGCTGCATTTACATGAATTTATTTTTTGGAACGGCATTTAATATTTAATTTTCCAAACTTCTCGCCTCTAAATATCAATAAAACTTCATAATGTACTATTATCGTCGTAACTCTGTTTTTGTTGCCGCTATTTTTGCAGTTAGCATGCTGAGTACAGCCACTGTTACTGCTCAAATTAAAAATAGTACGTGTCCCAATTTGGAAGGAAATTTTGTTTGTGGCAGTCTCTCGGAGCTTTACATTTGCAACCATGGTGTCTATGAAAAACTGTCAAACTGCCCAGCTGGCATGTTCTGCCAAGACGGCTCATGCAATGCTCTAACCAGTGTAGACGTAAAAGCAGACCCAGCGCAGTCGGCTGGTGTTACTCCTCAAAGAAGCAGCGCTATGACAACGGTAGACTCATCTTCTGCACCCGCATCCGCATCCAGTTCCAGCTCCAGCTCTAGCTATTACAAAGGCAATGCCGTTCAATCCGCCAGCTTATCAGAGTTATCTGACCTTGGTTCTGATATTGAACCAACTTCTTTGTCAGCAGGCAAGGCTAGCAGCAGCATATTGGTATCTCACTCATCGTCAAGCAGGACGAGTGCAAAGGAAACTCTCAACATCTCGACTATTGATTCTAACAAGCCTGATGGGCTTCACAAAGACTCATCGGCTGCCGCTATTAATCAAAATAGCATGACATTTGCCACCGTAGTGTCTTCCATTATTGCTGCTGTCCTTTTTTCAATTCTCTAATAAAAAACAGTTATGATTGTTATTATAAGCGTATTTGAATTGTTTAAAAAAATGTGCCAAAGTGAAAATTTTTAACATTCACAGTTTGGGCCACAACGACTGCTGCTTCAGTTTTGCTACTTCATGCTCCTTCAACACTCGGCGGAGAATCTTCCCCGATGCAGTTTTCGGAATAACATCAATGACCTCAACGCCGCCGCGCAGCGTCTTATAGTCAACAACACGAGAGGCCAGCCACACCTTAACCTCGTCGGCAATACCCAGGTGCATGAGCCCAGGTCTAATAACCACAAATGCTTTGGGAACTTCAGTCTCCTGCGCGTGGTCAAACACGGGTATGACTGCGGCATCCAGCACCGCCGGATGGGCCACCAAAATACCTTCAATTTCCGCCGGTGCAATCTGAAAGGCCTTGTACTTTATGAGCTCCTTCTTGCGATCGGATATGAAATAGCATCCGCGCGAATTGACATACCCGATGTCGCCAGAGTGGATGAACCCATCCTTGTCAATGGTCTGTGCGGTGGCTTGTGGGTCATTGAGATAACCAAGCATAATGTTTGGCCCTCGCGTGCAAATCTCGCCAGCCTCGCCGACACCCAATTCATTACCCTGGTCGTCAATAATTTTGCACTGCATCGATGGTAGCAGGTACCCGACAGACCCCACAGGCACACCGTCGGTGGGCCCACGGTGAGTGACCGGAGACGCCTCACTCATACCGTATGCTTGCATCACATGGCATCCAAGTTGTCTTTGTATCTCGCTCTGCGTCTCGTTGGTCAAGGGAGCCGCGCCGCTGAGGATGTACACGAGGCTAGATAGGTCGTAGTTGTTAACTATTGGATTCTTTGCCAGCTGGATAATTATTGGCGGGACCAGGTGCGCGCTGGCAGCCTTGTGCTTGGCCACCAGCTGACAAAACAGCTCAAGGCCGTACTTGGGCATTACCACCTGGTGGTGGCCCTTAGCCACAGAATACAAGAGCATGATAACAAGCCCATAGATATGGAAGCACGGGAGACAAGATATCAAAGCGCGGTTCTTGATTGTGATGTTGGCCAGGCACACTCTGGAATCGTACTCTTCAACAATTGTGTTTTGCAACATATTGGCAATAACATTGCTGTGCGAAAGCACCACACCCTTGGAAAGCCCAGTTGTTCCTGAGCTCAAAACAATAAAAGCAGGCGTCTCCTGTGCTTCCTTCTGCGTGGTTATGCGCATTTGTTCGTATGGTTGGTCGCTCAGAATAACTGTAAAGTTATCCTCAGGCCCTCCGTCTAAAGTCAGAATTCGCTCCCTCGGTACAACCACGCCACTCACAAGCAATGACCCTTGGACCAGCGCAACATTAGCCACCACCGTAATGATAGCCTGTGGCTTGCATATGCCCATCACATGGGCCACTTCGCTCTCAATGTATTCTGGATTAGCCGTCGTGCACACCAGACCGGCCATCTGCGCCCCGAGCACTATAGACGCGTAGTATACTGTGTTTGGCAGCAAAACAAGAATTATGTCGCCGCGTTGGAGTTTCAGGTTATTGATTAGGCCTGAGGCAAAGCGACTTGCTGTCTGACGGAGCTCCGCAAAGGTCAGCGATACAGAGCCTTCCGATATCGCCACCAACTCGGGGTTGCGTCCAAAAAGCGAGTACTTGTCGGCGTACTCAAAGACAAACGAGGGCAGATCCTGGGCAGGCAACTCTGCTATTGCGGGATAGGGCGAGTGGAAAACCATATTTTAAATTGTTGTTTCGGCTGAGTAAGCGTTTAGCTGAAAGAAAAATTAAAAAAAAACAAATAAGCAAACAAAAAAACGAATGTGATGTTAATCAAGCTTTTAAAAGAAAATAAAAAAAACCAATGCTGGCTTAACAAATCCGCCCTCATGTTGCTTATGGATGATCCACAAATGAACACTGGCGGCGCCTCATTCAACTGCGCTGGAGTTTGCAATTTATACATGAAAGCAGCGCTGATTTGTAAAAAGTATTTGTTTTTAATTTTATTTATAGGACATTTAGGTATACTATCACTGAAAATCAAAAACCACATTGTCACATGCAATGTGGCTTTCTGCCCGAAAGCACAACTAAAAAACGAGCGAATCCTGCTAAATAATATTTTTTATTGCTCGTCATCAAGTGACAATTCAAGAGCGGCTTTATTATATAAAAAGTTAACAAATAGTACAAGTATTTAAAAATTATGCTGAAAAAAATAACTTTCAAAGAACAGCTTTACGTCGGACAAGTGCGGATACCGGCTGCTCTTTGTCTCAATTAAAGACTCCAGATAAAGTTGCAGGTCGCAGTTAGTGTACATCACTTGCAATGTCGGCAAGCTGGTCAGCAAGTAAGTGTGGACATGCTTGTTGAGCTCAGGCGACTGCTCAAAACCAGTGACTGTTAGGCCCAGCACCTGCAGCTTGGATTCAAGCGGTCTTGATTCAACACGCATTAACCACATTTTCTCACCAAGCATGATTTCTTCCGGATCCACGGCATTATAATTCAGCGCAACTGCAAGTTCGAGAAGGTTAGGCAGAGAGTCTATCAAGTCGAGAATTGTGACTGCACATACTGCACCGTTGATGGTCAATTTTGTAAGGCTAGTCCAATTAGTCCAGTTAGACTTGCTGGCACCCAGCGGCACGACCAAACAGTCAAAATGAAGATGAGCATCCTCGAGTGAGGCCGATTTGCTGAGAAGGTTGCTTATAATTCCGTAAATATCGGGGTCGTCTGCGTCACCAATATCGGCCAAAGAAATTGAAAGATGCCGCATCTGGCCCAGCTTCAATCCAAGGCTTGTACGCATATTTGAAATATCACCACTGATTTTGAATGATTTGACGTTTTCCAAGTCAGCAGCCAGCAGCTCGCAGTTTAGTGGACACCCGAGTATATGTAGAGTGTCAAGGACAGGAAGGCCAGGCATGTTCTGGACCGCTTTGGTCAGTGCCACGCTGTTATCATCCATTGTGTCACCCAAAGCAGAACCACCAACTGCGCTGTAAGCTAAATACAGCGTTTTAAGGCTGGAAAATACTGCCTGCTCGCCGTTCAAATCAACAAGGCTTTTCAATGAGAAGTCCATTGGCACATTATGCAGTGAGAGAAACCGAAGCAAAGACACACTGAAGCGAAGAAGTGGCAGCTGATTGGCTAACAACCCAAGCCGTATGTCCAGGTGAGTGAGATTGTCGCAGGATCCAGAAAGGCCTTGGCGCAGATGCGTGGAGCACACAAATACACATAACTGGCGTGCGAGTAAACCAAATATTGTACTGGCAAAGTCCGAGCTGAGGGACTCATAGAGATCAAGTCGCAGCTCAGAAATGCGGGGCATTTGTCTGGCAATAATTTCCCCGAAATTCAACTCAGTGGGCTCATCGTAAGCCATCTCGCTGAACTCGTAACTGACTGGTTCAAAATGACTGCGCAAATTTGCAATATTAAGGCTGCGCACATCAGGCCACTCCAGGTGGCCAAAGTCAAGAGCAGACAGAGTATCGTTTATAAAGCGCCGAGGCGGGACGTAGAAATGGGAACTGATGTGGATGGCCCGAATACTGTGACAGTTTCCACGGCTAACCACGCATTCCACATTGGTTTTAAACCCTATTTGCCTGCGAGAGTTACCGTGGTCAGCTTCGGCGTTGTTCTCGCGACCTGGCTTAATATCGACCTCGCTAAACTCCAGAAATACGTCTTGGAAGATCAGACTTTGCAGCTCTCTGGTCCACTGGCTGCATACACCCAAAAGTCGCAACTGGGCCGCCCATTCCACTAAATTTGTTGCCCGAGGACTAACGAGCTTGTCAAAAATGCATTTGCGAACGAGCGAATTAATCAAATTTACGTTGCGCATTATTGCCAAAAAAGAATAAATAAATAATACTTTGTGGAGATTGAGAAGAAAAAAGATTTTCTTAAAAGTGTGGAATTTCACAGCAATACGTCACATCAGCTATGGTAATGGTAATGGTAATCAAGAAATCACTAATGTATGATAAAAAATCAAGACCAGGGCGCACGCTCCAGCACATGGTCCGGATCAGCATCCAACTGGACGACAGCAACCAGACCTTTATGCACGTGTGGATTAATGACAACGTTTACTGGGGCGGGCTCGATGCGCCTCAAGAGATCCCTGTCCCAGAACGCCAGGTCTTCTGCCTTGAGATTGAGCACAACGGTCTTTGTCTCACCGACAGCCAGATCAACCTTGGTGAAGTCGCGCAGACGATAATGCTCGGGTGCGTATCCAAGGCGGTACTGCTGGCGCGTGAACAAGAGCACAGACTCCTTCTGCGGATAAGGTCCCTTATTGGTGATAGTGACGGATGCTGTGATCGGCGAGCCCACAGTAAGCGAGCTGCTGGACAGCGTGACGTTTGAGTAAGTGACGTTGGAATAGCCGAGTCCGTAGCCAAACTCCCACTGCGGGTTGTATGCCGAGTATGACGCCTGCCAGATGGTAGAGCTCGCCTGCGCCTCGGTGGCTGGATAAGTGATGGGCAAGCGGCCTGACGGATTGACCTTTCCATAGAGCACCTCGGCAATGGGCAAGCCACCGTAAGCGCCCGGCAGATAGGCATTGACTATAGCGTCAGCAATCTTGGGAACGTTGGCCAGGCCGCGAGGACGCCCCTCAATCAACACCACAACAACCGGCTTCTTGGTAGCGGCCGCAACGGTATACACGAGATTGAGCTGCTGCCAGGGTAAAGCCAGGCTATCGATATTGCCCTGCTCTTCGGCGTACGTGTTTTCGCCTAGCCCGATGACAATCTTGTCAGCACTCTGAGCTGCAGACATGATCGCATCAACGTCAATAGTGCCAGTGCCGCCGATATCAATACCTGGCAGATACTGCGGCGCAGCGCCGGTCACGGCTTTGATTCCCTGGAGCACTGTGTCCCCAAATCCTTGATACACTGCATCTCCTTCCTTGTCTGAAGGCCCCTGCCAGTGAACATTCCATCCGCCGCTCATGTACCGCGTAGAGTTGAGTGTCGGCCCGAGGAACAACACGCGCTCGCTCAGCTTTAGCGGCAACACACCGTTGGTGTTCTTGAGCAGGGTAATAGACTCGCGTACAGTGTTACGCGCAGCCTCGATATCCTGCGCAGATCCAACAGTGGAGGCAAGCTGGGGGTCGGCATACGGTGATTCAAACAGCCCAAGGTCCTTCTTGAGCTGCAAGATGCGCGCAACAGACTCGTCCAGCCGGCGTTCTGAGACAGCGCCACTCTTGACCAACTCCACAGTCACCTTGATAAAGGACTCGTCATCGGCAACCATGCTCATGTCAATAGAGGTGCGCTGCAAAGCTGTCTGAGTGGCCTGCTTGACGTCCTTGGCCGTGTGGTACATGGTCGCCTGGGTGTTAATCTCTGCCCAATCGGTGACCAACATGCCCTTAAACTTTAGCTGCTCGCGCAACAGCGTCTGGAGATAATATTTAGACAGAACAACAGACTCGCTGTTGACTGCGCCGTAGCTCTCCATGGCCGTAGCTGATCCCGCATCTATGGCAGCCTTAAACGGCGGGACGTAGTACTCGAGCAGCTCGTGGGTTGCAATATGGCGGTTCGCCCGGTCGCTGCCGTCAAAGGGATAGCCGTAGCCAATAAAATGCTTGAGGCACGCTGCCACTCGCGACCGATCACGCTTATAGTCGCCCTGGTGGCCGCCGATAGATGACTTGGCCATCAGTGACGAAAGGAACGGGTCCTCGCCAAAGTTTTCGTACACGCGAGACCACAGCTTGTTGACGGAAAGATCCATTATAGGAGCAAACGCCCAGTGCACGCCTGCCGCGCGAGTGTCCTTGGCCGCAATACGGCCGGCGTCGTAAGCATGCTGCGGATTGAATGTTGCCGCTGTAGCAATACCCGCCGGGAAAATTGTGCCACCCTTGATGTAGTTAGCACCGCGCACCGAATCAAGCCCCCAGATGACGGGGATGCGCGAGCCACGCCTCAGTGCAATCGCCTGGACAGCGTCGGTTATCTCTGCAAACCTCTTTGCCGAGTACCAGTTGTACTTGCCACCGTGGTTGGCAGGGGTCTCGAGGAATGAGCCAACCTTCATGGTGTCAATCCAGTACTCGACTGCCGTAGTGTTTAGCTTGCCGTTACAATCGATGATCTGCCCGACCTGTATCTGTGTCATTTGTCCGACTTTTTCTTCAACTGTCATACCGTTGACCATGAGCATGATGTCTTGATCAATGAGGTTGGGACCAACCACCGGACCGGTGTAGTTGTTGTACGCGTAGGATGCGACTGGAGTCCATGTTGTGTCGTCAAACACTTGTGTGCCATCCCATGTGCACACTGGATCGGCAGTGGCAGCTGTAACAGCAGGAGGTTTTTGAGTGGTGCTGTCGGAAACAGTGGCCGAATACTCGGCGGGGGAAATGGCAAGAGCGCCTGATTCCATTGTATTGAACGATATTGCGAGCAAATATTGAGTGAAATAAAGCAACGAGTTGTAGCGCATTATTAAAAAACAAATTAAATATTAATAGGTGTTACAAATGGAAGCAAGAGTAAAAATATACAGCAAAAACAATATATAGCAGATTAGTTGGTTTGGGTTTTTGAACTTGACTTTACGTTCGGACAATTAGATGAGGGAGAAGCAGCGAGCTATTTAAACAATTTGCATAACTTGTGCACAATAGCAATTCAAAACTGAAGCTCATATTGACATCACCTTGTGAATAATCAAAAACTGGCACAATATTTGAAATGTAAACAATTTCCAGACTGAAAATTGGGGGTTTTGATTTCAATTTTGCCACAGCAGTAAATTCAAATACAAAATATTTTGTTTTATATATATATTTTTGCCCACATCCACAAACAAATCATACAAAAAATAAAATCAACAAAGAAAATGACGGTAATTGTTCCGAGCAGTAAACCAAGATGTTTACACGATTCTATTACTTGAAAATATTTAATCCGAAAAAAACACTGCTTTTTTTGTAAAACGTTTGCTGAAAAAAAGTTGTTGACACCAAATGATCTGTCGATTGAATTTATCAAAACAATGAAATTATACTCATGCCAACATAAAGCTAGTGTCAGCATTGGCATCCAAAGTAATCTCGGTCTTAATGTTCTGCTGGACGTGTGGATTGATGGATAAGTTGACCGGTGAGGACACAATCTTTTTCTCCAGCCCAGTGCTCCAGAACGCCAAGTCCTCGGCGCGCAACTCAAATGTTACGTTTTTTGTCTCCCCAACAGCCAAACTGGCCTTGGTGAAGTGGCGCATGCGGTAGTGCTCGGGCGCCATGTCAAAGCGGTAGGGCTGGTTTGTAAATAAGAACACCGGCTCCTTCTGCGGATAAGGGCCATGGTTGGTGATGCTAACTGAGATAGTAATTGGCTTGTCAAGCGTGAGCGTCGAGCACGAGACCGTGACATTGGTGCACTCCACATGTGAGTAGCTAAGTCCGTAGCCAAATTCCCACTGCGGCTTGTAGTCAGTATAAGACGGCTGCCAAATTGTGGTTGGCGCCTGAGCTTCAGTGGTCGGGTACGTATAAGGCAGACGGACCGACGGATTAACCTTTCCGTAGAGTATCTCAGCAATGGGCAGACCGCCGCAAGTGCCTGGAAAATATGCCTGCACAATGACATGTGCAATATCCACTACCCGCTCCAAAAGTCGCGGACGCCCCTCGACCAAAACAACGACAATTGGTTTTTGTGTGGTGGCGGCAATCATGCAGCCAAGCTCGAGCTGGTTCTGTGGTAACTTCGTGCTGTCAATATTGCCATCAATCTCAGCGTATGTGCCCTCGCCCAGCCCAATGACAATCTTATCGGCCTTCTTGGCGGCGGCGATGACAGCAGAAATGTTAATGAGCTTGCTACCCTTGATGTCCACGCCCTCAAAGTACTGCGGTTCCTGGTCAGTGACCTTTTGAACGCCTTTGAGAATGGTATCACCAAAACCCTGGTACACTTCATTGCCCTCCTTGTCTGAAGGTCCCTGCCAATGAAATTTTCATTCGCTACCCATGTACCGCGTAGAGTTGAGTGTTGGCCAGACAAAAATGACATGATCCGTGTGCCGGAGTGGCAGTACGCCGCGCTTTTTTTTGAGCAAAGTGACTAACTCGCGCACGGAATTGCGCGCAGCCTCAATGTCTTGCGCAGAGCTAACGGTTGCCTGAAGATTTGGATCGGCAAAGGGGCTTTCAAACAACCCAAGGTCCTTCTTGAGCTGCAATATGCGCGCAACAGACTCGTCAATACGGCACTCGGGGATGACACCGCTGACAACAAGATTTTATGTAGTTTGGCTGAATGATTGATTGTCAGTGACCATGCTCATATTGATAGAGGTGCCGTTCAGGGTTGCCCAGGTGGCCTGCTTGACGTCCTTGGCCGTGTGGTAGGTAGTAGCCTGGCCGTTAATTTCTTCCCAATCGGTCACGAGCATGCCCTCAAAGCCAATGTGCTCGCAAAGCAGCTTCTGCAAATATAATTGGGACATGACAACGGGCTCGCCGTTAATGACGCCGTAGCTTTCCATAGCAGTGGCTACGCCATCATTCACCGCAGCCTTAAATGGCGGAACAAAATACTCGAGCAGCTCATGCACGGCAATATGGCGGTTAGCCCGGTTGCTGCCATCAAAGAGGTAGCCGTAGCCAATAAAATGTTTTATACAAGCCGCCACCCACGACCACAGCTTGTTGACTGGTATATCCCTGACAGGAGCAAACGCCCAGTGCACGCCCGCCGCGCGAGTGTCCTTGGCTGAAATTTGGCTGGCGTCGTACGCGCGCTTCGGATTAAATGTTGCTGCCATGGCAATACCTGCCGGGAATATGACAGCGCCCTTGACGTAGTTAGCACTGCGCACTGAATCAAGCCCCCAGATGACGGGAATGCGCGATCTGTGTTCAATTGCAATTTTTTGCACGGCATCAGTAATTTGACCAAATACATTGGGCGAGTACCAATTATATTTGCCGCTGTGGTTGGCAGGAGTCTTAAGGAATGAGCCAACGTTCCACTCATGGATCCAGTATTTGACCGCTGTTGTGTTGAGCTCGCCGTTGCAATCTATTAACTGCCCAACTTGTATCTGCGTCATTTGTCCACTTTTTTGCTTCAGAGTCAACTTACCAACAAGCGCTGTAATATCGGAGTCAATGGCGCCCGGGCGCGGAATGTCGCGGGGCATCTCACTGTATTGGTAGCTTGGAACAGGATCCCAGGTTTCTGGATCATTGACCTGGACGCCGTCCCAGATGCACTTCGAGCTGTGGCCGACGTTAGTGTAAGTTAGATCAATGGTGTATGGCGAGGTGTAAGCTGGTTTGTCAGTATAAGGTGTGGTACAGGTCAACTTGTCTGTATAGGGCGTGCCGTAGGCTGATTTGACTGTATACGAGGTTGCATAGACCGATGTCGCTGGATATGGCATAGTGTAAACGGGTGTCGTTGGATAGGGTGTAGTGTAGACTAATGTATCTGCTGCGTAAGGTGTGGTGTAGGCCGTTGTCTTAGAATAAGGGGTGTATAACCAAAAGTCTGAAAATATGGAGTAGTGTATTCTGGCTCGGCAATGTATGGCGTAGTATAGACCGCTTTCTCGGAATAAGGTGTGGTGTAAACCGACTCAACCGCGTATGGAGTGGTGTATACTGGCGTCTCCAAAACAGGCGCAGTGTAGACTGGTCTAAAAATATATGGGGTTGTATGCGGTAATTCAACGCCATAAGGCGTAGGGTAAACAGGGCTTGGCCATGGTGGTAGAATATATGTGGGTCCAGGCTTTGCAAAGGCGGGATTCTCAGTGATGACCAGTTGGCCGGGTGCGTAGATATTAGGGTCGTATGGGGGAATTTGGGGTTGAGAGTCAAGGATCATTTCCTCGAGCGGAATAATTTTCTGCTTTGGGTATTCAATTTTTCTGCTACGGTGATGCTCGTGCTCATGTCGGCGGGCATGAGCCGCAATACTGTAATGCAGACAGAGCGTCAGCAGGGAAAGCGACAATGGCCAAGCTTGTTTCATGGTAATAGTGGTGGCAAAAATTCAAGAGTAAATTATAATATTGATTAAGTAAAAAAATGGCAATAAAGAATAATGTAATTTCAAGTTAACTTGATGTTCTAATGTACAATTTTTTGCGAGCAGTCCTGGGGGTCTATAGTATTTATATTATTTAGATGCTTTGAACTGACATGGGAATACTTTTCAATTATTAGAAACTTTTTATTAAAAATTTGGTTTTGTTGAATATTATTTCAAAACAATTCTAGAAAAAAAGCAATGGGGAGAGTCTATATGTTTATATCGAATGAATAAATAAAATTTTAGAAAAAACCGAACGCGTACCAAACAATACCCCTTGTGAGGACTAATTATAGACCTATGAGCCTGGATGAGTAATTTAAAAAGTATCTCGCCCCAGTATATGTTTATATCAACATTAATGCTGTGTGTATATGTGTACGAGCATGTGGGGAGAGATGGAAATGGGAGATTTTTTGGTTTGGTTTAAATATGCCTGAAACACTGTTGATTATTTATTTTACATTTATCTCCGCAAAAATTACTAAAATACAACCGATTCTTTGAACATCTCCGCATATTCGCTTTGCCTAAACGAAAATGTGTTAATTGTGTCAGAATAAAAAACATGAATTTATTCAAAACGCCTTGATTATAATGTTGCGGAGAGGAGGAAAAAGGCAGGGGGGGTTAGAGAAAAAATATTAAAATAACAGAGATGGAATGGAATGAGGCTGGCGACACGCACTCAGGATTCAATTCCTTTTCAAAAAGGATTATATTCAGATACCATCAGATCCAGGATACTTTGTGCCAAATCCAAAACTGTAAAATAATCTCGATGGCATTAAAAAGTGGCTTTTTACAGCCCGAGTACAATATGAACAGATATATGGATACAAGGGATACTGCACGCCACTGATGTCATCTAAAAAATAAAAACTATTAACAATAAGAGCAAGTTTTAATTAATTATAAAGCAAACCCAACGATTTTTGTACAGATAAAGTGTTGACATTTTTATAAAACATGAGAACCAGTTCCTAACTATTTTCTTTGACTTTTAACCCAGATGGCTATACAAAAAACTTTATTCAATATTTATATTCACTTAAAATATTTTTTATTCTAGCACAAATCACCTGGTGCTTTGATAAATATCTATATAATAAGTTCAATAATGTGGCGTATGTTTTCTATGGCGCATATGGCGCATTGATATTAACATTGGACTCATGCATATGTATGTGCAATGTGTAACTAAAAAATTGCGTTTCAACGAGAATAACGCGCAGAGTAACTAACTGGTAACTAATTGAGAATAATATGTATTCAATTATCAAAGAACCTCGTAAAATCATTGTGTATTTTTGGGATAATATTGGAATAGTTGCTATAAATAATAATATTTTTTACACTAATGAATTATCGTCGCAAATCTATAGTCTCTTATTATCAGGAAGAAACATTACCAACAACAAACCAGCGCTCGTTGCACGAATTCATTGAAAGCCAAAGTACGTTGCACAACCGATACATATACACGCACTCGGAATACTCCAGCGGCCTCAGCTCGCTAACCACTAGCGACAATGATGTCCGCCGCAAACTACCACTAGCTACCACTTCCAAACCAACCATCCTTCCCATTCTACAGTTTTTTTCCTCGCTACTAATAATCTCACTCAGCTCGGGACTATGTACTATCCATGGGCTTTTTGAAACAAAGTACGAGATACTGTTTGCACAAGACACAGAGACCGGCTGGCCCGAAAAATCGCGATCCGCAGTTCTCATTGGAGCTCTTCAAATCGCCTCATTCCTACTCCTGCGCAACACTGGAACATCATTCAGACTCACCAGATTCCTCACCACAGCGCCTTCTATTTTTATCGGCGCATTAACAACAGCTATTGGACTATTGTTGTCCTCGTACGCTAATTCCGTATGGCAATTGTGCTTGGGCCAAGGAGTCGTGGTTGGGCTGGGTGCAGCTGTGAGTTCCAGTGCGGCTATAGATGCATTGGATGCTACGTTGATGTACGTATTTGTAGACAACCGGTTCAGCGCTTCGGGGTTGTTTGTTGCTGCGACAGGTGTGGGCGGCGCTGTGCTATCCATGGGTATACACGGCGCGCTGGTAGACTCTTCGAGCTTGGCATTACGATGGCTTGCACTGGTTGTTTTCATTGGCCAATGTCTTGCAGCACTGCCAATGGTGTTCCACATAAATAGCACAAATACCAGCAACAGTGGTATATTTGAGCGAGAAAGCAGTGATCAAGATGATGTACTGAATAAGATGATGCCGAAATGCAATAATACGACCAGCAACATAAACAACGACGACAACAACGACGACAACGACGACAGTAACTCCAAGCGCCCAACGAGTACTCCTGTGAGACAGTCGCGACTGCAAACATGGGCAGCTACAGCGCGGTCAGCCTTGGGCTCGCAGGGCTTTCTCATGCTCATAAGCGTCGACCTTTTGCACCACATGAGCTACCCAGTCACCCTGATATTCCTTCCCGGCTACGCAGCACAAATGCACTCCCACATAGTTGGAAGCCCGACGCACCTGGCCACTATACTCTGGTGCTCAGTGCTCAGCGCCCTGTTAATCCCACACTACCACCTCTCCCCTCTGCTTCACGGCATCTCGCGGCTGGGCCTGAGTCTCTCACTTTGGTGTCTTTGGCTGCCTGCCAGCGGAGCCACCAACTCTGCCCTTCTCTACGCCTTTTGTGCTGTCCATGGGTTGTTTCTTGGCAGCGTTGGCGTGCACTTGATGGATGATCTGCTGGCCACGGGTGGTTTGATTGAGGCGTGGATTAGGGCTGGCGTTTGCTCCTTGGGTGCTGTGGTCGGGGTCCTAGTGGCCGGATGGCTGTTTATCGGAGTCGGGTCGGCTGGGCAGTACATGCCGGCTATTACTTTTGCTGCGGCTGCCAGCTTTTTGGCAGCGGCTGTGCAGTTGATTGGTGGATGGTGGATGCAAAGAAGCACATAATGAGTAAATAATAAGCCATAGCAGTTAATTTATTGTTTTTGGCCGTCTTATTTTGTCACGCGACTTTTTAAAAAACGGTTGTGATTCACCACCATTTTATTATTGTACCAGTCCTGTTGGTCCAATTTTTTTATTTTTACATATTGATCACGATCCATTTTTTCTCAAGCTTGACGAAGAAAAAAATTTTGAAAAAGGGGGCTGCCCAACAACAGTGTCACAAAATCTTCCGTTTTTTCTCTTTGTTTTTCGTTTTTTTTATTATATCTGGCTTTATTATTAGCTTTATTAAATTCAAGTGAACAGAATAAATGGCCACAATTCAATTGGCACAGAAGGGTACACCGCTTCCATATAGTAAGTATAAAATAGAAAAACCTTTCAATTCCAAAGCTTTTTGTCAAATGCACCCAAAATTTAAAAGAGTTTTATGAAATTCGGACACTCAAAAACTAATTTTAATTTCAAATCGTAATTGTTTTTTATTCTAGTTGCTGGCGCGCTCGCCGAGTTTGCCAACGAGTCATCTCCGGGATCGTTCACCGTCAGCTGGCACGAGGGCGCATCGCTCAAGGGCAAAGACAAGGCAGCCAACGCCGTGCTTGTTCAGAACGGACAAGAGACCATCGGCGAGCCCAGCGTAGTCCAGGCGATCCTCAGCAGGCTTCCATCCACTGCTGACCAGCAGGAGTGGATCCAGTTTGCGCAGGAAAAGCTCAGCGTGTCGAACTACAAGGACTTTGAGGCGGCGCTCGCGCACCTGGACCACCACCTGGTGATGCGCTCGTTTGTGTCCGGCTATGCCCCGACGCAGGCCGACCTGGCTATCTGGGGTGCGCTGCGTGCTTCGGCGATTTTCCAGCGCAACCTCAAGACCAAGCCTGAGATCCTCGGCGACCATCTCATCAGGTGGTACGCCCAAGTCAACACGCACCCGGCGGTGACCAGGCTGGCGGAGCTGCACCAGCAGGCCAACAAGCAGGCGACCACGACTGCCAAGGCCGCTGACCAGGGATCGTTTGACCTGGGTCTGCAGAACGTCGAGTACGGCCGCGTTGTTACGCGGTTCCCCCCAGAGCCCAGCGGTTTCCTGCATATTGGCCACGCCAAGGCTGTGCTGCTCAACGAGCACGTTGCCAGGTCCAACGGCGGCAAGCTGATTGTGCGGTTCGACGACACGAATCCGTCCAAGGAGAAGGTCGAGTTCGAGGACAGCATCGTCGAGGATCTGCGCCTCTTGGGCGTCGAGGCGGACCTGGTTTCGCATACCAGTGATTTCTTTGACAAGATCTACGACTATGCTCTGCAGATGATTCGCAGCGGCCACGCCTACGTCGACAACACCGACCAGGAGACCATGCGCGAGGAGCGCGGTGCCGGCATTGCGTCCAAGTGCCGCGACCTCAGCGTCGAAGAGAATCTCGAGCGGTTCGAGCTGATGCGGCAGGCGACGGAGTATGGCCAGACATGCTGCCTGCGCGCCAAGATGAGCGTTGACAACCCGAACAAGGCGATGCGCGATCCCGTGATCTACCGCTGCAACCTGACGCCGCACCACCGCACGGGCACACAGTGGAAGATCTACCCGACGTACGACTTCTGCTGCCCCATCGTGGACTCGATCGAGGGCGTCACCCACGCTCTGCGGTCGATGGAGTACCGCGACCGCAACCCGCAGTACGAGTGGTTCTTCCCGGCGCTTAACCTGCGGCCAGTGCAGATCATGGACTTTTCGCGGATGAACTTTGTCTACACGCTCCTGTCCAAGCGCAAGCTGCAATGGTTTGTTGACCAGGGGCTTGTCTCCGGCTGGGACGACCCGAGGTTCCCCACGGTGCGCGGTATTCGCCGCCGCGGAATGACTATCGAGGCTCTGCGGCAGTATGTGCTGATGCAAGGTGCGTCGCAGAAGAATATGCTTTTGGAGTGGGATAAGATCTGGTCGCTCAACAAGCGCATCATTGACCCGGTGACTCCGCGCCACACGGCGCTGCTGAAGAAGGACCTGGTGCCTGCTTCCCTCAGCAACGGCCCTGCGGAGCCGATCGTCAAGGAGATGGCCAAGCACAAGAAGAACCCCGAGCTGGGCACCAAGCAGACGGTGTTTTCGTCCCAGCTGTTCATCAACCAGGAGGACGCCGCGGCATGCGAGGTTGGCGAGGAGCTGACGCTGATGGACTGGGGCAACGCCATTGTCGAGTCCATCGACCGCACGGGCTCAACCGTGACCAACCTTGTTCTACGCTTGCACCTGGAGGGCGATGTCAAGGCCACCAAGAAGAAGATCACCTGGCTGGCACAGTCCCCCTCTGTGCACCCTGTTGAGGCGATGCTTGTGGACTACGACTATTTGATCACTAAGAAGAAGCTTGAGGAGGATGACAGCGTCGAATCAGTGCTGACGCCCAAGACCGAGTACGCGGATTCCGCGATTGTTGACGCAAATGTTGCGCTGTTGCCGCAGGGGGCGATTCTGCAGATTGAGCGCGTTGGGTACTTTATTGTGGACAAGGTTGCGAAGGAGAGCGAGTTGCAGCTGGTCACTTTGGTTAAGATTCCTGATGGCAGGGCGTCGAGCATTGCGAGCAAGCATAAGGAAGGCGAGGCTGGTACTGCTGCAGTTAAGGCCGAGGGTGCTGCTGTTGCTGCTGTGAAGGGCGCGAAGGGTAGCCCTTGGGATAAGGGCAACAAGAAGAAGGCTGAGGCTGAGGTTAAGCCTGAGGCCCAGCAAGAGCAGCAGCAGGCTGTTGTGGTTAATGATGCGTCGCTTGGGTTGCCGAAGCCGAAGGATACCGTGGATATGTACGAGACTGGGAGAATCTACGGTGACGTTGAGATTGATCAGCCCAAGAATATCACCAGTATGTATGAGACTAAACGGATCTACTGAAGTGGAAAAATATATATTAAGCAGATTATAAAAATCAATTGATCAACACCGTTCATTTTATTCTTTCAATACCTTTTATTTTATTTTTTCTTGAGTAAAATAAAAAAGATGAGGCTTTTTTGGTTTGTCGTGCGATAGTAAGTTTATCTGTCTTTAATTTTTTGTCTATTTTTTTATTTTTTTTAGAGAGAACAAGAAGCAATGGCAGGTCAATTCAGAGTGTTCGCGGCGCTGTCTAACAAAAGACACACGGCGGTATGGACATGCGGCAGGCAGCTCCGATGCTACAACACCACCAATACTGACAATAATGGCAATAATGGCAATAATGACAATAATGACAATAATGGCACGGCCACTACGTTCGCCGAACTTGGCATAGACGCTCGTCTGATCCAAAGCGCATCCACACATTACAATATCCACACGCCGACACCAATGCAAACAAGCATAATCCAATCGATCCTCCAACCCAGCACCAGCGGAAGCAGCAACCTCCATCACACGCTTCTTCGGCACGAAACAGGATCGGGAAAAACCTTTGGTATGCTCCTTGCGACACTCACCCTGGCTCTCCAAGCGCAAACCCAACCATATGCAAACGAAACCAGCCAGCGACAGCAACAGCAACAGCAACAGCAACAGCAGCAGCAGCAGCAGCACCAACAGCAGCAGCACCAACAGCAGCAGCACCAACAGCAGCAGCACCAACAGCAGCAGCACCAACAGCAGCGCACTTTGTTTCTCGTGCCCAACCGCGAACTTGCCCTGCAGATCGAGCACTGGGCACACACGCTACTCTCTCCTTTCCCCACGCTTTCACACAAGAAGCTAATCCAGAGTTTTGTCAGCGGCACGCCCTACGAGCAAGATCAAATTGGCATTTTGCGCCGCCACGGCATACCCAGAATCACCCTGGGCACGCCCCGGCGACTCCTTGAGCTCCTCAGCCAGCCCTCTAGGGGGGAACACACGGGGCTGTTGTTTGGTGGATTGGCTAGGGTGGTTGTTGATGAGATTGACGCGGTGTTGAAGTTGCCTGGGAAACACGCCTCGGAGAAGCAAATCAAATTAAGGCGGGAGAAACCTAGACCGGGCCAGATGCTGGTCGAGAGGATTGTCGGCGTAGCGCCCAATGAGCAAAAGGACGCAGGTGATGCTCGGGCTGGGGCTGAGGCTGGAAAAGAGGCTGAGGAGCGGGGCGCTCGGCAGACGCGGATGCGGAAACAGAACGCCAGGGGATGGCAGAAGAAATCAGACGTGCACCTGCTCTCGCCCACCCGCCCCACTGCTGGCGGCGCCAATGTTAATTTTGGGCTCGGTGCCCGTGACCGCGTGGCCGAGTCGCCGCCCGCCGTCCAGCTCATCATGGCGTCAGCCACGGCCAACAAGGAGCTGCGGTCCTTCCTGCGCATGCGCAACTGGACATCGCCAGCGCACCCGCTGCACACCATCGACATCCAGCAAGGAATCACGCTGCCGCCCTCCACAACACACCACTGCCTGGTAATCGAGAACCAACACTCCATCCGAAACCTCCACCCAACCAACCCCAGCGCCAGCGCCGACTCCGCAGCCGGCCCAGACAGCTTCAGGCGGCAGCAGAGAAGCCGGGACACGGAGGACGAGAACCCGTGGGAGTCGGATGTTTCCAGACGGTCGGCGCAGGCGCAAACGCACGTGATGGACCTGATGGCCGAGGTGGCAGCCAACGTCATCCGCGCAGTGCAGCCCTCAGGGCCGACGCTGATATTTGTGCGGTCCGACGCCAACTCGGCGCAGTTCGCCGAGATCCTGCATACGTTCGGGGTGCCGGCACAGCAGCCGGAGGACATGGTGACGCACCACCAGCAGCAGCAGCAGCAGGCGCAAAAGAAGACGCCCGCTGCCGACGACGCCGCAAGGAAGGAGGCGGAGCCCAGGCTGGTGTACTTGGCGACGGAGGAAGCTGCGCGCGGCTTGGACATCCCTGGCACGGCGCTGGTGCTGATCCTGGACATTCCCAAATCATCCGCTAGTTACGCCCACCTGGCCGGCCGCACGGGCAGATTCGGACGGCCGGGCACTGTGGTGTCGGTCGTGCCCGTGGGCAGGCTTGGCTGGTACGAGAGCAAAATGCGCGGCATCTTCCACTCGCTCAGCATCACGCCGGCCAAGGCCGACTTTGTAGAATAGACAAATTTGATCGTATTAACTTAATCCATTGATTTCAAGGCTTTCTTTTGCGCGCGCATAGAATGTAGTTGGCTTGCACGCCGATGTTCCGCAGCAGTCCCCAGTCGGCCGGCACCACGTGGCAGGAGTTCGACAGCGGCTCCAAAACCAGCCCGCTCACATCGACAGTCTCGGCGCCCACCGCCTCCAGCATTTCCCTGAGCTCCTCCGGCTTCAGAAACTTGGCGTGGTCATGGGTGCCGCGCGGCACGGTGCCGAGGATATACTCGGGGACCACCACGTCAATGAGCATTGCCGCCGCGGTGCGGCTCATCGTCGACACGAAGACGAGCCCGCCAGGCCGCGCCAACTGCACCAGGCTGCGGACAAACGCCAGGGCATCGGCCACATGCTCGATGACCTCCAATGAAACCACGCAGTCGAACTGCCGGCCCTCGGCCACCAGCTGCTCGGCAGTCATCCGGCGATACTCCAGCTGATCCGGCAGGGCCAGGGCGGCATCCTCCAGGGCGTGCATCCGCGCCACCTGCACGTTCTCCAGCGCCGCATCAACCCCCAGCGTACGCAAGCCCATGCGCGCCAAGCTCTCTGCCGCCAATCCTCCGCCACACCCCACATCCACTGCACTGGCCCCCTTGACTGTCGGTGTTTTGAAGTCGCTGAGGCGCTTGTGGATGTATTGCATTCGAGCGGTGTTCATTGTGTGCAGGTGCTTGAAGGGCCCTTGGGTGTCCCACCAGGCTGTGCTGATTTGCCGGAATTTATCGACCTCGGATGCAGTTACTGACGGCGAACTGTGTGTGTCTAGATCTTTGCCGCTCGAAAATGCATCATTGGAGCTGGAGCTGGTACTGGAGCTGGAGCTGGTGCCGGTGATGGTGCCAGTGCTGCTGCTAATGGTGCGTTTTTGAGCTGACAAAGTGCGGAAGACATGAGTGGCGCGGTGACGCGCAATTGAAGACGACCCTAGCCTGAGCATTGTAATTGGAAATTCAAATAAATATAATTCAAAACCTAAAACCCATAGAACCAAAAGGAATTATCAATGTCGTTGAAAAAGAAAAGAAAAAAGTGAAACGAGATAAACAATTCTTTCTAAAAATCCAAATACCCGCGATTAAATTAAATGATTGGTTCGGCTTAAACAGATTCATAATTAAAAAACTCAAATTTGTTGTTTTACCATCCACATAAGGTGGGTGGGGGGTGTCACGTGTCTATAACATTTACTTTTATTCTGATGTTCCTATATCGGCACAAATTCGGTGAGTGGCCCCAACCCTTGCTTTCAAGCGCTGTGGTAGGACCGCCAATTGGTCGGAATGCTGCGCCCAAGTGCAACAAGACTGCATGCTTTTTTATCATTTTTCTCGTATCATCGCAGCCACTACTACCAAACAGCTCGACCCCCCCCTCCCCCCACAGGGTAAAAAAAACCAGTGGCTACGAAATGGATGGAGAGGAACTTGATCTCAAAAATAATAATGCGAAATTATTATTGGGGCAGTTTTTTTTGACCATCGTGCTATTTATTTCCCACGCATATTCAACATCATGTATGCGGCTGGCTTTGCATGATGTAATTCGCATTGTCACGCTTGTTGCCGCAGGGATTCCAGCAGCAACAAGCGTGACGGCAAATATTAAAGCAAAAAGATTGTATTGAGAAAAAGAAAAAATTACGCGTAAAATCTTAAATGAAAGAAAAAGTGTATGTAGGTTTGTGAACGTTTAAGGGGAGAAAGGCTTGAATGAAAGAAAAAAGGAATGTGGTGTGGTGAGATATTATAGAACAAAGCCGTTGGTAGTCACTGCAAATCCTAAGGCACCGGCAAGACCAAGACCAACAGCTGCAGCAGTGGCAGCCGTGGCCGTAGCCGTAGCAGAACTAGACTTGCTTTTCTTAGTGACGGCCTCAGCCTCAATCTCAGTCGCAACCTCAGCCTTGGTAGTCTCAATGCTTGCATTGGCCAAATACTTCTCCGAACACTTTGTCAGAGCAGCCATAACCCCCTGGGCATTCACAACCACGGCGTTCAGTTCGCCTAACTGCCGCCTTGCCACCTCCCTCTCGCTCTCCATCGCTGCCACCGGCCCTCCTTTTGCCAAAGGCCGCTCGCCCAAAATAAACTGCAACATGTCCATAGCCTGAGGTGCCTCGGGAGCTGGTCCACGATGTCTAAAAACCCACTCTCTCGATAAGCCCGAAACACCGCTATTCACCCTCTGCTGCTGTTGATGATGATGATGCTGTTTGGCACCATGCAATAGAAGCAACTGCTGCTGCTCAGGGTTGTTGCGTTTTTGGTTTTGTGTGCGAAGATGTGCTGCATGAGAGAGTATGCTGGCTGAACGAGTGCTGTTGGCGAGATGACGCTGTGTATATGTAGTGGCAGTGCGGGATGTGGTTTTGAAAAGTAGACTCATATTGGTATTGAATTAGTTAGTGTGTGCAAAAATGGAATTTGAAAGAATTAAAAAATAAAAGGAAAATAAAAAATAAAAAACAAAGAAACTTGAAAATAAAAAATAAAAAATAAATTGGCCAGAGCTTTTTGAACCTGTTTATATACAAACCCAAGAAAAAATGTTACCACTATCAGGGAGAAGGGAAGGGGCACGAGGACTGAATCATTTTATTTTTTGTATATGCTCTGCAAGGACTCTTCTTACTCTGCCCAACAACTTTTTTGTTTTCCTTTTAGTAAGCGCATAAAAAAAGCGCAGTCAAAATAAAAAAAACCACTTCCCACCAATAATGCAAAAATGCAGAAAGGGTCCACGAATTCTCTCTTTCTCACTTTCTCACTTTTCTCCTTCCCCCCCCCCCCCCCAAAAAAAAAAAAACAAGAGTGTGATAGGAGAAAATATAAAAAAAAAACAAGAGTGTGATAGGAGAAAATATAAAAAAAACGCCAAGCAAAAAAATAATCTCCGAGAGAATTGTAAAGCGAAAATAAAGTATCTGGAAAGGCCAATCCAAAGTGGCACGTGGAATACCACGCATACAATCACTTACATATCACTTGCTCGCTGAGCGAATAAAAAAGATGCAAGTGACAATTGGCCATGTCTATTTTTGGGGCTATTTCCGCTCCCAGTATCATAAAAAATGGAAGTTATATTACTTTACCTGAAGAAAAAAACTTACACTAACTTGTGCGACCACAATTTTTTTTTTGTAGAGAGACCATTTAAATATCAGCCCCAATCAACCGATCATATATAATTAATTAGACAAATGCTAGATCTACACCCAAATGCTACATACGCACTATGGCTGTCTTCATGTTGATTTCTGCTCATTATACGGGGTTACATTTGCATTTAACAAATCAATGTGTTGAGTAGTCTGATTGTAATAAAACTTATTCGTACTAACTAATTTTATTAAAAATACACTATAAGGGAGCTTCCAGAGCTCCACTTATCTATTCGAAACTATCGCCCGTGAAAATAGAAATCGCAATCATAAACAATCGCAATTTCCCAATTGCGAGTGTCCCGTGACATTGCAATAATTGATGTCACACTGATGATATGAAAGTGGATGTCGAGGTTGAGAATCGTAAAACGAGTTTCCATCAACATGCTAATTGACAGGGCATAGATGGTACCATGCAGGATCAAATAAGGGGACATAATAATAATACCCTCTGATATGCCCCCCCCATTTAATAATGCACACGTATGAATGTGTACATCCAAATATCATAATATTGATACGCCAAGTTACTAGTCTGTCTGTAGAAGAACCAGTTCTCACCAACGGAGTGCACAATCGGTGAAGTGCACAATAAAGGCAACGAGACATATATATAAGACGAGATCAGCCTCAGTTATCCTTTTGGTTGCATTGGTAATAAAAACCTCTATAAACTGACATCCCACTGTTGTGATTTAAGGGGAGTACTAGTTGTCTAGTGCTGAAGGTGCTTTGAGTTGAGCGGAGCACTAGTCACCTAGTGTTAAAAGTGTGTTTAGGCTTTGTTATAGTTTTTATTACCAAGGGAATCGAATGTAGAACTAGGGCCGGCCTCGTCCTATATATGTGTCTCGTCACCTTTGTTGTGCACATTGCCAATTTTGGACTCTGTTGGCGAAAACTGGATCTTCTGCGATCAGACCGGTATCTTGACAAGTCAATGTTGTGGTTTTCGTGTGTGTGCACTCACGCGTGTGCATTGCAAAATGGGGAGCATGTCTAGACATCATTATTATGCCTCACTAATTTACGCCTGCATAATCCAATTAGTACCCTATCAATCGGCATGCAGATAGAAACTTGCTTCATGATTCTCAACCTCGAAATCCAGCTTCCATATCTTCAGGCTGCGCAACACCTATATTCTCGCTGTTTTTCTATTAAATACAAGTTTCTGTGCTATTCACGCTTAAAGATATATTTATTGCTTACATTGGCACCCGTTGCTGCACTTTGCTTGACGCTCATATTGTTGTACTTAATTTTATTTTATTCGTCGCTCATTGCTTACTTATTATATTTCAAATGCCAAAACCAGCCCTCCTCAGCCGCTCCTCGCAGCTATTTACACTCGTATCCAGCTCATACAATGTAAACCTTTCTTAGAGCTGTGTGCCTGGTAGCTTGTCCTGACGCCTGCAACTCAATTGTTGTTTCTCCAAATACCAGTATACTTGTTTTTTTTGGCTCTTTTAGCCCTTTTTGTTTTGGTAGCTGAACACACAAATAACAAGAAAGACTATTGTACAAAGGAACAAAGAAACATACCAATGATATTGCTTTGCTTTTTTGCGCGCTTAATTCCCAAAAGAAAAAATTGAATGAGTATCTTTTTAATTGATTTTTATTTTTAATAAAGCAGACACACGCATGCCAAGTTTGCTTTATTTGTTTCTGTCTTGCAATTTATTTTAGTCCAGCCGCTGCCAATTGTTTTTATGTGCAATGTGAGCATTTGCTTTTTACTCACTTTTCTCTTCCATTTTTTGCAATTTATCATTTTAACAATTACTATTTAAAATATTGTACTTTTACAACACGTTCAACCGCTTTAAACAACAATATTATTGCTATCAATATTATTTCTTTTGCTATGCCTTGCTTTAGCCAGCTTCCATTTGTCATTCTCAACCGCATTCTATATGTAGCCATTAACACTGGCAGACACGATATCGACGTGTGGGCAGACAGATTGCCGCTGCTGGGCGTCTGCCGCAGGTGGAGAGAAGTGGCCACTAGCTTGGTCTATTGTAATGCCATACTTGATGGGTCTAAAAAACACAGTTTTGGTTTTGTTAAGCACTCGCATGACACCACTGTCGAAGACAAGCTCGTTAATACCAACATTGGGCTGGTCAAGGCTACTGGAAACACGCACCTGGTAAAAACTGTGACCATCGAGATTGATCATTTTGAATATTATCGTTCCCTGCTCGCCGAAGCAAATTCAATATTCTCATTCGAAACGAGTGACTGGAGCAGAGTCAGCATACTCAACATCAGCGGCTACCTGGACAACGACGATAGCGACATTGGCAGCGAATCTCAGTCTGATATTATGGACAATGCAAATGAATTTACTCGGCAAATGGCAAAGTATATGCCAGGTGTGGATAGGCTGGACAATATGACGTATCATAATAATGTACCCCCCATATTTGATATAACTGGTTTATTGTCACAAATGTATTCGCGCAATTTAAAGTATTTGCACAGCTATGAACCATTTACGCTTGCCGAGTCAGTAGAGCCAGCCAAGTTTACTCAGCTCACAACGCTCAATATCAATATGAACCATATGGGCTACATCCCACACGTGTGCTGTCAGAAGCTGCAGATGCTGGTGCTAAGCAATGTCACTAGCGCGTTTTCTTGGAGCAAGCTGGTAAATACGAAGCAGGCGGAAACCATTGTGTTTCCCAGCCTGCGCAAATTGAATCTTGAATTGGATGAAAGTTCTGATGTGCGAAGCATTTGGAGTTCGAATGAATTGCAGTTCCCAGCTCTCCGGGAGTTGAGCGTCACAGTCCCGACATTTGGCATGCTAAAAGAATTTATGGATTTCAAGGTGTTAAAGTGCCCACACGTTACACAGCTTCACATTGACATCAGTGAATTTAACAAGGATTCGGGCGATGATTTCAATACCCTCCTGATACAGCGCAGCAAAAATCTGGCAGCCAGTATAAAGCAGCATATTCCCAATGTGACCGAGTTAAATATAGGTTGTTATGCTTGTAATAGCAAGATCCCATTTTACGATGAGTTGGTTAGCCTTTACATTGACCAGCTTGTTTTCGTCAACATTTCTTTCCCAATAACATTCACTGCAACGCAGTTTTCCGGCGAGCTCACGCACTTGTCGCTGAATCTCGAGTTGAATACTTTGCAGAGCCTTCCAAATGTGCTTTTTGAAACACTGGAATACTTGGACTTGATCAATGTACATCCCACATTTGCATGGGAGAAAATACTAAAGAACGATTCGAAAGCTGAGAATATATGCTTTAAGCGCTTGGAATCCTTGAAAATCAAATACAGTGAGAGTATTGAAAACGAGGAAGGTAGTGAAAACGAGTACGTTGCTTTGGAATGCCAGCAATTTATAAGCAGCCAGAAGGAGCAGCAGAAAAAACAGGGTACACTCAATGCTTTGTGCCCCAGACTGAAGAATATGTGGATTAATAATGCTACGGTCCCCAGATTCAAAAAAATAATGAGATGCGGCTCTGGCCAGTGGCCTTGTGTCAGGAGTGTAGACATATGGTTCCAGAAATACGACATTTCCAATGTTTTGGATATCATTGACAGCGATGAATATATGCAAGCTACATCCGCGTTTGCCGAATACATGGTCAAGGCAATGCCCAACGTCAATAACTTGACCATGCAGTTCTTCGGTTGCAGCTACAGGCATTTAAAGCAATTTTGCAGCGTTGTTTCCAATGGCTACGCTTACCAACTAATAAGCTACGATTGCAGTATTCCAGTTGTGTGGACAGCCAATGCGTTTTCGCCCAAGCTTAGGCACCTGAGTGTCAATTTGGACATAAATGGAAAACAGGCCCTGCCAAAAATCAACGCAACAAATATTGAGTCAATTAAATTGACAGGAGACATTAGCGGCGTTTCGTGGAAGAGCTTTGCAAGCAATAATGGGAATTCGACGAGTATTACTTTCAGCAGCTTGAAAAAATTGGATGTGCTCCACTTCGACATGGAAGATGAACCCGCGCTAGCAGACAAAAATAATTCCGAAACAAGCAGCAAAGAATATTTTGCGCTGTGCATGCCCAAACTAAATGAGATTACTCTTCACGAAATTGGTAACAACTTTGGGCTTTTGAACGCTTCTATCGAGTTCAGGCACTTAAAGAATGCATATATTTGTGGATCGCACAGCATGCTTAATCTATTGGCTAATGCAAGCAAGGCACGTATTGACAGATGCACGGTTGATATAAGTCTAGATCCTGATGCCAACTTGGACGCGTTCTACAAGGCAACAAACGCATTTTTTGGAAGCTCAATCAAAATAAGCCACGCAGAGCTGAGACTCTCTATACATATGGACACAGACGTGTGTTTGCAAAAATGGGATTCGCGGCGCATTGAATGGACTAACCTTCGTATGTTTACAGTATACAATTCGTTTAAGCTTGGTGCAATTGTGGATATGCTGGCCAGAATGCCCAAACTGACCAAGCTGGAGGCGATTGCTATTCTGCTTGACAAGGCCTTTGAGCCCAGGCTTGACCAGGTTGAACCAATATCTACCAACATCAACGAGTTATACTTGCATGCCTCAATCGATGATGATTGCAAAGAAGCAAATTTTGACAGCTTCAAATATTTGATATTGGCTACTCCATCGCTAAAGAAATTCAACCTTTCGGTGGATGAGGGCTTTGATCACATGTCGTTTGTCGAGGAGTACAAGGACTTGCATCCACACGTGGCAAACATTGCTTGGGAGCAATTGTAGAAATATATTAGTTAACAAGTGAGTTTATAAGGTAGTTTATTGAGTTTAAGTTTGCATAGCAAAAATAAAATGTGATGTGTTTGCTAATCTTGCAATATATATATAATACATTAAGAAACATCGGCACCACAATCGAGTGCATGGATATTTAGTCGACTTGAATATTTAATGGTGAGCAATAATATAACCTATACAATATTGTTTTTGGAAACATTATTCTTATTTAGAAAGTTTAAAATAGTGAACATAATGACCAACAATAGGTCCATTTAAAGTAAATTCTATTTTTGAACTTATTTTTATTCGTATTTTTAAATAAATGGCTAAAAACAACTTTTTCATTAGATACATTTTTTAATTTGGAATGTAATCTATGTGGTGCCCAACACACATTTCAAGCCACTATCTTCCCTTTTCAAGAATCAAGATCGCCCTCATGGCCACTATACACATTTCTGTTATTGCTGGCTGACATCAAGGAATACCATGATGTTTACAGCGCTGCCTCCTTTTCAGTTTAGTAAGTAATTTTTAAGACTTGAATATATCGATTTAGACCCACATTTTTATAGAGCACGACAGATGCTAGCAAAGTTTGTAAAAGACTATGAATCAAGGTTTCCTCATTTAAGTAATGTTGACATAGGCTATGGATATGACGCGGCAAATGCAATTACGGATCAACTATATATGAAAGGACTGTTTTGCTTAATGGGCTCTAATGAATAATATATTACTTATTTTTTGATTTGATATAATATATTCAATAATAAACATAAAGGAATGTGCATTTCTCAACATTCTGATTAGTGTGTTTGTCGCACATATTTGAACGTTATTGATAATTATTAAACCAATTCCAACTGAAAATTTTTCAACGGTTCTCAATCTTTTTTCATCTACACGTTAGAAAAAAGACATTATAACTACACCGCAACTGTTGCATTGGCACTATTTGCAGCCCTGGCAACATCCACAGAGTTATGGCGAGAGCACCCAGGGTGAGCATCAGGGCGCAAAAAGCCTCTTTTTTTTTCTCTCCCAATCGACGTCCACTCCCCGCCATACTCATGACCCGGATACACAATAGTATTGTCCGGAACCGCACATAATCTAGTTCTCAAACTTTCCAGCATATCCGGCAACGACCCGCCCTTCAGATCAACGCGACCACAACTGCCAGGGAACAAAGTATCGCCACTAAACAGGCGGCACCCGTTGACCAACACGCACTGGCTTCCAGGCGTATGACCCGGAGTGTGCATGAAATGCAGGTCCGTTCGGTCCCCAAGACGGAAGGAAAACCCGTTGGGCGTCGGTGTAAAATGACGCGGCTGCAGCTGCGGGTTGGACTCGATAATATCGGGGATATCCAGCGGGTGAACAAGAAGGGGCAGATGGGGCATACGACGTTTGAGTTCGGCAACGCCAGATACACGAATACGCAGCGACGCAAAGGGCGGCGGCGGCATTCCGCCAGTATGGTCAAAATGGCTGTGGGTCACGGCGGCAGCAGCCAACAAAAGCTTTTCGCGCTCAATGACTGCCAAAATACCATCGACGTCCCAGCAAGCGTCGACAACGACGCATTTGCGCGACTCCTCGTCGGCGATCAGATAAATGAAGTTCTGCATGCCCTGGGCAAACCGGAAAATACCCGCTCTAATCGGGTGCAGTCCGCGCGGCTTCAAGGCAAAGTCTCGGCCAGCCAGCATCTGAACGACCCGCAGGCCCATTGACTCGTTCTGTGCCAAAATACGCGCCCGCTCACAACTTACGCGCACGTGAATATCGTGTGGCTCCAGAGCAGCTGCTTTTCGGTAGCCTGCGTGGGCCTCGCGCACGCGGCCAAGGGCAAGTAGCGCCTCGCCGCGGCGAAAGTGGCCCTTGGCCCACGTTGGACGCAGCGAAATGGAGAGCGAGGCGTCGGTTGCGGCCGCCAGATACTTGCCCAGCGCGTAGGCGGCGGCCGAGCGGTTGCTGTAGAGCAGCGCCGTGATATCAGTTTTCTCATCGCCTGCAGCCATAAACCATGGATCAGGCACGTGGTCGAGGCCGCCGTTGGACCGCCGCTCTGGTGCCGCAGTGGCCAGCGGCGAGAAAGCCGGGTTATTGATTTGCTCGAGAAGCGCGCTGGAAAACTCGTACTTGCCGCTGGGCGTCTGCACCAGGCCCGCAGGCAGTGGCTCGTTGACAATGACGGTGGCAGTGGCGGATGCAGAAGCAGCAACGGCATTGGCTTCAATGTCGCTGTTGAAAACCTTGATTGGCGGAGGCGCATGCTGCTGCTGTCCACGACGGCTGCTAGACCACCAACCGCCAGTGGACCGCGAAAAGGACAGCCAGGTTTTGCGGCCAGCCATTGGCTCGTTCCTGTCCGAGTCCTCCACGTCGCCGTTGTTCGCATTCGAAGTTATGCCGGCCTCCGCCCTGGGCTCAACAGCCACCTCCGTCCTGGTCTCGTACTTGAACTCGGCCTTGGTCGGCCTTTTGCCAATGCCTGAGATCCTCGAAATATTTTCCCTCGACCACTCCAGAGGCTCCCTTTCGGCAAAAGATACAGAGCATCGCCATCCCAGCTTTTCCAGCTCTTTGACCACCGACGGCCTCGCCAGCAAATCCCGGGTCATCGTGCCCTCTTGCGGGTTGAGCAGAAGCAGCGCCCACGAGTAAAGGTCAAACGCCTCCTGATGCCTGCCGCCCTCAAAGGTCTCGTTTGCCAGCGAGCCAAACTTATACACTGGATGCCGCGCCCTGCGCGCCTGCTCCACGACGGGCACCGATTTGGGCGTCTGCGGTGACAAAACAACCGGAGTAGGCATGTGAAACGCAGGCAACTGCATTGTGGCCTCGGGTGCAACAAACGAGTGGCCATCGATGTTTGTGTCCGCATGAGTGATGCGGTCGCTCTCGGCGGTCTCCGGGTCGGGCGATGCCGGCTCAGTCCATTCCGGGCTGAAATCATCCGGTGATGTGGGCGAGTCTTGGCGCTTGGGCTGGTCCCAGCATGCCTTATATTCGTCGGGCATCATGCTGGTCTCCCAGGGCGTGTCGCCGTACCCTTTGGCGGGCGAGTCCGTGTGCAGATCCTGCGACATAGCTTCCTTGTCCAACTCGTGTTCAAACCGCTCTGTTTTGATCTCGATTTTAATCTCGCCATCATTCTGTCCGTGCTTGTGTTCGTGTTCGCGTTCGTGTTCGTGTTTGTGTTCGTCGTCCGAGCTGTGCATGAGATCCTCGCCACTACTATCTTCAGCAGTCAAATTGGACATGGCCGTGCAAAACGAGCAGCTATCTGACTGAGACTCTGGCCTCCCCACTGCCGAAAGTCTAAAGTTTGCAAGATCTTCTGCCAACTGCGTAAGATTAGCCCCCAAAGCCGTCGTGATTTCTCCCTCCACGACTCTCACCGACCGTATTGAGGCTGCCAAGAGACTCCGCGAAGCTTCTTCATTTTCTTTTTCCAAGAACTCGGCTGTACCCATTATTTGTTGAAATTCGGAGCGTGTCGGCGGTACCGAGCCTGGATGCACTACAAAGACCCGTTGGGAGACAAATCCAGAGTCAATACCCGATAGAAGCAGGTGGTTGCTGGATACCTGGGATGCTGAGTGACTGGGGCTGGGGCTGGGTATGGCTGATGATGTCTCGGATATGCGGAGGTATTCGGGCTGTACAAAGTTTGGCTGGCTTTTCCTGACCTTGACTGTGTTGGCCAATGGCGTGCGATGGCAGTTGATGGCTGAGTAAGATTTTCGCTCGCAGAGAACTAGAGATACAAAAAATGGTATTTTTTATAAAGAGCAAAGCAGTTATCAAAAAATTAGTAAGAACCGAGTTTTGGAACCAAAATGCAAAAAAAAGCAGTATTTGTCCGTTGGCGTCAGCGTTGGTGTCAATAGCAATATCAATGCCGATGCTGATGCCAATACCACCCCAAATGAATGGTGCCAAAGAAGTAGAAAGAAGAAGAAGAAAATGACACGGTAACAATTATTTTGTTTTTCGGGCTTGTGTCAAAAAAAGGCTTGTTGTGCGGCAAGAAAACCAAGCTGAAACGACAAAGACCTTCCGTATCCAAGCGGGAAGAAAAATGAAAAAAAATGAAAAGCACAATAATAAAATTCGCAATCACAAAACAAGCACGCATACACACAAAGCGTCAACATCAAGCGTGGGGTGGAGCAAGCATTAATTCACACCGATTTCAGTATTTACCTTTTTCTGCAACTCGTCCGCTTTTCTTCGCAGTACGTGACACGCCATCCTGGGAGCCTCCATCAGTAACCGACGAGTCACCGTAGACAGCCACCACCGACGGTGACGTAGCCGCCCGAGGCTGTAAGCGAATTCGCATGGCCGGCAGCGGCGGCTCACAAACCTCTCCGCCCATCTCTGTCTGCCCGTGGCAGGGGCACATCCGAGGCATCCCCATTGGCTCAGAAATATCCAGCGCCGGCCCCGCCTGCGTATGCACAAACTGGGCATTTCCCGTGAACGACGGCATCAGCGAGTGCAACGGCGACAGATGCCCACGGCTACTGTTCCAACTGCTATTACTCACCACCCCGTAGCTGTTAAAGTGGCGGTGCGAGCAGCAGCAGCAGTATGGGAGGCTGTCAACGGCCGTTTGGATTGACCGCAGTCCGCCCTCCTGCCGACCCATGTCGTAGCTCAGCAGAAGCGCCTGCTTGGGCGCAGACACGGGCTCGGGGCATCGGATGCCTGATGGAAAGTGGCCGGTTGGGTGCGCAGTCGCTGGCATTGGCGGCAGGTTATGCGGCGCTGTCGGCGCAATGCGCTTGTTGATGACTGACGTTATGGACGGCGAAAAGGCAAACTTCGTATCCTCGCCGGAGCCGTCATCCAGCCTGCCGCCGACGCCGCTGCTTCGGCCCAAATCCGTGCCGGATCCAGAGCACCCCAATGACCCGGGGTCCTGCCCCGCGGGCCCATCGCCTGTGCCGACGCGAATAGTGTCATAGCGCACCCTCAGGTGGAACAACGACGACGGCCTCAGGTTGCGTGGCAGCCTGTAGTCTGGATCCCCCTTTGCATCCACAAACACGTCACTGGAGTCGCTGAGAAAACTGCCAACGCTATTGTTTGTAATCCCCTTCGACCCATACACGCCCTTGGACGCCATCGGCAGTCTGCGCTTCAAATCCCTCAGCCGCTTGCGGATCTTCAGCCCGGTGTCTAAAAACGGCCTGCTGTTTTTATGCGCCATGCTCGGCCGTCCGATTCCGCCGCTCATTCGCGGCATGAATTCTGTTTCTATTGAGCAGATGGAGTCGGCCAAGGACATGTTGTTGGTTGATGAGCTGTGTTGGCGCTGATGCATGCTGCGTAGTTGTCCGCTGCTGGCTACGGACATTAGCCCCATATTGCTTATGCGCCGACGGCGCCGGCGCCGTCGTTGGGATATTTTGTCTACTGCGCTGCTGCTGACTGAATAGGAGGGGTTCATTAATTGCGTGATATTAAAGGAAAAAAGGTATAAAAGAATAAAGACGACGAATTAAAACAGTAACAAAAATATTAAATGTGAAACTAAAAAAGGAAAATGGTATGTTTGTAATGCACAAAAAAGGGATTTATTTTTTGGGACGGTATGGAGTTTGAAAAAATGTGTGGGTATTTTTTATTTTTATTTGACCATTGTCCTTTTTTTCTTGTTTTCTGCTGTTTGCAATTGTGTTTATTTTTTATTTATTTACAATCATCGCTTACTCCTTTGTAATAACAACAAAAATTATGTGATCTGCGAGCGACAACAATGGTCTTTTTGGGATCAACCATCCTCTTTATCTTACTTTTAAAATTGGCTTGAAAGAAAGTGAACATGCATCCATGTTGCATATATTTCTGGTCTCCGACAAGAAAAAAACAATTTTTTCATTCGTTCGTAAATCAACGCCTTCTTTTGTGCGTAAAAAAATTGCAATTGCCACTTTAAAAACAAAAAATATGAGCTATTTCTTTTTCTTTCTTTTTGGGGGCAGTGGCAGTGGCAGTGGCAGTGGCAGTGGCGGTTTTGGTTTTGGTTTTGGTTTCGGTTTCGGTTTCGGTTCATTTTTTTTGATTGCTCGGATAATACAAATTATGAAATGATCGGGCTCCACATTTTATTTCTCAATGGTGTTCGGTTCAGCTGATATCAGTCCACACCATGTCATGCCATGAAACTAAAGTGAAATTCAAAATATCCAGACTGCAAAATTTATCCTATTCGGATGTTGAATTTAATTGGAATACATCCCCCGCGTCCCCCGTGTGGCGTTTCAATTTTCAGTTTATATGTACAGACTACTAAATAATAATCGTGGTCGTAATCAAGTGATGCCCCCCTTTTTTATTTATAAAAATTGCATGTTTTCTTAATACTGGCTAGAGTAATAAGGTGGTATGATTCCGGAATTTCCGCGGGCATGCCACTCACAATCGGACCATTTATTTTTCTGCCCAATCAACCTAAACAAACAAAAGTAAAAAAAAAACGTATGTTTTATTCTTTCCCAAAATCAATTGTACAATGTTTAAAATTTTTTATATAAAGGCCGCAAAGTAATTTATCCATCTCCCAAAAGCTAAAAGTAAAACCCTTTTTTTGTATAGCTTCCAACTTTTTGTCATTCATCTTCTCATCTTTTATCTTCTCATCTTTTTTTGTATTTTTATATTATTGTATTTTCAACTCTTCATCTTCAATGCTCGTTTCGTCAATTTCTCAAGACATTGCCAAACATAGTACCCAAATATGGCATTTTGCAGCGGCTTGCAGTGCCGCACTAACATACAAATGCCGCCATGCCAGTGTTCTCGCCAGCCACAGATTCCACGCAAACACCCACTTACTCATCCAGCCACAAACCCCGCAAAACAACAGACCATTGATACAACAAGGATACCCAATCCATGTTGTCAAGGGTGAGTCGACACTCATCGATCCCCTACAGTACATACTCAAGGACTCAATTTCCAACACCAGCTATGCGGATAACAGGGATGCGCATATAATTAACGAGCTGCAGGGTGCCCTTCAGTCAGCCACTAGGGTTGCGGAATCTCTCGTACACGCGTTTGGTTCGGATCTGGTTACGAGAGGCGTCAAGTGGGAGGGGAAGGCAGCTCGACTGGGAAGGGTGGTTTCTGATACGCGGAGCTCGGCATCTGGCGGTGGACGCACTATAGAGCTTGAAGTTACCCCGGCACAGCTACATAAGCTGTTGATGATGCGCGCACCCGCATCATCATTAATACCAAACAACACTGATGCAATGACCTTGGCCAGCAACAACAGCAAAGGCAAATATATTGATGGACTTTACAAATCCAATGACAATGGATGCGGTTATACCCCAATATCCACCGAATCGATTTTGGACAAGAACGATGTTATACGCAAATGGTCACTGGCAACTGTAGCAGCCGTGGCTTTTTTGGGCGTGTCTACGTTTCTTGGCTTGGACAATGACTCGCACCACTTTAATAAAATGACGTCGATTGATGTGAGCAACATCCTGTGTTGCTCTTGAAAAAGCATTAATTGTATATGTTCAAATTTGAATTAATTTAATAATTTATTATATATACGAGTACTTTTCGCAAAACAAGAAACAAGTTATGTCTAAAGCTGCCAGGCTGTTTTTTTTAACCTGTTTCCCTGGCTGGATTTAATCTGCTTTAATTTTCAGATTATTGATTGGAATTGTACTTGCAATTGCACTTGCTGTTTTATTTTTTTGGTGGTTGGAAATAATAGTTGAAATAAAAAAAGGCAACGTCCTTCAACTTCAATTATTGTGTAATTTTGAAAATTACAACTGAGTTTGCTGCCAATCATAAACACATGAAGCAGAAGAAAAAACACCATGTCATCGGCCAGAAAGGCCAAATTGCGCTTTAGTGATCGGCATATCCCCTTTATTCTTTTTTTTATATTTTTCACACATCATGCACACAATGCTTTTTTTATAAATGTTGTGCTCAAGTGAAAAAGCTCACCAACTATATTTTCACTCGACACAATAGTTGGCTATGACTACCCATTGTGCCTTGTCGATTTTTTTTAAATAAATTTCACAGATTTAGGTTTTTTAAAATTACATTATTCAATATATACCAAAAAAAACAGCGTGGTAATGTTGCTTATTCAACATAGTTATTTATAGATCTGTTTCAACAACGGATAAAAAAATAGTTTTTTTTTGGAAGAGGGGCTCGTCACTGGTTCCTTTCCCCTTGCTTCTTTTGTCCTGTTGTGCACAAGTTTATTGAGTTTGCATCATCGTCCAATCATGAGATTGAAACCAGATCTTTTCTTTAAGTATCTACAACATGCGTTCAGTTGCATCAAGCAATGCAACTGCAGACATTGTATTTATTTTGTGGGAGGAGTGTTTGATATGAGCTTTGTGTATTGTGAGCAATATTAGTGTACAGCAGCCAGTTATGTGCGCAGCTTAATAATGAGTGCGCAATAGTTATTTACACATGAATTTAAACAAAACGATTAGTGGTATATTTCGTCCAAAAAAATGTGCATTTGAATTATGCACTTTACATAGAGATGAATAATACAAGACTTCCCTAAGCCAAATGACAATCCTTCTCTTTCTCATTATTTTTTTGTTCAGGATTTGCATAGAGATTTTCATCAGGGTTTGTTTCGAAGAAAAAAGTAAAAAAAAAGTGTGAATACAGTTTTATAGTTGATATTTGTGTATAGCCAAACAGATCGAGATTCCGACTAAAGTGTAATAGAAATTAGAAAAGGTGCCATTTCTATTGTAATAGGCACTCTCTTGTTTATTTCTTGTCAAGATATATATTTACTTCTTTAGAAGCCAATTTTGAGTTGCAATATTATTCGCTGGGCATGCTGAGATAGACAAGTGAGCAGAGTTGAAGAAAAAAATCAAGAACATTTTTTACATAGGTGAAAAGATGGCAGATTTTTTTTGTGCATATACTCTGTTCCTAACAAAACATAAAATGAGGGTAAACGTATCTCGCGACTGCTTTTATTCTTCTTTATACCATCTCAATCCCAAAAAAATTTACGTTTGCCAACTGAATATTTCCATTCTTCACATTTTCTTTTTACCTTCTACAAGCGTAGCCACTGCACCTGTCTTTTATTGAATCTTTTTATATTCTTCTCGCACTCCACTATTGAATAGTAAAGAGCTAAAATTACAAGATGACTTTGCTGATTGGCAGTCTCTCGGACTGCATCAGCGCTATTTATACAGCCACGGTATTCTACTGGGCGCTGCCCTCTGGCCATTGTCTACATAACATACCGCCTCCATTCCGCGCTCACACCCCCTCCCAACCAAGACGGTGGCGTTCCCTACATTCCAGTGCATAAATCTCTGCGCTGGATGCTACAGAGCACCATTGACCGCTACACAATCATGCAGAACCTGCAGAAGCCGTACTTTGAGGACCCCGGTGTTGCCAAGATCTGGATGTTTGGCGTTTGGAAGTACAGCATCAACAACGCCGAGTTTGCGCGCACATTTTTCACACAGTCGGATATTTTTGAAAAAGTCAATGTTCGCAAGATGATTCCGCACAGTCTTGGCCCGCGTGTCCCCGGCAGATCGCTGGTCTTTGAGAATGGAAGCGCTTACCGCGGTCACCGCGCAGTTGTCAGTCCCGCTTTCCGCCATCTGTGGCCCGCACATCTGTTCAAAAAGCCCATGGATGACATGATCCACGTGTTTGAGACCGATTGCAGCAAGCCGGTCGAAGTGCTGCATATTTTTTACAGAACCACTGTTGATGTTTTGGGCCACATTGTCATGGGCTACGATTTTGAGGCACTGCGCAATCCCGGCAACAAGTACACTTCCATGTATGATAACCTGGTTGCTGCTGTTGTGCATCCCATTTACAACATGCTCCCGTGGCTGGATCTCTTCCCCGTGGGAAACCGCACCCAGCAGTGGAAGAACCTCGAGCGCTTTAATGCTTTCCTCGAAAATACCATTGAAGAGAGACTCGCTGAGGTGGAGAAAATGGCACTGCTTACTTCTGACGAGCGCAACAACGCCAGTTTGCTCACGCTGCTGCTAGAGTCGTACATTCAATCAACATCTGGCAAGATGCTTGATGATCGCGGCAAGCCCGTCACACCATTGACCAAGGAGGAACTGCGCGACAATATCGGTCTGTTCTACGTTGCTGGCTACGACACCACGGCTAATGCACTTTCATTTGCAATGATGGAGTTGGCCCGCTACCCAGAAATCCAGAAAAAGGCGCGCGATTAGGTTCTTGAAATCATTGGTGACACTCGTGACGTCTACCCGACCGACGAGCAAATCAAGCAACTCATGTACCTGAATAGTGTTCTTAAGGAAGCCATGAGGAAAAACTCCATTGTCACAGATATCAGACACTGCCTCTCTGAGCCTGTCCAACTGGGCCCCTACACTCTGTCCAAAGGCGCCACTATGTCCATTGATTCCTGGTCGATGCACTATAACCCGGCAAACTTCCCCGAACCCAAAAAGTTTATCCCTGAGCGGTTTGCTGAAGATAAAGGTGCTGATGTCAAGGCGGTTGCGCCTTATACTTCTACGACGTTTAGCAATGGTTCCCGTCAGTGTTCGGGCATGAAGTTTGCGTTGATTAAGCAGCGCATTGCTATGGCTCTTCTTTTTTTGCGCTTTGAGTGGACGCTGCCCGCAGACAGTCCGTTCTGGCACTCTACGCCCTCCACGGCCGGCGGACTCATCTCGCCGGTGGGCCTGAAGCTTGAAGTCAAACCCCGTCATTAAATTATATTAATTTTTTATTTAAAAAATCGGTATTATAAGTGTTTAATGCTTTCTAAATTTATTTGTTATTGTTTATCTTCAGTTATCGATTTACAGAATTATTATGCGTTGGTGCCCATCATAATTTTTTAAATACAAAATAAACAGGTACATGTGATTGAATTAAAACCATATGCATGTTCGGACATGTGTATTTTTTATAAATGATGTTAAAATTTTAATATAAACAAATAGAAATGGATGTATACAAATACAAAAAAAAACACGAAAAAATTATAAAACAATAGCTGCAGCGGCAACCACAGAACTTATAACCAAGCTGGTCCACAATTTATTTTCACCAACCAAACGCCCATTAGAACCATTAGTATTAGTAACTGTATCCGTATCCTCTCCAAGCGTAAACGTGAAAAACGCCTCACTGCGACTCAACTCCACACTAACAAACGATTCTCTCCACAAAGTATAATCAATACAATCCTCGACATTGCCTCCTTGGGGGCATGCCACGGGGGTAAATACGGTTGTGGTTTCTTGGTAAACATCTGCAGTGTTTACGCATTGGTTTAAACGACAGCTTGTGCCGAGAGTGCAGTTGGATTGGAATACCCAGTGAGATTGGCTGCAGGAGAGAAGGTGGGTGGGGGAGCCGCAGGTTGGGGTGTCTGTGGAGGGATCGCAGGATGTACCGAGGGTGGCCGTGCCATGGACGAAGCTGGAAAGGGTGGTGGTGAGAATAGCGACAAGGATCAAAAACAATTTCATTTTGTAATGTTCAAATTGTAATAAAAATGATGTGTAAATGGAGGTGAAAATTGAAATATAGTTAAGAGAAGAGAAGAGGAGGGAAAATCAATGTTGGACAATATAAATAGTCTGTCAGTTAATGCTCATTTTATAATAATGCGAATAATAATCTTTTTTGTTTTACCCTTGGCAACAACTAGGAAATATAAAATGGAACCACTCGCTTTTTTACTTTTAAAATGGAACTTATCTTTATTTTATTTTTTACAAAGAAGTAAAAAAAATTACAATTATACAATCAATTTTCTTTTTACTTTATACAAAATGCCACCCTCCCTTTTCATTGAACTTTATGCCAAGTGCTTTACCATTACAAACCCTGTTCCTACGCATACTCTCATTCATTCATTCTTAATTAATTAATTTTTACTCGATATTATTAATATTTATTAATCAATTCGCGCTCCTTCACAATCATCCCACGAATCTCTGCTACCTGCCTTTTCAACAGATCCAAATCCACCATCACCGGTGGCGGCATCAACAGTGAAGTCTCTCTCACCTTGCGTCCAACCTGAACTCCCACCGCCCTAGCGCCCTCAATCCCCCTCTGCACCTCCTCAACCATCCTCCGTATTTCCCCAGCCCTACGCTCTGCCTCCCCAGCCCTGCGTGACTTTTCCTCAACCACCCGGATGAGCTGCGATCTCCGCTCTGTCAATTTACGCAAATCTTTCGCGCGTCCATCACGATCCTCCTGGAGTTTTTTCACCAAAAAAGCGTGTTCCTCCTGATACGTCACAGACATATCCTCCAGCGAAGAAGAAGGCGGTGGGGATAGTGAAGATGATAGAGTCGAAGTGCTGGATGAAGTAAGCTGTTCTAGTTCATTGCACAGAACTGCTACTTGGGAATTCAACTGATCGAGTGTCCGTGTGAGTTGTCGGCGTCTAGCGTCCAGTTTATGTGACTCTGCGCGTTGTCTCTCTAACCGCGTCCGCGCCGCGCCCAGCTCGCCAGTACCACCAGCATTGCCCGCAACAGCAGTATCAGTAGGGGAAATGCCTTCTATGCCCCGGTTCATCTTGCGTATATCCAAATCAGCAGCAGAAAGCCGCTTACCCAAGTCTCTCAACTCTGCGCGCACCCCCTCAACATTCTTCCTCCCCCCAAGGAGGCCCCCAGCAGCAGCAGCAGCAGCAGTAAGATCACCAGTGTTTCCAGAATTATTTCCGCCAAAAAAATCACTTGGCCTAATGTACAGCTCCGCACTGCGCATGCCCAATATGGTCAGACACACTGTATAGGAGTTTCCAGGAACCAATCCGCGAATAATTATCGGCGCATGCAGTGCTGAGATCTGATGTTGCGGCCATCGCTGCCCATTGACGCGCAGCACAATGTCGTGTCGCGGCACCTGCACGCGCACAAAATCATAATACGCATCGGCCCCAGGCTGCTGGTTCTGCTGCTGAGGTGGTCGTAATGACGAAGAAGAAGCAGTGCACGGCGCCAATACCGGCGGAACACTCACCACAGCCGTATGCGCAGTCACCTCATGAGCCAACAACAGATGAGCCAAACAAGGCGTCAGCAGCACCGACACCTGCGCCTCGCAACCACCGGCCACTCCCATCGACGTAAGACTCAGCGCAAATGATCTCTCCAAATCCACCGCACTGCGCGCCACAGCCAATGGCGTATCCACATTTAGGATACGCGCTCTAGGCTGATCTGGCGCCAAAAACGCTGCTCTGCGCCGAAGTTGCTCAGTAACTGCCTCAAGAACATTATCCGCCGTCGCAGTAACCAGGGAGGAACCCGATGATGGCACCATGAGCTGCGCCGCGGCGGCCAGCGACTGCGGGTACTCGGGCACTGTGAAGCGCCCAAAGATCAACGGCAGTACGGCCGCTGAAGGGTCGCAGCCACTAACACTGCAGATGCTGGCGTCAACCGCCCGCACGAGCCCCAATGCCCTCAGCTCGTCAAAATATTGGGACAAGGAAAGATGCACTGCGCCCTGCTGCTGCTGCACAAAAAAAGGCTGAGGCTGAGGCTGAGGCTGAGGCTGCCTTGGCCTCGCTGTTGTCCCTGCGGCTGCTGGCGTCGGCTTCGGCTTGGGCACAAATGACGAAGGGCCGAGTCCGTGCGTTGGGCGGCAAGGGCAGTGGGCTACGCTGCAGGTCATCCAGAAATCAACCATCTTGCTTGCCCGCTTCGAAGACGACGACGACACTGAAGGCAGCGGCGCAGCAGCAGCAGCCACTGCAGAGGGGCCGAGCAGTCCTATGGTCAGCAGCGAGTCGCGCAGCGACGGGAGGCCGTTAGCCGGCTCGACAAGAATCGGATCCACATGCTGGGCATTCTGCTTAGACCGCGACCGCCCACGCCTGGACCCGGACGCCTCTGCCAACGAGTGGAGATCGGCTGTGGGGACAGCAGCGGCGGTAGTGGGCCAGATCTCCATAGACAAAAGGCACTTCTCGCAGAACCCGCTGAGGCAAAGAAAGCACACACGGTGCGCGTACGCCGCCGCCACTGCCGAAGCCGCTTGATTAGACTGCGTCTGGTTTGATCGCGCTTGGCTCGCCGACGTCCCCGCGTAATTACGCACCAACCGCACACCGGCCACGTTCCTTCTGCGTCTTCCCAGCACAGCCATGCCGTCCTTCCTGCGCTCATGCACGACAGTCCGATACCACACGCGCATCGCCAGCACGCGCATCGCCGCCTCCCTCGCCACCATCAGAACGAAAACCCCAAGCACGTGGAAGGCCAACCACTTGGTCATCCGGCCGCCCCGCAGATACCGATCACCGGCCGAGGGCCACAGCGTAGCGAGCGTGCGGCGGCAGGCATAGTCCAAAAGCGAGAACAGTGCAAAGGCTCGCACAAAGGAGACGCCGGGGATGCGCACGCGCTGCGCCGCACAGATGAATGCTGCGATGGTCGCAAGTGCCAGAATCAAATTAACGCGGATGTTATCAGTGGCTGGGGAGCCCTTGGTGGCTGCCTGGCGCCAGGCGTGCAGCCGCCGGGTGCGCTGCCGCCGCCGGTCCTCGAGCGACCTGCCCTGCGCCGCCGCCGCCGCCACGGCATCGGCAAACGGCGAGTGCGCAGGCAACCCCGCCCGCCCGCTGCCACCACCGGCCACCGACGCCACTGCAGCCACGCGGCAGACATCCTCGGCGCACCAATACGGTGCAGCGTCCGCACACGTGGCGACCAAATCCAACGCATCGCAACTGCCGGTCGCCTCGCCACCACCGGCGGGCGGCAGCACAACGCGAGACAGCGCCAAATGCGCAACGCCAAAGTACGCGACGTACGCGACAGTCGGCCGCACGCCCACTCTCAGGCATTTCCTCAGCACAACGAGTGATCCGCAGGCAACCACTGCCCACTGCAGAGCGTGCCCACAGGCAAAGCCCGAAAGTCCGTAAACCGCCGCGCACTGCATGCGCCATCCCATATCATCCACGCCCAGCCGCAGCGATTCCCACCGGAGCGCAAGCCACTGCGTGAAGTGCGCCTGCGAGCTGCCACTCCAGGTGCTGCCCCAGGGCGCGTCAAATGGAAGCACGATGCTCGGCAGCGGCGGCGGCGAGTGCCAGGCAGACTGCGTCAGCAGTGTGAGCAAGTGTGGGATGGCTTTGCTGGTCACCAGCCAGTCGGTCGCTGCCAGCAGCGCCCACCCAAGCAGTAGGCAGAGCAGCGGGTGCGCACGCATAAACTGCACTGTGCGCCCGGGCGGACTGCTGCTTGCTTCATGGTGAGCCTGCGGGCTCACTTCGGACATTGAGTCCTGTGCGTCCACGCCCTCACCCTCCTCATCCTCCTCTTCTTCCTCTGCTGCTGCTGCTGTGGCTGCTGCGGCTGCTGTGCTGGCCCGCTCCTCGTGCTTGGTCTCAAACACCTCGATCAGCTCCGCAATAAAACCCAACACCTGCGTCCACGCGCCTACGGTGCTCTTTGCCGCAGAGTGCTTCGGTTGCGGCGCTAGACCTGGGATCGGATTAGAGAGAGAAGAGGCAGCAGAAGCTGCTGCTGCTGGTGGTGGTGGTGTTGTTGTAAGGTCGGGTGACTGCGACATCATCCGAATGTGCGGCCACCGTATCTTCCACCCAGCCTCCTTGGCCGAGTCCATCGCTAGCTTCTCGGCCATGCTCATGCCGTGCCCAGAGTCGCTGCTGCTGCTGATCGTATCTTTGGGTTGGCTACCGGGCACTCGCTGTTTGGGAATTCCACGCGAATCCTCCATTGAGTTTATTGTCTGGGAAAAAAGTATGAAAACTATTAGAAATGACAAATAGAAATATATGAAAATAGTCGGGAAAATAATTACAAAAAATTACAAAACAAAACAAGAAAAAACAAGAAAAAAATCTCACCCAAATAAAAAAACCGCATCATCAACAAGAACCAATAGCACGTAAGATTTTTTTTCTTGGCACCATACATCAATGAGTGTCATTATTAAAAAAACGTGACATTGACCGTAAAATTATATATTTAACGAAAATGAAATAAAAATGGAAAAACGAAAAAAACGAAAAAAAAAACCTACATGATGACACAGCACGAATTAGTCTTCTTTGCTGTCTTATAAAAAGCCTTTGAGCTATTCGACAGTTCAGTTGACCGATCCACCAGGTTATCCAGCTTAGTTCCCCTCTCTAAAATCCCTTCAATAGTCTTATGCAGTACAGCCTTAGTCTCCTCCAACTCCATCTGCACCTTCATAATATTATCCGCCTGCCTCGGCTCCTGATACTTCACCAGCATTTCGCCCAACAACGGAAACGCCAATTTATCCGAGGCTCCCGCAATTCTATCCGCATTATACGTCTGCGTGAACTCATCCAGAATCTTGCCAGCTAACGTAAGTGCCACTCGATCAGGGTACTCCTTGTCCGTAATCACTGTGGCACAGACACCAGAGCTACCGCGTACTGCATATACTATGCGGTCGCCTTGCTCAGAGTTTGAAACTGCCTGTCTTTGTCCTACGGATGTGCGCTCGGCAACTGTTGTTGAGAAGAAATTCATAAACTCTGCCACACTATACAGCCAAAATCAAATGGAAATTAGTCGACACTTTGAACATTAAGTTGTATTCTGGAAAAAAATCACACTATACATACATACTACCCAGCTGCCAAATTCGTATAATGCCTTCTTTCTTTTTTGTTCAAAGTCTGCCTACTCTGTCTCTATTGAACACTACTTACCTGCTGCGCTGGAAAAATGAAAACTCTGAGAGGTCGCTTTCGGAGCACAAAATTAAACTTGGTCTCTTGTTCTGCTCATCTGTCTGTGGGTCAGACGCCCTAATCACTGCCAGATGGTAAATCTTCATTACAAATTTGAAAAATTAAAAAAAATATGATATCTGTAAAAATAACAAAGGAAAAATATAAATCACTATGCAGTTGAATTTGAATTTGAAACCAACTAAAATTTAATAAAGCAAAAAAAGTATTAAAAAAACGAAGAACGAAAGAACGAAAGAACGAAACAAAAGAATGAAAAAATGAAAAATGCATAATGCATAATGCATAAAATAGCCCGAGCATGTGATGGATCTCTTTTTTCTTCATTGTGAGCGCCAAAAAGAAAATAAATCGCTTGTAGCAACAGCAGCAGAGACCAGATAAATACTACTTGATATTATCCAACCGCATTAAACATTTAGGCAAAGTGTGCAAAGAAGTGTTAAACCGGCTGCAGAATCCGAATCTAAGCTGTAACCTTGGCTCGCTAAAATAATATACAATGTTGATATTTGCGGACGACAATAATTCACATCGCCAGAGATAGTAAAAAAGCAGTACACATGAAATATTCATAAGCATTTTACCAGCGGATTAAGGAGTGCGAAAAAAAAGTGCTATCAGGCAGATGGAGGTGGAATAATCGTGACATGGCTGCAGTGTTGAACTTTTGCATTATTCACAATGCCCTGCTTACAGGCAAGTATCCTCCCCGTCTCTTGCACAAAAAGGCATCATCAGGGTCGGCTGAACCCGTGTGCGACTACAGCGACGCCTGACACTTCGTCCAAGCCAAAGGCCAACCCTAAGCGTGTGCGCAAGAATCCACCTTCCCCTGCTTCTTCTCTTGAAAGGAAGCAGCGTAATGATTAATATCGGCAGCCATAGTAGTATACTGGCACTGGTCTCTAAGGATTTGTCGGGTTGCTATGCAATCTGGATGGGAAGGATGCCTATTTGCAGGATACGTATAGTCTCATTCTTTTCCTTGGCGTGGACACTCAATCGTTTTTGATAGACGCATATAAAAATCAATTCAAAACCACCAGGCACACGCATATTAATATTATTTTAAGGAAAAGGGGGGAGATATAATACCAACTAGTATGCTCGTGGGTAATATCTCGTGCTTTTTCAATTTTAATAATAAATGGCTATATTAATTCTTGAATTGGTTTAATAGATGTCTATACCCGAGTGGCCTTGTAAAAACTGGCATACATATTCACGCGATCAATTGGCACTATGATGTTTGGCTGCCTTATTGACAGCGCCTCAACAGCAAATCCATTGGCCTCAAACGTTTTAATATACCATGGAACTCTCGCTGCGCTGCGCCATAAGACAAACCCGCCCTTGGCAATGACACGAGCCAGCGCCCCAACCTCTGCGTCAGCGTCCTCTGCTGAAAACCAGTCCATATGGTCCATGATCACGGCTTTTGTCAACTCGCCATCGCGCATGCCTGCTAGTACATCGATTATAGTCGCCGTGTGCAGTTGAAATGTCAGGCATCCACTTTTAGCTGTGCTTTGCAAACGCTCAAACCCGGATTTGGTCAGGTAGTCCGGGCAGCAAGTTGGTGAGTACTGGCGGGCAAACAAAAGACGGTAAAAATAGTTGTCTGTGGTAAATGACGTGGCTGCGGCTACAGGGTCCAGAGTGTCGCGCACATACTGCGACATGGAACCTTCACTGCGCAGCATGTTCCACTGGTTGATGGGCACACCCATAAACTGCCACATTGCAACGGGGTTGTCCAACAGCCGAACGACTAAATTGCTAAATATCCGGTGACGGATTTTTTGCTTCCATAGCTTGGCCTGCTCATCAATTGACCTGCTCGCAATTAACTTTTGCGTGACACGATGCACGCCCAGCAATTTCAAAGCCGCCCGCAAGCTGTGCAGCGCCATGCCAGAGTACCCGGTGGTGTACAGATTGCAATGTGCCATGTCGCCCAACACTGCCCTGGCAAGGGCCGGCTGCGTGGGTGCAAACGCGCTGACGTTATTTCGCCAATACTGGTATGCGGCCGACGACATATCGGCGGACAAAACAGAGTCCAAAATATTTCTGAAATCAGGCTCGCGTCCCAAGCCAAACATGCGCCAAAACTGCTCATAGCCAAGGTTGCGCAGAGCTGCGAGTTTAAGTTCAAGCAGGTGGTTCTGGCAGGGGTTCATGTCGACGCAGTGAATTTGAGCCCCGCTCTGGTGTGCGGCATAGGCCAGGGCATTGTCTCCTGCGGATGTGATGGCCAGGACGCGGTCGTTGCTGCTCAGATCCAGCACCTCGAGATCGCGTCTTGGGTCCTCCCAGGTGAAGCCGTAGATGTAAGTGCTAAACTGCGCGTGCTCGGGCTTGGTTGGCTGGTAGGGTAGTCGCCTCCAGCCGCGCTGTTCTTCTGGACCACTTGCATCCTCCACATCCGGCAATGCGATTGTCGAGCTCTCGGGCGTAATTTCATCAAACATTGACTGCACAGACTGATCAGTACTTTTTGGCAGTCTGTTCGACAAATCGCGCGACCGGCCGAGCCATACATAGTAAGGTATCTGAACAAGATAAGGAACGACAAAGTGGTTGCGGCCATTGAACACCTTGTGGGTGTGCAGCTTGTGTTCCAAGTAGTTGCGCCGGCATGGATGCAAGTGCACATGGTCGAACTCAAACCAATGCTGCCAGAACACGCGCGTAAACCAGTTGCACTGATATCCCAGCACACCAGCCGCACTGGTCCGTTGCCCAGGAATAGCGCCAGACACGTAGAAATCGGCGACTCCGACAAATCCGGCTTGCGGCCTGAGTAATTTCTCAATGCGGTCGACCACCGAGTGGTAGGCATCCATCATGGACAATGAATACGACATGGTCACCAAGTCAACCTGACCCATTGCGCCAGAGCGCTCGAGTCCGGGAAGAACAAAACTAGTGGCGTCCTGACAAACCACCGTAACATTGTCCCAACCCTTGGCCTTGAATCTCCGCTCGGCAACCTCGCACAGTGGCTGGCACAGATCCACCAAATATATGCGCTCAAATCTGGCCACGCCAAAGTATTCGTCCATCTGCTCAATATTCCACCCGGTGCCGCCGCCAATATCAACCCAAATTGGCAGTTTGGCATCCTGTCGCTTGAGCTCAGCCGCGCAAAGTTTCAGCATGGTCTTTCTGCCGCGCAACAGCCCACCCCGCGTGGCGTCATACACCGAAGCTTGTCCCGTGTAAAAGGCATTGAGCCGGTCCTGCTGGCTGTTGTGCTGACCCAGTGGCTTGAAAAAGCAGTTGTACGCAAATGTAAGCGCGACACTAAGGCTTTTGGAATTGAGGATGCCAAAAATGATAATTGTAGAAATAATAACGAGGCTGTAAACGCTTGGTTGGCTGGATTTATGGATGATATCTGAGGCACCCGTAGAGCTGATGGCATTAAGGGTTGAATCTGCCGCAGCATACTGTGACTTTGCACAACCAACAAACAAAAGGGTTGCGAGGCTACATATAATGAGCAACGTACGGGCACTGTTGATGCAGCGCCTTATTGTTAACATGATAATAAATATAGTTAATGTTTACAAAGTATTGCACTAAAAAATAGCAACGAATGAGGATAAAAATAATATTTTAATAATGAATAAAAAGAAAGAAAGATAAAATATTGTACTCAAAGTCATATATAAAAATAATTGAAAGTGAGTCAAAGAAAAACGCCAGCTACTCAAAGTAGAACAATATAATATGGACAGTAGTCGACGGAAATTTCGCAAATATGGCGACAAGTGTGGCTTTCTTAGCGCATTTTTATATGGAATTTTCTGCGTTTTTACTCTCCTCGTAGCACTACAGTTACCACATTTTTGCGCGTGGGAAAGACTAAGTGACATCGATGTGGGCAAGGCTGGAAATATGTAGCCGGTACAGGCTTGATAAAAAATAAATGCTTTTTTAATTGAATGCACTTGCGGTGGCTGGATATGCGTTCTGAATTCAGACAAAATCCCATGGGAAATAAGTTGCTTGGATCCAGTCAGATCAGTACTAATAGACAATACATGTCGCTAGTTCTAAATGGATATGTTAAAAAAACAAAGCTAATAATTTTTTATAAAAAAAACATAACAGCCACTTGTGTATATATATGTCTGTGCTTGGGTTTTTTTAAAACACTGATGACAAAATATATTTCCAGTTTTTATATGCCCCCCCCTCCCCGACTTTATCGATACCACTTGGTAATTTACGAATAATTGTAAAAAAATTGACTAGAAAAATTACAATTACTGCTATTTTGGATTTAATTTTTCTGCTGCAGCTAATATCTAGTAAAATGTAAATTTCTCGGGAAACTTTTCGCCCCGAGCCAGTAAAAAAATATATACTATTGTAAAAACATAATTTAAAATGCCCTAGCACAATAGACGTAAAGTAAAGTGGCGCAGAATAATAAATTTTGCAAGAGCTCGACATTATATGCTTTGATGTCCAACAGTATAAGCCATGTTTTGCTCAAAACGTATATTATGCATATAGCAAAACGGAAATGTAATATGGTACCAAATTGGCCAATTGTGTGTGTGCTAATTATACATTGTAAATTTCACGATCAACTAATTTAACCTATGCTTGTATCTGTTACAAATACATAGAAAACGTAACTTTATTTTTCATGAGAACATAGAAAGGTGTCTTCCATTTTGTTCATTTTATATGTTCTCATACGTAGCTAAAACAAAAACAAAAAATAATTGATTCCTTTGTAGTCAATACTTGAAACAACATAGGTTTTGACCAAGCCAATGTGACTTAATCAAACCCTGGCTGAAATAAACACAATTGTTGATTTATTATATTAGTATTTAAAAGGTAATTTATTGATGAATTGAACCATCTGCAAAAATATTGTCCACATCTTTTTTATACTTTTCGAAGCAGCTTTTGACAATGTCTTCCATTTTTTCGGCAATGTGAAGAAACCTCTTGTCCAATGGGTCCGGTTTGACTTTTAGTGTTGCGGCTATGTTAGCAAACACGCTATCATTGAACAGGAATTCTGTCGTGTACGCGTACTGAATGGATGGTTTGATTGAAGCCGCGGGTTGAGTGGCTCGCACTTTTTGGGTGTGTGTCAGTCCAATGGAGGCCGCTGGATCTGGATTAAGTGGGATTACGGTCGTAAAAATGGCAGGATCGGAACTGGCAGAAATATTAACGCGGATATTGCAGCTGTATGGACCACCCGAAAACAGCTGTTGAACAGAGCCTGTAATTGCATTCTGACTACTCCAACCCGTTTTGTGCGTATTGTTATAATGCATGGCCATCCGATCTATACTGGCAGACGCATAACTACAATGCTCACACCAATACGCCATCTCAATGACTTTAATTCTCGTAATCGGCGCATCCACTCGCAACACCCGCTCCTTGAACCATATTCGAAACTCGTCGTCAGCCATGGCACCCGATTCGTTTGACAGTAAATAACGACATGCCCCCCTCACGGCTTCCAAGCTGTTATGGACTTTGCTTACATGGCTATTTTTCTTTTGACAGCTACTAATGTGAGAATGTATGCCACCTGGAGACACAGCATAACAGCAAGTCAAACACACAATCACACCACTGGCTCGATCGACGTACAGGTTCAAAAATTTAAGTGCAGACTCTGATGGAGGTGGCTATAAACAAATAAATAAGTAAAGATGATGTTAGCCAAAAAATTATTTGTATATTTTTGTATATTTTTAAATATTGTAATATAACTTACCATCTGAGCCTGGCCGAGAGTGCCAACTGAGTCAAGCATTTTGCACATTGGAACATGGTTTATTATCATATGTTTGTGTCCAGTCACGTATCCACACAAGCACTCGAGTTTGTCGTCCTTCCAATGTAGTTTGTGTTTGCTGCCGTTTGCTGCTGTAACCATGACTGGATTGTGTTTCCTTGAATGGTGCCTGTATAATCCTTTTGTGGAAAATGTTTGAGTACATGTGGTACACTTGTAGCTATCGGCAGTGTGTTTTATTTTGGTAAGAGGCATATTCGGTTATTATATAAAATATTAAATTTGTATTCAAGAATAAAGAGAAAAAAAAAGGAAAAGTGCAAAAAGTGCGAAAAGTGAAAAGTGAAAAATAAAAAGTAAAAATATCTCCAATCTTACATTCGATTTAAAAATATGAACATTTTTTCCAAGAAAACAATACTTTTGGGATTAAATGTTAATGAATTTTCTATAATGTTGGAAAATTCAATATAATTAACTTTAGATCTATTTTTCTTTCACTCTCACTCTCCCTCTCCCTCTCCCTCACTCTCTTTTTCTTTCTCTACAAACATTATTTTCAAATCCAGAACAAATAACATGCTTTCTGACCCATTGGTAAAAATAGAATTTCGTGCTGACAAGAACAGTCAATATTTATTTTAAATTCAAAAGCAGCAATAGAAACCACAACCGCACTTATAACCATGTTGATCTGGAATTTGTTTCTACCAGTCATATCACTATGTAAACCTATTGGTTGATGGCGATCAATTGATTAACCAGTCTTGGCTGTTTAGCAACACAAACAATAAGTCACACAGTGACCAAAGCAATATGCTTTCTACTCTTCACCTTTCACAGTGCATAGCACTTATTTATTAAATATACTTTATATCATTATAGTTTATCTACAAGTTCATAGAACGTTCCTATATTCCAACAAAACCATTGGTATTTGTGTGCATATACACTCAGCAAAAATAAAAATAGACATACATTTGCTCAACTCAACTTGAAATTAGCAAGCGACTCTCTCCACAAAGTATAACCAATAAAATATTCGACAACGCCATCGTGGGGGCACGCCACAGGAGTAAATATGTTTGTGGTTTCTTGGTAAAAAAAATCTGCGGAGTTTACGCATTGGTTTTGACGAAATTTCTTGCCGAGGGTGTAGCTGGATTGGAACAACCAGTGGGCTTGGCTGCAGGATACCGGGTGAGTGAGTAAGCGCCGCGTGTTAGAAATATTAAACTATTAAATAACTAGAGATTTGGGCAACGAAATGAGGCCATTGCTGTATTTAAAAGACTATGGCTTTCAAAGCTTTGCATTATGTTTGCTGATTGGATATGCTTTGCAAATACTTTATTTTTTGCATGTATCGATCAAAACAGATTAACATAAGCAAGTTTCGAAATATCAGCCTGTGTAAACATGACTATATACTGTAAATGAAATTGCAACACTATTACAGCTACACGCATTTAGAATAAAACAATACAATATCTATTCAAAACAACACTGTACGCATTGAATTACCATTATATTTGATTGTCAGTTTACGTGTTTCAAAAATTAAAATACCTTGAACAATATTATTTTGAATTCCAGCCACATCATGAACATCAGATCTCGATAGCTTTTGAACTTATCGCGAAATATAAACTACGACATATGCCGTAATTATTATTGAAATAGCAACGAAACGAATATAAAAATTAATATTGGTTTTAAAATAAAACTAAAATTGGGTCATAGCCAAAGAAAATACTATATTTTCAGATCCATGCGGACTTTTTATGAATGCAAACTGTTGTTTACATTGTGCTGCTATGCCGTATTGCTTACCTTGATGGACACGTACACAAAATAAAAGTAGCACTACTCCCTTGGAGTATAAGCAATAAAAGAGGGGGGAGAGGAGAGAAAAGAATATATAAATTTATTGTAGATTTTTGAATTGAATCTTTTCAGACAATGAATTCAGATTTGTTTGTTCTCCGTGTCATTTTTAGTTGATCATGAGAAAAATATAAACAATGGCTACGACAATAGACTTTTAGGCTTGGCAATAGGGAAAATACAATTGGGATGATGAGTGGCGGGAGAGATAACCACATAAAAAATAAAAATAGGGACTAGCCTTGTTTTTTGTCAGCATTCAGAGTTTTAAAATCTTTACAATATATAGATGGTTAGTCGCACCACTCCAATACAAAGTTTTCGACTTCGCGGCCCCTATCTCATATATTCCATTTTCCTTAAATTTTATATGCTTTTTTTACCCGAAGACGCTAAAAACATGAGCGGCCAACAAAAGAGCACAACAACGGGGCCCAATTATGCTGTTGTCAACATTCACACCCCCCTCGACTTTAACCCTTCTCTTCCAACGCTCCTCACAGCAAAACCACCAATAAAATACAACACCGCCCACAAAGGAGCAGCCGCAGCAGCCAACGACACAACCTCAACTCTCGCATCCACAGAATCTTCAAAACACATGTATCGAAACACTCTGCGCATCCAACATTACACCAATAAACACCACCATCAGTCACTCCACTCGGACAGCTTTAGCACACCACCGGCAGCCAAGATGAGCGAGTTCGAGACCGACCATCATTTATCATCCATCAGCAGAGAGGCGACAATCCGGGGAATGGCGGGCGCGTGGTTAAATGTCCTTGATGCGGGCGAGGACACATGGAGAAGAATATCAGTGCCGCCTGGAATCACCGTTGGACAGGCGCGGGATATTTGCATGCTGCGGTTCAACATATGGCAGCGCATTCTCAAAGACCAGTCACAACCCACGCCGATACCACCTAGTGCCATCAGCAGCAGCACCAGTACAGGAGCAGTATCCTCCTCGCGCACTAGCTGCACAAGCAGCACTGCGCGAAAACAACCCCACCACTACGAGCTTTACTGGCCGGCGGGCTCGCAATGGCTGGACGCAGATTTTCTCCTCTCCACATATGGAATTAAACCAGGCGACACTGTTATTCTGCAGGACCGCGACCAAGCGCAGGAATCGTCCGCAATAGTAGAAACACTGTTGAATATCAACAAAGCCCAGCAGCGCGCACAGTCCACGGGCGCCGAGGGACAGATATATTATTTGCATGCCAAGGGAATTGCCACATCGTGGCAGCTCTGCTGGCTGGTGCTGCGGAACCAGGAGCTGCACTGCTATGCAAGTAACCGTGCAGGCACCGGTCCGTTGTCGGAGAAATCTTTGGTGGTGGTTGATTTGAGCTGTGGGTTTCGGCTCGTCAACCACAGAATTGTCGGTGGCAGCAGTAGCATGGCGGATACAACGGGAGATTCGGCAAGTATGTACTCGGACAGTTCCAGCATCAAGGCTACCCTTAGTCTTGCTGCCACGGCCACTGGTAAATTGCAGTTGCAGCAAATGAGTGGCAGTAGCAGTGTCGCGCCGCTGATTATTCGCAGCAATACATCCGACAGCACCCACGTATTCTGCGCGCTAACGCCCACCGACCACGACCATTGGCGCCATGCGTTGCATATGGCCCAAGGGCCCGGCAGTCAGAAAAGTGACCACAGCAGCGCTGGCATGCTTCCCAAGCCCCGATCGTCGACCATCGCCAAGCAACCGCAGCACCGGCAGTACCGATCATCTGTGCAAATGACATCCACACCAAGTCCAGGCCCCCTCTTCATTGCCAATGCATTCCGCCGGCACAAAGGGCACAGTCCTGTGGGTTTCTTCTGCAGATGTGTGCTTATTTCTGGGTTCCTCTATGGGTTCCGTACAATAATATCTGACACAGATATCCTCACACATGTGGCAACGGCGGACTTTACTGTTCCTCTCAACCCGATCACCGTTTGCGTATCGCGTGAGACCAGCGGCAACAGCCACTTGATCCGAGTATCTGATGCATATATGGGCACTGAAATCATGCTGCTTGATGTCGGCGGGCCAGACAAAGCCCATTTGTGGATCGATGCGCTTGCAAATATTGCCGGAATACATATTGCCGGCGACAACACGATGCGCTGCAATAAGCGCAGCCAGGCGATGCGGCAGTCGAAATCACACGGGTCGATCATTTCGCGCATGGAGTGGCCAATGCCGCCGACTACTGTGCCACGCATAGTGCCTCGGGGGATCAAGAGTTCACCTGCTGCTCCTGCCGTTGCTGAGGATACGAGTGACGGCGCACGGCAGCAGCACCGGCATCGGCACCAGCACCAGTACCAGTATGAGCAGGAGCAGAAGCAACGTGAGAAGCAGAAGGAAGTGCTTGTGGGACTGCATATGCCAGAGTTTGGCAGAAACCCATCGTTGAACCTTGTTGATTTACGGTTTGGCGAGTCTTCTGCCTCTGCTGGCAGCATGGATATTGATGCGGTGCGCAGTGCTGCTAATGCCAATTCCTCTAGTAATACCAGTAGTGGCGAGAACCGTCCGGATCGTGTGCCGATATTGCAGGCTTGCTTGGCGTGGTTTAAACGCCCCGGAGCATCATTTGTCAAGTAGGTTGACTGGTTAATATAATTCAAGCAACAACCGCAAAATCAATTGATTATTACTTTTTGAGTTTGGGTGGGAAAGTATCGGAAAACTGAATTTTTTGGAAAAGCAAATCTGAATATGAAACTCGAGCCACAACCAAGGTGAGTCACAAATGAGTGGAAATGGTGGGCTGGTAATTTAAATCAAACGGGTCCTTTCCGACAATTACGATAATCGATTGGGTGATACCAAGCGATAGTGTATTTTTTTGGACCAGGATTAGGTCTCTAATCCTGGCCGTAAACGCGCCAACAAAAGTGAAAAATTTTCTCTGCAGCCACGCGTTCGTGTCTATAGAATTTTTTTTTCCTTTCTTGCCGTTGTGACTCTTTTAAATTGCTGGCTGTTTTGTTCGATATCGTCCTACACTCTTCTCTTCAAACCCAACAACATTATTTGTACTAATCATTATCAAGCCGCGCTCGATTTTCTCAAATCATACCTCCACCTGTACAAACATTAATCTTATAAAAACCCCCCTCCGCCATTTTCCCTGTCAAATTTTTCTCTTCTTTTTTCTCTGCATTTATAAACACGCGCATCTACTATTTTTCTGTAACATAATCCCACTTCTCCTTCTTACCACAATTTATCTTCCCTTACTAACCCAATAATGTCTTCCGGCGCAAAGAAACTCTGGGGTGGTCGCTTCTCGGGCGCCACCGATCCGCTCATGGAGGCGTTCAACGAGTCGATCCACTTTGACCGGCGCATGTTCGCAGCCGACATTCAAGGCTCGCGTGCCTACGCCAAGGCACTTCACAAGCAAGGCATCCTGACGCTCACCGAGCAGTCCCAGCTGGACAAGGGCCTTGCCACGGTTCTCTCCGAATGGCAAGCCGGCACTTTTGAGCTCAAGCCCGGAGACGAGGACATCCACACAGCCAACGAGCGCCGTCTGGGCGAGATCATCGGGTCTGTATCCGGCAAGCTGCACACTGGGCGGTCGCGCAACGACCAGGTGGCCACAGATATGCGGCTGTGGCTGCGTGACGAAGTCAAGCAGATGGTCAACTTCCTGCGCGAGCTCGTTGGCGTGCTGGTGAGCCGTGCGCAGACCGATGTTGACGTGTTGATGCCTGGGTACACGCATTTGCAGCGCGCGCAGCCGATCCGCTGGTCGCACTTCCTCTTGAGCTACGCGTTCTCGTTCCAGCAGGACACGCAGCGGCTGGAGGAGTCCTTGCCGCGCATCTGCCAGCTGCCGCTGGGTTCGGGTGCCCTCGCCGGCAACCCGTTCCAGGTCGATCGCCAGTGGCTGGCTAAGGAGCTCGGGTTCTCGTCCGTCACGCCTAACTCGCTCTACGGAACGTCTGACCGCGACTTTGTCGCCGAGTTCCTTTTCCACTGCTCCCTGATTATGGTGCACATTAGCCGACTTGCCGAGGACCTTATTATCTACTCAACTGCAGAGTTCGGTTTTGTGCAGCTCGCAGACGCGTACAGCACGGGCAGCAGCCTGATGCCGCAGAAGAAGAACCCCGATAGCTTAGAGCTTTTGCGTGGAAAGAGCGGCCGGGTTTTTGGCGATATGGCCGGGTTCATGATGACTTACAAGGGTCTGCCGAGCACGTACAACAAGGACATGCAAGAGGACAAGGAGCCCATGTTTGACGCCGTCGATACGCTGACTGGATCACTGCAGATCACTGCCGCCGTCATTGCCACGCTGAGAGTAAGTATTGCTTGTTTTTTATCTGTTATGTTTTGCGATCCCAATGTGCTTGTGTTGTGTGGTTATATATATATGATGATTTTATTGATTAGTCTTTATGATTCGCCTTGACTACCATCTGGGTGACATGGATACAACTGCCATAGATAACTGAACCTTCCTCTACACACAAACACAACATTGAATTTGAACTACTACTTGATGGTTCCTGTTGGGCAAGAAAAACATTTTCAACTAATTTTATTTTTACACTTGACCCTGCGAATTATTTGTGCAAAAACTTAGATCAACGCTGACAAGATGAAGAACAGCCTGACCGGTGACATGCTGGCCACTGACCTCGCCGAGTACCTCGTGCGCAAGGGCGTCCCCTTCCGTGAGACGCATCATATTTCGGGCGCTGCCGTCAAGATGGCTGAGGACCGCGGATGCCAGATCAGCGACCTTTCAGTGGCGGATCTCCAGACCCTGCATACGTCGTTCTCCAACGATGTTCTGCTTGTGTGGAACTACGAGAAGAGCGTGGACAACCGCAGCTCGATTGGTGGCACCAGCCGTGTTACCGTGCTGGCCCAGATCGAGCAGCTGAAGTTGTGGCTGAACTAGAATGTTTATTTTGTTTGTTTGTTTGTTTGGATGTGCAATAATTTATGCGTTGAATACAAATAATTAATCCTATTTTTCCTATTTTTCCTATTTTTGCCTCGTTAAAATAAAATCATTTCTACTTTTCAATATCCTTTGGTGAAAAACCAAAAAAATATTAAACTCTATTTTTCATTCTTAACTATATTTTAGTATTTGTCGATTTAAGAGGAATGGAGCCAAACAAGAGCAAAAGCAACGACCCGCAGTCGCGACAGGCGCTAGAAATATACCGCAGCTGGCTCAACGAAAACAGCAGCAGCAGCAGCAGCAGCAGCAGCGGAAGCGGCAGTAAAAGCGACAGCAGAAGTGAGAGTAGTGAGAGCAGCACCAACGGCAACAATGTCGATAAAATCGGCAGCAGCAGCAGTGGAAGCAGCATCAGCGATCTGACCGAAACCAATAAAAAAGAACAAGCGTCACCTAAACCAGCGCCCAGGCCAGCACCGCCATTAGCGACTTTGCCGCGTCCAGCCAAAACCCGCACACACCCGCTTCCCCAAGAGAAACCTAAGCCGCCGCCAGCGCCAGTTCCAAAGCCATCGCCGCCGCCGTCTGTGTCGCCATGGCTCAAGCACATCCACAAGCCAAACTCATCCCCATCCCAACAATCGCCAACGTCGAAATCGAAATCAAAATCAAAATCACCAACGTCGAGTTTTCTGCGCAAACCACGCAACTTCGTCCACCAAATACCGTACTTCCGCAGCTCAGCCAAAAGCAACCAGACCCAGCTAAGCAACAGTCTTCCCCGCCGTCCGTCGCTGACAACACAACGTAATATCAGCGACGACCACAGTATGGATACCCTCTACAGCGAATCATGGATTGCTCAGCCCAAGATTCCGAAAGCCGGCAGTATGGATGAGAAGCCTTCCTTCCATGATGTTTCACTCAAGGAACCGTCTCTGGCGCCATCATCGCAGCAGGCGGCGTCTGTCAGGAAACAGTCGCACTCGTGGGAGTATAATACACGGGATAGCCTCACTGGATGGATGATTGTGTTCTGGGCTTTTCTCGCAATGTTCATCTCGCTGTCAACGCTGTTCAGCTACCCAGTGTACGAATCGTACTACGAGGCAACTAACCGAAACTCGCTCACAGAAGCCATAAATGGCAACCCACTACTTCTCGCGGATTTGCACAGACCGCAGGGCGAATTCCCTGCTTCTGCCTGGCGGTTCAGCCACCGCGCAACAACCTACGGCGTCCTCATCGGCACACTGCTCATTGGGTTTGCCCTCCTAGGCGCGCTTCCCGCAGGAATCCTAACAGACAACTTGGGCGCGCGGGCAAGCTGCTTTTTTGGCACCTTTCTTCTCACTGTGGCACTCTTCGCCGCGTCTTTCGTCGACCAACTACCGATCCTCTGCCTCCTACAAGGCTGTCTCGGCGGGCTCGGCGTTGGGCTCCTTTTTACACCTGCGTATACCATCCCAATGCAGTGGTTTGACCGGTACCGCGCGTGGTCCACTGGCTGTGCACTGTGCGGTGCCGCCATTGGCACCCTGGCTTTGGCTGCAACCTACCATTCGCTCCTATGGAACCACGGGCTAGCCACGAGCCTGCGCGTCCAGGCGCTCCTCACACTCATACTTGGTGCGCTCGCGTCCTGGGGGTTACGCCCGCGAGTACATGTGCCGCGGGCACCACCCTTGGGACTCCATGCCCGCGACGCGCGCCTGCCGGCTCTGATGTTGCTCATGTTATTTGCCTCTGCCGCGCGCTGCATTCAGCTGCTCTGCCTACCCTCCTTTGCGCGCACCACCACCGGTGGCAGTGATGTAGACGGCACCAATGTGCTCTATGCGCTTTCCGCTGCATCTCTCGCCGGTGTGCTTCTCGGTGCCCTTCTCTGCGACAAATGCCCCGCCACATGGCCGATGCTCGGCCTCTCTGAACTCATCACTGCTGTGCTCACTCTCTGCATCTGGGTGCCGGCCAAATCACTCGCTCCCATGTTTGTCTATGCTGTGCTCGCTGGTGTTTCCTCCGGGTCGCTCGCTACCGCACTGCCCATTGTCTGCGACCGCTTGTTTGGCCAGAGCAGACTGCCCACAATCCTTGGTTTTGTGCTTGCCGCCGGATGCCCTGCGGTTTTGGCTATAACCCCTGCTGCTATAAAGTTTTCCACGCTGCTGAGTGATGGGAAAAGCACTGCTTGGCTCACCGCCATCTCCGGCATCTTCTCGCTGCTTGCTGCTGCAGCGGGCTTTCTGCTACCTTTTTTGCAGAAACGATACAACAAAACCAATTATTAAAGTTTAAAAATAAAAAGTTTAGCACGAGTTTATTTTATTTAAATTATAGCAAAAAGAAATATTGCGACTTCAACCATGAGCCTAAAATATAAATATTTAATTACAAAAATAATTGGCAAAAGATATTTTGGAGGACCTGGGTATCGATCCCAGTGCCTCTCGCATGCTAAGCGAGCGCTCTCCCATTTGAGCTAGACCCCCATCTCTCTTCCACTTCTTGTTTTTATTACAAAATTCCACGTGACAATCTGAAATTTTGCACTACTAAAAATGGATACCCCAGTTCTCGCGTCCAGTGCCCCCGACGGCACCGGCACCACGGCCCCCGCCGCTCCGACCACCGCCCCGACCGCTGCCCCGCCATCCCACGACCCTGCGCCCGCAACTGACCCCCTGCCAGCTCACCCCTCCCGCCTGAGAGATCGCGGGAGAGCCGGCACCACCCAACGCTCCTACGCCCAGGTGCTCCGCCCAGACATTGGCTCCGCCAACAGCTCTGCCAGCGGCACCACCATGCCCAGAGGCGCACCAGCTCGCAAGACCCAGCGCGAGCTCGAGCTTGAACTCTACCCGGCGCTGACTGTGCCCACCCTGTCGCTCCACATCCCCAATGGACGCCCCAAACAGATGATAGCAGCTGTTAGTCGCCATGTCTTCGAGAGCATGGACCTGCCTGGAAACCTGGATCCCCGGGACCCGCGCAACCCCATCAGCTCCTTTGCGTTCGAAAAACATGCAATTAACGTGGTGTTTAAAACATTAGACAACGTGGCAAGTATAATACCATTCCCTCTCATGTGGGAGGGAATGGAGTATAAATGGCACTCTAAACACGGCAGCATCTCTGTCCTCGCCCTCCTCGGCGCACCCACCACGGCCACGCCCTCAAAGCTGAAGGGAGCCCTGAAGGAATTTGGCATTTTCACCCATGTTGACTCACTATTGTGCGCAGGCTATGCAACTGGAAACTGGATTGGATTCTTCCACCCCAAGGCCGGTGCTAAGCCGCACCCAAAGACAATCCGCCTCAACTATACCACCCAGGACATCAGAATAGTGGACTTCTCAGACACAATCGAGTGTGCACACTGCGGACATGTTGACGTCTCGCCATGCAGCTGCACACAAGCCACCGGCCATTGTGTCAAGAGGGCGGCTGCAGAGCCCAAGGCCAACGCGCAGCACCCCGCCCAATCAACCACCACCGCCGACGCTAGCACCATGGAAGCAGATATCCCCAGCCCTATTGTCAGCGGCCAGCAGGCCACACAGCCACTCTCCACCGCAGCACCATGTGCTCATGAGCAGAGTGTGCAGCGCACGGCCCCCACCCCAAACAACAGCGATGAGATTGTGATTGACATGTCTGACGAGTACGACAGCGACTCTGCCATGTCACAATCTGCAAGCACCAATACCCCCAGCCACCACACTGCCGCCTCACGCAACCATGTTGCTGCCACCAGCGCCGCAGTGAAGAGCCGCAAAGCATGCCCAACAGAGCCCCTGGCGCTCTCTGGCACCCAGCACCACTACACTACCCAAAGCGCAGCCCAGGCTGCCACTCCCACCCCCCTGACGGCAGCAGCACCAGAGGACGCCAATATGATGGACGTCAATGAGGTGCCAGCCACACATTATTAATGTGTGCTGCTGCAAACCCCCACCGCAATACAGCGACTCCCCCAGCGCCCCAAGTTGATCATGCCCGAGCTGACAACGAAGACGAAGGAAGAGCCGCCACCCGAGAACCACCAGCCGCCCCAGTGCCCGGCGACGCCCCAAACCTAGCCACACCCCCCGCCCGCGCCTCTGTCCGGAACAGACCGCGCAACACTGCAGAAACACCCACAGCAGCAGCAACCCTCCCACTCCCAGCCCTCAACCTGCTCTCGCAAAACCTGCGGGGCATGGGAATGGGAAGCCGCTCTGCCTCCTACACAGCTGAATGGACACGCTTTATCCGCCCTCCAGCAGCCCCTGCCCCTAACAACAACGACATCCAAAACGAAAATGCTGCAGCCGCCTCTGAGGCCACTGCACAACTGCGCTACCGTGAATCCGTCGACCGGAAGCTCAAGCTAGCCGCCCTCCTTGCTACACTGCGCCGCAGCACAACCGAGACACGCGATGCTGTGGACATAGCATTCCTACAGGAGTGCAACTCAACGGCCTCACCCGAGGACCTTTTACGCTCACGATATCCAGAATACCAGACCTTTTCTGCACAGCCCGGTACTGCCAATGAACATGACCGACACACAAACACCAAACATGACACAGCGATTCTTGTCCACCGACGGGTGGGCATGGCCCATCTGGAACATGCAGTTAGCTGCTCACGGGCAACCTTTGTCACTGTTCCGACCCGAGGCCTGATCATTGTGTCCATACATGGCCCCTTTGACGAGGTACGATCCTTCCACGACGGCATTGTCCACACCATCTCAACCTATGTCACCTGTGGCTGGATCCCTCTGATCGCCGGTGACTTCAACATAGCCCCACACCCATTCGACCGCCAATCCACGACTGAACGCAGCCGCGAGACAGCCCACTATGACATAATCCCGATGTATGAGTCTGCCCTACGCTCTAACGATGCAGCCCACTTTCTAACACCACCACCACCGCCTGATGCCCCGCCACTGTCAACCCAGAACCCGCGCACTGAATTGTTTACCTACAAACACCAGCGGCCCGATGGTTCCATAGCCTTTGTATCCCGGATAGACCTGTTCATAGTCCCCACAACCATGCTGATGCGCGAAGGCGTCGCCTTTGACCTGCTCGACGTCGGGGAGTTCTCTGACCACAAAGAAATTACACTTACACTGCCTGCAGATGGTCCTACAACAAGCAGTGCCTCCCGCCCATTCCAGGTTCCCCACAAAGCATTTGCAGACAAGGATTTTTCAGCTTTTGTGGAAAAAACGCTTGAAGAATTTAATCCCTTATATCACCGCCCACCCTCCCCATTCCACTTCCACTTCTATTTCGGCCTCCTTGAACGAATCCGCCAGCATGCACGCCACGACCACAACAGAAAGCAATGCTCATTGGAACGACGGATCCTTAAACTGCGCCGCGCATTCTCCCGCCTCGCCAACAGCGAGCAAGGAAACGGCCGCCGCCTCTACAAAGCCCAGCTTGCCACCATGGAACAAACAGCCTTGGATCTGACCGCCCAGGCAGCCATCAACACTCGTATCCGCGCCAACCGCGCATGGCTCCATGAAGGGGACCGCCGCCCCCTGTGGCAGTCCATGATCACTCGGAAGACACTCGACCCACGCATTGTTCACACCATCACAGCACTGCACACAAACCTGCCAGGACAGCCCGCAGCAGGAACGACACTAGCATCAACGACTGACGAACTCACAGAAACAGCAGGCCGCTTCTACAGCACAATGTACAGCCACACGGAGCCTGACATGAATGAGCTTGATGAACTGCTGTCTGTCCACCGCACATACATTAACCATCTACATGGCTCAACTATCCCAACAGTCACTCGGTTCACGATTGGAGAACTGGAATTTGAGCGGGCCGTTAAGGATGCAGCACCCCGCAAGGCATGTGGCCCCAATGGAATTCCTGCCGAGCTCTACAAGCACTCTGCCACCGCGCGTAAAATCCTACACCATCTGTGCAGTATCTGGCTGAAGCACCCACAGATGGTCGCACGTGAGTTTGCTGAAGGGACAATTACACTGATTTTTAAGAAAGGTGACCCAAACAACCTGGACAACTACAGACCGATCAGCCTGCTGAATGCCGACCTCAAAATTATGACCTCAATCGTAGCAAGACGCATTGGGCAAATGGTGAGGCACGTCATTTCACCCGAGCAATATGCAATCATTCCTGGCCGGTACATTGCAGACGGCATTTACAAGGCCCAGGCCATCTGCAGATACCTCGAACTGACCAAGAAGCCTGGGGCCCTTGTATTCCTTGACCAGGCAAAGGCCTACGACCGCATCTCCCACACGACACTGTTCAAGGTCCTTGAGAACTACCCAATCCCACCCACCTTGCTCACCAGCATCCGCCGGCTCTATAAGATCTCACGCTCATGTGTGTCCATCAATGGCCACACCACAGACTACTTCACCATCAGCCGCGGTGTGCGACAGGGTGATGCACTGAGCTGCGTCCTGTTTGTCCTTGCTGCCGAGCTGCTTGGCTGTGCCCTCCGACACCGAATTAATGAGACCCTGCCAGACCAGCCTACACTAATCGACATACCACTACAGAACCGCTCACACCTCCTCTACATGGACGACACTGCCATCATGATGAACTCACTCCGTCACTGGCCCGTCATGCAGTCAGCCCTCGACTGGTACTGTGCTGCCACAACCGCTGCATTCAACCCAACAAAGACTGAGATCATCACATTCAACCACCCAGAGAATGAAATCCCAGAGGGGCTCCCTGCTCAGCCACACCCACCTGGCACCATGGTGCGGTACCTCGGTGTGTACCTTGGCGCTGGCCTGTCTGATGCTGATGTCACTGCACACAATGAGAAGCTCATCTCCAACACAATTGCCGCCGCCCAGCGTGCCGTCCTCCGCCACACAACCATTGAGGGCCGTGCATACGCATTGCAGACTTTCATATACCCACGGACCACATTTGCATTCCACTTCACGACCTTCACCTCAACACAAATCGAACGGCTCAACAAGGCCCTACGTGGCGCCCTATGGGGCCGCATTCATGGCTTTCTGCGGCCCACACTCCTGGCTCGGCCCCCCTGTGAAGGTGGTTTTGGCATCCCTATTATGTCAGCCATTCACCAGAGTGTCATGCTCAAACTTGCCTCCCGCCTACTAATGTACCTTGGCATACTCTCCGGAACCTCAGATACTCCTGCTGGTTGGTCCATACCAGACTGGCCTGAGCTGCTGCTACACTGCTGGCACATTGGGATCTGCAACCGCAGCCACAACCGCATCCCCATTGCACTCAAAGCCCTGCTTGAGCACTCAGCAACGTCGATATTGTATGATCCACTGACACAAAACAACAAATTCGGAAAACTCCCAGACAACACCTGGCCACCAGTATGGAAGCTTGTCCTCACCACGCTACATGATGGCCGCACAACCAATGTTGTCCTCTGCCCAACCACCTCACTCAGAGGATCCTGGCTGTCCACTCCACTGCTTGATGTCGGCGGCCAGCTGAGCATCACCATGACCAGCGCCTCACAATGGTCACTCCTCAGTGCAGCTATTGCCAAGCTCCCAGCCGCCAATGGCAAGCTCCCACTGCTAAATGGCCATGCTATCCCCAAGCTCCTTGAGATTCTCAATGAGCAGCCTGACAGGGAGTCCCAAGCTGCTTCCAACGCCCGCACCACCATCATTTCCATACTCACAGCATACCATACAAATACAGCAAGCCTCGACAACAGCCTCCCCCCAGCAGCCGCCTCATTCCATACTACCACAATTTTGTGTATGGCCCAGCACAGGGTGATGTTCCCCATCACCCATTTGAAAGCTGGAATGACATGCGTGCAACCCGCCGTTTCCTGGAATTCGACAAGGACACCCTCACCATCCCACCAGTCACCATCGCCGACCCAGCCTTCACCCTACCACACAATACCACAGCACAGCCCCCCTGGAATGCAATCCGGTCACTCAATGCCCCTCCCCAGGCACGCAGCACAGTCCACCGGCTGGCACTGGGACGCATGCCTGCCCGCAGGGATAACAACCCATATTGCCACTGCGGCATACTGGAGACAATCCCACACATGCTCAATGAGTGCCACGACTTTGCCATACTCCGCGACCAGTTCTTTCACCGGTGGACCACAGTGGCCCGCAACATCTACAGCTCTGTACGCCAAGAGATGCGCAACTCTGCTGAGAGGAAGTACACTGCTGCAAGGGCTGCTGCCATTGCTGCTGATAGCGCCTCCACTGACCCCAACATACCCAGCCTAGCTGCCACCCTCCAGCGCCCACCTCCTGCACACATGCCAATCCCACTACCCACCTCCCCCCCACAGATTGCCAACTGGGTTGTGCTCCCACTTGTCAAGTGGGCGACCTTTGCCAAGTCCGACTCCCAGACAGCCAAGGACTTTCACAAGTGCTTTGAACTAGCTACCTCCCTACTCATACACCTACACTGGGTTGCCCGCAATGACCATGCATACAGTGGTACCCAATGGTCTATCTCACGCTTCACCACTGTTTTTAACCGTGATCTGGATACCTTTGCCTATGTAACCCTACCAGCGAGCAGCACACTGCGCCGCTTCATCCACCTTGCCCACCTCGATGACGTCACCGCCCAGTCTAATACTGCACCTGCAGATCACCGACCCCCCAGCCCCTCGGACAATAGCCCACGGTCCCGCAGACCACCCTAACCCATGGTAGACACACCCTACTGTGCTCTGATCCCCCGGTTACCGATTCAAGGCTTTGTTTCTTTTGTACTATTACTTTCCGGTCAAACCTCCTTTCAGTGGGTCTGCCCAACATGTTTTAGATAGTGTCCCTCCACCCCAAGGTGTTTTGCAGCTACTTTTACATGAATAAAACACCAAGTTCAAGAGCTAGACCCCCATTGGCTCTTGGTTGTCTCATTTTACTGAGCTAACCAACTTCCTTCTGAACACCTACCTTTTGATAGGTACATATCGTGCTTGTATAGTATTTTGAGGATTTTTTGGCAGTTAAAAAAATTTGCTTACGCAAAACATACAAATTATCGGGTAGTTTCGTGATTTGGAAAATAAATGTTTACAAGCAAGAAACTGATTGCATTTATTGTTGCTGCTGTTGAAGCCGCACTCGCCAGTTATAATCAAAATTCCAGATTTTAAAGCGCAAAAAATCTATATTTTTTACTTTTTATATATGAACAAAGATTAATTAAAGTGATTGATCATATCAAATGTGAATCCTTGCGATGATGCATTTTAAACTTAAATGCTGTGTTATGAGAAGGGAAGAGGGTATGAAAAGGGAGGAGCACTACTGTAGTAGTGTTAGAAAATGTGATTGATTTTATAAAAAAGGTTTTATTACTAATGTTTCTAAAGTGCTACTAGGGCCAGCCTCATCTTATATATGTACCTCATCGCCTTTGCTGTGGACTTTGCCAGTTGTGCACTCCGTTGGCGAGAACTGGATCTTCTGCGAGAAGACCAATATCTTGGCAAGTCAATGTTGTGGTTTTAGCATGTGTGCGCTCATGCGTGTGCATTGCAAAATGGGGACCATATTTGGGCATCAATGCAATGCCTCCCTAATTTACGCCTGCAGAATCCAATTAATGCCCTATCAATCAGCACGCAGATGGAAACTTGCTTCATGATTCTCAACCTCGACATCCAGCTTCCATATCCTCGGGCTGCGCAACACCACCTCCATCAGAGTCTGCACTTACATTTTTGAACCTGTACGTCGATCGAGCCAGTGGTGTGATTGTGTGTTTGACTTGCTGTTATGCTGTGTCTCCAGGTGGCATACGTTCTCGCCTTAGTAGCTGTCAAAAAAAAACAGCCATGTAAGCAAAGTCCATAACAGCTTGGAAGCCGTGAGGGGGGCATGTCGTTATTTACTGTCAAACGAATCGGGTGCCATGGCTGACGACGAGTTTCGAATATGGTTCAAGGAGCGGGTGTTGCGAGTGGATGCGCCGATTACGAGAATTAAAGTCATTGAGATGGCGTATTGGTGTGAGCATTGTAGTTATGCGTCTGCCAGTATAGATCGGATGGCCATGCATTATAACAATACGCACAAAACGGGTTGGAGTAGTCAGAATGCAATTACAGGCTCTGTTCAACAGCTGTTTTCGGGTGGTTCATACAGCTGCAATATCCGCGTTAATATTTCTGCCAGTTCCGATCCTGCCATGTCTTCTGCCATGGCGCCGGTTGTTTTGGATACACCTGTTTTTAATTGTGCCGTTGGACATTCAGCCTGAGCCTGTGACAGGTTACTCGGGGCCCTCAGCTGGATTCTTTGCTCGGATGTCTGCCGGGTATTACAGACTGATCGGCAAGCCTTAGCGCCTGGAACTACAGCCAACCCTGGGGGCATTGGTCATTCCACCTCACATCATCGAGAAACTCGACAACATTTTTTTTTTTTACAAACAGTCACCAAGAAGCTTGAGTGCAGTCTTGGCACAAATAATTAATACAACTAATAAAACTGTATATATATATTTTTTTCTTCTTAAAAATAAAAGTAATAACTAAAACTCTTTTTAAATTTAAATTTTTTTCCTACTCGTTGAACATCCGCTCAGCACGTCCAGCTTCCGCCGCAGCCTTCTCGATCCCCACCGCGTGATGTTTCCTAACCGCCTCTCCCAACCTAAGCTTCCTCATATCCATCCCTTCCTTCGCAGCCCTAGCCAAAACACCAGCAACAATAGCCACCGCCCTCATACTATCATCATTGCAGGGTACAGGATAAGTGACCAATCTCGGATCGCAATTAGTATCGACGATGCCCACAGTTGGAACATGCGCAAGTTTGCATTCCGCCAGCATGGTTTTGCACTCCAGAGGGTTAAGTGCGATGATCAAATCTGGCTTATAAGTCTTAAGCCCATCGCCCTCTTTCTTCAACTTGGCTTTTTCCTCCTCGACCATTTTCAAATACCGCGTGTTAGACTTGCGGCCTCCACGTTTGCCACCAGCCAGCTCCGCCTCCTCCTTGGCGGCATTGGCAGGAGCAGTGTAGTTGGCAAAATCCTTGGCCTCCGCGACATCCCAAATGTCCTCCACATACATGATATGCTTGCCCAAAAGCGGTCTAGGGTTAGTCAGAGTTCCTGGGATCCATTTGCCAGTAACAAAGTACTGCTCCGCAAGCAACGCTGCATCCACGGCCATCTGTCGATGATCCTTCCTTGCTCCAGCAAAAAGCACCAATCCTCCATGATACGCCACCTGCCTAACGAAATGCGCCGACCTCCTCAACGCTGCCATGGTAACTTCCAAATTAATCACATGAATCCCTTCACGCTCACCAAAAATATACGGCAAATTCATCGGATTCCACAAGGACGCAGAATGGCCCAAATGCATACCTGCGGCCATCATGGTTTCCAGAGTCAAGGACGACGACGAGTGCTGGTCAAAGGAGGAAGATGCCGAGAGCGCCGATTCGTGCTGGAAAGTGCTAGTCTGCGTGGTTCCGGTGGCTTCAAGCTTGGGCTGGAGGCGCCGGAGGTGAGCGCGGATCCGTTGTTTGTCCAGCTTTGCGTATTTCTTGCTTTTCTTGGGCAGTGTGCCGAAGACACGCGTGGGCACCTCGGGAAGCGGCGGGCCTGTGGGCGCAGTGGGGCCAGCAGCAGCAGCAGCAGCAGCAGCGGGTTTCTCGATAGTGGTAAACTGGCGCAGAGACGCCGTAGTGGTGGCAGACGAAAGGTACCGCGGTGCGGCGGCCGTGCGGAATCGACCAAGTGCAGAAAGAAGCATTTTAAAAAGGTTAATTTCGGCGCTACCTTCCCGCTGACTATATTTTTTTGTTTAAATAATTGATCGAGTAAATATAAAAAAATAAGAAAAGCAAAGGTGAAATTGAATCGAATTCAATTCAATTCAAGGGACCGGAATCAGTTATACAAGCAGCAGCAGCAGCAGCAAAGAAAATAATAAAGCTTATCATTTGTCCGATCCAAATCCCCCCCGCTTTTATGTGCGAAAGAGAAAAGAAAGCAAGTCCAGCCACAGCCAGCACACACACAAAAAATCAAATCAACATGATCAATAAATCCTACTCAAACAGATGATCCAGCGTGCTCAAGCTATACGTGACAAAGAAGTGGGCCTGCAGTTCAGGCTCCACCAGCAGCAGCGCATCGCTCCTAGCACTGCGGCTTCCTTGCGCAAAGGCGCTGTCGGAGCTCCCGACCAGCCGCGCAGCGTGGGCAAGCAGGCTCTGGCGGCATGCGCCCAGGGCCTCCTCGACCAAGCCGCGCTGGACGTTCTCGTCTAGGCACCCGTCGATCTGCCGCGCCAGCCACCGGCAGCTGGCCACCGGCGGGTACACCCAGCGCAGCGTCTGCAGCTGGTCCTCGGTCAGGGCCACTGCAGCATCGCCCGCCGAGGCCACATCGGCAATGGACGCCGGCGCCGGCGCCGGCGCCATGGCCACATCGGCAAAGGACGACGACCGCGTGGACAGCCCGTCGCGGCCGCCGCCGCCGTCGCTGTCGTTGCCGCTGCCGCCGCCGCCGTCGCTGTCGTTGCCGCTGCCGCTGCCGCCGTCGAGGCTCTCGGTGGTGGCCGCGCGCGAAAGCACCCCGGCAAGGTACGCCGGGTCGGAGATCCGCAGGCGCGCACACAGGTGCGCCCACTGCTCCAGCGCCTCCGCGTCCCGCCTCGTCGGCCTGTACGCGGCAATGCTCGCGGCGATGAACGACTGCGCCTTGTACGCCAGCCGCTGCTGCGCGTCGCTCAGGATCTGGTCGACCACGGCGTAGAAGGCATCCAGCCCCTGGTCGTCGCACTCCTCGGCCCCGGCCCCGGCCCCGGCCCCGGCCTCGGCCGGCCGGTGGAACGTCAGGAGCGTCAGGCTCAGCCCGGCGAGCACAGCCACGTCGGACTCGCGGATGATCATCGGCCGCACGTGCTCGTGGAACAGCACCATGGCCGCGTCCAGGTACGCCCTCAGCGCGCCGCCGCCAAGCGCCTCGCCAAAGAAGTCGGCGAAGACGCGGCGCTCGTCGGCGCACAGGTTCATCATCAGCGCGCACCAGTCGCGCAGCACGTCGACGGCCGCGGCGCCCGCGTGCTCGGCGTGCGCCGCCTTGAGCCGCGCCGCCATGTGCGGGCGGATGCACGCGCGCCGCACGCGGAAGAACGCCGCCACCACGTCGTGCAGAATGGCCTCCTCGACCGACCCGGGCGCCGCGCGCGCTGCCAGGGCGCCCAGCAGCGGCCGCAGGCGCGCGGCGCCGCGGCGGAACCGCACATACAGCGCCGTGGCAGTGGCGCCGTCACATGCGGCGTCGCGGCCGGCGGCCTTGAAGACGCGCAGGGCGTGGATTTTGATCAGCGTCAGCGCGCGCATGCGGCACTGCTCGAAGCGCATCAGGAACAGCTCGCTGTCCTTGGCGGCGGCGTGGCGCGCGATGAACGCGATCGCGCGCTCGGCGCGCTCCAGCGCGGGCAGGAAGCCGGGGTCCAGGCACACGGCGTCGCCGGGCGCGTTGAGCAGCTGCGTGGCCGGCGCCAGCGCGTCGTACACGTCCAGGTGCGCCTGGAGGTCGGCGCCGAGCCGCTGCAGCCCGGCGCGCTGCGCCTGCACGGCCGACGTCGCCCGCTGGACGCCCGCCGTCTGCGCGTGCACGGCAAGGCACCCTGCCAGCATGCGCTGCAGCATTGCGTCGATGTCCCGCGCCGCGCCGAGCATCTCGCCGGCCTGGCGCGTGCGCTGGCGCAGGTGCGCGGCGTACGCGTTGGCCTCGCGGTCCTGGCCCTCGGCCACCTGCCGCTCGATGCTGCCGAACCACTCGAGGAACTGCGCAACGGTCTCCATGGGCGCCTCTGCGGCTGCGGCTGCGGCTGCGGGTGCGGCTGTGTCTGGGCCTGTGTCTGGGCCTGTGTCTGGGTCTGGGCCTGGGTCTGGCCCTGTGTCTGGCCCTGGGTCTGGCCCTGGGTCTGGCCCTGGCCCTGGCCCTGGGTCTGGCTCTGCCTTGGCCATGCCCGTGGCGGCTTGCCGCGCCGGGGCTGCAGAGCTGCGCTGCGACAGGCTTCGCCGCGCGCCCGGCTGCGGGTTGATTTTGGCCGCTATGTCTGGCTGGGCCCCAATGGCCAGGTCGCTGAATTCGTTGGGCGCCGAGGAATGCCTGCTCCACTGTGTGCCGAGCGCCTGCAGCTCGCCTATGCTTGTGCGGAACACTGGGTCGCCAGAGACCTTGTATTTTCGGTCCCAATCGTCCGCATGGCCGCCACTGCCGCCGCCGCTGATTGACGTCGTCATTGCATAGGTTGCTGTGAATTAGGTAGGGGGCGGAATGCAAATAAAAGATGGGGTGGGAGATTGAATTAATTAGCAAGAAAAGAGATATAAGGGAGGCAAAAATGGGGGGGGGGGTGGTATGGACGCACTCTTCGTCGCCCATCCATCCATTAATCAACCCCCTGCCTAACCCTCGCCTTTAATGCTGCGCCTGTTTGCAATACCAAGCGAGAGAGAGAGAGAGAGAGAAGGCAAGTCCGCTGCGAAAATAACTCGTCCAGGCGCATAGGTCCATAAGTGGTCCCCACAAGGAGGTGGTGCGGTGCTGTTTGGCACGCGCTCAGGGTTTCCTAATTTCCAATTTAATCCGCTCCAAGGCATCATCCATTTTCATTCAATTTCCATCCAATTTCCACTCAATTTCCATCCAATTTCCATCCAATTTCCATCCAATTTCCATCCAATTTCCATTTGCAACCAGTACAGCAAGAGCCCCATTGCAGTGTACACCAGCCATTCACGCATGTGCGGATGTCAATGTGCCAACGTCGTCCTTGCTTCCGCCAAGGATGTACGAAATCAACTGCCAGCCATTCGGCGGATCATACGATTCAAACTGGTCCGGGTACGGGCTCGGGCGCAACTCGGCCTCGCTAGCCTCCCCCCCTAGTCCGCCAGTCGAGTCGCCGTTGGCTCGTATTCCCTGCGCAGTGCAATTCTCCTTGTACATATCCGGCGACCTGCCGCCAAGCGTCTTCTGTATCATCTCGGGCGCCTCGATGAACGTCATCTGCAGCCCAAGCATAATGTGGAAGTCGATGTGGCAGTGGAAAAGCCAAACGCCAGGGTTGTCAGCGCGGAATCTCAGCACGGCGTACTGCCCGCCGCGCACAATCACCGTATCGCGCTTGACCGGCGTATCGAGGGCCTCCTTCATTGAGCGCTCGTCGGTCCGGATGCTGCCCATTTCGATGACCTGGAAAACGTGACCGTGTAAGTGGAATGGGTGCGAGTAGTAGTCGTGGTTTCGGACTAGCACCTGGACGACTTCCATGTGGCCAAGCACATGTGAGTTGGTTTGTCTCCCGTATGTTGCAGGCAGCTTGGCCATTTCGCCGGTGGTCAGGGCGCTGAGCAAAGTGGGCACTTGTGGCGCAACATAGGTGACGTTATTGAACGAGTGGCGGAATGTCTGGTCATTAAATACGCCAGAGTACGCATCCAGGCTGATAAATCGATTGGGCTCCAAGGCAAGCTCTCCGTCCAATGGCTCGAGATCCAGATCGTGTGCGCTCATCCATATTGCTCCTCTCTGGCGCTTCATCCGCGCCTCGGCAGAGTACTCGACCGTGCCAGTGAAGTTCAGCGGGTTGTAGCGCGGCATCTGCAGCAGATCCGTAAACATGTCAGCATGGAACTTGTAATTGTAGGCTGTACTGTTCAGCGCAGTCACAAGAACCGACGCCCTCTGGCCTATGCCCAGTGTGATTCCGTGGGTTGGCTTTTCCTTGACCATGACTCCGTCAACCTCGATGATCCGCAGCTCGTGGCCGTCCATGCTGAAGTGGAACTCGAACGACGCGCCAATGTTCAGCAGCCGTAGCCGGTATGTCTTTCTGGGAACAAACTTGATGCGTTTCCTGTTTGCGCACTCGCCGCCGATAATGCCGTAGGGGACAAAGGGTCCGAACCTAATGTGCGGATCCGGGCTATTCAGCCTCTTGATCAGTACCTCTGCTGGTTCTCGGAACCAATCCTCCATCGGAAGCACAAATTCATCGTCGTAGTGGTACGCTTCGTTGGGGTCTTTGATTATCAGAGATGTTCGCAATCCATCTGCGGTCTGCGACTTGGAATGGCTGTGGATCCAGTATGTTCCTGCCTGCTGCAGCGGAATCCGATACGTAAACGTGCCATTAGGCGGTATCCCACATTCAGTGACCATTGCGGCGCCGTCATAGTGGTTTGTGCCATTTTGGAATAGCCCGTGGCTGTGCAGGGACGTGGGCTCGCTGAGTTTGTTGGTTGCGTGGATTATCAGGGTATCACCCATTGTTGCTTCGACAAATGGAATCGGCCATTTGCCGTTGATGCCAATGGCCTTGCGCGTGAAAATACCCTCCATGTTATAGTCGACATGCTCGATATTCCAGTAGTGCTCGATATCAATTGCGCACACGATGCTGAAAAGCAAATATAGTGTAAATGCAATGTAATACATGGTGGGGGAAAAAAAATAAGGAAAATAGGAAAAATAGGAAAAATAGAAAAAACGAAAATAAAATATATAAAAAGATAAAATAATATATGGTAAATAATATAAAAAAAACAAGGAAAAAATAAACAAAACTTACAAAAATAAAAGTGGTGGAAATAAATATGTAGATTATTCATTTAACTAAACTTTTATTTTTGAAGTCATGCCTGCGTCGCCATGTTGAAGTCTTGTTAAGTCAATCGAGGGTTAAACCATTTTTTGTTCTATATTGTATTACATATATGTATATATATACATTTTTTACAATATACAGTGAAATGCAAAACAATATGCATGTGCGCAAGTGTCAAATATAAAAAATAAGAATCTATTCGAGAAAGTGCGGAGGTAAGGTTCATATTTCAAAAGCTTTTGAAATATAAAAGTGGTTTGAAAGTGGTGGTGGTGGTGGTGGGGGAGAGGGAGATGAATATAAAAATCTTGGATCAAAAAGTAATTCCTGATTAAATCAAAAACGCTCAGATCAACACCAATTTTTTTATTGGAAATTTTCAAACCGATTTTTTTCCTCCCTTTTTTTTTTCTCTCTTCTTTTTCCTTTTGTTCTACCGGTTGCTGCTTAAAAATCGCACAGTGAAAAATAACAAAATGCCAGCCATTTTTTTTACACACTTTGCAAAAAAAAATATATATATAAATATAAATAACTACTGTTTCTATTGACAAACGAATAACTTGACTTTTCTTTTATTCTCCTCTATTTTACCAATTTGCACTTCTTTTTTTTTTTTTATAATTCATTATTAATCGCATTCTTCCTAACGTTGGTCAAATAATAAAAGGATATTCAAAAAAAGGGAGACTAGTTAGAATGGCCAAAGACCGCTTTCTCGCCAAGGGCGTAGCCACAAAACGCCAACGCAACGGAAAACCAGTAGCACCGCGCAAGCAGCAGGGAGGATCAGAGCAGCAGGGTCGGCGTCCCGGAAACAAGGCCCAGAATGGTCGTAAGGACAACCAAGCAGATGAGACCGACGACGAGGTCGGCGACATCGACGATCTCGAGCACCGGTTTGGCGCCGACGAAGACGAGATGTCATCTGAAGAAGAGGACGAGTTCCTCGAGACCGCAGCCGAGAAGCGCCTGCGTCTGGCAAAAAGCTACATCAGCAAGATCAAAGAGTCGACAGAGGCAACGGGAGACGACTACGACGCTGCGGAGATCGACCGGGATCTGGTCGCCGAGCGTCTTATGACGGATGCCCGCGAGAGAACCGGAAAGTGGAGCCGGCGGATCGCCGATCAGTTTGCCTACGACATTGATGAGTCGCATTTGCGAGTATTGAAGAACGGCCATCGGCTGCCTGTGACATGCGTTGCCGTGACGCCTAATGGCCAGTTCGTGTACAGCGGATCGAAGGACGGGTCTCTGATCAAGTGGCAGCGGGAGACCGGAAAGCTGCTCAAGATGTTCAACGGCCAAAAGAAGAAAAACCCCGCACCTAACCACAACCTCGGCCACTGCGACCATATTTTATCGATTGCCGTCAGCGGCGACAACAAGTACGTGGCGACGGGCGGCCGTGATCGGCGTATTCACATTTGGTCGGTTGACGAGGACAAGCACTTGACGGTGTTCCACCAGCACAAGGATGCGGTCACCGGCTTGGTGTTCCGCCGCGGCTCCAACCAGCTATACTCTTGCTCGGCCGACCGCATGGTCAAGCTGTGGAACATTGATGAGCTGGCCTACATGGACACTCTGTTCGGTCACCAGGACAGCATTGTATCCATTGACTCATTGCAGCGCGAGAACGCCGTCACCACAGGTGGCCGCGACAAGACAGTCAGAATGTGGAAGATTGGCGACGAGACACAGCTTGTTTTCCGCGGTGGTGTCACAACAGACCAGCACCGCATAACAAAGGCTCTGACCGACGACAGACACTCCGCTAAGCTCACTGCCGCTGAGTTGATGCTTGCCAGTGGGTCGCCGTCGGCCAAGAAAATGATCGAAGCGCATAGGGATATTCTTCGGCAGCTGGCCAGCAACGACACGCAGCTGTGCGAGTCGACTATCGACACTGTGGCGATGATCGACGAGGAGACATACGTGACTGGGGGAGACTCCGGCGCCCTGTCCCTGTGGAGCATCCATAAGAAGAAGCCTGTGTTCATCCACCATGTCGCCCACGGTATTCACCCGAGGCTCGAGACTGAGGAGGAGCAGGGTGCATTTATTGTTCGCCCGCGCTGGATCACCGCTCTGGCGGCTGTACCCCTGACGGACCTGTTCTTCTCTGCTTCGTCCGACGGATTCATTCGGATGTGGCGCATGCGTTCTGGAAAGACCCCCGGGTTTGATTTGGTCAACGTTGTGCCGGTGGCCGGGTTTGTTAACGGCCTCTCGGTGCGCGAGCTGTCCCCTGCCGGTGACATTTTGGCGACGAAGAAGGATCTGATTCTGGCGGCTGCCGTTGGCCAGGAGCCGAGACTGGGTCGCTGGGCCAAGGAAAAGGCGCGGAATGTCGTCAAGATATTCCAACTACCTGCTACCTTAAAGGCTGCTCCCGCCAATATCTAAACACACACACACCCACCCCCAAAAAAAAATTTAGTATTAACGTGCGCAGGCATTTCTACGACAAACAGGAGGTGCTTGGTCAATTCTTTCTCTTTCTTTCAATTAAATACATACACTTATATTTGTTTGCTTTGCCCTGCTAAATTGGCGTGCATAAGTACGAGTCTTTGCCAAAAAGACAGAAAAACAAAACAAAACAGCGGTTCTTTGGGAGTTTTTTGTTGTGGGCTTTACTATACATGCTGTCGCACAAATCTTGCATTCCTCCGAAGAGTTTCTTTAGCTTTCTTTTGGAATGCTTTTGCTCTGACTTGGCAAATTACAATAAAATTGAAGCAGCAGTTCTACTAAATGAAATTATCGAACACCTAAAAAAAAATTACACTACGTATTTGATACATCTTTTTTTCCCGCTTTTTTTTCAAACATGTTTCACACGGGCCTGTGCTGTTGCCATCCGATGCAGTTGATCTTTGGGATTACAAGTCTTTAGTTTTTGGTTCTAGTTATTTTTTCATATCGTTTGCCTCAGCATTATACAATGGAGAATAAATGACAATGAACAAAATGGTGGTAGGCGCCCTGCCATTCCCTGTTTATGTTTGTTTCCCCCCTCCTCTTCCTTTTGTCTCTTCGTTCCCGAAATTAATATATTTTATTTTATTTCTTCCAATACCATTTATGTTATATTTCTACTCGTTATATTATTTCGCATCCATTGACAACATCATATAGCGTATGCACCTAAAGCCCCATTTCCAACAACTTCCCAGTATCATCGCTTGCAACATTATTCAATATACTATTTCCAACACAGACATATCCAACAACCTAACCACAGAACATGCAGTTTCACCAAAAAATGTACCTAGCGAGCTATTGCACGTAAGCCATAGGTGGCGGCAAGCAGCTTTACAAAATTTTTTCAGCAAGCTAATCATTAAAAAGCACAAAGGCAAGCCTGCACTCCAGTTTGACGAGAAGGTCTGGCCTGCACACTACAGAAACATGCTTTTTCCACCAGTCGCTGTCCAAGTATGTCAATCACTTGGTTGTCAAAATAAACTATGACAGGTTGTTTTCTGACTGGATTGCAGCTTTTATATTGGAACACCCGAAATGCATAGTGGAGCTTTCGTGTGTCACCAAGCTCAGTATCATTGTGAAAAATGGGCCTCATTATGGCCGCTGCCTGTATGACTATTCAGGCTATGCCACTGCAAATACTCACTTGATAAATACTGTTTTTATTCTGCAATTGATAGCACCAACGGTAAAGAGTACGCACGTGGCGCTTGACATGCCAGATGGGCTCTGGGAGGACGCGCTGCATGATAACATAAATATGGTACTGCCAGTTTTATTTGGGCAATCAGCAAAATCATCTTTATCGGTAAACTTTTGGCACTTTCCCAAGTGTTGGAATATAGGAATGTTCTATGAACGTGTAGATAAACCATATATATTTAATGAATAGATGCTATGCACTGCGAAAGGTAAAGAATAGAGAGCATATTGCTTTGATCACTGTGTGACCTTATTGTTTGTGTGGCTAAGCAGCCACGACTGGTTAATCAGTTGATCACCATCAACCAATACCAAGACACTCGTTCCGCCAAGTTACAGTGTATTTTCGTGTCTCGACCTCCAATGGTGCACTACAAACAGCAACATGCTGAGGCTCATCCACAGAAACAAGAGCACATTGCAGAGCTTGAAACTTGTCTTCCAAAACCACCAACAGACAGAAATACTGTGCTTAATCATTGGCAAAGACAACAATGTTGTAACATATCCAAGTATGCAAAAGCTTCATTTAGAGGGAAGACTGTTTGCCGGACAAATACCAACACGGCCGGGTCACAAAACAGCCGTCCCATTTGCCGAGCTGCGCCAACTGACACTCAGAATGTTCTATCCCTTTTCAGACGATACTCTGTTTAGAGGCAACAGCAGAACGCTCGAGAAATTGGTCATAATCCCTGACTACAAAGCTGTAGAGATGTTGTTGGACAAATTTGTGTTTGCAGGTAATCGGTACTGCAGACTTTGGTGTGTTATGCTAGAAGAGATGTATATGTATGCATCCAGTGGCCCTCAGCTCACTCTTGGACATAATGCCATGCTTGGGAGGTTGTTTGACTTGTTCTTCCCTGCCGCAAAGCGTGTGCAAATAAAGTATTAAAATGTTATTTATAGAATATTTTATAGTCTTATAAATAATGTACACAAACGCAATAAACATAATAAACCTTAAACTAGGGTACATTACATGTGCAACAAAAGCTAAAAATTTTCTTTAACATTTTAATGTAAACTTGTTCCTAGGACATATTTGTCCGCGGCCCAGACCCCATCAGGGAAAATAGGTGTGTGTTACCTGATTGCTCCATCATTTTGTTTGCCTTATCATATTCAATACCCACATCGACGTTAGCCAAGTGCGGAAACCACAGTTTATACTCCTCCACAAATCTGACCAACCCCATCCAAGTGCAGTTAAAAATGTCAAGGGATTTAAGCGAAGTCAATTGTAAGAGCAAATGCTGCGTGCACGATACAAATACATTAGGTTTAATATTATTCCCGGCAATGAGCAATGCGCCCAAGTATTCAATATTACTTTTGATCGGCTGAACACTGAGTTGACTGGGATATGTGAAAAACATGAGGTCGTTAATATGCTCCGGCAAATCATTTGCGAATAGCCTATATAATTCTAGCTTTTTCAAAGTCGGTAGTTTCTCAATGATTATCAGCATTGTGTTGAACTCGCAGTCATCAATTTTTAAATAGTCAAGGGTTTGCCACTTGATTTGCTCCCAATCTATGTTTAAATTTACATGAAATAAATCAATTACTGAGCTGGTGTACTTTCTGTTCGATTTAAAAAATAAATTTGTTGATTTGTAAAATTCATGTTCATTAATTCGGTTGATATTCGAAAACCTGATATTAATTACTCCAACAGATTGCGTATTGAATTTGCTCAACATGTATAGTGTGCTGAGGGAATTGGTTATGTTAATTAAATAAAGTTGTTCCGAAAATTTGTATATTTGATTTGCGAAATCTGCTCCCGGGTTATTTATGATTATGATATTTTGAAGCTTTGGAAATGATATTTGAGAGCCGATCGAGTCATTGGAGTCACAAGTATTTGCATTTGCTATACTGTACTCAGTATTATCATCCTTCTCTTTAACAAATTCTAATTTCAGCGTTTTCAAGCTGCTAAACTCAACCATCTTTGTATTTTTATCTGAGAGTAGTATATTCCAAGAAAAATACAAGGGCACATTAGTTAAACGAAGCAGCTGAATAATTTCAATATTAACTTTGGGAATCAAAATCTCGGATGCAGGATTAAGTGAAATGTTCAGCTGCGTCAAATTACCGAACGCGCCTGCCAAATTCAAGGGCATAAATAAATCACTCACAACAGAACGCAAGTTGTACTTATATCCGTATATAAGCTCAGTGCTAAGAGTACGCGTCAAGCGGGATTCAATACTTGATTTAATTACCAATGTATTAACATTAGGCATATGCTGCACCAGTTGTTCAATAAAGCAAGACAATTGTGGAACCAGCTCATCATGGGGATTAGGCGTAATGATCCCCACAGTCATAGCTGAAACCGGGTTGATTCTAAATTTGACAGTTGTAACGTTTGTCCAGCCATGCTTGACAAACTCAAACACCGATAGATATTGGTCTAAAAATTGACCAACGCAAGTGTGGTTGTCCAGCGATAGTTCCAGTGTTTTGGCCAAATGTGTGTTATTTGAAAACTTTATCAGGCCGATGTTGGTGCGCGTTTTGGACTGTCGAGCTCTGTGTAGCCTCGTTTTATTAAAGTAAGCATGTCTATAGGCTTTAAGTTTTAATGTATTTCTCCATGTTCGGTTAACTGCTAGCAATGGGATGTACTGATGCCACGCTGCATTTCCATATATCTCCATATGCTTTGTCGCAAATTGAATAATGAGGTCCACAACGATTAATGGCAAGTCAGTGATGTGAAGCATGTTGACTGTGTGAGAATTAAGAGTAAATAATAAATAATAGCAAGTAGTATGTTAAAAATAGCAAAATAAGATATATGTAGTTGAAAGAATAAAAATGACTAGATTTTCTCTTCATCTGCATCATTATTCTCATTTTTAAACCCAATATACCACGCGACATTATTTATAAAGTAGCGTACTTCACTTTTCCATTTGCACAAGGGAAATTACTCTACTTTGCAACTGATTTTTTTGCCCCGATATATAACAATCAATCCAATCAATGGCCAAAAGAAAGAAAGAAAAATCCAGATGTTAGTTTTTTTATAAAACATAAAAAAAATTAAATTACAAAAAAAATTAAGCGGTCAATTCTGCTAATTACCATAGTTGCCATAGCTTCCATACACTGACGGCAAACCGACATTATGACCCGTCCTATTCCCAATTGCAGGCCCGCCAGACATAGACGTAGTGGCAGTAGCAGAAGCGGCTGTAGTGAACTGCATCGGCAAGTAATGCGAGGTATTGCTGAGCACCGCACCTTGCAATGCAGCCTGTTGTCGTTGCAATGAAGACAAAGACATTGATGACATTGACAAAGTCGATGCAGGTTGGGGTTGCCCCGGATAATGCATACTGCCACTGCTGCTGGTATTTTGTCCGGCCGGCAACACCATTGCCCACGGATACGCCGAATATGAGGGACCCGCAGCAGATACCACAGCAGACGCCGATGCCGATGCCGATTCAGATGCAGCAGCACCAAAAGCAGTGACAGCAACAGTGGACGGCCGCTGCATATACGTGCTGTACATTTTAGACAAGGCCCCCTGGCGGCTCTCATCACCCTGTACAAACATATTCTGCAACGGAGGCGGCATGGAGTTTAGATTCTGTAATGCTGACATTGCCGCTGCCGAGTCCAACGTGGCTTGCAGCGGCCAGTATTGGTGCTTCTGCACGGTCAGTTGCTGCTGCAATTGCTGCTGAATTCGCTGCTGCTGGTCGAGTTGCTGCTGCAGTGCCAGCTTCCTTTGGTTTTCGACCTGGTATTGCTGCCAGGCATACATCGCCGACTGACCTGCAGCCGCCGTGGCCGAAGATGCTGCCGTAGTTGATGCGCCCTGTTTGGCCATACCACTGGCTGCCAATGGCATCACCTGCTGCTGCTGTAACAATGACTCCCACCCACCACTACCCCCGCTGCCGTTAGTTCCAGTGCTGATGACCGGCGGAACAATGGTGGATTGTATTCCGGGGTACTGCCCAGAAGAGGCCTGCAGCGGTGAATAAATCGCTCCAGAATACGCCAGCGCCATATCAGCCGCCGATCCCACAGACATGGCGGCGCCCGGGGACACCGGTGCGGTACTCGACCCGGATGCACAGAACGGCCACTGGCTCTCCAAACTCGCAGCCGACAAGGGTACACGAGATCCAGACGCGCCAAATAAAGCAGACGTGGATGACAGTCGCTGAGACCCAATGGCAGCGCCCCTAGCGTTGGCGCGATAATGGCTGCTACTGGCCATCATTGCAGGCGACACAACCTCATCGTTCTCAGAATCTACCAAAACCGAGGGCTTTGCTCTGTCGCCTGCTACTCCTATTCCAGAAGTAGCAGCTGCTATTGTTGCTGCTGTTGCAAAAGCACGTGTTGTCGCCACTATGAGCGGTGCCATCTGTGACTCCAACTCTAGTCGCTCTATCAGCTTATCCGGCGTCGCTTCCGACGTCGCTTGTTGCGCCTGTTGACCACAAAAAATCCCCCTGTGCACTCCAAGCCCAGGCGTCGGCGGCAAGGACTGCGAGACGGAATCAGGGGCAGACCGAAATGTATCGACATGGTTGGAGTCTCTATGCTGCTGTTGCTGTTGCTGCTGTTGTTGTTGTTTCTGCTGGGCTTGTGGCCGGCCATGAAAACATATAGTTTCGTCCTCGACATCCTCGTCTGTGTCCTCAACCAATGCATCTGCCGAGACAGGTGCAGCGCCTGCAAGCTTGCTCGAACCCGCAAGGTTATTCGCGCTCTTGGGCTCTGAGACCAAGCTGGGTTTGGCACCATCTATAATCGAAAGCACAGCAGGAACACACTCAGACACCAAGCCCAAAAGGCAGACCAACTGGCGCCAACGCACCTGGAATCCATGTTCTCCGGACCCGTTGCCATCACCAACCTTGTATACCAAGGCGCCCTGGTCCGCCGCCCCCTTACCCCACACAGTGCCGTCAGGTAGCCGCCATCCAACAAACAGCTCCTCCTCCAATCTCAACGAGTCCTCAACACCCGTCCCTGAAATATCAGCGCGATCATCGGTGCCGTAAAACCATAGGCGCTGGGTGAGAGGTGCCATTAGTCGCTCGCCCAAAACCTGTCTCCAAGTGACGCGCTCAACCGGAGCTGTTCTGCGGTTGACCTTCGACTGCACCTGCTCCATCGCCGAGCGCAAAGCATTGACATTATCCAGCAGGTTGCAGTCTTTAATAACCGCAAACACCTTTTGCCGTAGCAGCGACACCAGCGGGCTACCACTGGTGCCCAGGCTCTCGCTTGATATTGCGTCCCTGACAACCCTAACAGAGGCCGAAACAATCCACAGAAGCGTCTGGATCAGCGGGGGGATAGCCCGCCTCGACGACTTGGACAGCAGATCAGCCTCGCTCTTGACCTCACGCATGCGGCCAGGATGGTGCAGGACATCAATGATCGAGCACCTGACGGCAAAGCTCAGGTTCTCCGCCACCTTCATGGCCAGCAGGGCAGACAAACGCGCGACGGATGCGCTGTGCAGGGTACTCTCAGTGTCGTCAGCGCCCAGGGCGCAGAGCTGCTGGAGCTCAAATATGTGAATAGCCTGGGTGACCAGAATCTGCCTCTGGTCAATGGACCCGGATTTGACGCCTTGGATGAACCGGGCACTGGCCGCCAGCACATCGTTGATCAGCTGGCGCTCCATCTCCGGCGTGATTGACACGCGGTCGGCGCCTGATCTGCCCTCGGCCAGTGCAGCCAGTTCCTTAACCGTTGGCTGGTGGATGGCAAAGAGGTATCGCAGGTGGGTGAACTTTTGATAAACGCAGTTCTCGTAGTACAGGTACCCTGTTGTCCCGGCGTCGGCCGCATCGGCGCCGGTGTCCTCAATCGCTCTCAGCGCATTCTCCAGGATGGTGCGCAGATTCGCCTCAGCTGGCGGAAAGGTGTGCATAGCCGTGAGTGCGCGGTAGTAGCAAAAGACACCGTCCAGGCTGTTCTTCTCGTAGCCGTAGACCACAGCCAGCTGGTTCTGCGGCTGGCCACGGTGGGGCGCAAGCTTGATGGCACCACGGTAAAAGTTCTTTGCGGGCCACCACATCTCGTGAGCGCCGTTAATCACTTGGCCAGAGGCGTACTGTGGCTGGCGCGAGGCCGCAGCCTTGACCACGCTCGTGGCGCCCTGCTTCTTGCTAGTGTACAGGATGCGGTAGCGGGACAAGTCCCCCAGATATATCAGCAGCTTGGAGATAATAGCCAGGGATGCGCGCTGCGCCGGTGACAAGGCCGGGTGCAGCTCTGACTGCAGCCCATCGACGAACTCAAACCCGTAGGCGTGCGTCGCCAGGGCTCGGTAGTCCACGGCAAATTCTGACAGCCCCACCAAATGGCCCAGGGCCACCAGCTCGTTAGTCTCAGCCAGCTCCACTACAATCCTCAGCAGAACGCCGGTTGACGCCTGCAGGAAGCACTGAAACTGCGCCCGCCACCGCGACACCTCCTTCCGGGCGTCCATTGCATCCCTCACAGGCCTCTTTGCCGCATAGCCGACAAGGCTCTCAAACTGCTTGATGTTTGCGCGGTACTGCTCTATGGAAGGGTAAATCGTGCGAAACCACAGCTTGCTCACCACATCCTTGCGGTATGACGAGTAAGGATTGCGCAGGAGCAGGCGTCTGAAAAGCTCCAGGCAGTCGGCACGCAGGGCCTCGAGCTTGGGCGCAAAATAATCGGCGCTGGGCTCTCGCATGCCCTGGTCAAGCGCATCGCCGGCCTTACGAATCAGCTTGATTAGCTCTGCTGTGTTGGTCGCCTGCGACACGTCGCCCAAACGCAATTCCATCGCCTGAAACTGGTGCGGCCGCGTGCTGGTGACGGCAGCGGCAGCGACGTTAGCGAGCTCGGTCATTGTTCGTCACAGTGGCTGCTAGTGACGCACACGCAAAATGAATGAAAATAAAACGACAAATGCAAAGAAATACGGGCACAAGTTGTTTAGCTAAAATTCAGATTCCACCCGAGTGCAGCTAAAAAAGACAGGGTGTCAGCTCCATTAAAGGGTGTCTGGCGTTTCGCAAGAGAGCACAAGTCGTCATGTCCTTCGACAGCATACCTTTATTGTCAACCTAAGGGGAGGAGGCAGTAGGACCAAAGCAGTGGGAAGGCGAGCGAGCGATAGCTGACAAGCGGAGAAAGCGCGCGCGCGGGGAGAGGGTGGGAGGCTTTTTATCGTAATTCGAGGCAGAAAAGCCGAAAATTCACACTAGCTGTGCGGCCAAAGAAAAGAGAAAAAAAAGGTAGTTTACCACTTTTAAAAAATTTCCCCTTTCCCCTTACTTTTTTTATGTTTACCAGAATAGTAGAACAAATTTATAGAGCAGGGCAAAAATGAGCGATTGTGGTACTGCAGTGGAAGGAAAGAAAACAAAAAAAAGAAAAAGAGGGCCAAGTTAGGAGGAAGCCGCCTTTATCGACCGAATTTAGGAATCCAGATTGAATTGACTGTCAGAATCGGTGTGCACAAAAAAATTAGAGCAAAAAAATAATAATCGAACCACAGAGAAAAAACAAAAAAATTTAAAGTAGAAGCGAGCGAGGCACAGTATTTGACCCAATTTCCAAAATAAATTTTGGTGACCCGTGATTCATGTCGTTCAAGAGCACTAAAAATAAAAAATTAAAAAAACCGAGATTTGCGCATGAGTTTTCTCTCTTTTTTTGGGAGTGTGTGAAAGGAGGCTAATGTAAAAAATTCGAGGGATGATCAAATGTCTTTTTTTCCTTCCCGAGTGGTTAATTTTTAGACTTATTTTAATCCTCACTAATTTAAACACTAAGCATGGAAATAATGGAAGGCGAAATGTTGCCCGACACGACGGGCTTTCAGGTTCTCGAGACAACCATACACACGGAGCAAGGCGGTAAGCTCCCCTCATAATCTGCCATGTTTTGTGCATTGCCACTGGAAAGCCCAATCAGAAAGAGGCCATTATTCTATTTCTGATCAGACTCGCCCACTAAACTTCAAAGCTTCAAAGCGCTAAATAATCCAAGCTCAATTCGCGATTCGCACAGCTGTTGTTTATTTAGCCATATTGCTTTTGGACGAGCACTTGGAGCGCATGCGTCGGTCCTCAGAGACCCTGTCCAAGAAGTACAACCATCGGTGCTTTGCGCTGACTGCGTCCAAGGCCGAGATCCAGCAGAAGGTGCAGAGCCTTGTCAAGGGCTCTCCAAGCACAACCCACCGAGTGCGCTTACTCCTCAGCAACACTGGTGGTCTTGAGATCCAAGTCACACCCGAGCCCGCCCCAGCCACCACCGCTGCAGCCACCTTGCCACTACTTGTGCTTGACTCGCAGCCCACCGACACTGACTCTGTATTTATTGCTTGCAAAACCACGCACCGCGATATTTACAATCAGGCGGTACGCAGATTGGCGCCTGAATTGCAGCAGCGCGGGGCTCAGGTGCTGCTGTACAACAAGAGCGGCGAAATCACGGAAACAAATATTGCCAATATTGCTGTGTCTGTAATGGTGGGTGGAGAGATGGTGTTGGTGACTCCCCGGCTGTCTTCGGGCCTGCTTGCAGGAACCATGCGTGCCAAGATGCTGAATGAGGGTCGTGTTATCGAGGGCGTCGTTACTGTGGAACAGTTCCATGAAGCTGCACAAAACGGATGGCCGGTGCTGTGCATGAACTCTGTGCGTGGGGAATTCAGTGTTAAAGTTGCAGTTTGAAAATGTGCAATATATCCATTTATATTGAAAAAACCAAATGACAGCCTGCAAATAGATGTTTACTGATGAATGTGAAAGACTTGAAATAATATAGCCACCTGGTTGATTCTATTAAAGTGGCGTTTTATATCCTGGATGTGGAATTGTGGATTTTTCTAAAGCTGGTCTCAGCATTCATGTCGACAGCCCACGCCACACTATCCACTGTGCAAGTTGAAAAAACAACACTGGCAATATGCACCATTGTCATCTGGTCGATTTTTATGGTGGCAAAAAAATCCACTCCTTATGCAGTTTGCATTGCTCCCTCTATAGTCTTGCAGCTGGCATGAATATACTTGGTAATTTATATTGATTGTTAATATAAAATTTTCGAAACAGCCGAGTAAAACAAACATTCCGAAAAATTGTATCCCTGTATTCACTTAAAAACATAGCCTTGACGTGATTTTTCTCTTGTAAAATTCAACCAAGCAATCGCCCGCCTTGGTAATTCTATCGTCTACGTCAAACACATTACCACGGCCTTTCATTGATTATCTATAAATGTTTTTAAATCATAGCTTTAAAAATATTTTACCATGGAATAGGCACAAAAGCTTTTTTCCATGGAGATCTAGATGTAACCAACCATAGTTGGTTCTGCCTCTTAGGATACAAGCATAGTAAAGGTATATGCGTGTAAATATAATAAATCAGCTTTGAGATTATAATATGCAAAATAAGTATACGTTGTTGTATTAACAAAAATGCAAATGAGTGCTTGCTTCCTCCAATAATATTAAAATAGAAGAAATATTTACAATGTGCCAATGCATTCATGGTATTTCCTTTTTTCTTTGTTTAATTAAACCGGGACTTTTGGCATTTGCCTTGTGTCATTTGGAAAAATGTACACAGCTTCTAAATAATTACTTTTTGGTGGATATAATATGATTTATTTATTGCAATGACAGGAATAACACAATAATCTATGACAGGGCACGGTACAGCAAATACGTTGTTCATGTGGAATGACTGCGCATGTAGAAATTCTCAACTGCTTTGGAAGAAAAATAGAGGTGTGCCAGGTAATTAAATTAAAATGGAGTCACACGTGTAAACAAAATAGCTGGGCAACGTGAAATACAAATTACTTTTTTATCACTTCTTGACTTAACGTTTCAAGGAAAAAATATGTTTGAGGTGCTTCATTATATCTTTATTTATTTCAGTTTTTTTGACATATAGTCAATTCCTACCAACCTTTATAATGAATTAATTGCATCTTTGTGCAATCCTCACAAGGTGTATCCCGTAAACCAGTGTGTAAAATCTATTTTTTGGATAAAGCTTGTGGAAACAGAGGAGTAGCTTGGAAATGCAATCAATAAAAAATGGAAAGCGCAGAAAACTAAAAAAGTAATGGGATAAACAAATGAATGCATATACACACATCAACCGATGAATATCTGTTTTTACAAAAATAAGTGATTTTTCAACATATAAGAAGTCAAGCAACTTCACGTATTTGTTTTATTTTACTCCCATTAACACATCTCTTCCAAGGATTTTTAATTCAGCCTACATTATACCACTGTCAATTTGCTAAACATGTCTACCCAACCTGATTTTATTAATAATTCAAAATGTGCGTACTGTAACGAAAAATTATCAGATGCCAATAAATACAGAAGCCATGTATATTATAAACATCCAGAAAATTTGGATTTAATTGATGTTGAAAGAATAACTAAAAAAAATAAAAAATAGACCCGCTAACAATAAAAAGATTAATACTAACGCCATGTGCAAATGCCGCAAAATGCTACCATTAGCAAAACCGTTGAATTTTTGCAAAGCAACTTGTCCGTTTTGGAGTAAATCTTTTGTTAATTTTTAAAATGCATCCACGTATGTAGTGTTGCACATACTGAAGATATGGAAGCTGGATTCTGGGGTCGAGAATCGCAAAACAGGTTTCCACCTGCGTGCCGATTGATAGGACGCTAATTGGATCATGCAGGCGTAAATTAGGGAGGCATTACATTGATGCCCAAATATGGTCCCCATTTTGCAATGCACACACATAAGCGTACACACACGAAAACCACAACATTGACTTGCCAAGATACCTGTCTGCTCGCAGAAGATCCAGTTCTCACCAACGGAGCACACAATTGACAATGTGCACAACAAAGGCGACAAGGCATATATATAAGATGAGGCCGGCCCTAGTAGTGTTTTAGAAACATTAGTAATAAAACCTTTTATAAAATCACCCCTACCTTTTTAACACTAAGCAACTAGTGCTTCTCACACCCCCTCTTACTATAACAGTAGCTTGCATATTCAAGACAAATGCCCATGTCAAACAATAAAATAGTATTGTTATATAAATATTTATTTTAATGTTGATCCTTGGTGTAATAAAATTAATTTTGTTTAAAATAAAGTATATTCAAAATAGTTACTATGTAAAACCTGTAAATTGTGTTGCAAGTTGGGCTATGTGCCTCACTGTGTCTTAAATTACAATAGCGAATTCTACCAAAACAAATATTGATGTTTTTATTTTGCCATTTTAATGAAACTTGTGAGCGCGATCAAAGGGAGACCAAAAAATATCAACTGAGCAGTTACAAGGAATATTGCTAAATGGTGAATAAAATATTAATTAGAAAACAGTGTTCTCATCCTCATGGTGGGAGCACCTTAGTATATACTGAAACTAAACTATGATAATGCACACAGCATTCCACATGCTACACACATGTATACAAGCATCAAAACAAACGACAATAGCAATAGAAATATTATTTTTGATGCACCTTGAAATTGCATCAATTTCTACTGATATCATTTTCTGGAAAAAAAAACAGGTTTAACCATGAACACCGGTGCCTTCATAATCAATATGATTGGATTAGAACACCAGGTGACGTTCTACATATGTCTGATGCATCTATGCGCGCAAAGGGGTCTTAGCCTGGGCCGCTGGCCTGGGTTGTGGCCCCTCTGAGGGGCTCTCAACAAAACAAACGCTAAAATAAACAGTTTATATGATTGTAGCAGCTACTACAAAACAATAAAGTTTGACAAACATATACTATATCCTGTTATATACGCGTTTGTTAAATGCATATAAATAGTTTGACATACACTAAGGCTTTGTTATAATAAAAAGTATTTATCAAAATAAACTAAAAGAAAGCTAAGGGATGAACAGTCTCCACTGTTTATATTAATTAGCATTTATGTGCGTATTAGTTTCCACATATCCAAATAGGGAATTAACTGGTGATTGATTCATTAATGAATCACTTGAAACAAACCGCATTTTCTTGTATCATAGGTTTACTAATAAATATGTGAGTGAAATTACCATACTTTTTAATTAACTAATCACTAATAAGATTTTTTATTTGCCCAACATGTCCTCGTTAATATAATTTAGAGTATTAGTTTCGAAAGTAACAACCGAATCATCAGGATTATAATGTTCAGCCATTTTAAAATTCAATTTTCCTAAAATTGTATCATTATTATTCTCAAAATTGGCCAACAAAATCCCACGCTTAACTTTGATGTTGTTCATTTGCAATGCGTACTGTTTGACCATGTTAATAAATATAGTTAGTTTGTTAGATAAATATAATTAGTGGCGTAAATACATGAGTGCGAAAAATGTAAACCGAAAAACAAATGTAATTTAAAATAATCTTTGAAATGTTATAATAAGAGGGGGGTGTGAGGAGCATTAGTTATCTAGTGTTAGAAATTTAGGTGTGATTTTATAAAAGGTTTTATTACTAATGTTTCTAAAGTGCTACTAGGGCTGGCCTTGTCTTATATATGTACCTCATCGCCTTTGCTGTGGACTTTGCCAGTTGTGCACTCCGTTGGCGAGAACTGGTTCTTCTGTGAGCAGACCTGTATCTTGGCAAGTCAATGTTGTGGTTTTCGCATGTGTGCGCTCATGCGTGTGCATTGCAAAATGGGGACCATATTTGGGCATCAATGTAATGCCTCCCTAATTTACGCCTGCAGAATCCAATTAATGCCCTATCAATCAGCACGCAGGTGGAAACCTGTTTCGTGATTCTCAATCTCAACATCCAGCTTCCATATCTTCAGTCTATGCAATAATCGGAAGGAATGAAAAATGCAAATATTCATACATTGAACAAACGTACGTTTTTCATTTTACTTCTTTTTTTCACTCATAAGGTATTTCTGTTTTTCCTCCATTTCAATTTCAATTAATCTGGAGATCTAGTGAGTGAATGAGTAATTTACCCGTGAGTAATAATATTTTTGATTTGATTTGATTTGATTTGATTTGGCTTTATTATTTACTTTTTATTTGAGTGACGCTTTGTTTGTTGTGACTGATTCGCTGTACCAAAAAAATAAAAGGAACTTCTTAAAAGGCACACACATTTCAAAGTACATTTTCTTTTGAAACCCAGAAAAGAAACATTGAATTTCGTTTCTTCTCTTTATTTCCATTTTTGTTGTCTACCATTCAATTCAGTTATATTCAATTCAGTTAAATTTTTCACAGATGGAGTCGCATGAGCGGTACACAGACACGCTCTCGTACCTCTCGATGTGTCTCTCGATGCTCTGTGGCGGCACAACATCACTCTTTGCCACATACAACTCATCCTTCACCGACCTCCTGCATTTCACGCAATACGAGACCAACCTCGTTGCATCACTCGGCGACTACGCACACTACATGTCCGCTCCGCTCTTCGGATACCTCACAACGCGCATAGGACCGACGCGCGTAATCCAAGCGGCAGCGGTGCTGATGTTTTTCGGATACTGGGGGCTCAGCTACATGTTTGAACAGACAAGGGGGGTGGGGCATCAGGTGGGGCTAATGTCGGTGATGTTTGCTCTGGTTGGGGTCGGATCGAAGGCCGCGTATATGGCGACGATGGCAACAGCTGCAAGAAATTTCGGCTCGTCTAGGCATAAGGGTGTTGCTATGGGCGTGCCGCTGTCATTGTATGGGCTGTCGACGTTTGTGTTTTCCTCGATCAAGGCGCGGTGGTTCGAGGCTGATGAGAGCCCCCGCAGGTACTTGGCATTTATGGCTGGTGTCTCTGTGGTGGCGCATCTGGTTGCGGCGCAGTTCGTGGTGCTGGATGATGAGCCGGCGAAGGAGAAGAAGCGCGAAATATCAGTGCGCGCTGCTGGGGCAGAGCCGATGGCGGTGGCGGAACGGTTGCCTGGAGACGCAGCCGACTCGGCAGAGGCTGTGGAAATGACCGAGCCGCGCAGACGCCGGCTCACGCTGTCGCAACCACAGCTGCAGCCCGGCGGCCCTTCCGCTGAGCCCGAGCCCGAGCCCAAGGGGGCTTTGCCACCGCCAACCTCCGCATTACTGCTTTTTGCGCGCGACCCAACAGCCTGGGCGCTACTCCTTGGGCTGATCTGCTTTTCTGGGCCGGGCCTGGCATTCATCAATAACTGCGGCACAATGGTGCGCGCCATGTCACACACCAGCACACTGACACCCAGCCAGCTCAACCAGTACCGCGACCGGATCGTTGCCACCCAATCGTTCTGCTCGTTTTCTGCCCGGCTCGCCACCGGATACCTGTCGGATCTCTGGCGCACGCGCCTACGACTCCCGCGCAGCGGACTGCTAATTGTTGCCGCCCTCCTGATGATTTATGCACAAACAATGGCGTCCCAGATATCGCAGCTGGAGGAGCTCCACCGGTTGGCTATTTTGGTGGGCGTGGCGATGGGCGCGGCTTTTACGTTGGCGCCGACGATTACTGCGGAGACTTGGGGCGCTGAGAGGTTTGGGATTTGCTGGGGCGTGATCACTTTGGGACCAGCGATTGGAGGGCATGTATGTAATTTGATTTTTGGCGCCGAGTGGGATCGCGCTCAGGGCGGGCTGGAAGGGGAAAACGCACAGTGTGATCAGGCGTGCTTTGCTCCAGCGTTTTTGTCGACCGCGAGGATTGCCTGGGTTGCCTTAGGCTTTTTCGCTCTCGTTATGGCGCTTCCACTTATGCGGATGCGGCTGCAGCGACCAAGCGCCGCATAAAAATATAATAATAGAATATAGAATATAGAAATGTATATTTAAAAACAATAGCATTGGCATTGTTTTTTACGTTTACTGGTCCGTCTCTTGCAACAGCAGCTGCTCGACAACGACCTTGGCAATATGTTCAGGCTCCGCCATCGCGCCCATCCCATAGTCACCGCACGCCAGGGCCTTCTCCACGGGATCCACCACGACAAACCCCATCTCCCTCAACTGCCTAACCTGGACATTAGTAACCGAATGTTCCCACATCATATGGTTCATCGCCGGCGCCACCACCCTAGGCCTCCGCATATCCCAAGCTCTCAATACACAAGTCAAAAGGTTATCGCAAAACCCACCAACAACCTTCGCCATAGTATTAGCGTCCAACGGGGCCACCACAACGAGATCCGCCCATTTCCGCAACTCAATATGCAACACAGGATCACCGATCTTCTGCCACTGCGACCACTCGTCCTTATCTGTATACAGTGTGACTTTGGGGGGAAGCTGAGATTGCCGGAAGAAATGTAGGGAGGAGGCGCTTGCTGCTATGGAAATGGTGATGGAGAGGTTGTGGTGGTGCCCGAGTGTGAGAATGTTTTGCGCGAGTTGCGGGATTTTGATGCTGGCTACGCTGCCGGTGGCTCCTAGCAGAACGTGTTTGGTGCGGAATGAGCTGGGATTGGATGTTGGAGGGGAGGCTGAAGCTGCGTTTGTGTCAGAGTTGGCAATTGCTGACATTATGGAAAGAAAAATATTAAAATAAAAATGTAATTTGAATTTGAATATATAGGATGATTACAAATGAAGAAAAAGAGAGAAAAAGAAGAAAAAGAAAACCTCGACCAAGCCTTCCCCTACACCTTTATTTCCCTTATATTATTTTTTACATTAAACAAAATTGAATTTTTTTAAAAAAAAACATTCACAATGACGGTTACGCCTCTCCGCCAGCCACCCAACCCCAGCACTTTATCATCAACAGCACAGCTGACAGTGCCCTCCACGCGGTTCCTCCTTGCCACCAACAACAGCAACGTTTCAGAAGCAGTGACCGGCACTTTATACATCAACCACGACTCACTGGTGTTCTACTCGGATCAGCAGGAGACCAGCTTTGGGTTCTCCATCGACTACCCCGCCGTTGTTATCCACGCAGTGTCACACGAACCGCCCGCGCATCTGTATTGCCAGCTGGACGGACCGTTCCCGCAGACAATCGCCATTAACACAACAGCAGCAGCAGCAGCAACAACAGCTAGTAAAGATGACACCAATGAGGATGAGGACGAGGATGAGTTTGCGGAAATCAAATTCTTTCCCCAAAATCCTCAAATACGTAAGTCCACACATTGTATTATTTTTTCATGCCTAGCATACATATTGATATAACTGGTAAAACTGACTTGTTTTTGCTGTGAATTAATTTATTATTGTTGTTAGTTGACGATATGTTCAAGGCAATGTCCGAGTGTGCCGCCATGAATCCCGACCACGACCAAGAGGCCCTTTCCGACAATGACATTGATGATGGCCATGGCTGCCATAGGGAGCGCGATAATGAGGGGGATGGGAGCGTGGATGGTGTGCAGACCATCGCAGCGTTTGATCCCGCTGACTTTATCACGTGCGAAGATCAGTTGGACCAGTTGACCGCAAAGGGCAAAACCATCCTCGCACACCTCGAGGCCCTCATCGCAGCACCAGACACCACCAACAGCAGCAGCAGCTCAGCCGACCGCTTCACCGACGCCGACTAATTAAATTTTTTTTTGGATTACCAAGTGTACCTATGATCAGGCCGCTTATCGTCTGTTTCCTCAATAACATTCTCGCTCATAGCCGAGCCATCCACCACCACTACTCCATCCCCGGCCTTCTTGTCTCTTCTCCGATTCTCCCACCTGAAGTACAGCTGCAGAGCCAAAGCAACCAAGAAAATAAGCGCATTACAGGCGCACACAAAAATATGGCCGAACCGGTACCGCGGATAATCCCTTTCCCTATACACATGTGCGCCGATCAGTCCAGAAACGCCACCAAACATCACCGTAACAGCAGCAGCTACGCCCTTCTTCGTCACGCCCAGGACATTCATCGACATCCACATTGACACCAGCGGCATGTTCGGCGACAACGCAGCATTCGCCAAACACAAAAACGCAAACCGCACCTTGGTGCTCTCTACCGAAGCAATCACCGCATAAAAGGCACAAGCCAAGCCACTGCATACCATGATCCACGGCGAGTACCTTGAATGAATTCGCGGGAAAAACATCGATGCGATCTGCACAACAAACCCACAGGCGCTCGGAATAGCCGAAAGCACCTGGGCGTGTGTCGACTCGTATCCCATAGCGGCAATCAATGTTGGCCCAAAGATCGCCTGCGTGGCTCCGCCTAATGCCGACGCCCAGAATATCACCGCGTACCCCCACAGTGTCCAGTCCGACAGCGCCCCCAGAACCTGCTGTGGCCGGAAAGGCGCCCGGGCAGACTGCGTCTTGTCCTCCGAAAGCATTCGCAGGCCAGCTGCGCGCTCCTCCGCGGTCAAAAACCGTGCGGTCTCTGGGTAGTTATCCAGGACCACCCACATGATCAATGCCAGGCCGACGGTTATCGCGGCTTCGATCAGGAAAATATATTGGTAACCTTCCAGCCCGCCCTTGATCTTCTGCAGCCTTGCGGCTAGTGGCCCTGCCCAGATACCGGCGAACATCCCAGCGGAGAAAAACAGCGCCAAACGGGGTGCGATCTGCTTTCTAGTGTACCAAAAGCTGCAAAGGTAGATGAACCCGGGCACATACCCGGCCTCAAAACACCCCATGAGCACGCGCACAGCCACCAAAGCCCCGTAGCTCTTGGCGCACGCCATGCAGGCAACCAAAACGGACCAAGCAATGGTTATCACGGGCAGCCAGACTCGGGCGCCGAGCTGCCGGAGGCAGTAGTTGGATGGGATTTCGAAGAATATGTAGGTGAAGAAGAAGCTTGATACTATCCAGTTGAACTGCTGCCCGTGGAGGTTGAGGTGCTCCGGCATGCCGGCTAATTTGGCGTTGCCGATGTTGTTGCGGTCGATTACAGAGAAGAAGTAGACCATGAAGCTGATTGGGAGCAGGTGAAGGTCGACTTTGAGAAGATACGATTGGAGAAGACGCTTGCGCGTCGGGTCTTGATCTTGCTCTGAGCATTGGTTTGGGGCCTTGTCTGGGAGAGAAAGTGTAGGCGATTCAAGACCGAGCGGCGGCTTTTTGTCTTTCGGCATTATTGTAAAAACAAAATTAAAGGTTACAAATAAGTATTAAAATATAAAGGTTAATTAATAAAAATAAATAATACGGAAATGAATACTGTAACGAAAAAGGGTTTATGTTTTTTGGTGCTTTGTCTGAATTCACCTTCCTTTTATATTCCTTTTTTTGTGTTACATTTTAAAATTTCAAGAGAAAAAAGAACCGAGTTGATTGTAAAATGTTATTGGATGAAATTATTAAAAAGTTCATTTGAGGATGAATGCGGGAAAATCCTTAAATTTTATTTGATAGAGGAGTCATGTGCGAAGAAGCAAGGTTAAGCAACAGACTAAAAAAGTAATGTTCTTTTTTTCCTTTTTCGTAAAGATAAAAAATCCCACGAACTTTATGAATTTACGCAGAGGTAGAAGGATAAGTTTGATTGCATATTTTTCTTTAGATGAGTAATATCATTTTTGATAAGAAAAAATGTAAATATGTTCTTGATATAATTGCTCAGCTGGAAGTTATTTTTTGTGTTATCTTTAGAACTGGTTTTTCTTCTTAACCTTGTTTATTTCCAAAATATTAATTAATGTCGTGTAAGTATTGTAATCCTGTTTTATTCATTTTTTATCCCCTTGCATCCATCCAAGCATACAAGCATATCTGATTTTGTTATTGCATCCTTGTTTTTTTCCCAGAAAAAAAAACAAACCTCTTATCTATTCAAATGTATAACCATAAAACTGCATGAATAAATCATGAAAAATTAGACACGTGGAATATACATAATTTCATGCATGCACACATCAACAACAACAACATCGACAGCAACATCATTGCCATTGAAAGGTAACAAATTGATTAATTTGTTTAATTAATTTAATTTAATTTTCATCTAAAACAACTAAAATTACAAAATACGGATACTCTTTTTGATGTTTCTTTTGTTCGAAAACATTCAAAAAAGTATGTTATTCTTTGTAAATATTGTTTTCCGGAAAACAATATTGTACACGTTTTTTCATGCATTGTATCTTGAGTGTTGAATAAAATATGGAATGGAGAAGCAAAAAGAAACTATTTTATGGATAAAACTAAACTATAAAAACATTTTTCTTTCTATCTTTATATTTTTATCATATTAACTTTTTATTTTTACGCTTTTACGCGTACCCTCTCTCTATTAACGACCAACATTCTCTCACTCATCCTCATCATTTTCTCGCTTATAATGAATTTTGCCTCCACTTTTTTTTCTTTTTCTTTTAATTTTTATGATATCTATCATACACACCGATGCCGCACCGGTTCCCACTTCAACTACTTTGACCACAATTATCGGCAACAACAGCATTAATAATCTTGGAAAGCGTACCCAGGGGCCTATGATTCCCCTTCCTAATCCTAGTGACCTCTTTTCATCTATTTGAACAGACTTCTTTATAACCTTCCGATTCTAGGTGGACTGCTCTCGGCGTTGGGAATACCTTTGGTCAAATAATAACAAAATGATAATCCTTTCAATTACTTTTCACAACATACTCCTGATTTTCTTTAAATAAATAGCACACCTATTGTTTTTCAATCAGACCAGATATAAAAATTAATACAAAAGGGGAGGAATATATTTTTGTCATATTGTTTCCTGACCTCCTCCTCTTCCTCCCCCCTCCCCTCCACTCTCACTAGCTGTTTACAGTGGCTTGAGAATTAGTGGGCGCCGCTAAAATGGACCACTATACCAAAATGTGAACAATTGTTTTTAATAGTATTTATTCACTTCTATAATATTTATGTGTGCAGTCTACATCCCTCAAAGAAAATGATTTTGCATTGTCATTGGTTGATATTGTAGCTAAAAATTATTTATTTATTTTATCTCAAATCTATTATAAATTCACTTTCTGTAAGGTTTTCAAATAAAAAAGGAAAATACATAAACTTTCATATTGCCACTGCGATCAAAAAATTTTCAACTTTTCAATTACTTTTATTATACTTTTTTCCTTTCAAGCATTAAGCAAATTTTGTTTTAATAATGCGTCTTACTCTGCTTACTCTCCAAGTGCTCGCCACTACCGCGCTCACTGCCCCGCTTTTGCTCAAGAGACAGCAAATTGCAGCGCACATTCCCTCCAAAATATCCACCACACCCGTAACTATTTCCAGCCCAATGTCAACAACGGCGTGCAAAGCTCAAACTCGATTGTCACGGGCTCTGACACAGGTGGAAAAACTGTCACCGGCACTACAGAGTCCTTAAGCAAAAATGTTCAACTAGTGGATACCAGCGATAATTCTGTTACTGGTGTTGATGAAATGTCGATGGAGGGTGTTATCAATAGGTTTGGCGACTTTAGTGGATTTTTCCAGGAATGTACGCTAAACGAAATGCCGCCCTGCGCCTAACCCAAACACGCCTTTAATTATTGACCTCTATTAGTTTTGAACTTAGCGGCATATACTAGTCAAAAAGCTTATTATTATTTAGTAACTATAATATAACAGTTGGCATTGTATGCGCCATACACAAATGAATACAATTAAAATGCCATTCAAGAAATAGTATGAAAATTGTACAAGCATTTGGACTGAAATAAGCCACTATATGGTATTTTGCATGCAAATTCAGTCGAACAGAATAGTTATTGTTGGCGTGCGTTTTTTTAATTGTGCATACAATTAAAATAGCATTTTCGATACATAAATGGGTTTTAATTAATAAATTGGTTTTGCACAAGTAATATTCCACCCTGCCTACATGAAATACATCATTACATGTTTTGTATGTGTACACTGTAATATATTACCATTACGTAGCCAAATTTTAGTTATAAATTTAAAAGGCGCTATAAAGGGGAGGACATTACAAAAAATTCAATATAAAAACGTAAACAAAAAATTTAGTGGCACCCTATCTGTATCCCCCAAACTGTTTAAACATTGTTTTAAACGCCGCTCAATATTAAACAAACGCACTTACCTTTTTTGTTTTGAGGGACTTGTGAAACCATTTTGTTTTAGCATTGTTATATATATTTATATCATTGTTGCTCTATGGAATCAAGAAATACATGCGTGTGATATTCGGATACTATATTGTAACTTCAGATACTTGTGGCGGGCTGCCAAAAAATTTCAAACATGAATGTATTAATTTTTATTTTTATTTAATAAAATATGTCAACAAATAAAGCCTCGTCAGGCAATGAACAATTAAAATTGCGATTTTTAAACAATGCGATTTTTATTGTTTTTTCTTCATTTTGTGCCTTTTTTGGTGCATAATATTGATACTAGTTTTTATTTAGTTCATTATTCACTTCCAACACTGTCTGTGCCAACTAACATTCCAACTACCATATAGCAGCATTGACGTCGAGCAAAACTCAAACTCACCCCCTTAAAAAATGTGTTGTATATAAAGCAGCAGAATGATTGCCTTATTCAATGAATTTGACTTCGTTAAGCAACCGCTCTTTTATAATTTATCCACCCACCACTTCCACCCACCCTCTCCTCCCAAACTCAACCATGCGTCTTTCCTCATCATTGCCCAGGCCCTTGCTGCCACTGCCCTGGCCTCGCCTGCTATGTTTAAGAGACAGGAAATTGAGGCCGAAAGCGGCAACCAGGTTTCTGGCGGCCTTCCTCGATCAGCACTCCATGTCAACAATGGCCAGCTGCTCGATTCCTCTTTTGTCTCCTCAGGTACTGCAGGCTCTGACGTCTATGCCAACAACATTGGCACTTCCTTCACTACCGTAACTCCAACTCGGCCAACAAGGGTAACATTAACAATAATGTACACGTTACCACTGTCAACGGAAACAGTGGTTTGACTGCCAACGGTGCCAACAACAATATTGGTGGCGCTCAAAATGCTTACTACCCGGCCGATATCTTCAGCATCTTTACCAAGCGTGGCAGTGTTGTCACTGGTCCAAGCCTGTTGATTACCCCGTGTTGGCTGCTGCTGTTGGAAAGCCCGTGTATGCTTACCCTGGCTACGGCTACCCAGCTACGGCTACCCCAGCTATAGCTACCCCGACTACGGCTACCCAGCCGGCTACCAGCTACGGCCACCTTGACTATGGCTTTGGCACCCCAGCCCATGTCAGCACCAAGGAACAAAATGCTTCCATCATCCAGAACCAGAACTAAGCCCTATTACAATTGGAGAAATTTTTTACAAGTATTTTCTTTTAATATCGATATATAGTTTATATACACTCACAATCCACCCTCCTTTTGCAAATACATTTGGCTGTTTTTTAGGCGTGTGCGCAAAACAATGTGCATTCCCGAGTATTTACCACTCACATGACACTTTCGACTGCATAGACCAGCACTTCACGCCCTGAGCAAAAGGCATATTTTGTCCACCATAAATACAATCAAGTATGTATATAGAAAATTATTAACGATGAATATAAATAGAAGATGCGTATGCTGGAATGAAAAGAAAAAAGATGACAAAAAGAAGAAATTGAAATACAGTGCCGTGTAGTTACTTGTAAACGCTGCTGGTCTCCCAATCAGTATTGATTTCATTTTCCGGTGACGCCATATCCAGCGGATCAATAAGCCGCAACTCCTTCGTAACCGCATTCTTCACCAGGTCGTCCAGCTCCTTGGTCACCACGCCAATCATCTTTTTGAACCGACTATCAATCTTAGCGATGCTGTCAAACGCCGACTGCGAAATAGCTATCGACAACAGCGAGTCCGCAGCTTAGTATACATAATAACGGTAATCTGGCAAAACGTGTCGAAAACCTGCAGAAAGTCCAAATCGAACGGCGGTGTGTGCGTGTCGAGATACGAAAAGTTCCCCAGCTCGTATCCGGCCTGAGCCCGGACCCATGCTCATCTGTAGGTTTAGATTTACGGAAAAAATGCCTCTTCTTCGTCTTGTTACCAGACTCGGACATGTACGTATCGTACTCGTTGATCAGAATCCCAGGCCTTGATGTAGTCCGAGGGGTTTGAAATCGCCAAAATGGGGCCGAGACTGGCGCCCAGCATAAAGTATGCGCGCGTCCGCTTGCGCAGCCTAATGCTGTTAAACATTCCACGCAGGTCCTCAGGGTCAAACAACAGAGTGTTGAAGTATGCCCGTCGCTTAGTCCCCCGAGAGCTGTATTCGTTCGGGTGAAAGTCATCAACCCCCATGTCGCAGCCCCAAACCCATTGGCTGTGTTCCCATCCAGACTAATTTCAAGCTGTAGTGCCATTGAATTGCGCAGATGCCGGAATGTCACTATACGCCGGTTGATAAGTTCCCGAATGCTCAGCTCCCAGACATTTCCCGCTACTGTCGTCATTGTTCTGCTGCTGTTGCTGTTTGTTTTGTTTGTTGTAGTTGGGGGTTAAAAGTAAATAAATTAGAAATGAGACAAAATTAAAGATATAAAAAACAACGAAAGAATGCGGGAAAAGGGGGTTTATGCAAAGGCGAGGCAAAGCGTCAGAGACAAAATGAAATTTGAACGTCAGAAAAATGCAAGTAATACGGATTTTCAACGCTTGTGCCCTAAAAGAGTGGAAAAATAAAACGACAACAAGATTAGTATGTATGTGTGGAAATTTAGATATATTAATCGAATCACCAAGCAAGTAAAAATAAACAAAAAATTTACTTTCACTAACCCCAGCATAGATGGGCAGACAATTAATCAAATGTTGAGAAACTTGGAATTTAATTATTCATTACTTAATTATTCATAAAATCATTTGTATACTATTTCACGTGATAATTTGCCATAAGCACTACATATACCCATTTAGCCCTGGAAGCATATAAAGCCAAGCATGCCAACGCCAAAACTTTTGAATGGATTCCTTACATTCCTCTCAAGCCTTCTGGCTTTGATCATTTTTTAGTAACATGTTCTTCTAAGAGTAACATCTTAGATTGGGGCACTGCCCCAACATCACGATGTTCACAATTTTTTGCTTGGGCATGCCCGGCTACAGTCCCTGCTTGCATACTTGGCCGGGAGCGGGTGACCTTGGTATTGCACTATCTCCAAGTGACGCCCACCCTTCCACACACCAACCAAAACAAATAAAATTCAATATTAAGCTGTCAATAATCTCGCTTGAACGCTGATTGCCACTAACCTTTGTATTGTACGTCAATGTCCTCAAGTTTTAACATGGCTGCGCTCATTAGTCTTTAAATAATGTAAATACCAGTTAATCCTACGCCGTTTTACATATGTCGTCTTACTGATTTATAAATGTTCGCGTGGAAATCAGAGCAACAATGAAAAGGTATTGTAGTCTGTTTACATACCAAGGAGAACGTATAAAAGGAGCGGCTGTCGGGCAGCCGATAATCATTTTCCTTGGAAGAAATGCATATAATTCATTGTTATTATAATGACCATTACTTTAATTTATCTCCATTTTCTAACATATTTTTAGGTTTTTTAAAAAACCTAAAATACAACACCAAAATACAACCATTTATTGACAAGAGCAAGCAATTAGAAAGTGTAAAAAGCAATAAAGCTATTAATAAGGAACCTTTGTAAACCCGAATCATTGCTCTTCATGTATAGTATCTAAGCGCTGTATGCATCCCTATAGCTATGCAGAATATCATGAATCATCTGGAAGCGGCAGTCGCGGCCGGAGTGTGCCAAAAGAAGTGCTCAATGCAAAAGTGTGCCGAAAATAAAGCTGAGTTGGGTATTGGGGGAAATGTGTGCGATGAGAGTGTTGGAAGAGGTGTGACTTAGATGTTAAAATCGTATCTTTGCAATAATTAACTTTATTTCATTTTTGATTTGCCACATTGTTAAAAAAGGGCAACCAAACTAGAACATTATTTCTGCTGCAATTGCCCGGATTCTATGCACGCCCTGCTCATGTTCATCGCTCTCATTCATCTTTCCTCACCTTATACCTGCTCTGTCAAAATCTCGTCGACAATGCCAACCTCTTTGGGCGTCTTTGTAACCAGCGACAGTGCATGGATGCCGCCCTCTCGCTGCATCTCATCCTTCAGCAGCTCGTATATTCCGCGCTGCCGCTTCAACAGCGTGAGGCTGGCAAACTTGTCCGAAACAACTCTGACGTGGAAGTGCGTTTCCGTGCTGCTGACCCCCTCCATGGGTGCGTGGTGACGGTGCTTGTGAGACTCGTTTTTGATCTCCAGCTGCACGGGCGCGTACTGCTCCTGGATGCGCTGGCGGATCAGCTTTTCAAGTGGGCCGGCGCTCTGGGTCGGCGAGGTTGACATTGTGCGAGCTATCCCGAGTATCGTGGCGGCGGTCTTGGTGCTTGCAACGAAAAGCACCATAAGCAATAATATAAAATTAGAAATGAAAAAGTAATAAGAGAAGAGAATGAGTGGTATGGTATTCTTGTCATTAAACACATTGTATTGGTGCACTGCGGTGGCGACATTGGTCGTTGTGTGACTGCAAAAAACTGCAATTTGAACAAGCTATGGGCAGCACAAAATAATTAAAATAACTAATAATTAAAAGATGTATCAGTCTGCAGCATACACCGGCGGGCTGGCCAGCAGCGCAGACACAGGCACCGGCATAATGAGCAGTGGCAGTTTGCAAGACACAGGGTGGCTACCAGGCTTTGCACCTATACTTTTCAGCATGCCTCGCGCGGAGAAGCCCTCTGACTCGTGCCGCAGCGGGAAAAAGTCAACATACACATCGTACTGCACCTGGATTTCCTTGGACTGCAGGCTGCCCTGGGCATCGTGGGGCACTGCCAGCGTCCACTGCACGTGTGTCGTCTGCAGCTCGTCGATGGTTGCTGCTAAATCGAGAATATCAGCCACTTTTTCCTCGGCCACTACACGCTTGGTCCAGAACATGTACACGTCGTCGTTTGCATCGGCGACCAGATCGTGATTCGTCAGGTACCGGACCTTCTGCACCAGCTGGGCGCGCACCTTGTAGCAGCGCGACCCGATAGTGTGGTGAGAGTGGCTGGGCTCAATCGGCGTGTTGCCATTTGTGCTATGCCGCGGCTATAGTTGTTATGACCATTGCTGGAGCTCGACTGGACCCGGAACTGCTCGAGCTCAATGCGCCGCTGGTTTTCGGCGTGGCGGTTGACATGAAGACATCGAGCAAAAACCCAATGCCGTCGCCGGGGCTGCTGCATTTGTTTGCATGCGCACGCGGTAAACCAGCGCCGAATCGCCGCCAGCAAAGACGCAGAGCACACCCGTTCTTGTGTCCGGCTGAATGCAAGCTACAAATGTGCCAGGGTCTCCAATTGGCGGGTACCTGACCAGTGCTAGCCCTGCCTGCGCCCTGACCGCACGGGGACCAAACCCAAAGCCTCGAGACTGCACCCAGCAACCCATGTTTTGGCTTGGTTTCTGGCGCTGGTGCCTTTGCTGCAGTGGCAGTGGCGGTGATTGCGTATCAACGGTGCATTTCGGCACGTGCAAGTCATCGGCAGCAAATAGACCTCCTCCAGAACAAACTCGAACGGCACGGTATATGTGCCCACCGCATATTGGTTGCAGTTATGGCTGTGGCTGTGGCTGTGGCTGTGGCTGTGGCTGTGGCTGTGGCGCTTGCTGTTCAGCATCGGCTGGGACAACGTTTGCTCCAGCTTTAAGAATGTGCGTCTGCTGGTGGTAGAGCCTCCCATCTGCTGCGCGTTCGTAAGCACTGTGGTGCCGGTCAGCTGGAGAGTTACCTCGCGAGCGCACTGGATCTGCCGGCTGATTATGGCCACTGTGCCGCGCACCACTGCCTTGCGCTGCTGGATATCGTGAATGACGACTGGATTGCCCAGTATGCTCAACACCAGCTCCAGTCTCTTTCTCTTGTTGTGTGATATGCTAACTGTGGGCACAAAGCTTCGAGCCGCGAAGCGGTTTGTCTCCGCCGATGCCAATGCCATTGCTGTGGATATCTGCGAGCCAAAATATCAAGCAAAATAAAATATTAGACGGCCGAAACTAAAAAATTTAAGAAATTATGTCGAGCAAACGAAGAAAGTAAAAAAGAGAGAATAAGAGAGACGGCATATCAGCAAACAAACACCCAACTGCAGAGCCACATAACTTTGCAGCTGGCGGAACAATGCAATACACACATCTTACTATGGTGCGGAACACAAAAAAGAAATGGCGATAGTGTGCAAACCGATATGTAAGTCACCTCAACAAGTTGGCGGATGAATGTTGATTGCACACATGTATATGCGGTCAACAATCAAGGCTGAGGATGCAAATACCATTTTGGGCAAGTGCAGAGCCGCACATGTGCTACTTTTTGGAAACAATCAAATATCAATGAAACAGGTGACGAACCAAAGCTGTGGTTTGAAACACAAGCATACCATTGCCAGCAAATGTGCCCGTCCCAAGCATTACAAGTGGCAGATTACACACTCATATAGGATGGCTATGAGAACATTGAAACCGCGCCAAATAAGCAAAAAATGGACGGCCATTTAGCACACGGCCAATAACTGGTCGTTCTAAAACAAAATAAGAACAGAAACTTCAATTTCTTCAATGCAGATAAATATCCGTGGGCTTAACGCATTGGATGCGTCTACATGTCAAAGCAGCTTTAGGTAATAATACTGTCATAAACCATTTACAGTAAAAATGAAATCTTATAAAAAAGGGCAAGTTGAATAGCAAAATGTGCGATGTCCGGGAATCGAACCCGGGACAACCGCTTGGGAAGCGGCAATTTTACCTCTAAACTAACAACGCATTTTTGACATGTGAGTTCAATCTACACAGCACTCTTAATTTATAATAATGACTGCAAACTATATGACCACACGTTTTGTGAAGTAACAATGGCTGCTTTTTGTTTTGCTTTTTGATTGGCACCTAAAGTGCGAGTAAATGCATTATCAATATCAAAATGTTCGACCTAAAACTGTTAGTTGAATCCACTTTCACATCACTCTCGCACACAAATGTTTTCATCTTGTTGGCAGCAAACCAACTGAATTACTGAACAAATAATTGATTGAACATCACTGATGCAACTATACCTGCTTAATAGCTTGCTATTTCGCTTCAAATATTTGCTCTCCTTTTGCTTAAAGCAACTGTCGCCGCATTTTGTGTATAAAACAGGCGACCAGTTCCCCCAGAAAAATACAAATGCATACACAAACATTACAATTACAATTGTATTGACTACAGCTGACTTCAACAAACACCAACGGTTTCATCCACTCATCTACACACATAAAAAACAATGCTTAACAACTTTGCTGCCATCGCTGTCCTTGTGCTGAGTGCCGTTTCGACCGCCACTGCCCACGATGCCATTGCTGCAAACGGAAACCCTGTCCAGAAGCCGCATAACTTTGCCAGGAGCAACGTCGAGCATGGCCATGCTGGTCACCACGTAGCCAAGCGCTGCGGTGGCTGGGGTGTAGGCGGTGGCTGTGGCGGCTGGGGTGGTTTCCCTTTTGCGGCCAACACTGTCAACGCGTTTGACCGCAACTCGTTTGCTGCCAACTGCTGCGACAACACTGTCTTTGCCAACAACAAAACTCCAATGTAGTTTGCGACAACGTGAACGTTCTAATGCAGCCAACGTTATTGGTTGATTCATTGTTGAGCAAATGGTAAAACCTCCAAGATATAAAACAGCAGCAACAAAAGTACTAGTAGCACCATTTGAGCCGCTAAGAACAGCCAGAGTTATTACATATTTTAGGATTTAGCAACTTTGAACCCACATTTACAAAAATCAATAAATCATATTTTTTGGCTGCATCAAATTTAGTAACATAAAACGTTGCATTTAATGGGCAGTTTATGTTAGTAATTTACAATGGGAAATATAAAAGCTGGTTGGAATTGATAGCATCCATAGAATCCATTGTCACTGTTTTATTTGAAAGCCCATTCCTGAAAATAACAAACAAAACGCAAACAAATACTGTACTTTGTCTAAAAAGCTATCACAATTGTATAGACACATCCAATTGACCATTTTCAGCTGTGGCCAATACGCTTTGAAACATGAATGTTTCTATATAATACCCACAAACCTGCTTTGGCCCAAGTCTGACTTTATGTATATTGCTTGTGCAATTTACGCATAAAACAACTTTGGTGTTTGTTTATAATGTGCATTTTATACACATACACTTGCAACTTTACAATGCCTAGTTGCTCTAATACTAGTTAGTTTACTGAGTTGTTTGATTTTTGGTGCACTGACGCGAGAACATATAAACTAGCATTTAAATATACTACCCACTTTTCAAACCAGTACTAGTAAAAAACTATTATATAACCATCTCCGTAAATATTTTAAAAATATGGAAATGAAAACAACAGTCAAAAACATATATTCTTACATACTGTGCGTTGTGCTATTGTCTTTTGCCTAATTTAAATTTTAAAAACAAAATTAGTTGAACACATGCAAACATGTTTTATCTAGTTTTCAAATTAACACCTGCCAAACAACACAGCACAACACAAGTAACAAACACATCTTTTTATGTTTACATTCAGTCAGTTGGGCATTGTATTTCGAAATAAAATTATTACTGACCCAAATAAATGGTTTTTTAGCATCAAGCCAATATTTCTAAAGTAAATTTATCTTATTTTGCGATACATCTAAAGATTTAGAAACCATGTGAAATAAAACACGCTAGCGTCTTATATTCGACTTTGGGCAAGCCCTGCTTGAAAATTATAAAAATTGAGTGCATACAAAAAGTGTATAAATATAGAGCAGCCCGGACTAACAATTCAAAATGTTAAACATTACACTCCGTGTTCTACATCCTCTTGCCTCATACACTTACAAACACACCCTTACAAACACCACACACATACAATTATCACTTTTAAACATGCCTAACTCTGCTGTCACTTTTATTGCTGCCCTTGCTGCGCTGTTGTTATTGCTCCTGGCGCCACTGCCAGCCCGATTCTGCCATTTGTTGGTGCTCCCGGATTTTTTGGAACTGGCTTTGTCGGGCCATTGACCACTGGCTTTGCCACTGGCGCTGCCATTGCCGGAACTGCTGGCTTTCCGTTTGTGAACACCGCAGCAATTGCCACCGGCGCTGCTGTGCTGGCACCGCTGGCTTCCCGTTTATCAGACGCGATCATTCCACTGGCGATCATCTGGCCAAGCGCTGCGGCGGCGGCTGGGGAGGTTGCGGTGGAATTGGGTGTGGCGGCGGCTGGGGCTGGGGCGGCTTTCCATTTGCGGCCAACACCGTGAATGCATTTGACCGCGACTTTTACGCTGCCAATTCCAATGACAACACGCTGTTTGCCAACAACCAAAACGCCAATGTGGTCAGCGACAACGTGCACGCCCTCAATACTGCCAACGTAATTGCTTGATTTGGTCAAATTCGGATGTCAACAGCAAACACTGCAATAACATTAGTAGCAGCAATAGTAACAAAAAATAAATATGTACATTTGCCCAAATCGGGCTTTAGCATATTTACTCGATTTTAAATATGATTTTTTCCATTGTTTTATACATGGACAAGCATTGCTATAAATTCAACTTTAATGCTCAACAAATTAACTTGCTGTTAATTCCTGTGATTTTAAGTGGTGCAATAATAAAAAAGATAAAATGGCAGATGAATCAAGAAATATGGATAAAACATATGTACAAGGAAATTTTGGATTGCATTCATATATTTGGCATTTGAAAATAGCTTTATGTAAATTATTTGTTGGACTTCCAGACAAAAACTTGTATATATAAAGCAACAATGCGCGTCTCATATTCCAGGTATTCAGTATCCTCACAACACTGCTCACTCAGCTAACACTTTCCACTTTAGATTAAATACCAACTACAACCGCAACATTTACAAACATGCTTTGCTTTGCCACTACCATCACCGCTCTTGCTGCCATTGCTGCCTTTATTGTGCCTGCTGCTAATGCCAGCCCCGTTTCTGCCAGCTACCAGTCCACCGAAAACACTTGCGGCGGCGGCAGTGGTAGCGTTAACGTGGCAATGCTTATCCTTACAACGCAGGATACAACAACAACGTCTACCCCTACGGCGGAGCATACAACGCGTACAATAGCTACGGTGGTGTTGGCAATTACGGCGGTGCTGGCAACTAGGCAATATGGCAACTAGGTGCTGGCAACTATGGCAATATCGGCAATTATGGCGGTGTTGGTAACTACGGTAGTGTTGGCAACTACGGAAGCTACGCATCGGGCTTTCCAATTGCGCTCAGCACGGTCAACAACTTTGACCGCGACTCCTTTGCTGCTAACTACAACGACAACACTTATTACGCCAATAACAAGGACGCCAGCGTAACTAGTGACAAGGTCAGCTCCTCCAACAGCGCCAACGTCATTGCTTAATTGTTTGCTTTGTCAAGCATTGGCAGGGGTTGCCTATATGGTGATAGACATAAAAATAGACCAAATTAGATATTACACACACAAACTCATTCACCACTTAATAAAATATATTTTTGGAATAGCTCGAGTTTGCCTCAACTAAAATATAGATTACAAATATATCCACTCATTTCGTCATCTAAGTGCATTTGATGAAAACATTGTTATTGTGTATTATTAAATGTAATATTATATTCAATAATAAGAAAATGTAACAGCGCTGTTCGCTATACTTATTAATAAAGTGTTTAAAGTAAAATAACATTGGTGGTATTGCATTCATTTTGGCAGTCCTAGCTGTGCGCATCAAGTTTAGGCAAGCTATACCGTGCGCCAAAAGCTTCTCGACCTAATAATCTACTAATCCTTTTGACATACAACGAATTTAATTTTTTGCCTGGGTAATGGGGTGGTGAAAGTCCCATCCGCGGCGATACTTGGTGATAGGTCGGTAAAAGTCCCATCCACGACGCTCGTAGCTGGCAGGATGCTTGGGGGTTGCGGCAGGAGCGAGTGGAGATATAGTAGGATTGGCGTCGGCAGAAGCAGGAGCAGGGGCAGCGAGAACAAGGCTGGAGGCGAGAGCGGCAATAATGGCGGTAAAAAACTGCATTATTTAAGGGATTGGGTCAATGGGTGTGTTTGGGAGGAAAAGGTAGGCGGAAGGCGAATGTGTTTGATACTGTTTTGCGAGTTGGATTTTGTCGGCAAAAGTGTTCTTTTTATACACGTGTTTTTTCTGGTGGCAGTCGTGTTTACCTTTTTGGCCGTACATTGTACATTGATATGTAAAATGGGTTTGCATTAAACACATACTTTTTTATTAGAAAATGAATTGTGTTTGTATATACCGTACACTGATCTCAGAGCAAAAATATACGTGCTCCTAATTGTTTCTCTTTCTTTTTTGATTGAAATACATGCTCATTTTTTTCTAATGTATCTAAAAGCATTCCGATTCACAATTACAAAAGTTGATCCATTTGAAAAATAATGAAAACTTATATAATCATACTAATATAATTATATATCTTTTACATATTTGGAACATGTATATACATTTGCATATTATTTATATTCATCGGCATAATTCGCAAATTAACTATATTTAAGCACCTAAAAGAAATGACCAACTTTTATTTCTTTACATTTATATGTCATGCTCTATAAAAATGTGGGTCTAAATTAATATATTCAAGTCTCAAATTACTTAAGAAACTGAAAAAGGGAGCAGCGCTGTAAACATCATGGTGTTCCTTGATGTTAGCCAGAAATAACATGAATGTGTATGGCGGCCATGAGGGCAATCTTGATTCTTGAAAAGGGAGATATTGGCTTGAAATGTGTGTTGGGTACCACATTATATTTGCAACTCTTATTTGAATTACGAATTATGAACTATGAATAGGCAGCCGCACATGCGTATATAAAAAAGAACATATATGTTTTAAATCAGGTTTATCTTGGCTCCACGTTCTTGCTTAAATTGTCAATCCCAAACCAATACACATGTTCTGAATTTATTTAATTAAGAATTCTCTTCTTGCACGTAGGCAAAAAAAGTAGTGTCCCAAGGAAAATCATTTTGCTTTTTTACAACGATGAAAACAACTTTTTTGCAGCTACCCGGTTGTTAGTTCCATCCTGCAAAGCCAAGTTGTTTTCAACAGAAAACGGAGCTGACACCAGCCTGACACGCACACTCTGCACAGGCAAATCCGCAACCCACCGGAACTCAGAAGACTTGCGGGCGGTCTCAATAATCTTGTCGCGAATGTACTCTGCACACCATGCAAACTTTTCGATCTCCTTCATCCGGTACGTTTTCTTGCACAGTTGGGCCTCGGCGAACAACTCCATGGGACGCGGGTGCGCAACAATATCAAGAGTTTTGGAGTCGGGCGATGAAACGATACAGATGTCAGTGATCGCCCTGGAGGACGCCAAAGCAAGCTCCAGGCGCTCGGCAAAGAGATAGCCAGATGGGCTGAGCGAGCTCTTGGTTGTCCCTTGGGTGGATCCGATAACGTCGATTGTGCCGTTGGGGAAGATTTCACCATAGTAGGGCAGCTCGAGCCAATTTCCAGGCTTGAGCTTGAGGGGCTTGTCGTTCCACAGGCCGACGGCAACATTAGCACCGCGGACAAAAATCCTTCCCGAGGATACGGCTTGTCCTCGGCAGTCAGGCTAACCCCGTCCACGGCATCTACAAGCTTGATCTCGTTGCACGCCACTGGGGCACCCACATTGTGCGTGTCGATAGCGGACGCATAGTCATAGTACGAGCCGGCGGTGATGAGCGCAGTGGTGTGGGCGGTTCCAAACAAAGGAATAACCTTTGCGCCATGCATGACCCTGAGCCACTCTATGCTCTTCGAGGGTGTCGTCGGCCCATCAATGTACATGAGGCGGAGCTTGCCGCCCATGACGTTGCGGTAGTGGCGGAAATAGGAAAAGTCCCAGAAATTAAACTTTGGCACAATCCCGCGCATCAGCGAGTCCTGCGCGCGACGGTATCCGCTCATAAACATCGCGTACTCAAGCTTTGGGTACTTGACGACATTTGAGTAGAACAGCTGGACGAGATCCCGGGTGATCAATGGGTCTAGGAAAGTGAATGTGGGCTGGAGTTGGTACGCCTGGTTGATAAGCTTTTCTGCGTCGCTAGTTTCCAGGATGCAGATCGAGCAGCTGTAGGTCAGAGCAATGTTGATAAAGTTGAGGTTGATGGCGTTGGCCAGGGATGCAACCGACATGAATGTGTCCTTCTTGGTCAGCACCTGTGTGGCAGGCAGGCTGGCGACGATTCCAGTGATGGCCGCCAGCGCATTGGCGTGGGTGATTACAACGCCTCTGGGCGCACGGCCCTCACCAACGCTACCGTACAAAACATATGCGGCGTCGGCTGTTTCAATAACGGCGTCCTTCTCGCAGCCACCACCCCGCTCGAGCTCCCTGAAGTGGGTCACGCTGGCAGCAGCACGGAATGCATCGGACGCCTCGGACCCATCAAGCTCGCCAACAAGAACAACATGCTTGATGCAGGTCGAAGCGACAGCAGCAGCACCCAGCTTTACTGCCAGCGTACTCAACGTGACAAGCAACCGTGTCTTAGAGTGCTTAAGAATAGCAGAGACATTGGCAGGCGATTCAGAAGCAGAAATCGGGATTGCGACTATTCCGGCCTCAATGCAAGCCTGGTAGGCGACAAGTGCTTCGACCGAGCCCTCAAGATAAATAGCAGCTGACTTTATCTGCGCCTCGCCCAGCAAGCGCAAAAGGCCGGCAGAAAGGGCCGAAACGCGGGTGACCATCTCTTCGGAGGTGACCTTTTGTACGGCATCGTCAACAATGACCTGAACGGCACTGGGGCTGGCGACGCTGCGGCCGAGGCGGATGGCATCACGCAGTGTTTTCATGTCATCCGATAGAGTTGACAGCAGGCGGGTGCCGTCTGGTGTGGATTTGGAGCGGTAGGTGGCGGTTTCTCTGAGTGACTGACGGGTCTTGCTGACCGACGACTGTTGTGCAAGCTGAAGTGGGTGGATGTCGGGCTGGTTGGCCAGCAGCGAGTAATAGTAAAAGTAGACCGTGCCGGCAATGGCGGCCAGAACAGCGCAGACGACCACCGTGGGATCTGCGAAGGACATGGTCGCGATAAATTCCAAAACAGTTGGTGGCTGTGGTGACAGCAGCAGTAGCGTGTAATATAAATTGTAGTTTTTACAAAAATGAATTAGGAGAGAAAAGAGAGAGAGGGAGGGAGAGAGAGAAAGAGAGGGAGAGAGGGAGAGAGAAGGAGAGAAAGAACAGATGGGCTGATTCAGTTCCTGGTCCGCTTCTGCTCCTTGCCTTTCTCGATTTCCACTGTCCGATGGATCCACTCCCTCCTCCCCCCTTGTCCTGCCAAAGCGCGCGATCGATCATTTTGATCATGTAATTTTCTCAAGTCAAAAGCTCGATGTGCGCTCCGTGTAGCCCATCTGCTTGAGGTCCTCGAGCGGCCACCGCTGAATAAAGTCAATAGTGTACGGGTCCAGCAGCCCCCTGCGCAGCCGCTCGATGCCCGCCCAGGCAATCATCACGCCGTTATCCGTGCATAAGCTGGGCGGCGGACACACGAGCTCCACGCCCTCCTTCGCAGCCAGCCCAGCCAGCACTTGGCGAACAGCCAGGTTGCTCGCCACACCACCGCTGGCCACCAAGCACGACAGCGGCTGGCCCTGCAGCAGCTCACGCGCGCGCCTAAAGGCCAGCACGGTCTTCTTGCGCAGGTGCTTAGCGGCCGTCATCTGAAATGCGGCGGCGACGTCGGCTTGGTCCTGGGCGCACAGCGGGTCGAAGAGCGCCTGCTCGCGCATGCGCTTGACATGCGTCTTGAGCCCCGAAAAGCTAAAGTCCGGCGAGCCTGCGCTGTCGGCCTTGTCCATGGGCACAGGCAGCTGGAAGCGGGTTGGATCGCCGGCCAGCGCGCACTGCTCCAGCGCCGGGCCTGCGCCGCCGCCGATCTGGGCGTCAATCCAGGGTATCTGCAGCTCGCGGGCAACTTTGTCGAAGGCCTCGCCGATGCTGTCGTCACGCGTGGTCCCGATCATCGTATACTCGTTAATGTCGTGCACCACCAGTGTCAGCGTGTGGCCGCCGCTGATCAACAGGCACAGGTAGGGGAACTGCACCTTGTCTTCGGCGCCCATACGCGCCATCAGCGCGTGAGCCTCCATGTGGTGCACGCCAATGAGCGGCTTTTCGTGCACGGCTGCGAGAGTCTTCCCTGCCGACACGCAGACGGCCAGGCTGGCTGGCAGCCCGGGCCCGCGTGTCACGGCAATGGCGTCGAGGTCGCTAATCTGCAGCCCGGCTGCTTTCAAAGTCTCGTGGACTACCAGCGGCATGTTCATCAGGTGGTGGTTGGCTGCAAGCCCCGGCACTATGCCGCCGTGCTGTGAGTGGATTGCGTGCTGGTGTCGGTTGGTCTCGCTGAGGATCTCGCCGGAGCTGGTGACTATTGCCGCTGCCGTGTCGTCGCACGATGACTCTAGCCCCAGTACGCGCAGCACTTGGCTGTGGCGGCTCGTCTGTGCAAAGTGCCTGATCTGGCCGGTCTGTCGCTCTGTCTGATCTGCCGGATCTGCCGGATCTGTCCGATCTGTTTGATGTTCGGGATCTGTCCAACCTGCCTAAGAATATGCATCGTGTGGTGTGGGGATGGATGTTAAGGAATGTATATTTTCATCAAGACTAATGAATCAGATAATGCAATGGCAGAGATAAACAAAAGAAAGAAAGAGCCTGTGCAGCCACATTGCTTTGGGCGGTCTCGCTATCAAAAAAATATACTTTCAAGTCAAGCGGAGCAGGCTGACATATTTTGGGCATTTTTATTATCTGCACTGATCCCGATGATTTCCCGTCATCATCGGCCATTACGGTGATCATGGGTCTGCACTGAAGAAAAGAACAAGACTACAAATATCTATAAAAAATTCAAGAGTAATCTGTTGCTAAATGCTTATGAATGGTTCACATGGGTGCTGCTCTTTTTTCTACCACTGGCGAAAGATGTCAACGCACTGTTAACAACACCTTTCGCTAAAGGTAAGCGCATAAACACAAAATCTCGATAGTTACCCCACCCCCTGAAGGTTGGGGCTTTGTTACAGTGTGGTTTGCAATATAATTTTTTTGAGCTCCAGTGGTTCTGGCCCAACCGCCTTTCCTTGAATTCACTTTTTTTCTTCTGTTGCTGACGTTTAATAAACATATTTAATATTATTCTCACTAGAATTCGCCTACTCTTTAATTCCCCCCAGCTTGTCGCCTTGGTCGCTGGTTCATTCATTCCACTTACAATGAACAACGTGTGCTGGAGCGCACTCTCGCACGCCACGCATAGGACGGCTTTCCAAAGACTGAGAGCCTCGCACCCAGCATCGACGATCAACGCCCTTTACTTTGCATGCTTGAACAGTTCACCAGCACAGACCCAGCAATGGAATCACCAGAACCATCAGCGACAACGCCAGCAGCAACACCAGCAACGGCGCACCTTGGCATCGGCATCCATAGCTCGCAAAACCAAGCCATGTCGGACATCCGGCAGCAGCGGCAGCAGCACGCATACAAGAGACGTATTCAGGCGGCACTTTTCATTCAACATGTTTGACCTGCTGCCTGATCTGGAACGACTCAAGACGAAGCGGTCCAAAAAGCTAGAGGACGCCGTGGAGAAGGGCAAAGTCAAGCACGGCTTTGTTTCGGAATTCGAACACCTAACGCGCCCACTCAAGACCACCACCGGCCGCGAAAACCGAGGCCCTGCAGCCTGGTGCGCAGGAGAGACGCAGCCCGAACGCAAAGCCGCTTAAACAGGAGATATACCGCTTCCAGCGCAGCCTCAGTCCGGGCAGTGGCGGCAGCGGGCCCGGCAGCAACGACGGTGCAGGGGAAGGCGGCGTGTGGAGAGCCGTTTGGGCCGAACAGCGAGACACGAGCGCGGATCGAGCAGATCCAGCAAACCCCTGATCTGACCCTGCGGTGCACAGAGCTGGACATCCACGGCAACGTCACAGTGCGTGCCGGCGAGTTCCAGAAATCCGAGCTCTGCGCACAACACGGCCTGCAGCCGCGCGACCTGCGCAAGATCGACAGCAAGTTCGTCAACCAGATGCCCGCGATCCTCGTGCGCAAGCACGCGATCCTCGTTAACCTGCTGCATATTCGGGCGTTGATTGAAGCCGACCGCATTGTGCTCTTTGACTCGATCGGGGCGCCTGCCAGTTACAGCCAGAGCCTCCTGGTGTATGAGCTGCAGGAGAGGCTGCGCAATAGTGTTGGCCAGAGCAACGAGCCCTCGCAGCCCTTTGAGTTTCGCGCGCTTGAGGCCGTGCTCATAAGTGTTGTGAATTCGCTGCAGAGCGACGAGGAGGTGCTGGTCAATTTGGTGCAGAACGTTTTGGCGTATCTCGAAGAGAGCGTCGATCGTTCGAAGCTGCGCGAGCTCCTGCAGTACTCCAAGAGGCTCTCGCGGTTTGAGCAGAAGGCGCTGAATATCCGCGATGCCATCGAGGAGGTATTGGAGCAGGACGAGGATCTGGCCGCCATGTACCTGACGCAGAAGCTGCGGGGCCGGACGCGCGACACGAACGAGCACGAGGAGGTCGAGCTCATGATGGAGACGTACCTGAAGCAGGTCGAGGAAATCGTCAACCACGTCGAGTCTGTCTCGTCGCATGTGCGTACAACCGAAGATGTTGTCAATATTATCCTGGACTCGCAGCGCAATAGCCTGCTGCTGCTCGAGATCAGGCTGACTATTTTGACCGTCGGACTGAGCACTGGAACCTTCTTGTCTGGCCTGTTTGGCATGAATCTGGTTAACACCTGGAGAGCCATCCGGACGCGTTCTTTGCCGTGTCAACCATTGCCTTCCTGGCCATCGTCACACTAACGCTCGCCGGTCTACGCGCAATGGGCAAGGTGCTGCGCAAGATCAACTGAGACAGATCGAGCCATGGGGGCTGTCTAAATGAAAATTTTCTTTTTTTTTGGGGGGAGAGAAAAAAAAGCTTTTTTCTTTTTGAAAAGGGAAAATCTCATCGGCTCTTGGCTCTCTAGACTTTTTTTGGCTCGCTAAAAAGGCTGCACTTTATTTTTTTAGACTCACGTGCAAAGCCTCTTTATTTTTCTTCTGCTCTGCCGGTATTTTTCTTATTTGACCCTCGAGTCGACAAAAATATTTTTCACCCCCCTCTCCCTCTCTCTCTTTTCACTTTAATTTTCCTTATTCTCTCTGTACAATTTATACTTTTACATTTCAATTATACACTACTTGAAAGCCTTTTTTTATTTCTTTGCGGCCCTTTATTTTTCTCTTACTCTCTGTCCAATTACAATTTACCTGCCCCCAAGCATTTGCAGCATTCAGGAGAAAATTTAATCTAAATTATCGTCATTGGATTCAACTTTTTAAAAAATTATATTTATCTCATATGTACGCTGTACCCAGTAAAGCCTCTTCTGCTACTAAAATAAGTCGCGACGCTAACTATCCATCAGCAACAAAGCCGCTTAGCAAAATACCCCACTACATTAAACGAGACAAACCAACGGCAGCAGCAACCATCTTCCCCATTACCAGCATAGAGACAGCGCCAGAAGCCGCTAACCATTCAACAATTTCGGCCATCAGCACCAAAACCGAGTCAGGAGCAGCAGCAGCGGGCGGAAGCACATCGGATGCTTCCCCTGGCCCATACCTTGCACCAGGCAGACAGCGAGGTGCATGGAGCTCCTCCCGTCTGCTCACCATGTCTCGCAGCGGATCAACCAGCCAAGTATCGCCCAAAGAGCCCGCAATACACGATCTGCAACCAGCTAGAGAGCCCCCCGTGTACGAATGCAAGCCGGCGAACACCCTCTGGAATTTGCCTGGACTTTCTGGTTTATGCACCGTCCGCCGGGACAGAAAATTGACGATTACGAGGCGGCAATGATAAGGATTGCGACATTCGCCAGTGTTGAGTCATTCTGGGCTGTTTACAGCCATATTAAACGCCCCGATAAGGTACCGACTATCACTGATTATCATATGTTCCGCTCCGGCGTCAGGCCCGTATGGGAGGACTCGACGAATATGCATGGCGGCAAATGGATGATTAGGCTGAAAAAGGGGCTTTCTCCGAGACTTTGGGAGAAACTTGCTATGGCGGTGGTCGGGGATGTCTTTGGGGTTGGTGGTGAGATTTGCGGTATTGTGTTGTCGATTCGGAACTCGGAGGATATTATCTCGCTGTGGAACAAGACTGCATTTGATTCAAGGACCAATTTGCATATCAGGGATACAATGAAGATGACCATGGGACTTCCTGTTGAGTGCATTATGGAGTACAAGGCGCATAATGACTCGCTCAAGGACAACTCGAGCTTTAGAAACACTGATATTTACAAGTAGCTCGCAAGTACTAGCTTTTTCTTCTTCCGCAACATAATGAATGGGAGGCATTTGGTTGATGATAAAACAAAATTAATATCCCAAAAAGAAAGAAAATGCAATATGAAAAATTTGAAAATATATTTGAAATTAAAAATTTGAAAAGGAAGAGTGAAAGTGTAAGTTGAAAAAAACATGACAAAAAGTACGGAGGTTGTAAGTAAAAAGTTAAATAGTAGAATTCATATAAAATAATAATAAGTTATGCAAGTGAATTGTGTAATAAAAAAGCCATATGCAGAAAATAACGGCAAAAAAGTTCTTGCCAGTTGAGCAAAATAATAAGGACATGATTGAACAGAAAAAGAAAATTCGCAACAACTTGTGATATTTAGTTTTTTTAATGTGTAAAAGCTGACAGGCCAGATTTACGACATGTATACGGTGGTTGTCGGCGTGTGTGGCACAACGTGGATTGTAAAGTTGGTCTTGAGATGATGGACTACACAAAACAGCGGAAAGATAAAGATAAAACAATGGTGTTAGCAAAAAAAATAGTTTACCACAATCAGCCAATATTAAGAACAGATAATAAAGCATGTGTTGTACATGCTCACAAATCACAAATCACTTTTTTCAAAATACATACCTTCTTTGCCCTGGTAGTAGCTGGCAATCACCACAATGCCGCAGTCGGTCGCGTCAGCTGGGGGCAGCCCGCGCAGCGAGTTATTATCCCATGGAGCCACGCAGGCAGCCATTCCGAGTTAAAGTACACCTTGGGCGACTTAACCTGCGGATCCCAAATAGTCGGGCCCACTCATATGGCACGCCAATCACAGCCTTTGGCGGGCCCGAGGCAATGCGCCGCAGGAACTCCTTGAACCACCACGTGTTGCGCGACATCTTCTTCGCCTCGACATTCCACACATGATGGCCCTTGCTCTTGGCCTTCTTTCCGTCCTCATTGTACCGCGAAATATACCTCTGCTGGTGCAAGTAGTTGCGCAGCTGCTGCTTGCTGACCACCTGCTCGGTCATGCCAGCCTCGCGCTCGATGAACTCGCGGTATCCGTTGGAAAACGCCTGTATGCGGAACCGGAATGTGCGGAACTCGGTGCACTGCTCGAGCTTTTCGAGCTTTTTGGCCATCTGCGTCTGGTGGCTACAAAAAAAAATAAATAATGAAAAAAACAAGTTTAGTTGGCAAAATGCAACTTGAATTAACCGGATAGCGGGACATTTAGAAAAATTCAGCGCTTTGTATCATTTGTGTAAGAAGCAAGGACATATGGATTATAAAGAGGATAGATGCGATATTATAAAGCAAAATAAAATAAAACAGGAATGAGCTCGCACATAGCATGTTTGTTTTATGCATTGGGGAATTAACATATGCATCTCGCAAATAAAAAAGTGTTTTGCTTATTTTTAGCACGCTTTCTACAGAAAACAAACGAGTGCACCCATTTTAAAAATTTTTAAATGACAGACCATTTCTGAATTGAGAAAGGAAAAAGGAAAGGCAGGTAAATACGCACAGTAAAAACATAAAAAAAGTGCAGTGACAGAAACGTGGTTATAAAAAGGAATGTTTATCTTTACGCGGAAACAGTCGGAGAATGAATTAGAAAGCAAAAAATAAACAAAGGGAGAATGTTCAGGAAAGTGTAACGAGATTTACACGTTTGCTTGTCTCTTATAAAAAAGGTCTTGCAATGCGAGGTGGAATGATCAAAGGATTGTCAAGCCTTTATAAAAAACATGTAAAAAATATTGGGCCGCAATGCCGCGCACAGATAAAATAAAATAAAATATTGTATTGTATTGTCAAATTTGGCACAGTAGAATACTTTTTTTGGGTGTGTTTAGGTTCGGAAAATTGGAAATAGGATATTGGATGGTATACGCAATGTTTGTGTTTGGCGCATAATAAAAAGTTGAGTATAAAAAATGGGTTAATAAAACCGCTTTTTTTGCCGCGCCAAGACCCCACCCGGCAAAAATATTCCAAATGGTCGAGTTGTAGGTACATTAAAACATAAAATAAAGATTATCCAGCCAAGAAAACCTTGTAAACAAACATATGTTGGATCGCAATATAATATAAACAAATGGTACATCCTTCAATATACCATTTTTGTTATGCCATAAAAGAATGCCGACAAAAATGTTGGACCTTTATCGTGCATGTTGTTATTCGCACAAGCTTGCCATTTCAAAGAAAAGAAACAACAATAACGAGAGGGTTTGAATTCGAAAAAAAATTGGCACAAGAAAACAAAATAAAAAAGAAGCAAACTGCTTCCTAATACAATGTGTTCACGGAACCAAGGCAATCGGGAGAAGGATTTGCAAATAAAAAAGGATTTCAGCTGGAAAAATAGGAGTGAAAAAATACAAATGATCAGAAATACAATTTCCCATGCAGACCGTTGACCAGACCAACGGTTCAACGAAAATGGGAAGAGAATAAAACATCGGCCAACCGATTGGGTTGGACAAACATGCTGGGAACAAGTAGAAAAAAATAAAAAATAAGTTGGGGAAGAGGTGAATGTAAAAAATGGCAGTATCCATAGGCACACATGATTGAGAAAGGAAAGTGCTAAAATGTGACCATGCACAGTGCAAGCAAGTTCCAAGCTGCTAGTTGCAATGGGTTGCGACAAAGGCAAAACAAATAAAGCAAGCCAAATGGCGTACTACTTACATTGATTCGCCTTCGGAATCGACCGTAATATCTACAATCATCAGTAAGTACAATTATAGTTAGTCCGAATGCACCAATGCGAAATGAACATGGCATGTGGTTCTCACATTATCTGCTTGCCGCGTGTGATACCAGAAAAAAACTGCACAAGAAAAAAAGGCTGCATGAAAAATAGTAGGCAGAAAACCAGATTAAAATAAAGGAACCTAATGAACACCACTCAACAAAAAAAGCGTGCCGCATTGTTGATTGAATGTCGAAACGCGCACAATCGAACGAGCAAGACAATAAGAACGCCAATGGCGTATTGATTCAAAAACAGACAATTCAAAATATTGAAGTGTAGGGAGAGTGGCGCGCCCACAAAAACAGCATTGTGCTGCAGTTTTTCAATTACTTACTATTTGAGCAAATCTGCTCGAGGTACTTCATGAAAAGGTCGTCCAGCCTAATTATTAAATCCGAGTCAAGAGTCTGCTCAGTTGGCGACGAGGGGCTGGGCTCCATGACTGAAGGTGCGCTCGGCATATAGTTTTGCGTGTAGTTCTAATGCAAGCAGAAAGAAAGGCAAGAAAATGAAAAATATGCAAGCAATAAATTGTTTGCATACATGGCAATTAGTGCATAGTCGAGTGGCAGAGTAAAAATAAAAAGCAGTCAGGTACGCGAGTGAATAACATGTCTTTTGCTCCAAAAGAAAACGTGGGCATGCAGACATCGCATGAGAAAACATTGGATAACAACTTACTTCGAAATACTCGGGAAGACCAGTCTCGCCATTCGACTGCATGTTCATGGTGAACTTGAACGCGGGCATGCCAGACTGATCACCTCGGTGAGTCCCATGCCCAGTCTACCTGTACTGCCGATGCCAATGACACCACAACCGCTGGCATTGCCGCCGCTGCTGACAACGGGCCCGTTGCTGCTGCCCCCAACAACCATGCTGACGCCGGGCATCGGGTGCGTGTGAACTGACGCTGTCACTGCCGCCACGGCAGCCGCCACCTGGGCCGCCGATACCTGATCCGGTGTGCTGTTCACTGTGCCGTAAGAGCCAGTGTGCAGGACACTGTTGCTTGATGAGGCTCCCATTGGCACATGGCCTGAGCTGTTGTCGCCCATACCCGCTGTGGCGGCCACTGCCGAGCCCTGGGTTGGGAAGGGCGACGACATCTGCTGCTGCACCATGTGTGCGTGTACTGACTGGTGGATGTTGTGCTGCTGTTGCTGCTGTTGCTGTTGCTGAACCTGAGCATGGTAGTAGTTGGCGTAGTGCGGGTTGACCTGGGCCTGCTGGTAAGGGTGATGGTATTGCTGCATGGCCGAAATCCTCCATGGTTCTGCTGTTGCTGATGGTGCAATTGCTGCTGCTGGCTGGTTCTGAAACTGCTGTTGCTGAGAAACGCTTGCGTTAGAACGACCCGACCGGTCGAGCGGCACCGTCGCTGAGTTAATAGGCTTGGGCATACCCGAAGGATGGCCGGGGACAGTCATATACCGCATCTGATTGTCAAACTGTCCTTGCATTGGATACTGCTGGTCAGCAGGCGCAAGGGCATGCTGAGAAACGGGGCTGACGCTCGTGCTCCCCGCCATACTGCCAACAGCGGCAGCCACCGCAGCAGAGCGATCTGCCGCCGCCGCCGATATATGTTGCTGTTGCTGCTGCTGGCTGCGAGTAAAACCACATATTGTAGTCGTGGTTGCCGACAGCATGCGTTTGGCTATACAAAGTTGCCGGAATGCTATGCGACGCAGCCAAAAACTGCTGGTGCTGCTGGGGCATTGCGCTGCGCGCGGGGTTAAGAGTAGTATGTACCGAAGGCATAGGAGTCGGCACAGCACCAGGAGCCGAAGAAGAAGCATGCGCACCAACCATTGCAAGCTGGTGTGAGCCCGGCTGTTGCTGATGAGTGGCGCTGAAATAACGCGACTGCGGGTGTCCCACGCTAGACACTGACGGAACAGGAGTGCTGCTGCTGGCCTGCGAATTGCCCGAAAAATGCGATTGCGGCGTGTGGTGCTGAGACTGGTACTGGTACTGCTGAATCGAATTGGTATCAATGGTGTCCTGATAGTACACTGGCTGCAATTGCTGCGTTTGCTGCAGCGCTGGTGTCGCCGGTGAGCGAATCGATGGAAGCGATTGCGCTCCCGACGGCGTGCGGCGTGCGGACGTCGGGCTGGGCTTGGAGCTCGGCGTCTCTGTCGCCTGCGACTCCACATCAGTGGCCTATAAAAAATTGAAAAGCGAAAATGAGTAGACATAAATCATCCATCGGGCAAAAAATGTTAGCTAAATAAAAAATAATATAATTAAAATGACAACGGTATGTGCGTGCATAACGACGATGAGGGGAGTGAGGCATTGGGGGGAGTGTTTAACAGGGAAATTAATACTCTAAAAAATAAAACCTGCAATTTTAAACTGTTATGATTTTTTCATAAAGGCTTGAATACACCCTCCTCACACGGACACACGAACCAAAAAACCATTAACTGCAACCCAAAAAATAAAGATGCATTGCTTGTTGTCTTACCCTCGAGTCAGTGCGTCGCCGCTTGGTCTGTTGCTCTGTGCTCATCGATTCCTAACGAGTGTAAAAATTCAAAATGTCAAAAATAAAAAGGTGGGATCAAGATGCAAAGAAAATATAAGTAATTGGCTTTTAGACTTGTTACTGGGAATAAAATAGGCGAAATGGGGACATTAAAATAAAAGTGAGTTTATGAAAATAAAGAGAAAAAAGGGAGAACTAAAACAAAGTTGGTTTTGGTTAAGGATGATGTTTTTATTTAGCGACGAACCAACCATCCCCGTCTTATAATCGTGATAATAATTTTAGAGCTAAAAAAGGAAATGCGTGAGCTTACAAGGGTGCAGCAATAATAATAGAAAAAGAAGGGACGGAAAATTGATACGCAGGCACACAAATACCACATAAGAAAATAGTCCAAAAAAATGCTGGGCTGGCCAAGCAATTGCAGCAAAAAATAAACAAATATTGACAAGGAGCAATGCAATTGGTTGTGTCATTTTATTTTCACTGTCCGCTCGCTTGCCTGCAAAAAACCCACCCCCGCTACCCCCTTCTCCATTACCCCCCCCCCCCCCCAAACTGGCAAAAATACAATTGAGTAGACGAGGAATAATTGCGGAAAGAGGGAGAAAGCTTTGGCGGCAGCGCTTGGGTTTGTTTTTTAATATTACCCAACCGGCTCAGCCAGCCAACCAGAATTGGCCTCGGTGCCCCAAGTTGAGTGCAAATGTGTCCGTATATGTTGCTTCAAATTGCTACTGCTTCCCCCGTTAAGAACGAATAAGCGTTTGGCAAAAATAAGCAACAAACAGCAAACAACAACCAATATGACTAGGCAGCAGAACGGGATGAAAAATAAAGGACGGCGTGGCACAGCACAGCACAGAACAGCTGGGCTAGGGCGTGTGCCGTGCCGTGCCAATCTGAATTTTTAATTTAGTCACAGGTAACAACAGAAAATGGGGAAGGAGCTGATGCTCAGGCGACCCAATAAAAAAAGCAAGGGCATTGCCCATTTGCTATTGACCAGCTGCTTGACATATCATCTGACATGCAATTATTAGTCTAAAGTTTTAATGTCGCTTATCATGTAAGGGGGGGTCAACCTCATATTGTTTTGTAGTGCCACCCGCTGCAGCACCCCTCCCCATCCCCTCCTCTCCTAATGCAGAGGCCGGATGATCGAGGAAATGATGGGCATAATGGCAGTTAAGTGCGTAACAAAAAACTAAAGCAAAGGAGCGCTGGGTCTTTATGGCAGTAGGCTGCAGTATGCACTGCGCCATCCCACATGAGAACAAAAAGCAAACAAAAGGGACATGTGGAATAAAACGTGTTGGTGGGAACAAGAAAGGTAATCCTTTTAAAGGGAAATGGGCCATATTTACCTCAGAGTTGTTGCTGGAAATGCTATGGCACAGAGTAGCGATGGCTCGGCTAGCCTCCTCTATCTGGTAGATTGAAGCACCTTGGTCACCTCGCATGATTAAGTCTTTGGCTGACTGGATTTGTTGAAATACACTAGAGTTAAAAATACCGGTAATAAGAAACAAAAAAGGTTAGCAAAGATGCAAGAACATAAATAAATATAGTAAAGAAAAAAGTAATTCGGTAATACGCGCACATGGAAACGATTGCCTTTTTAAAAAAGAAACGAGTATCGCTTCTGCCTTCGCACTCCTGGTTGTTCGTCAAAAGTGAAAAAACATCTTTGACAGCAAAAAAAGAAGACAAACAAGGGACAACAAAGGCAAGGTTGAAAAAGATAAAGTATATGGACAAGAACAATAGGAATAAATGACAGCGATAATAGTTCTCACACATTATGTTGATTCATTATTATATTTTTTTGTGATTTGTGGCAAATAATTTTTTCATCTAATTGAAACAAGAACAAAGCGCAGTTGAATTGGGATGTGGCAAACCCAGCATCAATGAGACATACAAAAGCTGGGTCACTGCTTACAGAAAAAACCGACTGAATTTGCCATGCCAATGGTGAACCAATGGTGGTGTGAGAGTGTCGCACTTATTGGAATATGATGGTCAAGAAGTGTGCGGGTTCAAGAGTCAACAACACGCCGTTGCATATTAAAATTTATATTTTTTGCAAATTGATGGCATCGCTATTGCCAAGTGAACAGCATCGGGCTGGATCATGGATAGTACAAATTGGGCCTTGTTTGGAGCAAGCCATGCATGGCGCTTTATGATTTTTTGTAATGAAAATAATAATAGTGCAGATCGAAACAATGGCTCCTTTTGTTCAGAACAGATAATGGCTACTCGCGTGTGAGTGGGTGGCCAGGCTCTTCGGGCTGAAATAGCAGAAATAAAAAGACAAACAAATAAATAAATAAAAACTATTGAGCGACAGTGCGTAAAAAAAATTGGTCGTATGTTCTTTTTTGAAACAGGAAGTAAACAAAGATGTGTTGGACCACGAGTTGTAAAAAAGGTCAACGCGGTGTGATTTTGGTCTTTTTTTCAACGTCTAAATACAATCGCCGCAAATCTCTTTAGGCCAATTGAACAGTGGGAAAAACAAGAGTAAGGATGTCACAGCGACGCAAAAAACATTTTGATGGAAAAAAGGACGGGGTTTTTTGTAAGGAAAAGCTGATATTGGGCTTCAAAGTATCGTAATGGCAATCATGCAATTATTACATTTCCTTAATTGGAAAGACCGATAGGCATCTAATTGACAATAGGCAATCAAACTAATTTCCTAATCTTTCTTTGGCAATTTGACAAAAACAAATAGGATGGAAAGGAGAGGAGAGGAGAGGAAAGGAGAGGATACTGACTGGCAGCCACGCTCGGGCCCCGGAAATTAATGAGTGGAGTTGAATGGTGTATAAAAGGAGGCAGTGGAACAATAGCTAATTTCAAACATAGTAAATATGTGTTTATATTTATTTTTCACGTACCTTGGTCGACCGAGTTCATGAAAGTCGGGGTTGCTGGCTGATTCTGTTATTTTAGCGCTGGTCAAGTAGACTTGTGGTGATAGTGCGTGCTTAGGAATATAACAGCGATAGTTGGCTAAAAAAGATGACAATGATGGGAAGAGGGTAATAGGGCAGAGAAATGGACGTGGGAGAAAAAGGAAGAGGAGTTGTCGAAAGGTGAATAAGAAGTGAATAGGCGAGAAAATGGGTTTTAAAGTGGAAAAGGCGTTGCTGCGTTTACCAAGTGCTAAAATCAATATGTGAGGGTATATGAATATATATGCCAGTGTCGAGTGTAGTGTAGTTCTAAATGTGTTTGTGCAATATTAAAAGTGCTGGAATAGTAGTGTATCTATGATACAGTCTTGAGGCTATGAGAGAGGAAAATGGGGGGTTTTGTTTGAGATGAGGTGTAGAAACAAGCACGGTGAACGGATTAAATAAAAAAGTGCAATCGGTTGGCGATTTTGAAAACTGATGGGTGATGCAGGCTTGTTTAAAAGGGAGCGTCGACTCGGAAAAATAACGCCAAAGGAAGAGAAAGGAGGGGGAGCGGGGGGCTAAGCGAGTGGGCATGACCTCCGGGGGGTGGGTGGCAGACCGAGACTTAGAACCACCCCCCCTTTGTGCATGCACTTTTCTTATTGAAAAAGACGCAATAAATGGATTGAGGATCTCTGCCATGTAAATTGGGCTTTATACCGGCTTTTTCTTGTTTTTAAATGACCATGCGCATGTTTCTAGCATCCAGTCTTGCTAAATTCAACTCCAACTCCGAGTGTTTTTATTTTGACTTAATAGGCCGAGCGCTACAAAGCAATTTTGAATCATTTGCTCGCTATGCCTGCTGGCTGCAACGCACGCATGATGCTTAAGTATTGCACTTTGTTGTAGTCCCACTGAAATGGCCAGCTGGAGATATTGGCCGTGGACAGGTATAGGGAACACAACAAAAAATAATTGATTACACGCCATTCCAGCCAGACATTGACATGTCCGCCTCAATCCATTGTGTCTTCTTTGGAATCCACGTCTTATTATGTGTTCAGCTTATAGAAAATGTATTTTTATAAACAATTGTTTGCTGTGGCGGTAGTGGAAGGTGCAGTTGTTTATTGCTTTTTTGGTCTGCTATCATTACATCGATCATTATATACAAAATAAAATAAACATTGCGGTATAGTTGTTGACTACTAATACAATGGGAGGTGAAGCCCCCCGATGGATTAAAGTATAGGTTAAGTGCAACAACTGTGACACACAAAGGCCGTTTAGTGGGTTTAAAATTGTCATAAACAAAATATGAACAAATCTAAAAAACTATAAACGAAAAAATGGGTGTGGCAGGCTAAGAATCCTATTTTTTATAAAAACAAATATGCGCCAAAAACAATTCAAACGGCTTGAATTCTGATTTGGCACAGTTTATAAAAGTTTGCATTTCATTGTTGTTTTTTCGTTGACCGCGCGATGGTCGTTTCATGTGTATTGTTCTGCTGTTTATTGTTTTGAAGAAAAACAAACCGCGCACCAACGTCCATGCTTGGCTTGTAGTCTTTGAACGCGTTTTTAGGGGAGGCTGTTTTCCACAGGCAATTGTTTTAACTAATTGTTCTTGAGTATATGCTTTTAATGTACTTCTATTTGCCACCAACCCAGAAACTAGCACAACCAATACTTTTTTGTTACAACACACAACAGAAGGCGCCGTCAGTTTCCATACAACTGCTACAGCAGGCATTCTTAATTTTGATTATAGCTGTAAAATTAACAATAAGACGAATGACCCGGTGGCTGTCAGCCACAGTATCATTAATTGCCAGCCGTTTGTTTATGACTTTTCAATATTGGCACAAAAACGTTTACCTGCATGGAGTTGCAACCTTGAGCAAAGGCTTGTCGAACAATTGGTTTTGTCTGCTGTTATTATCATCTTTGTTGTTGTTTTCATTTTGCAATTTTTCCAATGATTGTGGGCATATACAGCAGTCGCAGCAGTATATCCAAATTGCACTCAAATAGTTTAATTAATATTTTATTTTAGTAAAGTAGCATACAGGGGCTTATTGTTTTCTGATTACTCAGATTGCCAATTAACATTTTGTAATATGTAGGGCTTATCTTTAAAATACAATACCAATACCAATAACAAAGGTCGGACAAGCTCGCATAAAATTTTAAATATATGCATGCACGCACATACCTTGTATCATTTATGGCTTCCTTTTCTTAGCTCACACCACTTGGCTTTTTTACTCCACATGTGCAGATGTCTATGCGCAATTGCAAGACTGAGGAATGCAGCTATCATGACTTGTGTGCATGGTATGCCCAAAAACAACAATACAATCATTAAGGTTATGCAATAAATGCACCTATTTTATGTAGGCACACATGTATTCAGTCTGTCAGATAAGGGCATGCAATCAAGCAATTTAAGCCGATGGTTGCAATTGAACTGGTGCTATCAAAATTGCCGTGTGCGATTTCAGGTATATACGTCCGCTGACCGCACCAGCAACAATAACAATAACAATAACAACAAATAAACATCCGGCCATTTTTCTCGTCAAAACAATGCTCAGGCTCAGCCCCAGTCTCGGCCAAACAAATTGAGTGACCATCCCAAAACCCTTATCGCTCGCATTTAAAAAATGCGCACTGTGATATTGACCAGCCGTAAAATAGCCTCACGTATTATATTCTCGTCTTTCCATAAATCATTTTTCATTTTCATTTCATTTTCTCGTATATAATTTGCTCTATTAAATAAATAAATAAATACAACACATGGCGCCACAGATAGCTTCGGCAATATCAGCATCAATGGCGGCAAAGGCGCAAAACACAACTATTGTTAGCGACATTGCTGAATCCCTGCGTAATTTGCCAGCCGGGAACAAATTATCAGTGCGCGTGATCACCACTGCTGATCACCAGGTCGACTCGCTAACCCCACAGCGGCGCTTTAGCCACTTTCATTCATCATCGACAATGTCGCGGCGAACTCTGATCTTTGTCTCGCAAGGTGAATGCTTAGTTGCCGGACTCGAGGCTCACGAGTTCACCTCTATTTCCGTCCAAGTCAGCAGCGGGCAGAATACGAGCCCATCGGTGGCTGTCGACGTATGCATCGAGAAAGTCGACACCTCGGGGGAGCTTTCCATCCGAATGCCACTTGTCAGTGCGCTTATTGCCGGCTATATGCGCTCTCTGCGCAGATACAGGGCGCCGCTTGGGATTGACACTGTCAGTGTGCATTTGTTTGCGCGCGCTCAGCCAGAGTACCTATTTGCAAAATCCCAGGGTAATCCTGGCAAGCGCATTCTCGACGACTTGGCGCTGATCAAGTGGTGGCAGGGCACACTGCAGGCAGGCCTTGCCTACGCGATGGTAAGCGACAATAGCACCGCAAGTAGCCTGACTGCAATAGCAAACTGCATTGTTCCTGGAACAAGCGTAGGCGAGGCTCCTTGGTTCCTGGGCGCCCAGAGCGGAATACGAGTGTCTGAGGCAGACAAAGCTATCGAGCAGCTGGCAACGGGCATGATGGCAAAGTGCGATCCCACCGACACCGCATTGAGTGTTTACAGCAAAGCGCCCCATACTGTGCAGTGGAAATGGGGGCTTCCATACGACGACACCGCTCGCGCTCATGATTGTGTTTTGCAGTTCCCAGACGACCCAATGACCCGCTTGCTCTCGGAACCTCACTCCAGCGCCTGGTCAGTGCACACTCTGCTTGAAATGCTTTCTGTCAGCGAGGAGTGCGGGTCCGGCCGTCGCACAGCCTATTTCTCTGCAACCCTGCCTCTCAGAGCACACCTGTCTTGCGCTTCTGCTGATACTGATGGCACTGCCGAACAGGGTAAGCCTTCCTTTGACGACTATGACAGGGCTCTTGTTGCGCTGTTTGACCGCGGTATGGATTTTTCTTCGTCTGATAGCGCGCTCGCTTCGTCTCGGCGCTTCACAGAATACATCGATACACAACTTGGTATTGCATCTGTTGCAGTTGATACCACTGGTGCTGCAGTTGCGCCGAGGCACAGCGAAACCAAGGCAAAGGAAGCTCCCAAAGTCAACGACCTCACTATGAGCATTCGCAAAAGCGCAAGGTCACTGAGTAGCTTTGCGAATAGCATTTGTGAACAATAAAACAACTCTTACAATATGCGTATGTGCGCAGCGCCAAACCATACGAGCTTTTGCAACTATACTTGAACTTTAAAAATAAACATTTATATTTGCTGTCGTCGCATCAATTCGCGACGGGTAATAAAGGAAGGGCTGTTGTCATTTTCATGATGAATATGAAGCAATAAAGGACAAGTTGGAAAAATACTGATTACCGGGCGCGGGATGGCGAGATAATTTAGAGAAGAGCAAGGCTGGGGAACCTCTCGTCGTAGCCATCGACAGTGAACTTGCCCTGCTTGACCAGATCCTCGGTGCGCTGGACGATCTCAGGCTTGGCCTTGACAACATCGTCAACAGTGAGCTGAGTGATGGGGCGAGCCTGGTCAATGTTCTTGACGGTCTCGCTGAGATCAGCCAGGTTGGCCTCGGTCTCCTTAACGTAGAGCTCGGCCGAAGTGACAGCCTTAGCCTCGAACGCAGAGATGGTCTTCAGCTGGTCAGCCAGGTCGACCTTGACGATCTTCTGGGTGTTGGCAATCTTCTCCAGCTTATCGATAATGTCCGAGTTCTTCAGGATGCGGCGGTAGCTTTCAAAGTCGACTGAGCGGTCGGACTCCTTGAGCTGCGAAAGCTGGCGCTCGGCCTCCTCGTAGCCCTTGCGGAAGGCACCGAGGGACGCGGTAATCTCAGTGTGCTTTGAGAGCACAGAGTTGATAACCGGCCAGTTGATAGTGGTAAGGAACTTGCGACCCGCTGCAGACATGGTTATATTTTTTCTTCGCTAACTACCTACAGTTGAGCAAAAAAGAAGTACATATTTGGGCAAGAAAAATAGTGTTTTAGTTTTGAGCGAGATTTAGCGAATGAATGAGGTCTGTAGGGTCGGCTATACTGCTATCGCATTGCTGCTGCTGTTTCCATTGCGTCCGGAGCTATCAATATAATTCGAGTAGCAGAGCAAGGTTTTCTCGCTCTGCTCAGGCTCCCCACATTTTCGCAAAGTGCGTGACCGAATCACGATAAGCCCTCCGAATGAGTAACAAATCCACTGTCCTTCTGTGCCCGATTGATTACCTGTTGTGTAAAGAACGAAAAAATAAAAAGGTTATAGAATTCAAATTCAAATTTGCAAATGAATAGAAAAAAAGAAAGTGCGAATGGATAGCAACTGCAAAACCTTACTTCGCTGCGAGCCCACAGCAGGCATTTTCATTTGTCGCTGGCAAATTCGCCTCTCTTTTTCTCTCCACGCACGCGGAATTGAGCACCACACTCTGGCAGTTTTTCTGACGCTTATCTTGAAAGCACATTATATGTGTGATTTGATTGCTTGATCATCATCGATGATTTTGCCAAAACCATTAAAAAATGACTGGTCACGTGAAATATCAAAAGTAAAAAACCATGCATGATAGAAGGATGCGCCGCCAAGTGCATCGACGTTGATTGTTGACGATATAGTGGAGCGGAGCTTGCCACACTTCCTGAACGCCAGAGAGCCACTCTTTTTGCTCTTTGTTTAGCACAATTTGTTTTTCTTGTACCCGTACATTTACTTTGTTAAACTTTGCATTAGCCATTCAATGAGCAAGGCATTTGCTGTTATTTCGCTGCTTATATCCGCATACGCCACCACAGGCGTCGACGGGAGCCTCGGCACGTGTTTGAGGGAGGTTTTCTTTGGCCAAGACACGAATAGCGAGCCGTACACGCCCAAAGAAGCATTTGGTATGACAAGGGAAGCCCGCCTGATGCTCGTAGTCGACAGGCTCCACGAACGAGACATAGAGGACGACGGTCTGGACATGATAATCCCCGCGGGCGGAGGAATTATCAACATAGCTGACCTGGTCGGCATTGGCAATGGTAACACGGGAAGCAACCTGGAGACCCAAGCACCTGCGATCACCACTACAGCAGCTGAATCAACATCTGCCTCGACAACTTCTAAGCCTGCCAGCTCAAGCACCAAGGCGCCGGAATCTTCGACAACCACTACCACTACCGCTGCTGTGGTTGCTTCAGAAACCACATCCGGCGACACTGATTCACAGCCTGCTGTTTTATCTAGCGGTACGTATTCGCAGGAGCCCAGCGACACAGTATACACATGCAAGAGCGACTTTATCGACTTTTCCCAGCGCGATGCCATGAGTAAGTTCAGTTTAGTATGGTGTCCAGAAAACGCCTATCAAACTGACAACTCTGTGGTCTGGAGACTGACCCAAGAGTGCGGCATGACAATGGTTTACCCTTGGGACTTCCATTATGGCAAAATTGAGGGCCGTGTTCGCATTGGCCCTGGAAGTGGTGTGGTGACGGCCATGATACTGATGGGACCACCGCCTTCTGACGAGATTGACTTTGAGTGGGTGGGCAAAGATGTCACGCATGTCCAGACTATGTACTATGTGCAGGCACATCGCGTAGACGTTCTTCCAGAGGTTTTTGGCATTGACCAGCAGGGTAACGGTGATTTGAGCACGACATTCCAAAACTATGCCATCGAGCTGAACAAAGACAGCGTCAAATGGTATCTCAACGGCCAGCTTTTGCGCACCTTGAATAAAAAAACACAAGAGTTCCCGACGTATGCCAATCGTGCTCGGATGGGGATTTGGGACGGCACACAAACCAGCGGCTGGGCTGGCACTGTTGACTGGTCGCAGGGCCCATTCACAGCCGAAATGCAGTGGTTTAACTTTACGCCGTATTGCTGAGCATATGGTGTTTGATATTTGATTTCAGCTTATATTTCTAATTTAATTATTTGGTATATAAGAGACTCGCAGAGTAGCATGTACTTATCTTTTTCAAAGGAGTTAATTAAAGACCAAATATTTGCAACGATTGATATGCGTGAATCGAGAATTGTGCGGTTCGGGATTGGCATTCAAAGTGTCTGTATGTAAATTTGCTAAAGCCAGGCTGCCCTTTACTCACAATTTGCATGGTTTATAAGCAGATATCCCGTATTGCGCGCAAAGTCTTTATTTGGAAAATGGAGCAAGATATTGGGCCAAAAAGACGAATGGCAAGTGCTATGTTATATGTTATATGTTCGAACTAAACTTTTTTTTTAAAAATACACGATCATTGATGTGAAGCAAATTTCAGGATAACCGCGAGAACTTGCATTTAGCACATATTTAATTGGGAACATACTCGCACAAAGAGATTCACGATCATCCCCTTTCTGCGGGCAAACAAAATATTTCATTCGTGAATTTGCCGGCTTATCCAGATAAATAAATTAGCTCTGTGCATTTTGTGACACCAAGTATTTTTGAAAAGAAATTTTTAAAAGCGTCTTTATCAGAATGTTTGAGAATGTGAAACAGCATGCGTTTATACAAACTACAAACTGTGTACCACACACTACACACACACACCACACACCACGAACTCATCTACATACATGCTATTTAAATATCTATAATGAAATGTGTGTATTTGCAATGCTTAAAATTGCATTTTACATACCAGTGTAGAGCCAACAATTGCATACACGACTGCCACCAGAAAAAACACGTGTATAAGAAGAACACTTTTGCCGACAAAATCCAACTCACAAAACAGTATCAAACACATTCGCCTTCCGCCTACCTTTTCCTCCCAAACACACGCCATTGATCCAATCCCTTAAATAATGAAGTTCTTTACCGCCATTATTGCCGCTCTCGCCTCCAGCGTTGTTCTCGCTGCTCCTGCTCCTGGTCCTGCCGACGCCAATCCTACTATATCTCCACTCGCTCCTGCCGCAACCCCAAGCATCCTGCCAGCTACGAGCGTCGTGATGGGATTTTACCGACCTATCACCAAGTATCGCCGCGGATGGGACTTTCACCACCCATTACCCAGGCAAAAAATTAAATTCGTTGTATGTCAAAAGGATTAGTAGATTATTAGGTCAAGCTTTTG